GTTAGCAATTACCAAAACCCCCCATGCTCTTCATTTGTCACAGCGCCTATATGTTGTGCAACCTACTAACTGGCGTAGGGCTACTCATACTCTGTTTTCAATATGGTTTATGAGACCAACGTCGCCTCTTGCCGTATATGGGATGCACTCGGGTTCAAGCGGATCGGAAGGATTCCCGGCTGCGGAAATCTGAAGTCATACCCTGGTCAGCTGATTGATGCGATTATATATGGCCGCGATTTAGGCCCTGAGGGAGAGGACTTCGTTTCGGAGGAACGATTCGACAAAATCAGATATTATCTGAAGCATTCCAAGTACCCGAGCGGTGCCGACCGAGCAGAAAAGAGTCGATTACGTAGCGCGGCGACTCACTATAAACTCGTCGGAGGGCAAAATGGCGAGCCGGAGAAATTGATGTTGAAGGACAAGGAAGTTGTGTCGGATCCCCAGCAACAATATGAGATAGCCCGGAAAATCCATGAGCAACAACACGGTGGAATTAACAAAACCACCGCAAACATTGCTTTGAAGTACCATTGGGTTAGGATCAAAGAGACTGTTAGTATGGTGATAAAGAATTGCGAGAAGTGCAAGGAATCACCCAAAGCTCCCGTTTCCAACCCAGACGGGCCCGCCTCTAAACGGGAAAGGTCATCCACACCAAAAGAGCGCAAGCCTGAAGTGTCGCCCAATGGTTTTGGAACGCCTCCAGAACAACTCGCCAATGTTCATCAATACATCAAAGAAGATCCCTTTGGCGGGCCCAACGCTACGGTGTTACACGGGGCTATGGATGACATCAAATTCCAACCAGATCCGGAGGAAATAACCGACTACGCCGACCTTCCTCTCGACCCACAAATTATGGATGATATTCAGCACCACTTGCCATCGTTCCAGCATCACAACGACGTTGATCCCTACGAAACAAACAGTCTTCAAGAACCGCATGACTTGGGCCATGGCTTTGGCCATACCCATCTGCAACATCATGATAACTCGAACGACTATCGTATTGTTGAGGATGACGACGGAATAATGGCTTCTCAGGCAGCAGACGCCTTGCGGGATCAAACGATGCACTTGGTTGACACGTCTCGACTCCACAACGAAACACAGCTACATCGTGATCTTCTCGCAGCCGCCTTTGTTGGTCGAGAAGATCCGTCACATTTTGACAGCAGATACTGACCATAATTCTTTTCTGAATGGTTTTGTAATTATACATGGCCTTTGGCGTCCTTCTATCCTCTTTTTCCCCTTTTTTTTTTTTTTTTTTTTTTTTTTTTTTCCCGGCGTGGGAATATGTATTGCATTTTGAAAGCCTTGTTAATGGTGTTAACTGGCATTCTATGGGCGGCGTTGAAGTACACGAGGGTGCGGCCCCTCCATACTATATAACAGCTGGTACAAAAATTGCGTTCTAGAGTTTATTATAGACGAGAAGTGAAACGATACGGAAGATCTATATTGAATGCAATATTGCAATTATTTCCTGCCAGCCATTTCGTCTAATCGAGATCGGGATAGGTTCTTCTGTTTCGGCGTTGAGGTCGTCGAGAGTGTGTTTGGTTGGTTTGCTTCCCGAAGTTGCGTTTTGATTGGCCAGGAACTTTTTTCGGGCACTTGAAGCTCAATTTTCTGGAGCTCTTCACCCCACGCTTGCCCTGGTGTGGTGTTGATAACACGGTCGATACGAACCCATTCCCATTAACCCGCCATCTTAATTAATATATTTGGTTTGACCAAACAAGACATCTTGGGAAAAGGGGCTTCTACTCATTATCCTAGACAACCATGGCCTTCAGCGGCCAGACCCCGACAATTATTGTTCTGAAAGAAGGTTGGTATTCCCTGCTTTCATGGGCTCGTTCTGATTTGCAGTTGTTGTGTTATCGTTTTTCTCTTCCTCCTCTTCTTCTTCTTTTTTTTTTTTCTTTGGAGACTTAAAGGAGACATGACATAGTTGACTTCGACTGCTAGGAACGGATTCGTCACAAGGAAAGGGTCAAATACTATCGAATATCAACGCATGTCTAGCGGTTCAGTCTACGATCAAAGGGACCCTGGGTCCTTATGGCGGGGATGTATTACTCGTGGATTCCAATGGAAAGCAAACGATCACAAACGATGGGGCTACGGTGATGAAGGTTGGTCAAACGGCACCCGCGTTCAGGCTCGTGTTTGGAGCGTTAAGTTTAACCCCGTTTTTCAATATGTAGCTCCTCGACATCGTCCACCCAGCCGCTCGGATTCTCACCGACATTGCACGATCGCAAGATGCTGAGGTCGGCGACGGCACTACATCCGTGGTGGTTTTGGCGGGAGAGATTTTAAAAGAAGTCCGCGAATTCGTGGAACAGGGTGTGAGCGCACAAACGATTATAAAGGGATTGAGAACAGCCAGTTCGATTGCGGTCAACAGAATTAAAGAGATCTCGGTGGATATGAGAGACACCACTGATGGAGCAACGATGCAAGTTGAGACTCTGAGACGATTGGCTGGGACAGCGATGAATAGTAAACTAATTAAGCGCAATGCGGACTTCTTTACGAAGAGTATGATCTCCTTTTGCGTATGCCGACGTTTATTGTTCTTTTTTCCTCTTTACTGACTAAAATAGTGGTTGTCGATGCCGTTTTATCCTTGGATCAGGATGATCTGAACGAGAAACTCATCGGTATTAAGAAAGTCACCGGCGGGGCGCTACAAGATTCTCTGTTTGTCGATGGTGTAGCGTTCAAGAAGACATTTTCCTACGCAGGTTTCGAACAGCAACCCAAATCTTTCAAGAATCCCAAAATTGTGTGTCTTAACGTCGAATTGGAGCTAAAGAGCGAGAAGGATAATGCCGAAGTTCGAGTGGATCAGGTATCTGAATATCAAGCGATTGTGGACGCCGAATGGCAGATCATTTTCAATAAACTGGAGGCACTTTACAAGACGGGCGCAAAGGTCGTTCTGAGCAAACTTCCCATCGGTGATCTGGCCACTCAGTATGTCATAAGCACTCAATCATATCCAGCTATATGTGGCCGTCTATACTAACAGTGTGCGTAGATACTTTGCTGACCGTGACATTTTCTGCGCGGGGCGAGTCTCCGCCGAGGATATGGAGCGCGTTAACCAGGCCACTGGGGCATCTACACAATCAACCTGCTCGGACATCCAGGAGCGCCATCTTGGAACTTGCGGTGCCTTTGAGGAACGCCAAATTGGTGGTGAACGGTTTAACATCTTCTCCGAATGCCCAGCTGCCAAGACATGTACATTAATTCTTCGTGGTGGCGCTGAGCAATTCATCGCAGAAGCGGAACGCAGTTTGCACGATGCCATTATGATTGTGAAGAGATCTTTACGCAACACATCTGTCGTTGCCGGAGGAGGAGCTACGGAAATGGACGTGTCCGGCTATTTGCATTCCTACGCCAATCAGAGCAAGGCTGTGCCGCACAAACAGCAAGGGGTCGTCAAGGCTTTTGCAAAGGCACTCGAGGTTATTCCGCGACAGCTGTGCGACAATGCAGGCTTTGATGCCACCGATATCCTCACTCGCCTTCGCGTCCAGCATCAGGCAGGCAATGTGTGGGCAGGTGTCGACTTCGACAACGAGGACGTTCGGGACAATATGAAGGCGTTCGTGTGGGAGCCGAGCCTGGTCAAGATCAATGCCATCCAAGCGGCGATTGAAGCCGCGTGCTTGATCTTGAGCGTTGACGAGACTATAAGTAAGTTTTTCCTTCACCCTTGACTTTGGATCCCTCTCAGGCACGGTGCCCCAACAGTTCGCATTCCGTCGATGGTGCGTCTAACATTTGTACCCCAACAGAGAACCAGGAATCCGCCCAGCCACAAGCTCCAGGTAAGCCGTTGCCGGCAGGAGCAGCTCAGAGGGTTTTGAAGGGCAGAGGACGCGGAATGCCTCGACGGTAAATTGGCCAACAGCCCTCTCAACAGCCGACAACGAAGATCACAGACGGTCTTGGAAGCTCCCCGTCCTGGGAGATTTTAGATAGGTCTAATTTAATGTATGTCAAGAAGCAATAAAGACCATTCAGTCGTACATACATACGCATATGGACCCCAAAAATTATTACCGTAGTTGTCCATGGTTGGGCAAGTCGGGTTTCTCTGCATACTCCTAATGCGTGCCCACGTAGTGACTAACCCTTGTTCAGGGCGGTGATGGTCCGGCACCGCAGGGAACAACTGGATTCCTCGGGATCAACTTCATCATTCCGCACTGGACAGATTCAGCGGCTATTGAGACTCCATGCAGAATATTTGGAATTTGCAGTTACACCAGACCGCAGCACCCCGGTGCCCCCAGTGGCGAACTTTCAAGACCGTCGCCCAGGTCGGACTGTGGCTGATCGGTCGTCTTCACTGCCCTACGTGAGCCGCGTTCCGACCCGCAATTGGGCCCAGGCGATCGGCAAGACCGCCCAGTGATCCTTGTCCCTTGACAGCTAACTCGCCAAACCCCTCACTTGCTCGCTCGCCCGCCCGGCTGGTCTGTCCTCGAGACGCAAACATTTTGCCAGCAAGACGGCCGCATTCGTTTGTGAACCCTTTTTCGACGGTGTTCCCGAGTTGCTGTCGGCTGGGAGCTCTCAGTCGGTTCCTTCGCCTGTGCCTGTCGCCATCATCACGGAGTTCTCCCTTATCGACTTCGCCGACTCAGCCGCGCTTATTCCCCTCGTATTCTAGCGGATTTTGGCTCTCCTTAATCAGCCGTCCGTCGTCGTCGCAATTTTCTCACTGCAAGCCCGATAAAACTCTCTCTCTTTGAAGGGTCGTCTTCGAGATTACTTCTTTTTTTTTTCTTTTTTTTAATTTTTCGTTTAGTTTTGATTTTGTTTTCCTGATTGAAACTTATCAGCAAACCTGACTATCCGCAAATTTGGGCCTTGAAAGGCACTGAAGTCGCAAACTATCCCCCAGTAAGACACGCGGTGTCCGCTCTCTGGCGAAGCAGTCTTCCCTCTCCTTTTGTTCTCGAGCAACCAATCTCTCTCTTAGTAACCGACGGCCATGTCTTACTATCCTCCTCCATCCGGCTACCCAGGTGGCCCTCCTGCATATCCTCCGCCGCAGCAGCAGCAGCAGCAGCAGCAGCAGTATCCTTCGTATGGAGCTCCCCCGCCTCAATACCCGTAAGCTATGCTTTGACCCCATTTTCCTGGTGTTTTTCTAGCCGCTGCTAATATTCCGCCAGACCACAGAACAATTACGCTCCCCCTTCCTACCCTCCTCCAGGACAGTACGGCCACCCTCCCCAGCCCGGTTATCCTCCCCACAGCTCCCCATATGGCCACACTCCTTCTCCCCAGCCTCCATACGGAGTGAGTATCTTCGTGTCCAGCAATTCTTCTGTAAACCCGCTCACAGAATCTTCAGCATCCCCCACCTCAACACCCTCCACACCAACCACCGCACCGTCCACCACCTTCGCCGGGCTATGGCCACTTGCCTCCTTCAACACCGAATAGCGGACCTGCCTTCCATGGGCAACCAGGTATGTGGGATAGAACCCTTCTACACCTATGCCTGTATATCTCACACAGCACCCAGGCATTGCGACGGTGAACAATAATGATTATGTCCATGGAAATCACAGCGCGCCGCCACCTCCCCCTTCCGGTTCCGTCGCGTTTGGCCATGGAGCTCCTCAGGGATATAGCTATCAGTACTCGAACTGCACTGGGAAACGGAAGGCATTGCTGATTGGCATAAATTACTTTGGTCAGCGAGGCCAGTTACGGGGCTGTATTAATGACGTCAAGAACATGTCAACCTATTTGAATCAGAGTTTCAACTACGCGAGAGAGGACATGGTGATCTTGACCGATGATCAACAAAACCCCATGAGTCAACCTACAAAGGCCAATATCTTACGCGCGATGCACTGGTTGGTGAAAGATGCTCGACCGAACGACTCATTGTTCTTCCATTACTCTGGTGAGTGGTGAATATAAGAGTTGCAATTCGGTATAGTGGTGCTAAAACATATTTCGTAGGACATGGTGGTCAGACACCAGATTTGGATGGCGACGAGGACGACGGGTACGACGAAGTTATCTATCCCGTTGACTTTAGAAACGCTGGTCACATCGTAGACGATGAAATGCACAGGATTATGGTTCGGCCATTACCGGCTGGTGTTCGTTTAACGGCGATCTTCGATTCGTGCCACTCCGGTTCCGCCCTGGACCTTCCTTACATCTACTCCACACAGGGTGTCCTCAAGGAACCCAATCTTGCCAAGGAAGCTGGTCAAGGTCTTCTTGGTGTTGTCTCTGCATATGCTCGCGGAGACATGGGAAGCATGGTCTCGACTGCTATGGGATTCATCAAAAAGGCAACTCGAGGAGAAGAAACGTACCAAAGAGCCAAACAAACAAAGACCAGCCCTGCCGATGTCATTATGTGGTCAGGTAGTAAAGATGTCCAGACTAGCGCAGATGCAACCATTAATGGCCAAGCAACTGGAGCACTCTCCTGGGCCTTCATTACGGCCTTGAAGAAGAACCCCCAACAGAGCTACGTTCAACTTCTCAACAGTATTCGAGATGAACTCGCCTCGAAATACTCGCAGAAACCTCAGTTAAGCTGCAGCCATCCGCTAGGTAAGTCCATCTTCACTTTGTGCTAAGATTTCCAGCTAATGGATGCTGATAGATACGAACCTCTTATACGTTATGTAAAGAGTACGACTCTTATGCGCAGCTGTGAATATTTCGGGGTCATATATGGACCATAAATACATGGTGTTTGGGGGCAGGCTTAAGTTCGCCGAGCAATATCTCCTAGAGCTTATCCTTTTCCATTACTATAACATGTACTTACGTTTATACGCTTTGGCGATTTGATACCTGCTTTCATATCTTTACGTCTACTTTCAACGCGTCTTCCGTTTTCGATCCTAGTGGTTTTACTCGAATGTTGGGTTGCGTTTTGTGCATCTTTTTGCTCTATATGTTACGTTGGCTAATGGAGGACGGTTCATCGGGTTATGATCGTGTTTCCCCATTCTACTCAATCAGCTTGATTTTCGGCTCTTTCATATTTTCCTAGTGGCGTTTTTCCGCTCCAGGGCTATGATCAATGTGGGTGAAAGGCTGGTAAAAAAGCCGATGGATTCGCATCAATTAAAAATCATTGGGGGTAACTTTATATATCGTAAACAAGCCCAACATAGTTGTATGAGGAATTGTTAGGAAATACGGAGTAATGGTGGGTCTTTTGTGGTAGCATATTAGTGAAATAGAGCGACTTTCAAGTGCGCGCACGGAGTACATTCAGAGTTAGTCTCCTGGGAACCAATCCTGGGAGGCTGTGCCCGGAGAACCACCGTGAGCACATCAACCTCACGGAGTCGGAGAACGAAAATTAATTTATAGTCGAGTGAATGCATTCCAATTATCTCATACAATATTATCAATCCCATCACAAATTTCGATGCGGTGACCAATCTTTATAAGGCAAATGGAGATTTTTCCCCCGTCGTATGAACATGCTACCGCGAGAGACACCTGGGCCATCGTGGCACGCTACATACCCTCATCAGACCTCTGCGCTGCATGCCTAGTATCAAGGAAGTGGCACGAACTCTTCGTCCCGTTCCTGTGGGGAGCACCGGCCTTGCACTTTCGTGGGGATAGTGCTGATGTATATGGTGGGCAACCATCGATAACTACTCCCGGCTTCTTTCGATTGGAAAGGTTGACTAACCAGTTTATCTCTTGGGTCGCCTTCTATCAAGACGCCTTGACTCGATTCAGAAAAATTCTGAGGTATTCCCGCTACTGGGTTAGAGAGCTTACGCACACATTGCATCTTCCTCCTGCGCCGTCAGAGATATATTATGGACCGGAGCGGATCTGGCTTCTCGAGGTGCTGGAGTATTTGCCGAAATTACAGTCGTTGATTGTTTCAAGATTATCGTTTTTCGATCATGATTCCCTCCTTACTTTGGATGCAAAGTCCGGTCAGAGTAGACTTGATGCCGAGTTAAGATTACGGACATATGATTTGCGGTTGCTTCTTGCAGACCGTGAGCCAAACACGACGTCCGTAGCACTCCGCAGGGGGCTGCTACATTTCCCAAAGCTTGTATACTTGGATCTATCTTATACCACGTCGGCAAAGGACCACGGAGTGTTATCAGCACTTTCGCAGTTATTTCACCTGCAAGTACTGAAGCTACGAGGCATCGGACTCAGGGATCCTGACGCTGATGTTCTGGCGCGTGCCATCGGGATACGGGTGCGGCTTTTGGACCTCCGTAATAACTTACTGAGTGATAGTGCAATTAGGGCCCTGATGCACAACTGTTTTCCTCCGTCTAACCATAGTAATGACTATACATTTAGGCGGATGGAAGAATGTCAATTCGAATGGCGACCTCCAACCGTCCCGCTTGGCAGTATATTGACATCAGATTCAATGAAGGATGAGCACCTTGACGGACACTTCCTCAAGCAGCTTACAATGCCGCTTGATGGTAGGTCCACATTGGAGGATATACCCCATGTTGGTATCACGCACCTATACGTTGCGGATAACAATATTTCAGTGGATGGTTTACTTGGAATTGTCGGTTTGGGGATGCTCTTTGTCCTCGATTGCGGGACAATTGGCGCAGCCCGTTTAATGAAAGAGAGTGTGTCCCTACCGGCTTCTCGCAATAAAGATGTCTCCCAGGCTGAGATGATTCCTGGTGCGGAGAGGCTGGTTACTATTCTCTGTCAACCCGCGGGCAAGACTCTCACTTACCTACGAATTCATCATGCTATGGTGACGAGCAGTACTCAGGTGTTGAAACGGGTTGGGCCCTGGAGTGCATCAGCACCAGAGGAGGAGATAGCACGAGACTGTCTTATCCAAGATCTTATTGCCCGACGTCCTACAATACCTGCGACGGATAACCAAAGCAGCGAAGGTGGCCACTTGCCGTTTCTTCATCCTTCGAATCTCTCACATCTTAAAACATTAATCCTTACAGACCTGCCGTCTTCCGTGCCCTCATCATCCCCTATCCTATCGTCCCTAAAAAGATTCATAACAGCCTGCGCCGACGAATCTTTACTCGCGTCCTTACGAGCTCAATCAGACTATTCCCTTCCACCAGGCCGGCATCGAGCCAAAGCAGAAAAACAACATGCAAAATCTCTCTTTGCGCTTGAGCGGCTCATCTTAGAAATCAGACCCGTTTCAAAACCAAGCAACTCCAGCTCCTGGTCTCCATCGGGCTACCACAACCCTAATAGTACTAAATCTAGCACCGGGGACGCGGACTCCGAAAATCTCTGGACAGCAGCCATGAATGATTTCAGCTTTTTTAGCGAGGATGTGAGCTACACTCCGGCTAATTCTCAGAGATGCGGTGTTGGTTCTGTATTTGGTCAAGATCCGGGTAAGCATGAAATAGACCTGGTAGCGGCGATAGCATCATTCCGTCGGGAAAAGAGGATTAAATACGAGGATTTACGGAGCGCACAGCAACGTAAGAACAGTAACAATGAGGAATCGGGCGGCATATCGTCTTCAACCCAGCCGACTACCCCTATCTACGTTGAAGGGCATTGGAATGGAGAGATAAGAGTTGTGAAATAACCGGGTTAAAGTGAGGATTAAGGGGGCCGGGACTATTCAGAAGAGAGATTGTCGCTTGATGATGGCTGGGAAATGCATGTCGAGTGCCGCGTTGGGAAAACGGAGATGTTGGCCCTAGTTTGTCGGTTGGTGTATGGATTGTAACTGTTACAGCTGAAGCGATCTAGAATGTCTTGAAATTAGTGATGCTTGACTTTAGGAGACTGGATAACCTGCACAGAACTCCTATCCATTACACATGTTAGGCATTGAATTGGACTATGGAGGGGCATCAAAACAAGTCATGCATTGTATGCGGGGAGGCTGGGGGTTTTTTAACCCAGTCCCCGCCAATTGATACATATTCGTTCCCATTTAAAGAAGAAAATGATATCCGGGTGCGGAGAACAAAGCGTAGCACGATACATAGGACCCCTTCCATTCCCTTATATGTTGCTTTTTCGAAGCCCGGCTCGTCAAAACGCTCGTTTTCCCTACACATATCATGTTGATCCGGTGCCCCCCGCCCTAGACACCCCAGAACCCATCATACCCATAATGGAAGGGGAGAAAAAAGGCATTTACGCCTTAGCAGTCTTGGCAGCTTGTTGAGGGTTCAATTTCTTTGCGTCCTTCTGGAATCGGAGTCTTGGAGGAGGAGCACGGTTGCGGCGGCCCTCCCGGGATCGGACACTAAAAAAGAGCCCAGTATCAGTATCCTTTTGTACTTTCTCCGCATTGATCTGCTCCGCGACACGTTAAGGATAGAAGGTCGATTCGTACCGCACAATCTTTCCGTGGATAGCGCAGGAAACGCAGTACTGGAGCTTCAGGTACATCTTTGGGACAGCGTATTCCTCAAAAACGGACGCTTCGGAGATATCCTCTATAAAATTTCAATGTATTCAAAGATTAGCCCACCCGGCTCTCCACAAAAGGTTCCCTTCCAGAGCGAGAGTCGCAAAGCGCAAAGTAGATAGGTGGGCGCGACGTACTGACGGCAGCAGACTCAACCATGTTGCGGATGGTGAATCTCTTGATGGCCTTGTCCTTTGGAGTGCATCTTGAGCAGTTGGAGCAGCGAATCGGCTTAACGTGACCGCGTCCCTTCTTGTTGCGTCCGCTGCACAGAGAGAAAAACAGAACGAAGAATCCGTTAGTTTTCGCAAATTTCTCGATCCCTTTAAATTGGAGGTTCTAGGGGATTGGTCACCCACTTCGACGCCCGCTTCTTGACCATTTTGGCAGTGGTTCTTTTGTTTTTGACTTCCTACGTCAAATTCGACAAACGAGGATCTTCGGGCGCGAAGACGACAAGAGCAGCCCTTTGGAGTGTTGGGGGGAGGGGGTTACTTGGTGTCTGTCGGGAGGGTCGAATCTTTCTCGGTTCTCTTCCCAACCAGCTCGGCTCGCGATGGCTTTGTCGTTGTGGGCAGGCAGGGCTAGAATTCCTAAGCGAGACTAGTGGGTCACGGGACATGACCCTCACGGGATTTCGGGACTAGCGCGCCAAGCCTTCTCTGGCTCCCGTTCACGTGATAAATGGTCCGTGCACCGGATACCCGAGCAACAAAACAAAAGCAGGAGGACCGCTGGAGTGGATGGCACCACCTGACCTGTTGTTGCCCGCTCGGGGATTTTCGAGAGATCAGACGTTTCTCAGCCGACGGAGCCTCTCACGCCTGTCTTCACCTATCGAAGAGGCACGACCACGCTATCTTCTCTGTTAACTAATTGCTACATACTTCCGCAGTGACGACTCCCCTTTCCCAGTATGTCGTCCACAGGTACAATGCGAAATCGAACCATGGGTCGCGGCCAGCTCCCCTTTGAGGGTGCTCCGTCCGGTATACCTCGCAAGGTCGAACATTCAAGCACGCAGAGCATGCCATCGGATGTTGGAAGTTCCACATTGAGTGTTAGCAGGCAAAAACAATCAAAGCGAGACGAGGTACTTTTCGATTCGCCCGTATCTCACCTCCTAATGGATCCAATTTACCTACTCCCTGGGTAATTGTGTTTCCGCCATCGAGTCTATATCGCTGATAACATCAAACAGGCTATTAGGAAAAAGATGGAAGCGGACCTTAATAAGAAAAGATATAACCCCGCTAGAGCTCGATCGACTCGCAAAGCACCCCCTGGAACCGTTCTCGCCCTGAAGCCTAGCCAGGCGCTTCAGATTAAACCAAATACCACGGTAGCAGAGGCCGCACAATTGATGGCTGCCAAACGCGAGGATTGCGTTCTAGTAACTGACGATGATGACCGCATTGCTGGTATATTTACCGCTAAGGATTTGGCGTTCCGCGTTGTTGGAGCCGGCATTAGAGCGAGAGACGTTACAATTGCCGAGATCATGACCAAAAACCCGCTATGTGCCCGGACCGATACCAGTGCGACCGACGCCCTGGATTTGATGGTTCGGAAAGGCTTCCGCCACTTGCCCGTTATGGACGAAAATCAGGATATTTCTGGTATTTTGGATATTACCAAGTGTTTTTATGATGCTATGGAGAAGCTTGAACGGGCATACAGCTCCTCTCGCAAGTTGTATGATGCTTTGGAAGGTGTACAGTCTGAATTGGGCTCGTCTCAGCCTCAGCAAATTATACAGTATGTGGAGGCGTTGCGGCAGAAAATGTCTGGGCCTACCCTTGAGTCCGTCTTGAATGGGCTGCCCCCAATTACTGTCTCCGTAAGAACATCAGTGAAAGACGCAGCCGCTTTGATGAGGGAGCATCATACTACAGCTCTTTTGGTGCAAGATCAAGGATCGATCACCGGAATCTTTACAAGCAAAGATGTTGTATTGCGAGTCATTGCCCCTGGATTGGACCCAGCTACCTGCAGCGTTGTGAGGGTTATGACCCCTCACCCTGACTTTGCGCCCACTGACATGAGCATCCAAGCTGCCCTTCGGAAAATGCATTGTATGTGAATTGCTTTGTGCAATTGTTAACGCTGTATACTGACACATGCTCTAGATGGACACTATTTGAACCTCCCTGTCATGAATGAATCAGGAGAGATCGTTGGCATGGTTGATGTGCTCAAACTGACATACGCCACACTAGAGCAGGTGTGTATTTTGTGAATATATTCTTCAGACGCTCCCCAGCTTACGACCTTCCCAGATCAATACTATGCAAACAAACGAGAATGAAGGGCCAGCCTGGAACAAATTCTGGCTCTCAATGGACCAGGAATCTGATTCTATGGTCTCGGGGGGTGGCCATAGCCAGAACCCTCGTCGATCTATCCTCAGCACCGATCCAAGAGATCGTGGAGATAGTGTTCTCCCACACGAATCCGCGTCACACCACGGCGAAGATGCTACTTCTGAATTATTGGACACACGGCACCTTGCGAACGACGATTCTCCATTCCCATTCAAATTCAAGGCTCCGAGCGGCCGCGTCCACCGACTTCAGGTCATTGCGTCCGCCGGTGTTGCTGAGCTGGCTGCTAACGTTTCGAGTAAACTTGGATCCGAAGTTGAAGCTGTTGGCGGGGAGGCCGTTGTGGAGGACGGCAAACTTAGCAACAGCGGGTACGCCCTGAGTTATTTGGATAATGAAGGTGACACTGTCTCCATCACAACAGACCAAGACCTCCTTGATGCCATCGTGCAAGCTAGAAAAGCTGGTCGGGATAAAGTGGACCTCTTTGTTCATGACCCGGAAAGCCCCCCGGTGATCGCTCAGGAACCCCAACAGGCCACCACGCAGGCGCCCCCAGAACCAGTGACGAGATCACCCATACCGGAGGAAGAAGAGCAAAGCACGGACCAAGCCCGCCCTCAAAAGAGCCTTTCTCAGACTCTTACACAATCGTCAGCGGAGCAACAGCTAATAGCAGGTGTTCCCAACGAGCTGATTTTACCGGGCGCAATTGTAACTCTTGCCGCGGTTATTTTGGGTGTGTTTGTCTTGAGTCGGGCGGGTGGAAAGAGATGATAATTGAGGCTGTCTAAGTTGATACAAATTATTGGATGGTGCTCATCCAATCGATTCTTGATTTCATAGACCTTTCCCCCTTTACATATCAGTATGTTTTTTTCTAATACCCTATACATCTCTCCCATGACTTTAGAGCCAGCGCCTGAATCGATTGATTTGAAGCCAAGCATGTTGTCACATAGAGCTCTTGTAGATCCAACAATGTGTCAGTAATGTCGAAGAGATGATTCAATGCTGAGATTTACTATCTATGTGCACCTGAAAACTGCCATGGATCTGGACTTTTAACAGTCACCAGCCAAACAAAGCAAACACACTAGGGACCATTGGGGAATAGCGCGAAACCTGGGGTTCAGCACCCTAAACTTTTTTCAAACAAATATTCAAACCTACCTATCACTTATCGTCCATCCCACTTTTGAGAGCTTTGCTGTGAAACAACCTCTCACATATTGTCTCTCTGTTTCTCAAGCTGAGCTGCAGTGGCTGAATGTACACTCTTGTTGTGTTTTCGTTGTCTTGAATTTCATTATCAAACATATTGTTTCTTTTCTCCTGGCATTGTTAGCTGTTTCTTCCCTTTGACACGGTTGGGCGCGCCGCAGTCTTGGTGTATTCACTACCACGTATAGCGCGCGCTGCCCTGCTCCCTCACCCCTCTCATTTTACAGCTAATTAGTTTTTGTATCTCTGGGAAAGTTCATTAGAGTGGACAAGATGTCAATCTTACCACAAGAGATCCACACTGCTTTATCGCAGTTGCTGTTGGGCCTTTCAACAGCCGACAATCTCGTGCGCACACAAGCTGAGGAGCAGTTGAATAATGAGTGGGTTCAGGCACGCCCGGATTTCTTGCTTATGGGGCTGGCAGAACAATTACAAGCTGCGGAGGATACAAACGTATGTGATGGGAGAGAGCGGGGTAACCCGCGTCATTCTTCGTTGTGCCCTTCTGCACCGATTTTTTTCTTTCCTAAGTCAGGATAGTTTATGCTAACATAGCTTCCGCTGTCGCTAGACACGGTCTTTTGCAGCAGTTCTTTTTCGACGGATAGCGGGACGATCGGTAAAGGATCCGAATTCGGCTGATACAAGGAGATTATTCTTCACCCTGGTGCCAGAACAGAGATTGGCCATTCGTCAGAAATTGCTGCAAGCATTAAACGGTGAAACAGTATCTAGTGTGCGTAATAAAGTTGGAGATGCGGTGGCAGCTATCGCCGAACAGTACTCTGAGAGCGGTATGAATGAGCATTCGAAGTGGGGAGGATAATATTCGTTCTGAAGACAAGTATCTGATGGTATTCTGGGGTATAGGAGAGCCATGGCCAGAGCTGCTTGGTGTTCTCTTCCAAGCAAGCCAATCTTCTGATACGGGCCTTCGCGAATCGGCGTTCCGCATATTCTCCACCACACCACAAATCATTGAGAAGCAGCACGAAGAGACTGTCCTAGGTGTATTCTCGAAAGGATTCAAAGATGAGCACATTTCGGTACGTATGCCAATATATCTCCCCCAAAATATGGCTTGCTAACGACGCACGGAAGGTCCGAATCTCTGCGATGGAAGCGTTTGCATCTTTCTTCGGCTCCCTACATAAAAAGTCTCAGCCTAAATTCTTTTCTTTGGTGCCCGATCTTTTGAATATTCTCCCTCCACTTAAAGAAGCAGATGAAAGTGAGGAGCTGTCTAAGGCTTTCATAGCCCTCATAGATATTGCCGAGATTTGTCCCAGGATGTTCAAACCACTTTTCAATAACCTGGTTAAGTTCAGTATAAGTGTGATTAGCGACAAGGAACTTTCAGACCAAGTCAGGCAAAATGCACTGGAGCTTCTGGCAACATTTGCTGATTATGCACCAACAATGTGCAAGAAGGACGCGAACTATGCGCAGGATATGGTGACTCAATGCCTTAGTTTGATGACTGATGTTGGTCTCGATGATGATGATGCGTCCGAATGGGGGGCTTCAGAAAATGTGAGTTTCTTAATTATCATTGGTTTCGCCTTACTAACAACAATAAAAAGCTTGATCTTGAAGAGAGCGACAAGAATCATGTTGCTGGCGAGCAATGCATGGATCGACTTGCCAATAAACTAGGCGGACAGGTTATTCTTCCTCCAACGTTCAGCTGGGTGCCAAGAATGATTTCATCCTCCTCATGGCGCGATAGACATGCCGCCCTGATGGCTATCTCCGCTATTTCAGAGGGCTGTGGTGATCTGATGGTCGGTGAGCTGGATCAAGTTCTTGCGCTTGTTGTTCCAACTCTACAGGACCAGCATCCTCGCGTGAAATTTGCAGGCTGCAATGCTCTAGGACAAATGAGCACTGATTTCGCTGGTACTATGCAAGAGAAGTATCATTCAGTGGTTCTTGGTTGCCTCATCCCTTCTTTGATGTCGGAACACCCACGAGTCCAAGCCCACGCCGCAGCTGCTCTGGTCAACTTCTGCGAGGAGGCGGAGCCCGCTATTCTGGAGCCATATCTTGAACAGTTGCTAGGACATCTCGTCCAACTGCTTCAAAGTCCGAAGAAGTTTGTTCAGGGGCAGGCTCTCTGCACAATAGCCACCATCGCTGACTCGGCGGAAAGCACATTTGCCAATTACTACGACAGACTTATGCCAATGTTGTTTAATGTTCTAAGGGAAGAACAGTCTAAGGAGTACCGGGAAATCCGAGCCAAGGCTATGGAATGTGCTACGTTGATCGCATTAGCTGTTGGCAAGGAAAAGATGGGCCAAGATGCCTTGACGCTGGCTCAATTACTTGCCCATATCCAGCAAAATATAACTGATGCGGATGATCCACAGTCATCCTACCTCCTCCACTGCTGGGGTCGCATGTGCCGTGTCCTAGGTCCCGATTTTATTCCATATCTTCCTGGCGTTATGCCGCCTCTCCTTCAAGTCGCTGCTGCAAAGGCGGATGTCCAAATCCTCGATGATGAGACGCAAATTCAGGAAGTCGAGCAGGATGGAAAATGGGATCTACTCCCACTGAAGGATAAAGTTATTGGGATTAAAACCAGTGTCCTTGAAGACAAGAATATGGCAATTGACCTGATCACCATATACGCCCAAGTCCTTGAAGCCGCTTTTGAGCCATACGTTGTCGAACCGCTTGAAAAGATTGCGATACCCGGCCTTGCATTCTTCTTCCACGATCCTGTCAGGGTTTCTTGTGCCAAACTTATTCCCCATTTGTTGAATTCATATAAGAAGGCCCATGGCGACCGTTCACCAGAGTTTTTCCAGTTATGGTCCAAAACTGCTGAGAAAATTATTGAGTGCCTCAGTGCAGAACCTGCAGTTGATACCTTAGCGGAGATGTTCCAGTGTTTCTATGAATCTGTGGAGATTGCTGGCAAGAATAGTTTGACGCAGGATCACATGCAGGCGTTTATTGAGGCCACTAGATCAACGCTCGAGGACTATCAGATCCGTGTGAAGAAGCGTATGGAAGACAGGGCTGAAGCTGAGGAAGGGGACGACGAGACGCTTTCATTTGACTACGAAGCCGAAGAGGACCAAAATCTGCTGAGTGACATGAACAAAGCTTTCCATACAATCTTCAAAAATCACGGCGCATCATTTTTACCGGCCTGGGAACGCATCCTTCCCTTCTATGACGCCTTTGTTGTGACCTCTGAACCAACTCAGAGACAATGGGCTCTTTGTGTGATCGACGACGTCCTCGAATTCTGCGGCGAGCGGTCTTGGAACTACAAAGATCACATCATACAGCCATTGATAAATGGAATGCGAGACGACAACGCAGCCAACAGACAGGCTGCTTCATATGGTGTTGGAATTGCAGCTCAAAAAGGTGGTATCGCATGGAGCGAATTCGTAGCCGCCAGTATCCCAACTCTATTCCAAGTAACACAGCACAGAGAAGCTAGAGCCGAGGACCATGTGTTTGCTACAGAAAATGCTTGCGCCAGCATTGCCAAAATTCTACATTTCAATGCCAGCAAAGTGCAGAACCCACAGGAAGTGGCCGAGAATTGGATCAACACACTCCCAATTCTAAACGACGAGGAGGCAGCTCCTTATGGCTATTCCTTCCTTGCACAGTTGATTGATCAGTACGTTCCCCCTCTCTTCGTCCTGTATTCTTACACTCGCTGACTTGCTTTCTTCTTAGACGAAACCCGGCCGTCTTCGCAAATGCTGAAAAGGCATTCACCTACGTTGTTCAGGCACTTGATGCTGAGAGTATTCAAGGTGCAGTTGCCAATAGAATTGTTGCTTCGGTGAAGCAACTCGTTGCGTCAACCAATGTGAACGCGGAGCAGGTTCTATCAATCGTCAAACCCGAGAAACAGATGATTGTGCGCCGATTCTTCCAATGATCCATCGGCCATTTTGATGAAAGTCTTTAACATTTTTTGACTCTGATGCGAACGAATCCCAATGTTACCCCCAGTCTGCATTTTTCGCCCTTCTAGCACCATCCTCCTTTAAGCCCACCCCATTATTCTTGTTATATCATGTCTACATTTCCACCTCACCGAAATTCCAATTGGCCCATGATGTTTAGCCTCCCGAGTTAGATAGAGCTCATACTACCAAATGACCGAATTGCCTTCGACTGTTATATGATGATCCCGCCTGAAAACCGAAACATGTTCTTCATTAGCATTCCGCTATAGCGCGATCTAGAAATATGCATAAATCTAGTTAATGTCCACGGGATCCTTCAAACCCATTGCAAAAGATATCAAAGCTGCTACCCGACGGGTGTCCTCTTAGAGTCCCCAACATCGTCCCTCCATCCACGCTTTCTAGGATTAAAAGTTTAACCCCGCAATTACCCACCTGCATAGACTTAAACCACACAGGTTGGTATTTGGCTGAAGTTCAGAACAGGAGCTTTTAAGTCGATCTAATACTCATTGAAACATGGCTCAAGAATCAGACGCTCCGCAGCTCAAGGCGCGGAATCTCCTACTCCTCGGTGCGAGCGGCCTCATTGGTTCCAGGATTCTAAATGCCGTGGTTGCGGCAAAGTCGAACTTTGAGTCTATCGCGGTGTTTACCTCCGCATCGAATCTCGAAAAGAAACCAGGATTATTCGAACCTCTTAAGGCTCAAGGCATTCGTATCATTACTGGCGATGTCAACAGTGAAAATGATGTCCGTGCTGCTTATCAAGGTGCGTTGGATCAATAACTTCACTCCCGTGCCCGGCCGTGTAGTCACACAAGATCTATGCCGTGCGACAACATCCATTTAAATACTGACACATTTCGCATAAAAAGGTGTTGACACTGTCGTGAGTGCGCTTGGCCGTGATGTTCTCGCCTCCCAGATTCCTCTAATTCACCTTGCCGCCTCCCCTTCTTCGTCCGTAAAATGGTTTTTCCCATCAGAATACGGGACGGACATTGAGTACTCACCAGCCTCTGCGCATGAGAAGCCCCACCAGCAGAAACTCAAAGTGAGGGCAGCATTAAACGAAGTGAAAGATAGATTAGTACATACGTATGTCGTCACCGGCCCATTCTCTGACCTCTATCTGGGCCCGGGATTGCCGGACATCAGGGGTGGAGCATTCAGGGTGAAAGAGAGAAGAGCGGATTTGCTAGGCGACGGCAATGGTAGGATCAGCCTGACAACCATGGATGAGTATGTCTGGCTCTGATTTATGTATAACTGAGCAAAGAGCTAACAATCGCTGCCAGTGTTGGTAAGCTCGTGGTCGCTGCGCTCCTCCACCCAACGGCAGCCAGAAACCGTGCGCTGAAGGTCAACTCTTTCACCACGACACCTGCGGAAATTCTTCATGAATTCGAGCGCCAAACCGGTGGCCAGGGATGGGGTAACGTTACATATACTCCACTTGATGAGCTACGCAAGTTAGAAGAGGATGCTTGGAAGAATGGTCCGCCTGGCAGGGCTACTGTCCTGACTTTGAGGCGCATTTGGACGGAAGGAGGAACGCTATACGAGAAGAGGGATAACGAAATTATCGGGGAACCACAAATGGCGACACTGGAGCAAGCTGTGAGCCAAGCCATCAAGGAGCAGGAGTAGGTTAGACGGTCAAAGTAGATGCTCGTTTTCGATGACCACTCTATAGAACAAATATACGAAGTAAATATGCAGCTTCGAACGCGGTTCTGTAGTTATTTTTATTAAATGCGTTTCACTATTAGGCCCAAACTTTTCTACACCTTTATCTAGTAACATAGAAGGGTATAAACGCCTTATATAACTACAAGCAGGATCTATACACCATAACCGAAACAATTTATGCCAACCCGAAACTCCGAACAAGCGACGTAGAAATGGCGTCTACCAGTGAGTTTACCTTCACCCGAACAAAACCTTTACGATCTCGCCTGAGCGGCCAAAAGGTTCAGTGCGCTGCCTGCAAGAATGAAGCCACACTGATCCTTGCTCAGGGTGTGCTTCACGGCGATATCCATGACCTCTCCATTCCTCTTGGTGACCCTCAACTTGACTTCTCCCTGTCCACCGTTTTGCAGTAGATCGTACAAGCCAACCGTGTCGACGGAGTCGCAAGCGTCAATCTTGTCGTAATCAGCCTTATCCGCGAAAGTTAGTGGGACAACACCCTGTTTCTTCAGATTGGTTTCGTGGATGCGGGCAAAGCTCTTGGCCACAATGATACGGCCACCCAAGTAGCGCGGCTGCAAGGCGGCGTGCTCTCGAGCACTACCTTCACCGTAGTTATCCTCAGCGATGACGAGCCATTCGATCCCTTGGCCTTTCCATCTGCTTGCAAGATCTGGAATGGAGTAGGTCTTGCCATCCATATCGTAGGCTACGTTGGTTTCGCCCGTGGCGGCGTTGACTGCGCCAATCAATGTGTTGGCGGAGATGTTGGGGAGATGTCCCTTGTACTTGAGCCAGGGACCGGCCGCAGAGATTGTGTCCGTGGTGCACTGTCCTTTGACTTTGTAAAGGACACGTAGTGAGTTGAGCTCACTCTTAGGGAAGGGAGCAAAAGGTTCCAAAACTGCAAGGCGGTCGGAGGTTGGGGAGATGACAACTTCGCAGGAGGGATCAGGAACAGCCACAGAGGGCTGGAAGTCAGGATTTCCGGATTCAAAACCAGCCTTGGGAAGATCCGAGCCCTTAGGAGGGCTGAATTTGAAAGATGTACCATCTGGAGTGCTGAGACTGTCGGTCATAGGATTGAAAGTGGTGCTGCCTGCATAGGATAGGGCTGTCACAACCTCAGGGGAAGCAAGGAAATTCATTGTTCCAGGGTTTCCGTCGTTACGGCCGCGGAAATTTCTGTTGTATGACGTGAAAATAGCATTGGTCTCGCCCTTTTTCACGCCATCTGTTCGCTTCCACTGGCCAATGCAAGGGCCACACGCATTCGCAAGGACGGTACCGCCGGCTGACGAAAATGTATTCAGAGTCTGATCACGATCCAAGGTTGCGCGAATCTGCTCGCTGCCAGGAGTGATAAAGAAGTCGGCCTTTGGACGAAGACCAGCCTTGGAAGCTTGTTTAACAAGATCTTCCGCACGGGTCATGTCTTCGTAAGAACTATTAGTGCAACTTCCGATTAATCCAGCTCCAAAGGTTTCTGGCCAGTTATTCTTGCGCACCGTCTCTGCAAAGGACGAAAGAGGAACCGAAAGATCCGGGGTAAAGGGGCCGTTAATGTGAGGCTCAAGTGTAGAGAGATCAATTGTGATGTGTTGATCATATTCGGCCTTAGGATCTGCTCGAAGTAAATTATTAGGGCCAGACGATGCGATCTCGGAGGCAGTCTCGGCAATGTCTGCTCGGTTGGTCGCTCTGAGGTAGGGGACCATGCTGGGAGAGAATGGGAAAATCGAGGTAGTAGCTCCGACTTCAGCGCCCATGTTGCAAATTGTAGCCATTCCTGTGCAGCTGAGGGTCTCCACACCAGGTCCATAATACTCAATGATATATCCAGTTCCCCCCCTGACTGTTAGTTTCCCGGCAAGGTGAAGAATAATATCCTTAGGAGCTGTCCAGCCGCTCAGGGCTCCCTCCAGCTTTACACCGAGGACCTTTGGGGCCTTCAGTTCCCACGGCGCATCCACAAGTGCGTCCACAGCGTCTGCTCCACCGACGCCAATGGCAATTGCGCCCAATCCACCACCATTAGGAGTGTGACTGTCAGTCCCCAGCATGAACAGTCCCGGAGAAGCGTAATTCTCCAGCACAGTCTGATGAATAATGCCAGCGCCTGGGGGCCAGAACTCAATACCATATCTCTTGGCCGCGGATTCTAAGAAATCGAAGACCTCCTTATTTCCCTGAATTGAGGCTGGAAGGTCAACGTCCGCACCCTTCTGGCCGACGATCATGTGGTCACAATGAATGCTGGCGGGAACCGCGGTCGAAGGAAGCCCGCAGGACATGAATTGAAGCAGAGCCATTTGTGCAGAGGCATCTTGCATCGCCACTCGATCCGGCTTAAGCTTCAGATTGGCTTGACCACGAATGCTCTTCCCATTCTGAGTGCCCGTGAGGAGTGACTCCTCCACATTGTCAAGATGAGAATAGACGACTTTCTCAGCAAGGGTGAGGGGCCTCTCTGACCCCAGAACTCGTCGGACTTCGTTTAATTTGTTCAGAATCTTAGGATAAGGGGGTGAACGACTGGGAACCTGCGGTCTGGCGGGGGTGGTGGCCTCCGTCGCAAAGCTGCGATATCGGCGGAAGGGAGAACATTGGGCAATCTGGGAATGTTGGTTAGAAACAGCAATTGGCGACTTGTGACTTTCAACTTACAGCCCGAGCTGTGCCTGCGCTATGCCTCCACATCATCTTGAATCAGCCCGGAATTACTCGCGGTGTGACGAGAGAATGGTCTGAGCAATTTGAGCCCGAAGCTCTCATCTTACATACTTTTGTCCTCCGTACGGCCATTACCAATTGGTTTTTTATCTCACCTCTGATTGGCTGCATGATGCATAACACTCAATAATCTTAGTCCAGTGCCGCCTTGGCCGATGAGTCAGCCTCGTTGGAGCCCAACGGGCAATTCGGGTGCATCAGGATTGAGGCCCTGATCAAAACGACTTCCCTCGCCCGTCGCGCCTGAGAATAGCCGATCCAAACCCATTTGGTACATGGGTAGGCGAGTCTGAGGCTTACAGATGCTCTCGATTTGCATTACCAAAACATGGGAGTCTTATCTTGATAGATTATGGTCCATCGTAGAATACATTGCCATATCCAAGCTAGCATGCGGGAGCCGAGACAAAAATACTCGAGGCCAGAAGATAGCTGCTTTCAAATTAATCCTAAAGGTAGCATCCCTTCGAGTGTTAGATTATGATAAGTCGTTCGGCTTCGCCGAGTTCTCTTCTTCAGCTGCAGCCCGTAATTCATAACAGAGATCGTAACATTGGGCGAGTAGTTCGTTAACGCTGCCTTGACCTTCTGGAAGGTCAGATCCTATGTAAAATTTGCCATCCACCCGCATGTTATCAATTGAATTTAGCTAAAAAGAGAATCAGCATCCAAAGTTCGCAAATTTCCGCGCGAATCACTGTTTTACCTTCATGCTATATGGGTATAGTTCTCTCGAGTTAGAAACTCCGCCAGATTCTTTGACTTCCATGAGGCATTTCCTAAGGGTCTGGAGCTGGTTATATATCGGTAGGAGCGCTTCTGATACTGGTTCAGAAGAAATAAGAAGGCCGTATATCAACGCATAGCTTCGTCGAATCAGATAAAGTAAAGTCTAGGACATCATTAGCTTTCTCTCATTGGAACGTGCAAGGCATGGCTCCAGCGTTACCCTTTGCGCATGAAGATCGGCTGGTTGGCCAGATACATCCAAAAAATTGCCGTTGACACGACACTCGTCTATGTGATTGAGTTTTCTCTGGAACATATAAAGATCAGTTTCTCTTAAGGACCATGCTTGGGTCATCGCAAGCCGGTCAAGTTGGTTCCTAATCTCTACTAGCTTATCGTACTGATCTTTGAAGCGTTCATCAATCTTTCCTTGCCTGAAATGGGAATTAGCTAGGGAATAAACCATGAGTGGTAAGGAGTTTGATACCGATCCAATACAATATCCACCCATTTTAAACATCTGTCCAAAAGGGTTTTTACAATCTCCTGGCCTTCAGGGATAGACCCATCAGATGCGAGAAAGTTTCCATCTTTCATACCTGCCTTAATTTCGTTCAATCTTTCTTTGAAGCCTATAACCTCGGATGACGAAAACTGCAACCCAGCTTGGCATCAGCTTTATCGATTCCCAGAAAGCTTCCATGTAGACGGAAGTATTCTTTGAAACTTACATTGGACCGCGTATTAGCAGCAGCGGTAGATCTTAATATTGAAACAAGAGTTTCATGCGTGGGAGCCAATTGAGCGGAGAGGAAGCAAAGTTCATGTTGTAATTCTGCCAACTGTTTCTCGCAATTATCCAATCGAGTCCGCAGAAGCGCGACAAGTTGTGGAGAGTATGTTTCTTTACCCCTCTCCACAGTTTCTCCCATTTTTCTGAGAGTTTTTGCTATGGAATCGAGATCCTTTTGGCTGTAGAAAGCAGCCTCTTTAAGATGATCGAGCAGCCGCTGAGCCAGCAGATTAGCCAAGATAGCGGCATAAATAGGGTTAAAGTTGCTCACCTTAATTGTTGAAGCCATTGAATAGCTTCAATTTATCTCCGCTGTCAGCTATAGAGTCATACACATAAGAGATCCAGAGGGAAGTACTTACGTTGCAGGAGCTTCATTATTCCTGCCGACAGTGAGAAACAAAAGAGAAATAAGTTGAAAGCAGTCATCCAAGACATTATCCACTGTGCGATTGACTGGTCAGACATGGTAATCCAGGAGCATTGGTATAAGGCCGTTTGGCACACCTCTATTATGTTCTTTACTCTCCCCTCTACCTGAACGGATACTGTTCAGCAGCTGGACTTGCTCAATGACTCTATCATAATAGGGGAGAACATCTTGGGACTTGATATAGGTGGATTTGTCCTGTTTTAGGAGAAGTAAAGCATCCCGGATGAGCAACAACTGATCCAGGATTGGCTGTTCCTGGGGATCCAGCGGCACAGTAACAGCAGGGGAGTCCATATTGTGCTGCTCTACCTGATGAACCGGATGGGCTGTCCACAAATCCTAGCCTGGCCAAGAAGGCAAGAAGAGCAGGTGAAAGCCGAAAATGAAGAGCAATGGGGGAATGCAGTTTGATGATATGCTTCTCGAAGCTCCTATCAGGGCGGCGGGGCGAGCGCCCAAGAAGTCAAAGACACATGACGCTATCGGGGCAGCGCACGGGCCACCCTCCGGCGCGGATTAAGCGAGGGTCGCTTTTGCACACACTGGGCGATTATTAAGAAAATCAAACAGCACTTGAAGATCGAACAGTCGACAACCTCTTCCCCAACGACGTCTTCCGCCTCCATTTTCGTATCCCATCTCCACGTCGGATATCATCTTCAAAATGTCTAACCCTGAGCTCGCTGTTTCCTATGCCGCCTTGATCCTCGCGGATGACGGTGTCGAGATCTCGGTACGATGATAATTGCCAGAATCCCACCTTTCGATCAGCCACCAAGGGCGAAACCTGCTGGTTTCGTTCCTTTTTTGTTGCAAGAGACTGATTGTTTTTTTTTTTTCTTCTCTACGAATTTTTTAGGCCGACAAGCTTCAGGCCCTCTTGAAGGCTGCCAACGTGCAAGATGTTGAACCAATCTGGACTTCTCTTTTCTCTAAGGTACACACACACGGATTCAAACGCGTGGACCGTTCGAACAACGACATAGAGGCTAACTTGCTGGATGTAAAAAGGCTCTCGAGGGCAAGGATGTTAAGGATATCCTAACAAACGTCGGCTCCGCCGGTGCTGCCGCTCCTGCTGCTGGTGGCGCTGCCGCTGCTGGTGGCGCTGCTCCCACCGAAGCTGCACCAGCCGCCGAGGAGAAGAAGGAGGAAGGTACGTGAAACAGGAAATTTCGCCTTGCAAGCGACTGGCGATAGAATCGTCATATTAGGCGATTTACCTGGAATTGTGGCTGACAATATGTTTCTTTTTCGTTCGTATAGAGGAAGAATCCGACGAGGACATGGGTTTCGGCCTTTTCGACTAAGCGGCGCACCTTCGTTTTTTTCCTTGTACACAATATTCCAAAAGGGATGCACGTCTTGGGCGCATGCGGGCAGTTCTGCTACGATTTTCCGATGGGGATCATAAGAGGGCCAATTGTCGGGTAGCACAACATTTTCATATTATGATATGATTACTTGTTTTTATGTCATGTCGTTATGAGCTAGCGCTATCGCCAAATAAAAGTGAATGTGCACCGTCGCTGGTTTCCCTTCTATGCCGCCTTTTTTTTTTAATGATACACATATATACAAGGTAAAGGAATCAAGAGAAACCCGCTTTGCATTATACGATGGCCGACGATCCATTGGGGTTGGCATATATACGGAACTGCACGAAAATTGTGACGTCCTCCACCATGGTACCTAGAGATCCGATAAGCCACGGGAGATTGGTGATGAAATATTCCTTTTCGGTTGAATGAAACAAAATCTAACTCATACGTCAGTTTGCATTGGTTTCGAAGGCGGAAGCGATGTCAACTCACCCCTGCGCCATATGATGCGTTGCCTAACAAAGAGAATAAAAAAAATAATAATGAAAGCCCTGTTGCACATTAGCGACAGCTTGTAAAAGAGTACTTAAAAATGTAAACTGTTTTACCTTCACAGGATTTCTCCCTGTAATTCTTAATAATTTGTGGAATTCTCGCACTATTTGCAGTCAGCGTGGTATGTCTCGGGAAGAGGGCGGGAAAGACGGCATACCCTAAATAGCAAATCGCACTGATATATCCCAAAATTGTCGCTCCTAGCGCAACTTCTCCAGAACGTTCAGGTCCAGTTTGCGCAACGGGTTTCCACACCCCCGTTTGCCACGCAATAGCCCAGCCTACGACACCCGTCGCGCAGATTCCCAAAACGCTGGATATATTCTTCAGCCAAACGCTTCTTGGTTCCGTCTCCTCCAAAATCTTTGCCAACGAATCTCTCCGTTGGACCGCAGAGCGGTGGCTACTCATTCGTCGCAATGAGGCAGACGATCTTCGCCGCGACCCGGGAAGGCCCGTGTTTTCACTCATCCGTCGGCTCAGCAGGGGCGTAGTCGGATCAGGGGTGTCAGAAACTGTGCTCGATAAGCGGCGGTAGCGAGCAGCTCTGCGTGCATTCTGAATATTATAGTAGACGCACTGGCTTATCAGGACGCCGTCTGCTATGCAAAAGTAGACCGCAATGGCGATGACGACGGGGACCAAGTGAGCCCACAGCGCGCCGATCAGGTTTGTCAAGTCGCCTAGGAACCATACAAGAAGGAATGTGATTGATATGGCTTCTGCGCTCCCGCATCTGTAGTTTTCTATCAATTGTGGGACCTAGTGGTTGCCATATCGGTTAGAGAGCAAGGTTCCAAATCCCACGGGCGATTACTCCGTATCAAGAAAAGGGGGAACGAACTAGGAGAAATATCCAACAAGCCAAAGATATTGATCCAAGGATGCCTGATGCTGCCTCCCGAAACGTCAAGGGTACCGAGTTCGTGAGCACTTCCTCCATCGTTGCCCCTCCTTGTGTTTGGATGTATATAACGGACGTGCTTCTTATAAGGCTTGCGAGCCACACTCTCAGGGGAGGGGGGAAAACTGAGACTTTAAACAAGGGTGTCTCGCATGGGGACGAAAGGCATAGTTTTCTGAGATTGCTTCCAATTCAGACGAAAAACAAAAAGAAAAGAAAATTCTTCCCTGTAAAAGCTTGGAATTCTGTAACATCCCAAGTTAATTTTTTTTTTGCCCTCCTCGCCGACCTGATACATGGCGGAACTAGGAGGCGCCACAAAACCAAAATGCATGCAGTGCAGATAAAGTTTTCTGCCGCGGGCTAATTGGCGTCATGGAAAACCTTAATCCGACCCTATGGGGCTGAATAGCGAACTGCGAACGAGACCAACAAAACACCCGGCCGTGAGCTGGCCGGCGCCATTGGCCTGCCGACATCCACGCAGCAGCCCAGAAAACGCCCGTTCTTCATATTGCGCCGAGAATACCCGTTGATGAACAGCATGTTTTCTCCTATTCTGAAATCCCCTACGGAGTACGGGGTATATTTGTTTGTTTTGTCTACGGAGCAGTCGTTTTACTTCTCTCTTCGACATCCGGCGAGCTGGCGGCCAAAACTGGCCAGTTCTGGGGCTGCTTTCGGCCCTCAACTCGCCAAAGCTTCTCTCCACGCACTCTCCCAGGTACCATCCACGCACCACACCTCGCGATCCACGAACCGATCGACCTCTTTGATGCTCCACCAGTCACCCTGCTTCACCCCTGGGCACTCTCTCAACATTGTACTTTCCGCAAGCTGGAAATGGTGTTGCATCCCTTTCTTCCTGCCTGGCCACGGTCACCGCGATCTGCCGTGGCCTGTACCCTCGTCCGCTCACCCAGCGGCTACATCATGATACACCCTGGCTCGTAGGCAAAATGTGAGCAAAAGGGGGGCAACAAGAATGGTGCCCTTTTGCTCATCAGTCAGGCCTCACCATGGTCTGCTGGTGGCCATTTCTTTTCTTCTCTCACTGGGATATTTTATTCTGTCCTCACTGTTTTCTTTGGATCATAGCAACCAGCTATACCCATTGCTTTTTGACCAGGCCTTTGATGCTCACTCTGTGATCAATCTCTCTCTTCCACACTGTCTACATCTTTCCCAAGGCAGCTGACAGGATGGCCATCTCTGGTGCAGAGGATGACCCTCTCGCTTCAATAAGTGGTGCGGATGTCAGTGTAGATGACGAATGCTTCTCAGATGATGGAGGCAATGAAACAGATTGTACCTCTGTTTGTGATGAAGGCAAAGATGGCCTACCTGATGTGCTGGAGGGTGACTGTTCCTGGCTCCTTAGAGACCTAGCTGATGCACTGAAGGATGATGGTGACTGGCTCTGCAATAAGGAGGAGCATCTGCCAGAGCACTACCTTGAAGAGGAAGACAACCTCAACCCATCCTGTCTTCAATAGTGACGGTACAGCCCAAGGACCCAGGAGAAAGTCAACTGGGCCAAAGAGCATTGGGAGCAGTAAGTACTTTTTGAACCATTGCTCTATCTAAGCTCTGTGAGCTAACTAATTGTCTGTCACTGCAGGTACTGCAAGTTTGTTGGTCAGGATCTTGTTCAAGCATATGAGGATCTCACCATACAGTCCCTGAAAGATTTCCTCAGCTGGGTGTGTGACTGGCATTGAGGAAAGAATGGAAGATGTTGAGGGATCAAGTGCCTCAGCTTTCTTGAGACATTCTGGAAATGGTACCAGCTTGTGGCAAGAGAATCAATGAGATAATCATCAAAATTCTCAGAATGTGAGCAGACTTGGCTTACCATCCAGTGATGGTACTGAACTGACAGTTTCCCAGTTATTGAAACTCATCACTGATAAAAAGCGCCCCAGCCATCAGAAATGAAAGAAGATAACTATATATGTTCAGAATCTTGTGAAGTTGTGCTGTGTACTTCTGGCAATAGCAGAGATATTGTTTCTGATCAGCTAACTGTATATTCAAGTAATTCTCTTCTGCCAACTTATCAGATATATGACGAATTGATCACAGGCCTTGCTGAAGCTTCACTATTAATATTTATAGTTTACTCTTGTTAGAGATCTAGAGAGTAAATATTCTTATCTTGTAATTAAGCTTACTGCTGAGTTCACAAAAAGATTTCTGAGAATGAAGGATGCATACAAGCTCTCTTGATTATCTTAATATAATAATTCTGACTGATTAATATACAGTAATATATTTCTGCTTTTAGAGATCATATATAATCTCATACTTATTCTGAGTCTACATGTCTTACTACTGAATGCTCTTCCATATTAATACATTCAGATCACCCAATACTGACTGTCCACAAAATCTCTACAGTCTAAATATTCTACAGTCTAAATAAACAGAGACTATTACTCTGAGATAATTTGACTAATAAATATTTCTTCCGTAAGACAATTTAACAGAGGGAGGTTGCTCAGCTTGTCTATGAGATGCTGTATTCCTATAACAAGCTGAAGTACTGAATGAAGAAAGGCTGTGAGATCACAGGCTTTTCACAAGTTGCCAAGCCATATGTGTTCTGTAATGGTGCAGCAAAAGCGGGCAATGCAATTATTTATTTTATTTTATTTTATATTATATTTTCCAGCTCTATTGACAGCATTATCCGTTCCTCACTTCTATTAATTTCACGGGCAAGCCTGTACCCTGTAAAAGCAGCCATCAAACAGCCCTAGAGAGTGACACAGTGCTGTTATCTGGAACAAAGTCAAATCAGCCCTCCTCAGTTTGCCGCGCTAGTTCTTCTCTCAATAATTCAAGCATGATATCTGCGTTCGATGTCGTGGCTGCAAACTGCATAAAAAAGTTCTGTGGTTCCGGGTCGAGCCGGCGCAATGTTTCGACCCAGGAGGCTAAAGGCGTACGATCTCGGTCAATCTGCCAGTTACCCGGGTCGATACCGTGGACATCCAAGAATTGACAGAGTTCTTGCCAACCCTCATCCAGAAGGTATGTAACGGTACCTTCTTCGCTTCCTTCAGGCCATTCAGCATCCTCGGAGCCTGAGTCATCTCCCCCTGGAGGTGCAAATCCGCCACGGAGGTGTTCGGCGTTATCGAGGCCAATTGCATTTCGCACAGCATCGAAGAACCATGAAGAGGCAGATTGTCCTTCAGGTAACCCATTCGGCGGTAATGGATCGGACGCTGAAATATGCCTGGTTGTGAAGGTCCTTGGCAGGTGTGTTGTGACCGCTGGGATATCAGAGAGAATGATATGACGGGCGACGTTCAACGATATTTCTGGAGCCTTTGCTGCGGGTTCCGGAGCGCTAATGTTGCCGGCTACTTCCACTAGAAGAGATATTGCTTCTGGCGTGTTCCATATATCCTTGGCACGGTTGATGTACAGCTCGGTTAACAACCTAAAAGCATCGTCGGGAGCTTGCGCTCCCCAGATGGACTTCGGTACGGAGTTAACATTTAGTTCCTGAACAAGCCGACAAAACACCCATGGGTATCGGGACATGGCGAAACGGAGTTGCGCTCTCGACTCCTTTGCATTTCCCTTTTGGAAATGCGCCAGAGCTAGGGAGCACTGAATATTTGGGAATAATTCCCAGCGACCTTTGAACGTAGGATGCGAGCAGAGTTGGATGAAGTGTTCATGCTCTCTGGCTTTTATTGCAATCTGATCAATCGTCAAGCTCACACAATACGGATCTTCGTCATCCAGGCTCAGAAGAAGCTTTGCCCACTCGTACGCAGTTTTCCATGTGCCCTTCATCCCTAGGTTTATGATATACCTCCACCCAGCAAGCCAAAGCTCGCGGTTCTCTTTCAGATTAAAGTCCAGCCTTGCCTTCCCTTCTTTTATGCAAGAGGCGAAGGACGACTGGACGGACCGGCCAATATTAAACAATGCCCTTTCTAACAGGTCGCCGGAGACAGCATGATCGCCTTGGTGTTTGGCGATCTCTGATACTTGTAGCAAGGTAGATATGTGGTATGCTTCAAAGGCGTTAGTATTAAGCCCGCACGTAGGCCCAGAAAGTATAAGAAACTCACGATTAAATTGCAGGTGCTCTATCATTCTCTCCGCTTGCATTGACTGCACACACATGTCAAATTGACTTTGAGCATCAACGTATGCTGCGTTATGAACAAACTTATATTCAGTCACTCCAGAAGGCCGTTTTTCTACAACCTCCATCCCAAGACCACCACTGTTTGCTCGGGGCCATTCGTCTTTACCTTGCATGAGCACATTTTTCCGAAGAGTCGTTCCGGAGAGATCCTGCCCTCGACTCGCGGGGCTGAACCTCCCAGTTAACGCTCTGCCCAAGTCAAGCGCCTGCCGATTTCTCTCCCGCCTGCGAGCTGGAAACTGTTGTCCACCATTTGAATGTCTACTTTCTACAGCAGCATTGCCAAACAGTCTCTTCATTTCATTCATCGCATTCAGCCTTTTGGAATCAACCGCCAGCAGCGCACAAAGCATGTTTTCGGTTTCATCGTTCGCAATTCGTGATTGTCTGTCGGCAAGATTATCCGGTCCTTCTCCAGCATTCTTCGTAGAGAGTTCTTGCAAGGCTCGATCGATATCGTCGAGATCTTCATGCTTGGGTGTAGCTGAGCCGGAGGGTCTAACGTCCTTCGTGACTGTGCCTTTTTTTCCCTTTTGCTTTTTCTGCTTCTTCTTCTTGCTTCCGCCAGTCTTTGGCGTAGGTGCCGGCTCTGGTTTAGCCTCTAAAGGCGCCTCCTCAATGTCTGATTGCTGCTCATCCGCTCCTTCGGTTTCCAAGAGGTCAAAGGCGTTGAATTTCGAGGTGGATGGCTTCAGGTCCTGTGAATCATCGTCAGATGCATTGTCTTGCTCAGCTTTCTGCTGTTCAAGTTCGCGCTGCTTCTGTAGTCTCTTGAAAGCCCTGAAAGACATGTCTCGTGGTTCAGGGAAAGAGGGTAAAACGAGACAGACAAGCTATGAATTGCGAGACAAATGGGATGGCTTTGGCCGAGAGATAAGCCTTATCGCAGGCGGCTACAGATCACGTGGGAGGCGGATAGAGTTTTAGGCTTAGCGTTGCCTGCCGCCGTTGTCACCGCAAAAGACCCCGGATAGCCTCAGTAAGGGATCTTCCTACACTGAGCAAAAGGCCCTTGCATTGTCTGCTTTTCTCAGTTTGGGTTGATATCCGCCACCTCGATGCGTCGAGCGGCAATCCAGGCCTTCCGTACAGCCCGGTTCCATCCTGTGCGGAGGGTTGCTGGCCCTCCCCCAGCTCCGCTCTTCTCGAGCAATCATGCACTGACGTCTCGAGTCGCATTTTCCTCCCGGTCCACCGCTACCTTCATACCGGCGGTACTACAGTCATCAATGTTTTTCCGTAACTTTTCTTTAGCTTTCATTTCGACACTCGTGGCATCTGGCGCCTGGTATGCATACAAGGGCAATTCGAATCAACAGGAGCTTGCACCTACTGCAGCTTTAAATGCGACTCCTTCACTCTTCCAGCAAAATACAAACGGTGTCTATTCAGGCACGGCAGGCCATCATACTTCGGCAGTAGCAGGCGACAATCCGACATTTCAGTCGGACAGTTCACTCGTTGTGGAGGACCAGCAATATACGGCCACCTCGGTCAGCGAACAACCCGTCTCGAAACAAACGAGCGAGACCGGCAATAGAGTGGTAGGAATGTTAACTCCGGAACAAGCAACCGAGAAGCTTCGCAGAAACGAAGAATCATACCTGGTTGGCCGCGGAAAGGGTGTCGTTCGGTATGATGTCGTTCAACTTCCTAGCAATGACCCGATTGAAGATGATCATGCCGAAAAGATCGTTGTCTCTTCTACAGCGGATGGATCATCGAGTGATTGGATGTTTTGGGGTGTCTTCGATGGCCATTCGTACGTGCTAATACATTGAGACTGGCCGAGAGTGGGACTAGTTGAGCTAACAAATTGTAGCGGCTGGACTACCTCTGCAAAGCTTAGGCAAGCTTTGATCTCTTTTGTGACACGTGAACTAAATTCCACCTACAAAGCTGCCTCCTCCAAGTCAGGTTTCCCGTATCCTTCTCCCGAAGCCATCGATGCTGCTATAAAAAGGGGTTTCGTCAATCTCGACAATGAAATTGTGCACAAGAGCGTGGATAGAGTCTTAAAGGCCAATTCAAAAAGAGTTGCTGCAGAACTTCTAGCGCCTGCACTCTCCGGTTCATGTGCTCTCCTAGCCTTCTATGATAGCAGCTCCAAATTGCTGCATGTTGCTTGTACTGGAGATTCCAGAGCAGTTTTAGGTCGCAGAACGCCAAACGGGAAATGGACTGCTACTCCCCTCTCCGAAGACCAGACGGGATCTACGGTGTCTGAGGCTCAGCGACTACGTCGAGAGCACCCTGGAGAAGATAATGTTGTGCGCAATGGACGCGTGTTGGGCAACCTCGAGCCTACTCGTGCTTTTGGCGACGCATTCTACAAATGGAAGCGAGACACTCAAGACAAGATCAAGCGTCACTTTTTCGGACGTACACCACATCAATATTTGAAGACACCACCCTACGTTACGGCGGAACCTGTCGTAACGTCAACTAAGATTGAGCCTCAGAAAGGAGATTTCCTCGTATTGGCATCGGATGGGCTATGGGAAATGCTTAGCAACGAAGAAGTCATTGGGCTTGTCGGTCAATGGATCGAACAGCAGCGTGCAAGCGCACAAGGTAAAGATGGTGTTAAAAGCTGGCTTCAGAGTTGGTGGAGTTCAGTGGACCAGTTGCCAATTGAAAAGCCTTCGCGTGACGATGCAACTGGACAGCGTGCACCATTCCGTCAAATGCAATATAACATCCCTCAAAATGAAAACCGCTTTGTAGTTGAGGACAAGAACGCGGCGACCCATTTGGTTAGAAATGCCCTTGGAGGAAAGGATAAGGACACGGTGTGCGCACTGCTCACCCTTCCCAGTCCTTATTCGAGAAGATATCGGTATGCCCTTCGAGTCCTAATATCAGGAAATGCAAATTTTGCCTAACGATTTACCAGTGACGACCTTACTGTTGAAGTAATTTTCTTCGGCGAGAGTGAAGATACCGGTGCTGTGACGATCAATACAGAAGCCAGCTCCTCCACCCACGAAATACCTGCTAAACTTTGACGGGATTCGATTACGTGACTTTTCTTTTGCATGAAGTGATTTCTCTTGCAGTCACTACTCACTTTTCAATGCGGGCCAAAGTCCCGACGCGACGTAATTGATTTCTATTTTTCTCCTCTCAATGGCTTTACTTAGCCCTTCCGTGACGCCCAAATACCCGCGTCCGTGCCTTTTAAAGCGTGGTTTTGGGGGCTTTTTCTTGAATGTGGTTGTGTCTTTCTCTTATACGTAGCATAGAAGAATACCCAAGGGAAAATGTTGGCATCATTCATCTCATTTTTTCCGAAATTTGGGGTTTAAGAACGTGGTCTCATGGCCAAGGATTTGCAGGGTGATCGTCAGAGGCTTTGGAGAGCTGCTAATTGTAATCTGGAATTCTCTAGAGTAGTTTATACCCCTTTCCAAAGATATGTTATGTCTGCATCATTATTTACACACAACGTATCCGAACTCAGCTCTTTTTCAATGAGCTAGTCCATATATTCATTTGCGGCGGCCCAAGAAGGTAAAAGCTTTTCTGCAATGAACCGTAAACTGCTCCGGTTTTATGCGAATCGCATGATCGGTGCGGCGACCAAATGTTGGTGATCAGCATATACATTTCTCATTGCCGTTTGGATTCCTACAGGAGCAATTGCCGATGAGGAGCTCTCCTTGGATCATGTTATTGGACTATCAGCCATAAGTCGACTCCACCCTATGGCTTAGACCCCCTCAGGAAGGGAAAATCGAAGGATTCTTTTCTCCATGGCACTGATAACCCGCAGGGCTGGCCATTTGTCGTCTTAGAGGGCTCCAAGGAATTATGATCCGATTGGTCATTTCTCCAGATATGGACCAAAACAAAACGATAATCAGCGGCCTGTAAAAGTCTTGATTTTCGTCGGTTTTTCACCCAGGTTTTCAAATCCGGAAAGTTGAGTTTTTACTTCCCCTCCGATTACGACTGCAACGGCTTTCTCCTTGCATGGAGCCGGTATTGACTTTGTACTGATTATTTTCGGTAGAGCTTTCGTCTGTGCCGTCGCAAAGAGGGTACTAGAGATCCAGTATATCAACATTCCGGCAGGGACTTCTGACGCGATCATAACCGGACATAGGAACAGAGCTGAAGCTTGGAAAGCTCGCTTCAAAACTCTCATTGTATGAGCTGCTATTCTCTCTTTCCGAGTGGGCAACTTAGGAATGTCTTCACGCTTTTTTATCTTCCATCCCCATGTCACGTTGGTAAACACGGCCGCAGATAGAATTACCGGAAGCGCACAATAAGGATCAGCGGCAAGAAGATCAGGGAACCACAATGCGCCTTCAGTATATAGAGATGGAACCATGGGAACATTGGGCGCCTCCGGATGTTTCTCTAACCATCCCTGAACGATGCTCAGTAGGCCACCGGTCATTCCAACCATTCTACGCATACTCTCCATCATTGTTAACCACACCGGGAGCTGAAATAAAGGGGCAAATCGAGTCCACGGTCGTATCTTCCACCTCTTGTAGAGCTCCTTAGTCTTTTTCCGAAGTAGCAGTTGGGACTGAATTTCAGCCGCATTGGGGCTGATATAGGCCCTGTTCACAGCAGCTTTTGTAAGGACGGCACCCTGGAAGTAGCGACCCCATCCAACCACCAATGGGTTTAACTTCTTCATTTTGCTGGAATGTGATAACGACCAGATCTGGAAAGGCATTGCGATGGTAAGTCGGACAAGGACGGCTGTGAGAGGAATTGACACTGCCCAGGGAAGGCCAGTCACAGAGTGAACGCTTTCCAACGCATTATGTGCCAAAACGACCGTTTCGTTTATGATTTGATTCGGCCGGGAAGAATGAAAGTGACGGACGCGGTCTCTGTATGATCTGCATCGGTATGCGCCAGAAAAGGACGGCGTGGGCGCACAGCGGAAAAGTGATCTCATCGCAAAGAAATCCCCAGGAAAGAGAATATACGTGAGTAGTTTCAGCGAGTGGACGAAAAGAGAGTCAATTGGCTCCGACTTTCTCCTCGATATATCGTTTCCTCGCTTTTCTTGGGATGGAACTGATTATGCAAACATAGCAAACAAGGTGCTTCTTCACGTGACAAGAGATAAGATCGAGATAAGCTCCTGGGCTTTTGTCAGTGAGCCGCCCAACGGGTTCTCCCTTTTGTCTTTTATCACACGAACCTTCTACCCGGCCTGGTCGAAGGTGAAGCTGGTGCTGAGTATGAATTCATAAACTGAGTGTTCCATGTTTGTCCATCGCTCGAAATGCTCGCTTTCATTTCCTCCACGATCGCCACTCTCGTTTCACTCCTTGCTCTCGCCGTCATCTTTCCGACTGTAGCCGGCTATCCCATACGTCTTGTGCTACGAGGACTCGGCTGCCGTATCAAGAAGAGAACAGAGGCAAAGCGGAAACTGATACGTGCTAGAGTTCGAGTTGAAGAAGAGGATTATCAATCGCAAAGAAATAGGCAGTCGAAAGCTGAAGATGCAGATTGGGAAAAAGTTGAGAGCTACGGGTCCCAAACCGCGACTGATGGGAAGGTCAAGGACTCAGCCTGGGACGGAGTTGTAGGGTTTTTTCACCCATTTTGGTAAGAAGGTGATATGTTATCCTTGGGATGATGGCATAGTTACTGAACGTGAGTCTAGCAACGCGGGTGGCGGTGGAGAACGAGTCCTCTGGGCCGCAGTCAGAGCAACGCAGAAAAGGTGGCCCAAAGCTATTTGCGTCATATATACCGGTGATCAGGATGTAGATAAGGCCACTATGCTTAAAAATATTGAAGTACGTTACGAAAGACGTCCATTTCATTTTGAAATTCGCTAACACATCAGCCCAAAGAGACGTTTCAATATCCAACTCCACCCTCCTACGGTGGTATTTTGCTACCTATCGACCCGGAAATATGTTCTGAGCAACACTTATCCTCATTTTACCCTTCTTGGACAATCGCTGGGGTCCTTGGTTCTCGCATACGATGCGTTCACGAATTTGGTACCAGACGTCTTCGTTGATACAATGGGTTACGCGTTCGCGCTAGCACTCTCCAACTTCCTATTTCCGTCTGTCCCCACGGGAGCCTATGTCCACTATCCAACGATATCAACGGACATGCTGGAGTCTCTTGATGATAAGACCGGCCAAAGAGGTCTAAATGCTGGTGCCGGAACAGGTTGGAAAGGCATGGTCAAAAGGAAGTACTGGCATGCTTTCGCGAAACTGTACGGATGGGTTGGAGGTACGATTGACGTTGTCATGTGCAACTCTTCCTGGACATCTGGGCATATAAAAGCTCTGTGGCTCCCATCAAGGAAGAATAGAAAGCAGTACCAGGAACCCACAGTTATCTTTCCTCCAGTGGCAGTATCGGATCTCGAGGGGATAAAAATTGACCTAGCAAGCGAACGCGAATCTCGAGAGCCCTCGATTCTCTACATCGCCCAATTCCGTCCGGAGAAAAATCACGCCCTTATACTACGGTCATATGCCCGTTTCTTAAAACAACTCAGGATAAAACATTCTCATTCGGATACCTCAACCGATCTGCCTTCCCCTTGCATCTCTAAGCCAGAACCAAAGCTCATCCTCATCGGCTCCGTCCGCCAATCCAGTCCGGACGAAACTCATATCTACAACCTGCGCCTCCTCGCCCACGAGCTCAAAATCCGCGACAACACTACCTTTATCTGTGATGCTACCTGGCCTACCGTCCTCGAGCATCTGCGCCACGCCTCCATCGGCACAAACGCAATGTGGAATGAGCATTTTGGTATTGGTGTCGTCGAGTACCAGGCGGCTGGCTTAATCAGCGTCGTGCACGATTCGGGTGGACCGAAGATGGATATCGTGATCGATTTGGAGGAGGGTGCGACTGGATTCAGGGCTACAACGGAAGTCGAGTATGCAGCTGCGTTCGAAGCAGCACTAGCACTGCCGGATGAAGAGAAGGTTGCGATGAGGATGCGGGCAAGGAAGTCGGCACAGAGGTTCACAGAGGAGGAATTCGAGAAGAAATGGCTGGGAGATATGGAGAAGTTGGTGGACTTGCGCGTCCAGAGAGCCGGGAGATAGCAAGCGGCTGTCGGCACCTTTTTTGTTCGAGGAGTTTTGGGGAACGCATCGTCTTTTTTTGTTTCTTCCTATATGGCCATTATTACGGAGTACGAAATGTGAAGATGTGAATTTGTACTGCCATGTAACTTGTATCTGTATATATATGCTCTCGATACCCTTTGCCTTCTCCCTTTTTCTTGCTATATGCTATCTTATATCCATATATATTTCTTTCATGTTACCTTCAGAGAAAACAAGGACATCATTTCATCATCTGCTGTACGGAGAATATTCGCCTGTACACCCCCCATCCAGGTCCAAAGTTCGCCATTTGCAAGATTCGGGATCGAAATCCACGAGACCAACATATCTCCCACCCAAAGAAAATGAAAAAGCTGAATAGCATTAGAAAAAGTCATCGTGGCAGCACCAGTCCCTCCTCGGCTTTCTGTTCTTTTGTTCTCTTCGTTTCTGCACTACCCTGCGCTGTCTTAAACAATTTGGTGTCAGCAGCAAACTGAAACTTGCATAAACTCGGTGATCCCTAATTTCATTCAGAGTAATTCAGAGCCCATGGGTATTTTGCTATCAGCAATAAGCAGATATGAGAGAGCCCCACAGAGAGAGAGAGAGAGAAGGAGGGGGGGGAACGCGGAAGATGGCAAAGTCAAGAAATATTAAGCGTTAGAAGCATCAATTATCAACACAAAACAGTTAAATAAACGCAGAAAGAAAAGTACAAAGTGGTACAAGATCGTGGGCTTGAAAGCAGAAAAAGCATCCGAGGTTTCGGTATATATATATCAGCAAGAAGCCACCAAAAATAATGAAACCTGACTGAGACACATGTAGAATGATCCTGGGCCAGGCCAGACCATACCATGCCATTTTTTAAGTGAACAGCGGAAACAACTGTCCCTCACATCGAGAACAAAAACCGCATAGATTGGATCGTCAAGAGGTACGGTGGGAAATGCATGTCGATAAAGCAAAATGGTTGGTAGGCGAAGATTGAAAAGAAAAAGAGAAAAACAGAAAAAAGAAAAAAGAGAAAGAGAAAAAGAAAGAAAAGGCGAAAGGTGTGAAGGAACCGACGAGACGCGAGATGGAAGGGAAAAGAGGTAAAGAAGAGGTTAGAGAGGGTTAAGAGTTAAAAAAGGGTGTTGGCAAATGCAAAGAAGAGAAGGTGTCAGTACGGCGGCCTATTTAACTCCATCGTAGTCACTGCTCCATCCTCCGGCATGGGGATGCCAGCCTCCGCCGCTCGAACTAACACCCAGCAGCTGATCCTGTGATGAGGCGGCACGGCCCGGCCCAGGGCCACTCACATACCCGCTACTCAATCCCGTGTCGTCATCATCACCAAATCCAAACTCGCCACCAGAACTGGCATCGAAGCTGCTGCGTCCACCACCCCGAAGGTCACCGTTATCGTCAGGTTGGGTGGCTATTTGGTCCCATTGCAATGTCTGGAGGGCAGGATATTGAGCCAGGAGTGCAGCAGGAAGAGTAAATGCCGGATGCTGGCCGTCCATGCCTTGTACAGTCATTGTTTGTGGAACAGGTTGCAAATGCCCCGTAACTCGCTGCTGCTGCTGCTGCGGCTCTTGCTGCTGTTGATCTTGTTGACTCATGAACGTGCGCTCTCGCTCGGCAGCTTCTTCATCTAAAAGAGGTTTGATGCAGACTCTACCGGCTTCAGACCTGAAATGCCTTCCCAAGGCGTCAGCCCTAGCAAATCGGCGCCCACAGCCCCACTGTCCACCTCGGGTTAGGTCTCCACGGCAAACAAACTTCTTCTCCCCGGAGTGTAGTCCTTCGTGCCGCTTTCTGTCATGCTGGCGAGCAAAGGCTTTACCACACACAGTACACACGAATGGTCGTTCATCAGTATGTGTTCGGAGATGAGAGCGTAGGTTATAAGCTCGCGTGAATCGTTTTGGGCAAAGATTACACTGGAAAGTAGCCGGGTGCTTTTGTACCCGCTTAGAATCACCTGCGTTTGAACCTGGTCGCTGAGGATCCGCGAGATCAAGTATATAGTTGCGGCTATCTATTGATGAAGTAGATTGTCTTCGATTCTTCGCTGCCGGTGAAACTTCACGAGATGACGGAGTGCTGAGAGTTCCAGTGCTACGAGGGAACGGAGACAGCGAACGGGGGTCATGTGGCATGCTAGGAAAAGGTGCAGTGAGTGCAGAAGCAGATAAAGAGCGTGACATGGACTGCGCGAACGGGTCGGATTTACTTCTACCTCGCCCTATTCAACGTACAATTAGTGACGATAGATCATCGTTGCAAGGCGATTAACGGTGGCTTACGACTAATGGGTGGGCTCAGAGTATCTTTGCCTCCTTCTCCCTTAGTAGACGTCTCAAAGGTCGATGTCCTTGATGGCGGCGCAAACTCCACGCTGATCACGGGTGGTGTCATCTGGGCAGCCTGTCCCATTTCACCTGGGCTATTTTGCGATTGGAAGGGCGGTGGACCAGATGTCTCCGTCTTCATAGCATATGCTTCCGAGGGTCCTGAACTGAATTGACTGGTCAAAGTCTGAGTAGTGAGAAATGTGGGGTCAGGTCCGAGGTCCCCGCCAGGTTGTTGTGGCATGAGTCGGGGGGACATATTATAAGGACTGTGGGCGGGACTGAAGGCCTGGTCTTGATCTGAGATGGTAAAGGATCCGATGCCCAGGGCGTTTTCATATATTGCCGGGTCGGGTTGAGCCATTAAAAGTGGAGAGTGGTTATTCTCCGAAATATCAAAGGCATTCTCTTGTGGCAGGTATGGGGAATGGGCAACAGAAGAAACGTCAGAGTGTTCCGACGGAGCCCTCCTGTGACCTTGGAAAGATGGGTTTCCGAGCATTCCTTGCCAATCAGAGTGCCCATGTCCTGTGATGTATGCCGCACTCGAGGGATCTAGAGAGGTGTGGCGTGAATGCTGTGGCGTATAGTAGGTTCCGGGTGTTGACACCGGCGATGTAGGGCGCGGTGACGGGTGCGATTCTGGAGGCGCTAGATGGGGCGGGGTGGGATTGTGAGGAGAGGACATCCTGCTGAGGTCGGCTGGGTTGATGGACTGGTTAAGGTGAGGTGACGACTGGGACACCTGGGGATCAAGAAGGAGCGAAGAGCCAAACTCAGAAGCCTGGTTGTTGTTCGAATACATGCCAAAATCCTCGAAGCCAAGCTGATCTGATGGGAGGAGATTGGTGACGTTGTTATTTCCCGAGTGTGCCTTCAGGCTCGAGGAGTGCTCAAGCTGCTGGATGAAGCTCGCCTCGAAGGATTGGGAGTACGATTGCGGCTGGTTGAACAAAGGGTCAGAGGGGATATTCGCGCGAAGGAGATTGTCATCCAGCGTGGTAGAATTATGTATGAACGAGTTGTTGATCGCGTAGGCATCGGCGGCGCCACTCGTCGTAGGATTCGAGCCAGGGAAGCCAGACGGCGAAGGGGAGACGTTGGAGAGCGCAGGGTCTAAGGCGAGGGTCGCAGCTCGATCTTGATACGTCTGGGCCGCTGGGTTCATGGGATCGGAGGGATTTATGTGCTGGTTTTCGTCTCCGGCGACCGAGGGGGACCTGCCCCGGCCCTGGTGCGGGACGTCCATCGTCACGCGAAGGAAAGCCAACGAAGGATTCCAGAAATAGATCGAACAAGGGTCGAAGCTGTCAACCCGCCCAGATGGGTCCCACACTAGGGCAAGACGATCTGGGTCGATTTCAGGAGAGCCAGACGCAGTTGGAGGCGGGAGTGCAACCCAGTTGCGGCAGTGTGTGGCAGTGACCTGGAGCTCCTCTAATTTGCTTGTGCCTGACAGATCTATCGTGGCGCAAGCAGGACGGAAGAAGCGTCAGTGCCTTGCCAACAGGTGGGTGCAGGAAACGTGCAGAAGACAGCTGGAGAGAGCAGTGGACGTCCGCTGATGATGACGCTGATGATGATGGTGATGCGCAGGAGAGATGGTGGACTGGTCAGGGGGTCGGTCGCTGTTCTGCAGGCGATTTAAAACACCCCGCCTATGCCCGAAGCGTTTAGCTAGACTGAACCGAACCGCATACTATGGAGGGAGGCAAAACGCGAGAGATAGCGGACTAGAGCATATAATAGCGCGCTGGTGGTTAAATCGTTCGATGCACGCAGTGAGAGGCGAGTGCAGCGAGGAGAAGGGGGGAGAGAGAGAGGATGGCAGCGATACCCGTGAGTAGAGTCCGTTGGTGGTTGGGCTTGGTGGCCCATTGATTCACCACCGCCAAACTTCACCAGAACTAGCTGGACTTGGCGCCTTCAGCACCAGCAGCGCATAGGTTGGGGGCCAAGCAGCCCTGTCGCGAGCTACGTACGTCTTCAAATACATGGGAAAATGGTTATTGATCTAGCCTTGCGCATGGGCGGTTGCCAGCGTTCCGGTTTGATTGACTGCCGATGATCAATCCCATTCTGCCTGTTATGACATTTGCTAACTAGACGTCGCTCTCGCACCTTTCATCCCCAACCTGCGGCCACGGACGAGAATCCTTCTCTGCAGACTAAGAGCTAGCTTCTACATATGTAATGCGATTTACGCTCCAATTCATCATATGGCCCACCCTTTTAGGGCTGGATTGCCACCGAGACCCGTTGGCAACCAAGCACATAAATTCAACGTACTCTCACACAGCTGCTATCACAGTGCATTCAGCAAGGTCCTGCTTGAAATCGTGAGTCGACACGCTTGGCTGGGCCGTGCCGAATCTGGGCTCTGGGCGCTGTTACCTACCATTGGATGCGGTGTTACGACGTCGATTACATCTTTGACACGGTGATGGAGCCCGTTCCAGACTATTCTACCCGCTCGACGCGATCTGGCTACATATGTAATCGACAATAATGAACAACCCCGTAGTAGACTAAGTACCAACAAAGTTCCATCAAATATGAACTCAACAGGCACTGCGAATCCTAAGAGTCTGTACAAATTGATGCAGCTACTGTTGTTCCTTGGACCTTGCCGGCCCGAGGAAGGATTTAGCAATGAGACATATATAATTTATACAATATATACCCTAGCGGGAGGCCCCATACCCAGAGGAAACGGAGGGGTCCTCAGAGCTCGTGGTGATGCATGGAGATTTGATACGACCTACGGAGTACGCCGTATAGCGATGCGATACTGACTCCACGACCGTCGTAAACAAAAGATTCTGGATCTTGAGTGGAATCCGACGATACCAGTCTTACCGCTACAATCAAGCATGAGCTGATTCCCTCATGGCCGGCTTCCTCGAAAATATCGAGCGTACGACCAGCAACCAAGTTGGTTAACGCCAACCTTAAAACGAACCTCGCCGTCAAGCATCGGGTGCTGAAGCGGAGGACAGGGTGCCACATTACAAGAATATCACAAGAAACCCGCAAAAAGGGTCCCGGTGGGCATGGACGTCAGTGCCAGTCCCTTTTCCGACGACTCTCCAAGATTCCTTTCCACCGTCGAGCAATCAGGGCCCAGCACGGAGCGAGAGTGTTGGGAGCCCTAGGCGATGGATGAAACAGCTAAAAATAGCAGCCTTGGTTAACCGCCCAGGCGCAAAAACAACCATAAAAGAACCCAAAATAATATGTTAAAAGCAAAAAGGTGCCTTACGGGGAGTCCAAGCTGACAGTCCTCACCTCAGCCCATCACCGTCCGCAATAGGGATGGAAAGACGGTCCCCCGTGCATGAATAGGTGGGCTGTGTTTCTGCAGGACGAGTTATTCTCCGCCCGACCTTATCGCCCGCAGGAGTTGCAATCAGGATACAGATCAACTCTCAAGTCCTGAGCTCATCACACCATATGACTAAGCAAAGTTCATCCGACTAACTAGTTAACTAACTAACTAGTTAGTTAACTACCCTGTAGATATGGAGTATAGAGGGGATTATTAGGGAATGGCTAGGGAGTATGGAAATGAATTTTTTTAGGGATCAGTTAGTGACTGGGAAATAAATTTTTAAGCAGTATTCACTCTGGGGAAGGGTGTTGTGTGTCCTATTATTGGTCTGCTGCCATGCTCTCTGAGCTGAGTGAAGGCCCTGGCTGATGTGTATGGGATGTCCAATAGGAATATAGATGGCCTAGTTCGCAGGAAGGCTGTGACACGGAAGGAGGAATAACATGAGAGATGTGGTTCGGGTTTGGACCTTTGGAATGTACTATTGGGCTGAGATTTAATACTTTGTACAATTTCACACTCCCACAATTGATTTACCTGAAATGCTCTCAAAAAATATATAGACGACTAGATGCAAAACAACGAAGAGGTATCCAACTTCCAAAATGCCAGACGTCGAACGCAAAACGAAAAAAATGAAAGGCAATTCAAAGAAGTTTATGCCCAATGATGATGCTCCAAGTCCGATCACAGAAGATAATATAACCCGCCCCAAACCTTCTTCCGTCTTCCAACTAAAAAGAAAGGGAAACTGGACCAAAATAGGACATCCGAATAGAAGCGGGGAATAAACAGGGCCAAAGAGAAGTTGAACCACCCGGATCCACTTTTTCTTATTGGCTTGATCGAGAAATTAAGGCGATAAAATACGTATGTAATATGTCTAGAAGGAAAGAAAAAGTGGGAAAATCCACACGAGGACACATCGCCCAGCTTTTTTTTCAGTATTTCGAAACAGCTTTGGCGACTTTAACCGGAGTGGGTATGTAGACTGGGGCCGAGCAGGGAGGTAAGGGTCGATGATGGTAGATGAGAGGTCGGGAGATGACGAGAAACGGCCATCTGCAAGGTGAAAAATGTATACACGGCAGCGAAATTATGAATAGCAAAAACGCTGTGAATCGGCCACATAGAAAGCAAAAGGAGTGAGTGGATCATTATGTCATGCAGTCATCTGTCGATCTCTCGACAGTGGATTTGGACCTTTTCCTGCCGAAGGTGATTCCTTCGTCGCTGCTGTCTCCGTCGCCTTCATCGTCGCAATCGTACTTCAGTTCATCTTCATGAGGACGTTCATACGAGCGCTTTGAAGTCGTGACCGTCTCTGCAGTGCGAAGAAGAGGAGGTACTTTGTCAGGATCCCTTTCGTATTCTCCACCGTACGCGTGAAACCCATCATTTGAAATAGACGATGCCCCGGAGACAACAGACGGTATGCTGGGATGGGACGCGCAATAAGACATCCCACTTGTCAAATCATCTGCCGATGACGAAGAAACGGTGATAGCAGAAGGAGGCGAGGTCATTGGTCGCAGAGGCTTATCTGTGCCCGCTTGCTCTCGTTCCCCTTGGTCGGAATCAGTCTCTTTCGGAAAAAATATTTGACCACGATTCTTATTCTGCGAGTCGAGAGCCACTCCCGTGTTCACATGAAGAGCAGTGTTCCCTTGGGCACGATGCCGTTGAAGCGAATCTGAAGTCAGTCGAAAAGGCTCAACTGGAGCTCCTTGGATACACTGGTGTGATACGCTTCGTCTATGTCGAGCGGGTGGCCGAACGGTAGCGCTCCAATCTTCGATGATGTCGGCGTGGGCCAATGTAGAGTCTCGGATATCGGGGGATTCCACATGGCCAGTTGCAGAAGCAGTAGTGACAGCTACACTTGGAGAGCCATGGCCATCACCATCAAATGAAGAGGTGTCCGAAAAGGGCGACTTGTCTCGGCGCCTTTCACTAAGATGCAGACTCCTAACCAGCTTTCGACCCGCTCCACCAAATATCCCGCTTATATTCGCCGATGCGCTTGGTTCAGAAATGAACGAAGAGGACATATCATGTTGGGCGGGCATTGGCTCAGGTTTTGTGGGCCTAATCGTTTTTATGGACGCGGCATTGGAGAAGGTGGATGTGCTGCGTTCTGGTAGGTCCGGCCGCGAGTCTCGATCTGGAGAGCGACGGTCGGAAGATCTAGCATGATCTTGGCTAAAGTATCCATCACCGCTTTCACGAACAGGGCTGGCGACTACACTCTGAGACAGAGGATGGTCGCTCTCTCTGCTAAGTTTCGGCGTCCGCGATGTAACTTCATCGCCTTTCAGGCTCGATCGCCGCAATTCTCGTATTATATCTTTGCCAATTGTCAAACTCGAAGATGAAGCGGACTGAACATCGGGAGAAGTCACGGAACTCGGAGCCCTTCTTCTACTTTCCCTCGAACGACCAAAGATATTGCCTCCCCAGCGTGCGACATTTGACCTTACTCGTTCTATAAACGGTAGCTTCGTGACGGCTCGTGTCACTTCCTCGTTAGAAACTTCAATCCTCTTGCCCTTGCTCTGATACCCAGGGTCGGTCTGCTCCACCCAGACTCTCGGATCTTGTACATCTTGAAGTACCCAAGGGTGATGCTTGATCTCTTTCAATGTGATACGTTTCGTAGGATCTTTCTCAAGAAGGCGTCTGAGAAGGTCTCGGAGTTCACCATCTATCGGTTCATAGGTAAGCTCGTCTTCAGTCCGCTTATTACTGTTCATAACCGTAGGCATCTCGGTTGAACAGATTTCGGCTTCGACGGGTTTCAGACGTTGCTTTGGGATGAAAACATCGTTCTTCACAATGTTGTGAAAGAGGCCAAACTCGTCATCAGCAAGAAAGGGGAGCCTTCCAAAAACCATTCCGTACAGAGTAACACCCAACGACCAAACATCTATTGCGCCTGTGATCCTAGGCACCTTGCCGATTGTATCCTCAAATTCGGTACCTGTATAGCAAAGCTCGGGTGCGTAGAAAGCGGGGGTTCCAACAGTCTTTGACAGTTCACGGGCATCATCCAGCTCAGTGGCATCGGTTTCTGCGACTTGTTCTTCATCGTCGTCCCTGATGGGCCGGCCAAGATAGGAGACGCCAAAGTCCGATATCTTTACAACATGGGTTGATGTCACCAGAAGGTTGGCTGGCTTGATATCTCGATGTATGATTCCTTGATAATGGAGATATTCCAAACCCAAAACTGCATCTCGAAAAGCGGAACGTGCTTCGGAAATGGTAAGACAAGGAACATAGGCCATGTCATCATCGTCGGATAACCAATCTGATTCCGAGGACTGATAAGCTAAAATACTCGATGTTGTGCTAAACCTCCTTTCCAAAGAAGGATCTGATGCGTAGGCCCCGTACATGCTACCCTCAACGGCGGCTAAAGCAGACTCGCGAATACGTCTCTCGAGTTCGCTTGTAGACGAGAGTGACTGGCTAGGAGAGAGTGATGTACTTGGGCGTTCCTGGGCAGTGGAAGTGGCCGTAAGGCAAGGCATCGAGTATTCGGGTCCCAGTTCATCATCAGATTCGCCTCCGTGTTCCAGGCTCCACGCGGGAATTCCGGCCATTTTTGTCGATAGTGACCGTTTCTTCTTGCGTATCGCTTCCCTCCGCTGCCGGCGCATTTGCATTGTCTTCACATACTGTTGGCTCTCTTCAAGGAAAGAGGGAGATTCCGCTAGGCCTTGCTTCTCTCGGTGTAGCCGACGTTTATCAACATTTACGATTTCTCTGAGCCCCTTTTTTCGCCAGACGATCTCGCCGTTTTCAACATATTCGAGCACGATGTAGACCTTTTGCCGGTTTGGATCATCGATGACCTCTAGAAGGCTTACAACGTTCGGGTGACGGGCCTTCTTGAGAATGGCGACTTCTTTCTTCACCTTGTCCTCCGGATTTCCGAGTTTCCCCAAGCGGCGACGTTTTGAATAACGCTGAACGATCTTAATTGCGACCCTCTGTCCGGTTTTCATGTGACGACCGAGTTTGACTTTGCCATGCTCGCCTCTGCCTAGCTCATCAAGGATCTCGTACTCGTTGATCAGTTTATTTCCTGTAAGCAGGTCACGGTCGACCTCAGCTGTATGGGTTCTAATTTATCATCAGACCTTGATTAGTAAAGCACGAAGATAAAAACAACCAGTTGAAAATACAGGAGCTTACTCTTTAGGTTCCTGAAGATGAGTAGGGTGGAGGTGTGAGGTGTGGATACCACCATCTTCGGACCCCATAGACGAAGAGAGGTGAGTGGAGAAGAGTCCAGGGCTTGATATGGGTGTATTCCCTGCTGTTCGTGATGTTTGTGCGCGGTCGGTGAATTCCTGAGTCCAAATCTGGCCTTGTGATTGAGACGATCTGGTGTGATGGGAAGGGTAGGAACTGCGGGAGCGAAGGAGAGGAGGTGGGTGGGGTGGAGGGTATTGCTGTCTTTGCAGGACTGCATAGGATTGATCAGGATATACGGGAAAATCGTCTGTATATACATCTTTGGGACGGGAGGAGGGCGGGATCTCGGACAATGGGCTAAGTGGCACCGGTTGGCTTCCTTCGATAGCTCGAGGGGTGCTCGAGTTGGGCGATGAACCTGTCGTCGGGATCGGTCGATTATCAGGGCGCCCATCGACGCCCACCGGGTCGGTCAGGGAACGGAGAGAACTCGAGGAGGTACTTGTCGAAGCGGGTCTTGAGGTGTTGGAGGAATGGGGTCGGTACGGAAAAAGATTAAATTTCTGCGATAAACCCCTGCGTTCCTCTGGACGTGCCTCGGACTGCAGGCTTCTCTGTCTCGTTATCGTGTTGGAAATCTGCCTTGAGATTGGACTCATAATCGACGATTGCCACGTCGAAAGGTTTCTGTCGGAAGTGTCCAACGCCTCGTTCTCTGACTCACCACGGGCGTGGCGGGAGGCTCGCTGCCTTCGAGGCCTTCCTCGACCATCCCATTCATCACCAGGCTTTCTGGGGGGCCCCTGCCGTGGCTCCATGGTGTCGATGCGTCGTGGTGTGGGTTCGGTTGATGCCGATATCGAAATGACTCGCAGTCCAGGTCAACGATGCAAGAAGATCATTGGCGAAAGGGCTCCGGCACAAACGGGACTGCTGCCACTGTTCGCTGTATTACCTTCCAGGAACATCTACTATGGTCCTCATCTCCACAAGATTGCTATCTATGCGTGCCTTCGTGCACTCAGTTTGGGAGAGCTTGGGCGTCCATCGCATGCAGGTCAAGTGGCGTCTGGAGCCCCTCTCGATCCCAATGCCCCAATTTGGCCAAGACACGAACGGTGGTGGACAATTGAATCGAAGACGGCATACAATGGAATAAACGTGCGGTGGAGCAATGGAGTGAGGGTTGGTCGAGCTGCGCTGATCGGCGGACGGTCGAAGCTGTTGGGCAGGGAGGTGGTCTGCAACACACAATCGAAAGAAGGGGGAAAAAAAGGACAGAAAGGAGATGATAAAGTAAGATGGGAATGTGAAGTTAAGAGAACAGTATGTGTGAAAGGACCACAAAATTTACAGTGAAGGTGAAGGAGGAAATGTTCTTGGAGGTTCGGGCAATACTCGAGGTTACTCCTGGAATTAAGAGTGGGCGTTATGAATCTTGATGTACTTTTTTTCCCGCTGCGACGAGGTCTGCTGCTGCGAGAGGGGATCCCAGCCCGGTTCCTCGTCGCCATTGGCACGGTGGGTGGGCACCGGGCAGCGCGCCATGATTGGCTGCCTGTGCCCAACCCTGTTCCCGCTAGTAATGCTGGTACGGGTCTGTAACACTAGTAACCATGCTCGGTAAAGGGGGTTACCGGGCGTCACAGCACCGCGGACGGCTTGGGATGGGGGAGGCCTCTCTTCCTGCGCTCAGCCGTTGCCTTGCGTCTGGCGAACGATGAGGAACTGGCAGTCTGGGCAGATGACAGTATGAGCAGAACGATGGCCAGTTTTCAGTCCCCTCCACATTCTCTCCGATCTGCCCTTGAACGACAACGAAAAGTGTTGGGCAGTCTGGAGGGTATCCATATCCTCAAGCCGCGGAGGGGAGGGAAGAAGGGGATTCATCGGCTTCTCCTGACGTAGTTGTGCATTTATTCAGTCCAGACACACGGCAGGGGCAAGTTATTCGACCCTTGGCTCCGGAACACTTCGTTCTCTACGGAATTCTCGTGCTCATATCATCAAGCAACCGGCCCGTCCACCCAACGCACAATGGCATCGTGAGCCGCTCCATCCGGGCATTACTCGGTGTTCGATCCTCTCAAAAGTGGTGGTGGTGGTTGAGCGCTTTCTCAAACTCGGCGTGGGTGGACACCAGATGGTGTGGAAGTTTAGACTTGTTTCGACTTGCTGATCTGAATTCCATCTCAAATTTGTGAGCAGGGGCCAACCAAAAAAGCAACCAGTCAGGATCAACGGAGCCAAGACAAGTGACTTGCAGGAGACCGGGTCTGGCGAGTGGCTAGTATGGACCCTCTCCCTCGGACTCGCGGCGCGGAATCACCACCTTGCCGGGCTGCTGGGGCATCCTTGCTGAAGGATACCGACAAGGACGGACCCAAGACATATACATCAAGTCGCAAGTTCCTAATGACTCGCCTATTCCTTTTTTCACACGCACTCTTACATGTTTCGGCAGCCGTCAGATCTGGTTGAACTGAAAAACCGTGGGTGTGTGTCCAGGTAGGAAACTTGGAGTGGAATGCTCCGTACATATGCAAGTTGGGCGGCCCAAGCACCCCCAAGACCTCACCAAAGTTCCAACCAGTCGCCCGCGAGGAAAGATGGCCTGCCCCCTTGATCCCTGTCCCGACATCAACTTTTGGTTTTTGAGAAATACTCATACCGCGTCCTTTTCTGTAAGAAGGCGCAAATCTCAAATATCGTGATCCGTGGGCTAATTTTTATGGGTTCCTGCCCCTGTTCCAGTCTTTGGACTTGAAACAAAGTGGCCTTTCTCCACCAGGACCCATGAGCAAGAGCCAGATCGTCAAGGTTATTTCAACCACACGAAAGGCTTTTCGCCCTGAACGGGAGGACCTCCTTTCCACAAATTTGGCTCCTAATAACTCCTACACGGTCAAGAATGAAACCCTTGAAAGGATCAGGCCGTGCACAATGTGGAAACACGCGAAATGAATATCTCAACTTCATCTTCCCAGTGTGAGCTTTCCCTATGCGGCGAAAAGACATTTCCGGGCTTTTGAATCCAGGCCGTTGGAACAAAATTCAGAATCTCACGTCTTGGCTCCAAGCCCTCCGGTCTCGGGTGCTCGGGGTGGCACTTAAGCCCGAGGCCACGCTTAATGGGCGCCTGTCTCCGAACGGGGCGCCTCAGGATTGATCTGCTGAGCCTGTCGCTCATGAAAGCTAACTCGCTGCTGTTGGCGAAACTAGTTGTGTAGAATAGCAGATATATATACGGAGTAAAGAGCCAACGGCCCTTCACTACCTTTTGCCTTCAAGGCCTTTTTATTTATTGAGATATTTATTTCCAGAAAGACCCTTGAAAGAAATAGCTACACTGAGACTTTTGCGCTGCGATGTCCCTTCTTTTTTTTTTTTTTTTTTTTTTTTTTGTGTAAAGCCCTTCGCGAGGAAGATTTTCACGGGGAGTTCACTTCAAGCATCTTGCCTCCGTGTTCGACACCTTAAGAGAAACAAGCAGGAGAAGATACCCTGTGAGTATCTTCGCTCACTCTCAAAGGCTCATCCCAAAAGACGCAGGTTTGGTTCGGATCCAACTTCCAAGGAAAAGATCCAGTCCCAACAAAGTAGATTACCCAGAAACGGCGCTAGTAACATGGTTTGAGATAGCCCGTCACACGGTTACAAGCTCCCGAATCTTCCAACTCGACTTGCGGTCGCGCTAGTCCACATAGAGACAAGCCTGCCTCCCACCCGAGTTTTGACCTCGTCCCATATTTTCTTTTTTGGCGGTTCAGCCGCCACCGAAATGAATTGGCGGGTCCAATTTCCAGCACGGACATTCGCCATGCGTCAAAACATTGTCAAGCGTTGGAAATCATTCGATTCCGCACGGATACTTTGCTCCTGATCGTCCCGTCGTAATAATGTGAGATGGAGAAAATGGTGGACGATGGGGAAATTGTTAGCACTAAAACAGTAGAGCACCAAGACCTCAATTTTACCCCGGGAGGCGAGGTCGTTCTATGCGATAGTCTGGGGGATGATAAAATTCGTCTTGTGACGAATCAGCTCAATAGCAAGGTTAAAAATAAAATCGAGGCGCTACGTAGGTAAAGTTTTAGGAGTCTCTACTCCGCAAAGCTCGGGGTTACAACATCTCTGTACTCTCGCATGGCCTGTTCTGACATTCAGCCCTGGGGGACTAGAAGTATGTCAGTGGCTGCCGCAAAGGAAAAAGAGAGGAATGTCAGCGGTGATTGGAGGGAGTGTATTTTGCACCACGCGGTCCACATGTGAAATTTGGTGGCAATGAACGGAGTACACGCTCGCAATGAGGAAAATGGGCCGGCCCATACCAGCCCAAGCCGCCCACGGCAAGCCAACTCCACAGGTTCATGTATGTACTCCGTAGGAGTGTACCTTTCTAGTTACGGGAGTTGCTCGCAGCTCACTCCAAATCCTGCCCGGCCTATCAGCACTGTCCTCACTCGCGTGCAATTCTCTACATACTTGTGAGTGGGTAACCACGCGTTGCCCTTGCATAAGGGTCATAGGGAGCGTGCAGTACTATTTAACAGGGCCTTCTCCGTACTTCTGAAGATATCCCAGTGCCCCAAAGTCCATCATCACCAGAAAGTTGTTATCAGATACGAGTCCCACTCAGTATGTGTAATCTGACTCTCAGGTGTTGAGCGGACGGATGCGGAAGTTTCATGAGCATAAAATGTACGACAAACCTTAACGGCAACTCGGATAAGTTATCAGGGCGGATCTGTATGGAAGCGACTGCGGTTCCACTGACGTCAGCGAGGTTCTTTAAAAGGATTTATCAGCAGAAGCTTTCTGCCTATTAGGCGAAATGAGGAGAATACGTTCACATAGTTACCACGCCACACAAGGCATTCGTTGACGGCAGCCTTCTCCACGGATGATGAAGATCAAGGTTGCTGACCATGGGAAAGGAGGGGTGGGCAACCCACACCATCAAAGCCTCTTCAAGTGAATATGCGCGCCGGCACGGAATTCTATTCATCCTTGCCACCAGGAGCTAGGATCAAGTCATTCTAGACGACGGCACGATCATCTGCCAGCTGCAGCGAGCCAGCGACCTTTCCACCACCAAAGGGCCCCTGCTGGTGTCACTCGCCGAATTACATAACCAGTCCTTGTCTAACCATATATGGATTAGCGTAAGATTTGAGACCGGACCTACTTAGATCCGAGTCCACCGTTCGTGTCGAGAGTTGTCTTGGCGCGCTCCGTTGCTGCGCAACATCTCCCCCGGTTGTTGACAGCAAACAATTGCATTGAACCGTCGGGAGCACGCTATGATACATCTTCACGGAGCTGAGCCGGCGGGTTTCCGCTCGAAGAGAAGTTATCGAGCGCTGGACACTACTGCCACCCACATCTTCCTCTCTACTAAATGCCCCGCTTCAATCGTCCTAAGAATACTCGCATCCCATCCCCTTGTTTCTTGATAACAAGCTGTTGAAGGGCATAGTTACATGCCAAACATCTTTTACTTTCTTGGAATAACTGTCAGTTAGTCAAAGGCGCTATTGGCGAAGGTTTCATATGGGGCTCGAGACACCACTGGACTGGTTTTGCTTTCGATACAGTTCAACTGTGTTTGATACCAACTCTGTCTTATCTACTGTCGCGCCTCCGGTCGCAACCCGATAATGGCGTAGCAACGCAGTAAATGGGCCAGAAATTCTCCCCTTAAAACAATGATGGTCAAGTATATCTATCCCGGAGCTTTGATTCAGCTTTTCGCTGGTATAGCACGCAGTACGACCCCGGATCTACCTTACCATCCAGCTTATATCTGGACCCAGTCTGGGGACAATGGCCCTCTAGCTTATGTTCTCTCCCCGAAGTCTTCTACCTCGAGTGAGCTTCAGCTCAAAGCATTGGATATATCGGCCCCTTTCGATGCGTCAGCGCCGCGTTTCGTAGGTCCAAGCACCGACCCTCCCTCCCCGCCCGACGATGGTGCCAAAAGCACCGTTCCTATTCCGAATAATGACGGTCTTCCCATGGTCTATACTGGTGACTGCCGGTCAGGCCGGGCAGAGATATGGCGTTTTGCTCCCAATCCGGAAATATCGGATGGTGACGGGACATGGTCAAAATCGTCTTTGATGCAAAGAGACAGTGACGAGGAGGTAGAATCCATAGGTCCAAACTATTTGGCTGCGGCAATCACCTTTCCGAATCCAAAAAGCGAGGCGCCTCCAGACATCTATGTGTTTGGCGGAATGTGTCCTACGGCCGCTATTGACGACTCATGGACTTGGATTTCTGCAGCCAACTATTCGCGGGCTATGATTTCGTTGCAACCGCCAAAGTCATCAGAAGACAACGTTTATGAGGTTTCAGTTTTACCAAACCTTTCTCCACCAGTTGATGAAGCTGGTTTTACTATGACCCCGCTGCTCCCGACAGTCTCCAATTCATCATCCGGGAGACAACTACGGCAACAGAGCTTCGCCCTTATTGGTGGTCATACGCAGGAAGCCTTTCTCAATATGTCTCGAATTGCTCTTTTCTCATTACCGGAAGGTAGTTGGAGTTACGTCTCCGTTAATTCCCCGAGCGATAATTTGCCTACCCGCATGAAAGATCAGGGTATAGAGGGAATCGAACCACGATCCGGACACACAGCTATTTTGGCGCCCGATGGGGATAAGCTCATTATTTTAGGTGGGTGGGTAGGAGATATAACGGTACCTGCCCAGCCGCAGTTGGCAGTCCTTCATCTAGGCGAAGATTACGGCGGTTCGGGTGATTGGACTTGGAGCATTCCCAGAGACTCTAACAACGGACTTCGTCCTGGGACCGGAATTTTTGGCCACGGAGCAGCTATGCTTCCAGGAGGGATTATGGCTGTCATTGGCGGCTATGAAATATCAGGATCTTCAAAACGATCCAATTTAGGGGTTCGTGATGCCTCACAACTATACTTGTTCAATGTCACATCCGAATCCTGGATTACATCCTATGCTCCCCCCAAAGTTGATTCGTCAGGAGATAGCTCGGGACCGCTTTCCTCTGCGGGCCAGAAAGCTGGCCTGGGGGTCGGCCTTGGGGTTGGCCTATCCGCCGCCGCCGCCGGTATTGTTATTCTCTTCTGCGTTCGGACACGGCATAAACGAGCTCATCGAAAAGCCCGTGAACAAGAGCTGCGGAACTTAGCTCTTGGCGCTGAACGGCCGCATGTTAGCCTTGATGAAGTCCCTGGTGGACTGTATCAACCCATGGTCCAAGTGAATAGGAAGAAAGTAGAGTTATATGCGCGCCATTCCTCTAATCCTGGAAATAGGAATGAGTGGAGTGATAATGGGGCGTCGATCGCAGAAAGAACAGGGCTATTGTTGGATTCATCTGCCAGGAGCCCGAAAAGGGCAATACAGTCGAGGACGTATCAGCCTGCAACATTCTCTGAAGATCTCCGAAGGACTCCGACATTTCGCAGCATACATCCGATCGAAGAAGGGGAGGAGCATGCTGAGAATAATTTGGAAGCGAACATCGAACCAGTCATCTCAAGAGAAACAAAGAGGGATAGTAAGAGTTCCGTAATATCAGATCCCTTTAAAGATCCTCCATCGCCAATCAAAGCCTGCCTCCCTCCCCCCATTACCCCGTCTCGCAATGGGGATGGCTCTAAATTGGAGCGGAGGCACAGTCTTGGATCCAACGATTGGGGGTTGGGTGAAGTCTCAGGGTGGCCCACTCAAACGCCTGATAAAGCGGACCGAACCTCATCCAATCTCTCCGAATCATCGAGATCCTCGATGTCGACGTCATCCTACAGAACGAGTTCGATGAGACTGGACCAGGTGGTCGCCCAGGCGCCCGTTTTTCGGCCTCGCCAGACTGTGCTGTCAGGCGATACATCGTATGAAACGAGCCGTAATCTGTCATTACAAAGCCATGCATATGATTATCTTGCACCACACTTGCTGAATGATGGGGCAACGTTTCCTTCGCAATATTTGGAACGAATGTATGCCTTCGAAAGCCATGGACAGAAGGGTGGTGGATCGCTGCTTGGGGCTGGCTCCAGCTCCCTGCTCCCGTCAGAAAGGAAAGACCCGCCAACACAAAATAAAAACAAAGCATTGGAATGGGTGGGCTCTGTTCGTCGTGCCTTGAGCTTGGTGAAGAAGCCCGAAAACGATAGAAACAACTCTCCATGCTCTGACCTTGTTCCGAGCATGGAGCGGAGTACGAGTTCCAGTCCAACAAAGAGTTTCCATAGCGCCCAGGAACTCGCATCCGCGCACTTAGATATGGGTGCGGGGCTACCGCGAAGAGCCGTAAGCACCAACTCTTCCGTTTTGAGGCGTAAGAAAGGCGCAAAGGATTGGGACGTTGGGCAATCCTCCGCTGAGAGATCGGCGCTGCTTCGGAGAGAAACTTATGACGGTACGCTGTCCTTTGACGGAGGCATCGATGGCGGAAGGATTTCGGCTGCCACCGATTTGACGGGAGATGACGACGAAGAAGAAGAAGACTGGGACGTGGAAGCAGCAGCTCAGGGCCGGTTGGTGCAGGTAACATTTACCGTTCCAAAGGAGAAGTTGAGGGTCGTCAACGTTGGGGACGAAGACACGCTAGATTACGACGACGATGGCAATGATCGTGAACGAGACACGACCAATGATACTACTTCTCTAGATACGAAAAAGAATAACGTTGCTGACGAAAATTGACATAAATGAGGTAAGGGAAAATGCCTTTGGGAAGTCTGCATTTCTTACATTTGCATGGCATTGGATATCCGGGTAGGTACATACACACTTTGTGCATGGTGTATGTTTTGGTGGCAATTTGGTTTTGAAATATATCGAATCTATCTGTATTGAGTATGTTTTGACATTTCATGTTTCATGTTTTAGTCTCAACCCTGAAGAGGTCCAGACGGCCTGGTTTATCAGAGTTTCTATTTCCTTTGCCTGCAGTGTTGCGTGCCAGCGGCTCGGATCCCAATACTACATGCCAAGGCACTGGGCGATCTGCTGGAACAGCGAACTAACGCAAAAATGCTAAAGGCTGGAATCAAAGCCGGATAGGAATTGTTCATTTGTAAATAATATGTCTAACCTAGGATGATGTTACGTGTTGCCATTGTATATCTATGCATCTTGATTTCTTCATTGCCGTCAAGTCTTGAGAGAAGGGAGATGCGGAAAGAAAAAAGAAAAGAGTGTCGCAAGTAGCTGCATATTCCTGGTAGATGCATATGCATACCTAAAAACAGGGTGTGATAATTTACACTGCATACCTTTTTTACGGTAACTGCGAGATAGAACCGGCCCGTTGTCAGAGTAGACGGGAAGGAATACTCTTCCTAGGACGGCCGGCGACCAATTTTGGTATTAAGCCATTCGCTAAGGTTCAGGACATCCTGTGACGAGCCGAATGCATCAGCAACGCCATTGAGGGCTTGTCTCCAGTCTAAGATTTCGTGAAGCTGCCTCCCCTGGAGGACTTCATGGACCCGTCGAGATTGGAAATCTGCTGTTTCGGGATCGTCGGACATGGAAATGCAAGACTCGATTATTCTTCCAAATTTTAGCCGTAGGAATATGCGGGTCTGGATCAAAATGTGCGGGAGAGCCCGGAGCCATCAGTACAATATCTCTCGACGGCGCTTCTATTGAGCAACTTAAAAGACTTAGGAGATATACGTACCGAAGGGTGCAGATTAGACGGTAGGCCCGGCCTTAATCGCGGGTCCTCTTCTGTCGGATAGGTGGAAAAGGTGAATCGAGGGCATTGATTGTAGGTCCAATCCAGCGACTTTGGGTGCTATTCTCAGCATTTGACTAGAAGGGTAATAATCTCTCGGAGACGCAACGCACCTTGAAGTCACGGATGTCTTCTTCAATCTCATTCACCCCCACACTGGTGTTGGCAGTAACAGCACCCACCAACCAGTTTTTACCAGACTGGAAGCCGGGTCGGTCACGCAGCTTCTGGGCACTGAATAGAGCATCCGGGTCGACCTTATAGAGCAATGCAAATTCCTCCATGATGTTGGTGACCAGCGCCTGCATTAGATGAGATCCCGACAAGCCGCCGAGAGTCGAAGATATATTTCCAATTGGAGATCTTACACTTTCAACGCCCTTCGCATGCAGGTACGGCCGAGCTGGTGACCTCAAGAATGCGCCAATGGATTCCAGGTTTGGAGAATCGACCAAGCAAGTGCCATGGTGCAATGCCCTAAAGCTTGACAGCTTGTATGCTGAGCCCGAAATCTTTAGAGCCTGGGGTGTTGCCCGAACCGGTGGGCTCTCGACGTCGTCCGTATCGAAATGAACAACCCTCTGCGGCACTGGGGCCGACGAATGCCCACCCATGACGATGTCATGCCGAGTATTGACACGCGTATTAATGGCTCCAAGTTTATGTAGAGCCCGAACAACCATCTCAGCATGCTTGTCGCGGTGGAATATAGGTTTGGGGCATATCACACTGAAATTCAGGTTCCCTTCGTCATGGAAGACGGCCCCGCCGCCGGATCTGCGCCGCAATAAAGTGACAGGGGTATATGAGGGTTCCACCCCATTCTTGGGAGCTTTAGCCCGGTTAAGGAGATGTAGATTCGTTTCAAGCCATGGGTTTTGATTTCTACCGATAACGACGGTTGGACTGTTTACGTATAAGAAAAGGATTTTCGAATCAGTCGGGGTATGTTTGTAAAGGAAGTTCTCGATTGAGAGATTGACATATGGATCGGTGCTGAAAGACTGGTAGATTTGGTGTTCAGCAGAAGGCTGGCTAACGAGGAATAGAAAAGCGGAGGGAGAGTGAGAAGCGTGCCGGCGTCGTCCAGGAAAACCGATGCGCAGGGTTTTTATTCTGGGAACATGTCCTGTTGGTGCTCCGGGAAATAAAGACCAATGCAATTGGCGTAGCGGAAGCATTGATCTGGGCGGGAGGACGACAAGGAACGCAGGGCGGAATTTTCGTTGGCGGAGATCTTTTCTGGCTGGCGGAGTCTGGGCGGACTCCGAAGCTCCGGCGGGCTGGAGCAAGGCAGCGGGAGCTAGTACTGTTTTGGTAAGGTTGAATTGTGGCTGAGTCATCGCGGCCTTCGATATCGGAGCTCCCGCATTCACTTGCCCACCTGAGAGTGAAAGCAACTCTGCCCGTTAAACATCTTTTCACAATTGGGTGTTTATTCGCAGTTCAAAAAGCAAAAGTTTTGGCTGCAATCTGCGAAAGCAAGGCCAAAGCGCTGTCTGGCTTCAATAATCATATCTTTACTCTTCCAAAGAGCTACCCCACCATCCCATGTCAACTTTCGGAGAATATTTTAGGGTCACCACGTAAGTATTTTCTTTCTTTTCAACTTGTATGTTCACCGGTCTGACAACCTCCAGCTATGGTGAATCCCACTGTCGCTCAGTCGGCTGCATCGTCGATGGCTGCCCGCCTGGGATGGAACTCACAGAAGAAGATATTCAACCCCAAATGACTCGCCGGAGGCCTGGCCAAAGTGCCCTGACAACACCAAGAAATGAGAAAGATAAGGTGGAAATCCAATCGGGTACAGAGTTTGGAATCACTCTCGGCACGCCGATTGGTATGGTCGTGAGAAATGAAGACCAAAGACCCAAGGATTACGGAGGCAAAACTATGGATATTTATCCACGACCTAGCCATGCTGATTTCACCTATCTGGAAAAGTACGGTGTGAAGGCCAGCAGCGGCGGTGGGCGGAGTAGCGCAAGAGAAACCATAGGTCCGCTAATGTCACTCCTCGTTTCCGTATCTACCGTAGATCATTTTATTAATTCTGTCCCAGGTCGCGTTGCTGCCGGCGCAATTGCGGAAAAGTACCTTCGACTGTCGCATGGCGTTGAAATCGTCGCATTCGTTTCCTCTGTCGGAAATGAGCACCTTTTCCCTTCAACCCCTGAATCTCCTAGTGCCTCTACAAACCCAGAATTCCTTAAACTCGTCGAAACGATTGACAGAGAGACGGTGGACTCTTTCGTTCCGATTAGATGTCCTAATACTGAAGCTGCCCAACGCATGACTAAAATAATTGAGGATTTCCGTGACCGCCAGGACAGCATTGGAGGAACAGTCACTTGCGTTATTCGTAATGTTCCTGTCGGTTTGGGCGAGCCTTGTTTCGATAAACTCGAGGCCAAACTTGCCCATGCTATGTTGAGTATCCCTGCAACCAAGGGATTCGAGATCGGGTCTGGTTTTGCAGGGTGTGAAGTGCCCGGATCAATCCACAATGACCCATTCGTCGTCACGACTGAGGAAGTAAAGAGCGGAAATGGCACGACAAGCACCAAGCGCCTCACTACAAAGACAAACAATTCTGGAGGTATCCAGGGTGGAATTTCCAACGGTGCCTCTATATACTTCCGCGTGGCATTCAAGCCACCGGCGACCATTGGCCAAGCTCAAACCACAGCAAGCTATGGTTTCGAGGAAGGTATTCTCGAAGCTAAGGGACGCCACGACCCATGTGTTGTGCCACGAGCAGTACCAATCGTTGAATCCATGGCCGCCTTGGTTATCATCGATGCATTGATGGCCCAAAACGCTAGAGAAACTGCAAAAAATCTTCTACCGCGTTTGCCTAAGACCGTCCCAACGCATCCCACGGGCATACAACCACAACCGCAACAGTCGTAAAGAAATGGGATATCCCTCTCGTTTAAGACGCGGCTTACAAGCCCACTAGCACTCCCCAGACCTAAGACGATACAAACGGCGTTTCAGCCATCCTCACTGCGCAATTTAAGGAGCTATATAATGTGCTGATGGACACTTGTGTGCTACAGAGAGATGCTTTTTTCTTAAGTCCCAACTGGCAGCTCCTTGGTGGGGAATCATAGTTCTCAGAAATGGTAAAATGATAGACATCGAAGCCTTAAAATCAAAAGGGTCTTTTTTTCTAGAATTTCAAAGTGATTTGCGCTGGTTTCCAATTCCGTATAACCACGAGATGTAGCTTTCACTCTCTAGGACATTGAATGGACATTCAGTGCTCTGCATATTATCATGATTGAGAAAGCGCTCAACGTCGCTCTATATGGGCCCGTTAGATAAACAAGGGGGGTATAAATTTAAATTATATACTTTGAAGTTGAAAAAAAAAAAAAAAGGTGAAACGAGTCGTTCCGCAAGTGCGTAGAAATATGTTGAAGGGAAAGAGCGAAAAAGGTAAAAGGTAAAAGGAATAAATGGCTCTTCCCCCAGATTAAGACGAGTTATGGTCGTTTTCCTACTCCCAGTGTCTTCTACCTTTCTCTCTTGTAGTTGGTGAACCGTCCAATTCAACCATCGCCTCGGCATGATGCGGCCGAAACGGCCGATATGCCGGCCTTGGTTCCAATTCGTATCCTTCGCCAGCCCCATTGCCGACTGGCGAGTGTTTATCATTATCATATTCCGTGCCCATTCTCATATACGTTCTGTTTTTTGATCTCATTGTTGCAGCACCAACAGCCGAAATTGCGTTAGAACCAAATCCTGAATCGGGCATTTCTGATGGCATTTGAGTTTGATACAATGTACCCTCTCGGGCAATCTTCTTGTTGTGCCTCGCTCGAGCAATGCGCATAAGGATAAATATTATGAATAGGATAAGGGCGAATCCAGCAGCAATAGAACCGACTGCTATACCACCGAGTTGGGCGCTGGATAGTTTCCGGTTAGAGTCGGAGACTGGTTGAGTGGTCGTCTGAGACGGCAGCAAGGAGGTTGAGGAGATTGTTTGAGGAATGGATGAAGTGGATGCGGGGCTTGGTGTCACTGTAACCGTTGAGAAAAAAAGAGAGGAGGATGTCAAAGTAGAAGAAGAAGAAGAAGAAGAAGAAGAACTGGAGGAAGAAGTAGAGGAAGTCGTGGATGGCTCGTCGGAGGATTCTGATGTAGTAGTAATTTTTGAAGATGTCTCGCGCGTCTCCGTCGTTGTCTTCGTGGAATCTTTGGTTTTTTGTGTAGTGCTAGGTTCCGCGGAAGTTATATCTTCCTTTTTGACACAGCATTGAATGTCATTCGGACCAGGGCATGGCCAAGGCTGAATTATTGTTAGTTATCAAGTCAATCCTCTTTCCTTCTCCGATACTTGAATGGAGGAGCGTGAGCTTCAACTTACGTCCCCGGTTCCAGCAAAAAACTCGCCTCCCGGACAACCATTGTCCTCCTTACTCCGGCAATATCCCTTGCCTTGCGGCACGGTGCACTCACGAATAAGACAACACTATTCGCCGAAGTCAGCATACTCTTCGCCTTGAAAGAGATAGGTGATCTCAGATGGAGTGGCGGGTGGTCCTCACCTGCACATCGTCATCGTCATCTGGGCATAGACCTTTCGTTGAGATGCCTGGGCCTTTGAACAAACCATTAGTTTTAATGATTTCGCTCGAGACGGAGTTCTTGGAAATACACACATTTCTTGTTCTTGATGCAAACTCCTTTGCCTTCGTTTGACCTGCAACTGTCCTTGGACTCACGGTCCCTTCGAGAGAAACGTTGTCGAGCTTCAAGAACACTCAGCAGTCCTGCCATGTCGACCAATTCTTGTTGATAAAATGGTTGCGAGGAAAAATCGGCAGCATTTGACAGCGAAGATATTCCATTGAATTTCGCAAATCAAGTGGACTGGTGAAAAATTAGAGGAGAATAAAAGAGGAGCATGTCGGGCCGGCGGCTCGATGACGGATAGCTCAGGCACATATGGTTAAAACGTTCTTTTTGCGAAAAATGTGCCTCATTTCCCCTACTCCTCGTATCAGAGGTACTGTCCAATGGGGAACGGTGTAAAAGATCCATGCTGGCGGTCTGTGGGAGCAAACTCCCTGCACGGACCAAACATTGATCCATATTAGCGGCTGCATGAAAAGTTTTGGGCTTCTCTCGAATTCCACAGAGAAGAAGAAAAGATGCTTTTCGGCAATTCTCGCGTGGAAGGTCTGGTTCCCAGTCAAACTGTGATTCCTTTCCCGTCCTTGAGCCTCATGAAGATCCTGGTCGCGTTCCTGGATTCGGAGAAACGATAGTCTCCATATAAGCGAGCGCTGTGGAGCAAAATTCGTGGTTGGACTGACTATCGTTGTCCAAGCCACCTATAATTAGCATGAAAGTGGTCCCTGGTGGGTTTCATAGTTCGCGACAACCTTCGTATCTGCACTTTCAGAACTTCTTGGCTCAGCTGCTTACGGGCCTGGGTCGTGATGGGAGCCTCATCGCCAGGAACAGCCCATGCATGGCGTTCATCAGATCGAAAGAATTTCTGCTCTCCATTCGAAGAACAAAAAGGAGGGCGGAGGACGGACCAGTCGGACCGAAGTTGCCCCTTTTCTTGCCTGCTGATCTGCTGACAATCACTAGCAAGGCACCCTGAGAAAAGGTTGCATTCGAGGCCAACGAAGCAGTCGGCATGCATACCTTCATGCATATCATTCAAGGACTGACAGCTGATAACCAGAAAGGGATCTTGTTTCCTCAATGGTGAGAATAGCGATTATCTGAAAATTGTGCTCCCACGCTAGGAGAGACCCCAGGAAACCCAACGAGACAAAGCCAAAAATACGCAAAGATTTTACTCCGTAGACCACAAAGAATTATGTATATAACCCTAAATGATAATACTGACAAAGCCCGCCGCCATAAACTGTAAGCCCGCTGACTATCAAACGCTGACGCCATATTCTATACCAATATTTCCGGCTAAATTCATCATGGGGCATCATCACAGGGGAGGAAAAATAAAAGAAAGAGTGGAGGAAAAATAAAATAATCTTGTCAGCGAAAAAAAGGGGATCGAAAAGAGACTTGAGATATGAAGTTATCCTCGCCTCCGCGTTACTGACGCCGACGACTTCGCAGCGAATAACGAGGTGGTGCAGGACTCTTCACGGGAATCGGACTATCATCAAGACTGAGACCAGTTATCGAAGGGCCCGGCGTTCTATGGCGAGGTGGTAATATAGGGGATGGAGATTCTGATATAGTGGAGGCGTAGTCCGTCGACGAGACAGATGTGGTGGATGCGGGTGACATAAAACGCTCCGTGGATGCAAAAGACGACGCGAGGTGTTGCGGTTGAGTTATGGTAGAAAAAGAGCTAGGAAGTGATGGTGGAAACTCGGGTTTCGGGGGCGCCTTGAAGGTGCTCGGCCTATTCAGCAAGTGAAAGCCCGCGTCCAAGGGCTGAAGAGTGGTTGGAGGCAAAAAGCTCTGGGCCTGTTTCTTAGAAGGCGACTGGTAAGCGATTTCGCTCGGCATTGGTCGCGAAATGAAGGACGATCGAGTGGGAGTCCTATCCCCGCTGGCAGAGGAAAGAGAGCGAGACATTAAGGGAGGTGAAGCTGGCCGTTTGATAATTTGTTTAGCCGGTGCTCGGACTGCAACTGCAGGCTTTGTAGTGCCAAACATGAACCGTAGGCCAAACATTTCTTGTCCTGCCAAGAAGGCTACAAGATAGATTCCAGCTTTATCAAATGTTGTCGGGTCACCGAATTGGCCGGCACGAACCAAGGCGAAGTAAACACAGCCAACCAATTCGATCAAGGATAGAAAGATATCAGTCATTTTCCACTGAACCATGGGCCGCATCAATAGATCAAGGAGAGAGAATCCGGCCACAAGGAAGCTAAGTCCCAGCACAACTGTTTCTATGGTACTTTTCGGCCAAGCAAAAGACTGGGATCCAGTCCACAACACAAAGCAAACGGCCAAAACGATGCCCTTCAAGACATGGAGTGGCTTGTTAACAGCAATATCGCGACCAACTGTTTTCCCTGCTGAACCTCTTTCGGCCCTTGCTGGGCTATCTGCAATCGAAAATGCCTTATCGAACAAACTTTCCAGGCCGGTTTCTGCTTGAAGATCACTCTGAGGGAAGAATCTCGGAGGGGCCATTACCATATCGGCTAATTTCGTTACGTCTGAGTTCTTCTGCGGCGCACTTGACGACGGGTGTAAGGTAGGCGCGGTGTGAAAAGGATTGGGTGGGTTCACGGCCGATTTTTCCGGTGGTTGGGGGTTAGGGTTGCGCAGTTGCCAGGAAGGCGGCTTAGGAGCCGGAGGCAATTGACCTTGGAATGGAGATGGTGCTGGTGCTGGAATGGGCCCAGGTTGATTGCGGCTAATATGGAAGCTTGACTGTAAGGTCTGGTGGGATGGGGTCCAATCCATGGCATCGAAGTCTGCAGCCAGATCTGGAGGGGGGGTTGGAGGGTTGTAAGGTTCGGGGCTCAAGGCTCGAGCAGGGGCAAGATTTGCGATTGGGAACCGCTGCACGGGTTGGCTGAGCTGGGGGATAGATGCCTCCAGATTCGAAAAACTCTGTGACGGACCCTCTATATTACCGTTCGGCTTAGGCACTAGAGACTCGATGTTGTCGTTCCAGGAAACCAGGGGCCTTGTGGAAAATCGAATCGCGGCTCTTGAAGCAATTGTAGTCTAGATTATATTAGCAATCTTGAACCGCCGTTAATGATAAGGGAAATCTCTCACAATCAACGTGAAAAACGCCATAAAAGTATGGATGGCCGGCGTTAATTTCGGATTGAGGGCGGTGATCGAAGTATCTTGCAGGGCCGTCCATGCAACAAATCTCACCACGAGAGTGACAATCTGGATTCGATAATACTCACGCGCTCCGCTGATACGCCCAGATCGTCCATCGACCTTGTAACGCAGCTTTGGGTTCCACCACAGAGAAAGAACACCTAGGACCAAGGCTAAGCCGGCATATGGTTGCAAAGCTAAAGCGCATTCGCTCTGCACCCGGCGATGTAGTCGACCCTCATCTAAGCAGGACCCAAGAAGGGCCTTCGACAGCTGTGCTGGTTGTTGATCCTCTGCTGGTAGTGTAATATCGGCTATGCATCCCATGATATTCCAGGACAGTTGACCAGCAATACTTGTCCAGAAAGCCACGGCACCGGTAGAAACGAAGAGGCTCCGCCATCTCCATTTGCGTTGATTTCGCACAGCCCTTCCGTCTCGACTTTGTTCCATCATCCGCCGTAAATGGTCTGCTTTTGCTGCATATCCTGCCTGTCTAATCCGCGCGATAACCCTAGGTTCGCAAATTTCGCACACTTGGGGGTACCGCTCCTCCAAGCTCTTTCGGTACGCCGGGTAGGAAGCCTCATAGACCTTATATTCCGGATGCGATTGCGGCGGAAGGTAGGATGCCAGGGTCTGCGTTAGGAGATGTTGGTTTTTTAGACATGTCGAGCAGAATATTGAGGGATCTGAAGATCGATCTGGTTGGGTACGGGAAAGAGGTTGGGCGTATTGAGGTTGTCGAGACTCGAAGGACGCTTCGGTAGCGGGGGGATCGGTTATTTCCCCATTCTGTTAGATTCCGAGTACGAGTTAGTTCTTATTCTTGACTCTGAATCATGTATGACGCGGGGTTAAAAGGCAATGCGACTGAACGTACTTCGTCGAGATAGTTCACTGCTTGACATTCACGACACTGCCACTGACGGACCTTATCTTTTTGCGACTGTGTTGAACGAGAACCACAGTAGAAGCATTTAAAGCGCTTCCGAAAGAGCGACGCCATGGCATCCGGCTGACTGAAATAATGAACAAAGATAAGGTTGCAATTGGGGGTAAACAAACAGAAGTGTTTATCTTAGATGCTAATTTTCGGGGAGTTAAGGTAGGGTAGAAGCCTAATCGCCGGATCGACACTGAATGGGCGAAACAAATACTTGATCTTGAGTACAAGACACCAACCATCTAAAGTTATATTCCTTTTATTTTATTTTATTTTTTATTTTATTTTCTTTTACTCCTTCTGGGGACAATTATTGAAAGCTGAACTTCTGTTTCTCCCTGATGATGGCTCTCAGGGAACTTTGAAGTGCCAGGGTTGCTGCCAGGGCGTCCCTCTCCAACGTCCAGTGGGATATGCGATTCACGGACACAGTTTCACATTCGTTAGGTGGTTTCCACCTCCATGGCTGGTGAATTCTGAAAGAAAATACTTGTTTCTGCTTTGGCACTTCCTGGATTGAATGCTCTCTCGCCATGTTAGGCTCTGCCGCGACGGCGACAGCTGCTCTAGCGATTGCTGGTTTAGTAATACTGTTCACACTCTCCTTGGTATGCAACCCTATTCTATACACTTGGGATCTCCAATTTTTCTAAATCTAATTTAATATAGATCTATTTGATTCGACTCAAGAATGCTTCATCTAGGCGTGGAAAATCGCGACATACAGTTCACCTCCTCGTTGTTCTGGGGAGCGGCGGACACACTGAAGAGATGCTCTCGATGATGAGATACGCGCGTCTGGATCCTTGGATCTATGCGCAACGGACCTATCTTGTCAGCTCTGGGGACTCGTTCAGCGCAAGGAAAGCAGCCGAGCTTGAACGCGAGATTTCTCAGACCGCCCGCTCCACCTTCCCGTCAAAAGAAGCAAAAGCAAGGGCTTCACGTTCGAAAGCGCGCCCGGATCACTCTTTATTACCCGCAGCATCGTCAAATGTCCAAACAGACTATGCTATTGTCACCATTCCTCGAGCGAGAAAGGTACACCAAAGCTTTTTAACTGCCCCCCTTTCGACTCTTCACTGCCTCTGGGCATGTTTCTTGGTGCTTCAAGGCAAGCATCTGGATCAAATGACTTTAAATCCCGCACAGTCCCGTTCTCCAGCTTATCCAGACGTCATTTTGACCAATGGGCCGGGAATAGCAGTCTGTGTGGTTATCGCTGCTCGAATGGTGCGCCTCTTCAACTGGCTATTCGCCATCCCCCCGCCGCCCTTTGAAAAGTTGGGAAAAACACGTCGTGGTAAGGAAAGGAGGTACCTCCGAACCATTTTCATCGAGTCCTGGGCGCGCGTAACGACCCTAAGCTTGTCCGGGAAACTTATTCTTCCGATTGTGGACCGGTTCCTGGTTCAATGGAAACCCTTGGAGGGATATTCGAGCTGGAATGGAAAGAAAACGGAGTATGTAGGAACGCTCCTGTGTTGATTAAGCAGAGCCTTTCTGTCATCACGATTCATTGGTGCAAACTCAACAAGTTAGTACTAGGGTGATAATATGAAGCACCAAACTTCGTGTTTTCACAAACGAGAGAACAGAGGGCAAGAATGTGCTGCTAGAACTTGAAAACTATCATTCCCGCAACTGGGGTCCTCCAGTTTAACTCCAGCGCCAGCGCCAATCTAAAGCGTAACTATTAATGGCGAAGTTGTTTTGCGACGCTTGAGTATGAAATTACTATGTATGTACGGAGTACGGAGTAGGTACATGCATATTTGTGAACATCTCTCTAGAGTTTGAGACAACCTCGCTATGCAGAGACCGGCGTATTTGGGATTTGCAACCCTCGGTTCGTCAAAGCTTCGTGCCTCCCAACAACCACTCATTAAGCTCACAAGCTATCCAATCAAACTGGGCAGGAATTGCATTAACAAAAAGCTCAGACCGACTTCAAACACAACCGTCAACGTTTCACATACTTCCCGTGCGGAGCTCTGATAGGCGCCCAGAAATTTCCCGCGTTCTGATCCGAGGACCTCAACGTTTTATATGCGCAAATCATGAAGAACAGGTGTTTTGAGGCAAATTATATGATACAGAACGTCGGGTCTGCTCTCTAATTGCGCCTTTGTCAGCAAACTAACATCGCAGCTGCATATACTACATACATGCGGACATACGTGGCGAACATCCAACTGGCTCACATGATGATCTGGGACGAAGGTATACATTGGTCTCCGCGGACGTTCCTAACGTCATTCCTGTCGCTAATTGCGGCTTTTGTCATGCGAAAAGCGAACCAGCAATGCGAAACGATTTTCAACCGCAACTCCGGCTCAAGGGTAGAATGACAACAGTCTATGGCAAATACTTGAGTTCTCCCGGTGCACGAAATGTCTGTTTATTCGCCGACGGCGTTCTTGATAACGGTGAAGGTACAACCCCCAGATGGTGTAATGTCTCTCCTTTCCATCGTGTTTGTTGCCGGGCCATCGAAAACCATTCCGACTCCGGTGAGACAGAACTCCCAGAATGTGTACGTAAGTCGAGCTGGTGCAGGAGTTACGGACACGTAATGGGATACACCCAGAATATCGTGCATGCTTGACAAAGCCTGGACTGCTCGAGCTACACCTGACCGTGGTGGCGCCTAAGAGGCTGGCAGCGAGAATCAACCACAAAGAAGCCTTTCAGTTGAGCTGGTCCTGCTCTGCATAATCCGGGCAAACTATTTGCTCCATCCGAGGTTGCCATTTACCGGGACCCGAACTTAGAGAGCAATGAACTAGAAGCTATATGTTTTGGAAAAAAAAAATTGTGAAACTAGGAAGGAAAAGCCAGTATTACTCAGGATTTATATTACGCCGGGTTTGGAAAATAGCTAATACACCTTGTGGATAAAAGGGAATGAATCATCGGCAGCGAGCAAACCAAATAGAAAACTCAGAGGAGAATTAAAAGCATGATACAACCGGGACGGAGCATGAAAAGGGGTATGGGACGACCAGAAACACAGATTGACCTGGGGGAATCGTAACTCGGAAGGGGACATGGCCTGGAAGGGAAGCGTATGTAGTTTCCTGATGACGTGCATTATTAAAGGAAAACTTGAAGCATCAAATGGTCGAAGAGTAAAGTGGTAGTCACAGAGTTCCTAGACTGGTAGACATAACAGGAGCAAGAGAGCAAAAACGCCGAATCTGTGGATAACACTGCGACGCATAAATCAAAGGGCGATCATATGCCATAACGAACCTTTTCCAATAATTGACTGTGCCTTCCCTTCTCCCGAGACATTATTGGAGCTCAACAATCCCAAAGAGTCAAAACACAGGAACAGGAAAAAAGATGATCGCCTCATTTATCGCAGTCTCTTTTTCATGGGAAATTATCAGTGGCGGAAAAGCACTCAAGGTCCTGCCACATCACAGTTGTACAGCTGCGGTAACCATGAGCCGAACAACCGAGAATTGAACCAGCCCCGACGCCAATGAACAAGAACATCTCTAGAGACATACTCCGCAATAAAAAGGAAAATATCAACCAAGTTGCATAGTCAGGTTAATCATTGACCACGCTTGCCAGTGACTGCAACTATCCAGAAGGCCTCGATGCAGGTATGACATACCGAAACCATGGGAAGATCTATCCAGGCGTGACGATTCCAATTGCCGTTCAAGCTTGTCCTGTCAGGCGAGCCAACGCAAATGGGGATCTAGAATAGTTGTAACTGGATTTACAAGATCTTGCAGAGTTTCTTCTTTTTCTCGGTCTTGGCCAAGAGAGCTGCGCGTGTGGCACATTCGAAAACCTCACGAACACCCTCGCCGGTTCGAGCAGAGCATTCGAGGTACTTGTAGGCTCCAATCTTCTTGCGGATTTCCTCACCCTAAACAACGCGTTAATATTAAAAGACAGAGCGAGGAAGATGCTCAAAGTGAAAATATACCTGTTCGGGGGTAACTGGCTTCTGGGAAGTCTTGTGCAATTCCTCAATGGTGCGAGCATCATGACGCAAATCCTTCTTGCATCCAACGAGGATGATGGGATGTCCAGAGCAGAAGTGAAGAACCTCAGAGATCCACTGCATCAACGTCAGTATTAGCTTCCAGTAAAAGGTTGGTCAATATAATCTCACTTTCTCCTGAACGTTGTCCAGAGAGTCTGGGGAATCAATGGCGAAGCAGATGAGAATCACATGGGAGTCAGGGTAGGAGAGTGGGCGAAGACGATCGTAGTCCTCCTGACCAGCAGTATCCCAAAGAGCGAGTTCGACGTGTTTTCCATCGACTTCAACGTCTGCAACGTAGTTTTCGAAGACAGTTGGGACGTAGACCTACAGAGAATGCCCCATGTTAGTCACCGTTGGACCAAGGAACAGGGGTGGGTAGTGATGTATTAAGGGGGTGTGAGTAAGGCCTTTCAACAACAGATCAGGGCGGCGATGGAATTTTAAATATAACGAGCAACTGGGGTGGGAGACAGAAGTCTTTCAGAATGGTATGCAGACCTCAGGGAAAGTGCCCTTGGAGAAAACACTGGACATCACGTCATCTGTTAGCTTTGGCTGGATCTCAACAACACACTAGCGTCTTTTCTGAGAGCAAAGATGAGCGGAAAGCACTTACATCAGGAGGCAAGTTTTCCCACAGGCACCATCACCAACAATCACGAGCTTTCGTCGGATCTCAGCCATCTGCACAGCAACCAGTGAGGTTAGCCACGTGAGTTTGACAGCGAAAATGAACTATAGAACACTAGAAGGATAATTTCCATGAAAGAGAGAGGGAACTGCATCAGAAGCAGGAGGTAGGAAGTTCCTAAGGAGCTGGTTGTCTGGGTGTTTGGGGGTGTACATACTGTTCAGGTCTGCTTGGAGCAGTTCACTTAAGGGGATGAGGCTGAGAGATGAAACAAGGAGGATGGTTGAAGAAAATAGGATGGAGCAACACGAAGGAATCTGGCAAAGAGCGAGATGGAGAGGATGTTAAATAGAGGATGGCGGAGGATGAGAAAGTGGTTGAGCTCCAGAAGGGAAGATGGAGAGAAGATGTCTGAATAATAACGGGGAGAGGTTTTGAGAAGGGCCAGCAGGCAAAAGGCACGCCAGGTTAAGTTACGGTTGGTTTTGAATCTAAGACTGTTTGGGTCAATTTGCATGCTTTGGCCAATCGATTATTAAAGTGGACCACACAGGAGTCACGACCGCCCAGATACACATACATTCCATACGGGTTTGTCCTTTGTAACGCCTACACCAACAACAAGTCAGCTTGCTGCTGGGTTGTGAGTGACTGATGGCTTTGCTCATTCAAGTTCTAGCTACAAGCTGATGGTGTTTTCCGGTGAGAATACCCGGTTTTTGCACTCCTGATGACGGAGCTGCCATACCGTCTCCATGACCCTTGGCACTCACTTAAACAGGCCTGACTGGCCGTCCTATCCAGAGCCAGAATGCTCCGGAGACGACTAACTGACTAACTTCTCTCTGCTTCCGCTGGCCATTCATAAATTGGCGTTTAAGCCTGCCGACAGCTACCTAACCCATGTAGGTATGAATGGGTGTACTTCAACGGAGCACTCCGTTGACTCTTCATGATCCTTGTAGCATGTTCCAAGAAAGCCACTTAGTCAGGGTTCTCCATTCAAAATTCACAACATAGATGAAGCAGAATCTCCGCTTTCAACAAAGCAACGCTGCCGATGCCTTTTTTTTAACACTTTCGCACCGGCCAACTCCCGATCACCTTCCCTCCCCACAGGTAACTCAAACCTACTGTTGATGAAACGGGACAGAGAGTGTCACGGGTTCAAGTTTTTCTGATCAATATTGCAGAAAAGGGCTGGGCGAGGATCACAATCCAGGATTGCATGTCACGCTCGGGGCTAGCCGCCATACAGAGAAACACTGGGTCGAAAGGTGATGCGAATCAAGCCTGAAAACTCTTCGCAAGGCAGAGCCTCTCCTTCTGGAGTACCCCGGCAGTCAGGCGATTCTGGAGCTACGATCCTGCTCGTGCGGAGTAGGACAAGAGAAACGCAGACGCCTTCTCGGCCCAAGCCATACGGGAGCTCCGCACCTAAGGCACACCGTACAGGCCTCCCCCACATGCAACGCGGCCACCATGTCTCATCCTCGAAAATAAGCTCCCTGGATGACAGATGCCTCTGGTCACCATTGAAGGCCAGCTTCTCTTTAATATTTTGAAACCGATTTTCTTTCACTCCAGGCTTGTTCCTTGCCGCGGACCGATTGGGCAGCGTGACTGCCTGTGGCGGTGCACTTATCAGTTGTGGCGCTAGTGGCTAACCATGGCTGATCGTTGGCTGTTTTTATGTTTGGCCTCTCACCATCCCAACAAAAGGCTGGTTGACAGCCGTTTCCTTTCAGCTATGTTTCAGCTCACAGCTTTCGTTAATCTCTCCAATCCAAACTAACACTACATGCCACCCTGGAGTTCAGTTTGCGGGAGTGTGCTGGAGTCCCGGTGCAGGCACAAGGCTGACTTTGCACAGCCACACTATCCCCGGGCCAATTTGAGCCAGGGGCCCAAAGCAAATCCAACTTTCCATCCATCTTTCGGACCTGAAATGCTAGTTCAAGCGTTATCTCGGCTTCGGTACGTAGCACGGAGTAGTCTTTCTGGGTTGGATGGAGTAGGGCTATCTCAGAGGTCGCTGCTTCGCCCTCTCCCGCTTACCAGCAATTTCATGCATAATCATAAGCTGCTGCATGGAGGTACGCTCTGTATACACATATGGTAGTTAGTTTCACAGGCCGCGTGTACAGAGTATTGTTATCAAGTATGCAAAAAAGTTCCCGGCTGAGATCGGAACAGGGAAGGGCTATGAGCGCCCCATAAAGCCGATGTGTCATCTTTATATGCATCGCCGCCAGACGCGGTTCCAACACGGTCCACTCAGATATTCGTGATGGAAAAGATTGTAAGCGTGTGTACGCCGTACACTGTACACTTGCCCGGCTCAAGCCGTCGACCTCGAACTGTGGCTGGTGAAGATTATATAATATCAATCACATGACCTCACGATCACCTAAGCTGGCTGTTCAAAACTTCGCTTTCACAAATCTCCATGGCTTGAATTGCGGAGTGCGAGCGTCTTCTGCCATTGGTATTCATCTCTGGGAAAATGCAGAAGGTAATACGACGCACGGTCCTTGCCAGCAATCAAGCCAAACGTAAGGCGCGGATTGAGGCTGCTAAGGACCGCCATGAACAGATAAAATCCATATTTCGTGAGAAAGTTGCGCTTCAGCGCAGCCTTCTCGACGAAGCAGCGGAGGAGCGCCGAAACCGACGAGAAGATTGGATGCGAGGCCCCCTAGCGCCGAAAAGGGACTTTGGAGACCGCAATGGGTTATACGGGACCATTTCAACCAACAGGCTCCGGATGCCCAGAGTGCTTGAGGAACAAAGGATAAAATACATGACAATTGCGCCTGGAGATCGAGTGTGCATGGTGCGAGGAAGAGATAGAGGCAAGATCGGCAAAGTTCTCAATGTCGATGCTGAGTCTGAAACTGTTACTATTGAAGGCATCAATATTGTAAGTGCTGTTCGTGGAATACTAGGGGGCCTCTGGAAGAATGACTGATGCTTTCCTCGCTTCAAGTACGATGTGGAATTCCCCTCGTTTGCATTGGCTGGGGATAGTGACAAGCGGCCGTTCCGACCGTATCCAGTACCTGTTCCGATCAACGACGTGCGCCTTGTTGTGCCCCTCGAGGATCCTACCACAGGGCAAGTGAAAGACGTCGTGGTTAAGAATGCATACGGTGGTGCTCCGTTCCTCGATCGGCCTTACGGATCAAATACTCCCAGACACACCCGTTACATATCAGGCCTAAATGTTGAGATCCCATGGCCCGAAACGGAGATTCCTGAGTACAAAGACGAGCCAAATGACACGCTTCGTATCGAAGTCGAAGCCAAAACCTACGTTCCTTCCCTCCAATCCTTCCCTATGCCGGAGACCTTAATAGACGAATTGAGAAATAAATACTCTAAGTACCGAACCCGCCATGATCCTGAGTATCTCGCGAAGAAGCAGGAAGAGGATGTGTATCAGGAGTGGCTGAAGACCAGGACGATGCTCACACCGAAGACGCAGTATTTGCAAAAGAAAGCGGAAAAGAGGATCAAGGAACGAGAGCTTACGAAAAACGAAGATGGAAATTACACACTGTCGAAAGACACCGCCAATTTCATCGAGAAGTTCATGGCGAGCAAGCTACAAGGCGCGGCAACTAACGCATCTCCCTCTGCTTGAAACCTCCCCCTTTCCGAATTATGGCGTTTACAAATGGTGCAATATTAAGGCAGGGAAATATTTTTTGTACGGTTACTACTGTATTATAGCAATAGAAATGTCCATATCATTTGGCGGTCTACCGCTCCTCGAAGCACCAGCTCCTTAGAATATCAAGACAGCATTGCCCCTAGGATTATCCAAGTATATGAATAATGAAAGAGTTTGATGATTGTTCATACTCGTAAATATTCCCGGAAGGAGATCCAAATATGGGTGATATCATGTTATGTATTCGCATTGGCCTTCCAGCGTAGATTAAGACGCGTGCCGCCCGGCAAGATTTTCTCCTAGTACGGCCGCGCCACGTTCCCATCTCCGCGCAACTCATATTTGCACTGCTCCATATTTTATTCGCCCTTATTCAAGATGGGCTTCGTAAGTGTTAACAATAGCCAAATCATTAACAAGGCATTCGGGCCCAATCAACCCTTACAACAGAGAATCTATCAGGCTCTCGGTAGGCGCCTATCGCTCTCCTCTGGCGGAACATTCCACACGCAATGAACTTCCGCACACGCGAATGGACCATCAGAAGCTAACAATAGTTATATGACAGCGGCCTCGCCGGACCTACGTCCTCTATTCGAAGATATTGCAAAATACACCTCCGATCTTCAAGATGCCACCAGCAATGCGGCTGCACCACCGCAACCTAGCCGGTCGCAAGCTCAACCGGTCTTAGGTGAAGGTCCCGCTCCTAAAAAACGTAAGATTGCAAATGGAGGAGATTCTATACGCTCTTCATCCGCTCTGGCTGGGATGACCCAGGATGCAGACCTGCAGATTTACGTCCAGGACATGTCTTTCGCTGTGCCCCAGCGTAAGAAACTACAATTAGAGATCACGCGTGCGCCAGGCAATGTCGAGTACCTTAGGGCGAGAAATCAAGCCTTGAATATGATAGAATTTGGGGTGCCTTTTCCAAAGATTCGTGAGTTTCTTCCTTTTTTTTTTTTCTCTGCTGCCGGGCCATGTTTGCCTGTTGTTTCGCAACCTGGCACTGACGCCCTACATCTAGAGCATGTTCTGTGTCTTCCGGTGCCAGAGAAATCTCAGAAGCAATTCAATTTCTGCATAATACCCGAGGGAAACGACGGAATATCAGCGGCTAAACCCGGAGAGCCGGTCTACGAAACTATCGTTTGGACTGTCCCCGATGGCCCACCCCGGACGGCATTCTTGGGATCAGGTACACCTGCTATGGAAGGTGCTAGTTTGGCTGAGACATATCAGGGCTATCTTCAAAGTATTCTGGACGAGAAGTTGAAGCATACCAGAGTTATTTGCCCTGATGAAAAAGAGTTTGTGAGTGCTATCCCAGAGCCTCATCGAAAAGGGGAGAAGGCCTTTCATGTCAAGGCATTCCGTGGAAGTAAGGAAGGTCAGCATAGCTCCGCCCTACCTTATATAGACTTAGCTAACCTCCGGTACAGGATATATGTTCCTCCTATCTACGGGCATATTCTTTGGCTTCAAGAAGCCCCTCATCTTTTTCGCTTTCGACAATATTGAATCGATTTCATACACTTCTGTCCTTCAAAGAACTTTCAACCTCAACATCCTGACCCGTTCCTCAACCAATCCTGACCATATGCAAGAGTTCGAGCTCTCCATGATCGACCAGGCGGACTATCCAGGTATCGACGCCTATGTCAAGAAGCACCGTCTCCAGGATGCTAGCCTAGTGGAAGCTCGACGTGCCAAAAGTCTTAATATTAATGGTGAGAAGGGTGAAAACCAGGAAGCCCATGCTGAAGGGACGGAATCCGAATTACTCAAGGCCCAGCGGGAGCTTGAAGATCAGGAAGATGAAGAGGAGGAGGACTATGATCCTGGAAGCGATGGAGATAGTGATGGTAGTGGGACCAGTAGTGAAGAAGAGGATGATCATTACGGTGATGAAGATCATGGCGAAGGAAGGAACTTGGTCAAGGAGGAGTTGGGAAGTGAAGCGGAGGATGTGGAGGTTTGATCTCCCCTCATATTCATACCCATTTGCAATCTCTTTTATTCTTCCTGGATCATGGGGAAAATCAAGGCCTTGGTATATAGTTAAAGAATTTGGCTTTACTTCTTTGGCGCCTCTGGTTGTGATTTGAATGACATTACTCAATAGGGACGCAATAGATCCGAAACCAACTTACATGTTTCCCGGTACTCTTGTGGGGTTGAGCTCATGGCATTGTTCGGTGAAAGGTTGGGAGTGGGATGACCAATTGAGGAGACTGTTACCCATCAAAGCTGGTGAGACTTTCCGACAGCACCTCTTGAATTGGCGTTGAACATCAACGCCAGATCAGGGTGAGGTGGTGACGGGTTGAGCTGAGATATGAGTAAATTCCATGCTTGGCAATTGGGTGCATGCTATGGGTGCTATCTTCATGCTTACATGGAGCTACTTTAGACACATTCTTCCAATAGTCATACTTGGCCATAACCATATGGCAAAGCATGACCGCTTTACTCATCAAACGAAGCTCTGCAAGATTTATCATGAGGATAGCCGATATCATCTAGTATGCTGATTTTTTGAAGCTGGCGCTGCGAACATCACACTCGAGTAAATATCAAAAGCAGACGCATTTTGTTCATGTATGTATGTACTCTGTAAACACTGCATACATGTGCATGGGCCTTTCAACTGGCCTGATTGGTCTTGTCGTGAAGGGGTTTCTTGCAGCGCATAATGCGGACAATTAGTTTCGCCCATACTCTGTAGGAAGTATAGCCCCTTCAATCACTCGTAGCGAATTATTTGAATCTCCCAGTCGGCAATAGGTAACAATCATTCATATCACAACGAGACTTCTTCTCCAGCATATATCCGATCATCTGCAGAAGATGAGTGTGGAACCACGGATTATCATTACAATGCTTGAATGCCTGTCAACCCGGGGGGCCGGGGCCATTTGGGAGTTGTCCGAAAGCCCGCTGTCAGCAATTGATTGAGACCGCCTTTCCGATACCAGCCAGGGCCTTCGGCGGTGCCCCCATGGCTCAGGGCCATACCAAGGCAAAGTTTAGACCGATGGGCTAGCAGTCAAAGCGTGAGACTCCGATTGACGAGTCTACAATGGCATTCACGTCAAGTAAGACCATTTGGGACACACCTGACCTGCTGCCACGCCATGTAAACCGCGGGCGTCCGGCAACATTTCAGCTGCACAGGAATCAGCATACCGAAGGCAGGTTTGGAGTTTGACGGTGATATGCTTAGCTAAGACGGCGGTAGGATGAAACGGGGAGTGGCTTAGAAACAGCAGGCGCCCCATTTTCGTAACACCGTCACATACAGGTATTCACGTTGCAGTTACGGGTATTTTACGCAGTTGCACCGTGGCTGGCGCGTAATGCACGTGGAATTTCCGTGTCAGAACCGATCCCACTGTGTGAGAAAAATGGTCCACGTCTCTTTCTGGGGGACGAACTCCAGCTTTCTCTCCAACCAGCCTCTCTCACCTCTGCTCTGGCACATCAGAGTTACCCGCCTGCAGAAGTGATCTCGGTGCAGCTTGTCTTTGAGATCCCTCCGTCATTGACTGCGACCGTCTCATTTCTCCTCCCTCTCTTATCTATCCCCTCTTCACCTACTCGGTTCTCCACGATTCGCATACCAGTCCCTTTTTCCTGGCGCTCTGGCTCACCTCCTTCCTGCCCCCCAACCCTCGACGTCGTCTCTTTATCACCACGCTTCTCGAAGCCATCAAAGCCAATTCTCTCCTTTTATCTAGTCGATTTTTGATTCTCTTCGGTTTACTAATTGGAGCGGCGCGTTGGTTTACTATTATCGGCGTTTTGTACAGCGATTACCTCGATTTATGATATGTTTTCTCCGTGAATACCTCAGAGTAAGCGGCCTCCCTTTTCACTGAGTCCTTGTTGGACGCACTCGGACACAGTCTTTTTCCTTTCTTTCCTTCCTGAGGGCAGAAGTTGACCGGACTCTTTCGCAGAAAGCATCTTTTTTTTTTTTTTTTTTTTTTTTTTACGTTCACTCTGGGCCCACGTCCGTGCTCGCCTCGTTCCATCCATCACACCTCGTATTACTACTCTATCCCAATCATTGTAAAACAACAGTGTTTTGCTAGTACGATAGGCGACAGAGATGACATCTTCGTCCTCGAACGTTGTTGGGGTTCACTACCGGGTGGGAAAGAAAATCGGTGAAGGCTCCTTCGGTGTTATCTTTGAAGGAACAAACCTTTTGAACAATCAGCAGGTTGCAATCAAATTCGTAGGTGCCAATCGATAAACCCAAACCACGTTAGAATGCGGACGGACTAGCTAACAATGCGCTAGGAACCGCGGAAGAGTGATGCTCCTCAACTCCGAGATGAATATCGCACCTACAAGATCCTCGTTGGATGCCGTGAGTCAACCCGCGTCAATGCATCGTATCGTTATCATCTTTTTTTTTTTTTAGCTAACTTAATATAGCTGGCATACCTAATGTCTACTATTTTGGGCAGGAGGGTCTCCACAACATTCTCGTTATTGATCTCTTAGGTCCAAGTCTAGAAGATCTTTTCGATCATTGCAACCGAAGGTTCACTATAAAAACAGTTGTAATGGTTGCAAAACAAATGGTATGGTTGTCTCGTGTGTACACATCTATCCACTGCTAACTTGGCGATCAGTTATCGAGGGTCCAAACAATCCACGAGAAAAATCTTATTTACAGAGACATTAAACCGGACAACTTCCTAATTGGGAGACCTGGCTCCAAGGCAGCCAATGTGATCCATGTCGTCGACTTTGGAATGGCAAAACAGTACAGGGACCCAAAAACAAAGCAGCATATTCCCTACCGAGAACGCAAATCTCTATCGGGAACTGCACGTTACATGAGTATCAACACGCATCTTGGTAGGGAACAGTCACGCCGAGATGACCTTGAAGCCCTAGGCCATGTGTTCATGTACTTCCTTAGAGGTGGTTTGCCATGGCAAGGCTTGAAAGCTGCCACTAATAAGCAAAAGTACGAAAAAATTGGCGAAAAGAAACAGACAACTGCCGTCAAGGATCTCTGTGATGGATATCCAGGTACTTATCTCATTGGTTGAAAAAGCATTTAAACATTCTAACATGGTTTATAGACGAGTTCAACAAGTACCTTACCTATGTTCGAAACCTCGGTTTCGAAGATACTCCTGATTACGATTATTTGCGCGATCTTTTCACTCAAGCATTGAAGAATACAGGGGAAGTGGAAGATGGGGAGTATGACTGGATGAAGCTGAACGGAGGTCGAGGTTGGGAAGCCTCTAAGTCTTACCCTGCCCAACACCACTTGCACACCGGCAATGCAATGCCGAATTCATCTGCTCGGGAAATTCATGGTGCTTCAGCGGCAAGAGGCCCTCATCCTCAAAGACCCGGAATTACCGCTGACCGTTTAAACGCCGCGCAGCCCCCGCCCCCATCTCCTGCGAAACCAGGAGCTGGGAAACCAGCGCGAGAGCGGCCAAACGCATCCGGCGGGCCGCAAGTCAAGCGTCAAAACGGAGCGGCGGGGGGACTCGATGCAACTGCAGCAGCTTCAACGCAGGCTCAGTTTCAGAATTCAAATGCACATCTCCCGGGCCGGATCAGCAACCCGGTCAATAGCACAATGAACAATCCCCAGGCTCAACCAGCGCGGAGAACCCCTGAACCTGAGCCTACCTTTGTGCAGAAAGTGATGAAAGCATTGTGTTGTGGTGAGTCTGACATTGGCTGATTCCTTATGTACCACTGCTCACCGTCATCTAGGTTGAATTTCCAGCCCATCTAACAAAATAATCCTGATTTGACAACATGTTACTGTGGGAGTTGATCGAAAGGCTCCTTATCCCATACATCTATGGAGCCTTTTCTCTTTCGCTTGTTTCTTTTTTTTCTTTTTCGCGGGAACACGTTTTAACGACACGGCCGACGACGGATTCAAAATCTCAGTTCACCCTTTTAATTTATGGAGCGCTTTTCTTTCTCGTATTACTTATATTAATATCTCGACCTCCGTTACGAACATCTTGGAGGGATAATACCTGAACTCTCGGCATGATTACCTAGAGTGTCTATCTCGTCCCCCGTCCATTCCAAATCGATTCAACCCCGGTTACTCTCCGCGCAGTTACGCGATGCAAATTCTTCTCAACCTCTCTCCCAGCTTTTCATGTTTTGCCTTTGGCGTAAAACTTGAATATCTTCAGCCTGTCTTTGTCTGAGCGTCTCTCAGTTTTCGGAATAGACTATCGCCCAAGATTCCGACCAGAAAAATGAGCCATGCGGCCCTGTACCTTGCATATTCCGTTATTTCGGCTATATACACATATTCGCATGAGTTGCTGGAAAGTGCAGAGCCATTTTTAGCTGGTGGACAAGGCGATGGTTCCATTTTACCGGCGAATTCTATCCCTCGTGTGCCATTCTCTCAAAGGTCGGGTTGAGAAGTCGAGACGATATCATATGGGAGGGTGATAGTAATGAACTGATTTACCAAGAGTCCAATGTCATGCATCGTTCACTTTGTGTTTCCATACCCGCGCCTGACTCTAGCAGTTTTTTCTTTTTGACTTTTTCCTTTTTCTTTTTTTGTTTCATTTGTTCTATTGGCGTCGTGCTGGGTTGCCACCGTATATCTGTTTTTTGTTCCTCTTTCGACTCTCCATGTAAGTCTTTTTTGGCCTTTGATTGATGAAGTATCTCCGAGTAGAATATTGTACGTAGAGCAGCGGACCTCAGTGAGCGAAGTACTTCTAGCAAACTTACCCGGTTAATATTGTCCAATATATTCAATAACAGGAGATTCCCAGGCTTAAGGTATCGATTTGCTTTTGTGTCTTATGCTGCACTACTCTTTCTATGTTTTTCTAGCCGAGAATATCCTACCCAACGTTCCCAGGGAACAATCAGGTGGTTGTCTTTATCTGTATTGACCCATTTCCTGAATATGCAACTGTTTTACGTGTGACTGATTCTGCTCCACTTTCTTTTTATAAGACACACTAGCTTGTGTTTCTGAAATGCGCCTGTTTGCCACATTACCATTACATCAAGGCTAAGGTACTGACAAGCACCCAAAGCCAATTTATCAGTACGAGCCCAAATTTGAGATGTTGTATTCCTGCTCTGTGGCCCCGCAAACCAAGACTTGTCTGTGAACACCAGCAATAGGGAGGGTTGACGCTTAGGCCTCGGTTCCTCTTAATGCCCAATGAATGCCCATGTCAACCGGAAAATGCAACTCGAGAGCGATTTCGATAATACTCTTATTTTACAACCGTCCCGACCTAGGTGCCAATTATGGACAAAAATTAGCTTCTTGGTCACACTGCGATCCGTTAGCAAGGCCCAAAAGGACAAAGGAAAGCTGATACAGTGGCCGATTCACCCCAGATCTTGTGTAATGGGGAAAGGAGACGTGGGGGTTAGCTACCAATGTTCTGTCCTCTGGTCTTATACGGAGTAGATAAGGAGCATTTTGCGACAGCAAGCGCAATAAGCGGGAACAACTAGTTCCTGCGGATCCCCAAGTTAACAGTTGATAGCACGCCGGTCCCGCTTCCTAGGCCTAAGTAGACAAGGCACCGGTGATCGCAAGTGGATGAAGCATGATCCACGCTGAAAGTGCTGTCGCATTTTGCGTCTTTCTTATTGGGTTAAAAAACGGCGGTCTGTCTTCATCACCACGAGTGCAGGAAAGGTCAAAGCCTGATCTTGGAAGTGAAACTCAGACCGCTTTTTCTCAGTGATACCCCAAGGGTCCAGCACATATCTGTCTAAGAGAGATAGCTAGGCTTGGTTGCTGAGATATCTGGAGATACGAAAACATCGTTCTGTTGGCAGATTGACCGTGAGAGCACCCCCATATAAGTTCAAGCACACGGTGGAGGAGGTTGTTGCCCAAAGGACACTGTGTGACATTCAATGACACTCACAGCCAGCTCGCAGAGACTGTTCACATCATCTTCATCCTCGCCTTATCAAGGAATGGAGTTGGTCTTGTCGTTGAACCACTTTCACGTGAGAGGCCAGCCGGCAAGGTCGATATTTTAGCCGCGGGCGACAATCAACATTCAACTTGTCCCCATCTCTCAAGGGAATTAGGGTTGTGTCAACTTCCAAGGGCAGACAAGGCTGTCAGCCTGTCTTTCCCCGAAGGATACCCACGCAATGCTATTCCAGGGGCCTTGTCCGGCCGTTAAACTTTGTTTTCTCCTCTGGTGAGGTGGTATTGTACAGTTCCCGGCAACAATGTCCCTATCACCGATATCAATGCAAAGGGAAAAAAAGGAAAGCGGGGTAGATCTCATGTGCATGGTCCAGGTGGTCACAAAGAGGTGCAAGGGATGTGTCGAGGTGCAGCATCCAGCCCAGTTAAAGCAAAGTGACTAACCACTTGCAACTTGCAGTGAACTGGTGTGCTGTATATGCTACCATGCACCAGCTTGCGTGCTTAGTTGGCTACCGAGGTAAGTATGTAGTTTATTCTCCACTACAGAGTAGTCATAAGGGACATATCACTAATACTCTGTACTCCATAGGGGATTAACTGATGACGAAGTGCTTGGCCCATTGTGTCTTTCAGCTGCTCATGCCCTCGCTGCCACGGAGAACATGAATAAGATAAGCAAAGAGAAGAGAGGAAGGAAGAAATAGAGCTGGATGGTGTGAGACCAACTGTCGCAGTCGTTAAACTTCTTGCCTTGGGTTCTCTGGCATATGGCAATGTGTCACAAAAGTGGTGATCGATGTCCACTGGACCATAAGTTCATTACTATATTTTATAGCTGGAATTCTATTGACTGTGAGGTGACAGCGTCGCTGCTATGATTATACTATGAATGCAAAGGTTGTGACCTGGATATCCCCATCCTCGACTTGGTTGCCAATTCTTTCTTGGAGGAGTGAGGAGTATGTATTTTACTTCAACTCTTGAATTCCTGGGTACACTCTGACTGGAAACCAGGCCAGGTTTATCTGGACATGTAACCTCAACAATGGATACTCAGTGCTATTTTCTGGTGTACATCCAAAACCTTTAGGTGCATCACATGCGCAGCTAACACATGGTGACCCAGAGCTCAGGAACGCCCCCATTTTGAAGGATTGTTTGAGCATTGTTCAGATTGATTTTAGTTGAACCAATATCTATGGCGAGCACTGAACCAAGAATAGAGAGAACCCTTTTTTGGACAAGCGAAGAAAGAGAGGCGCAAACATGCATACATATTCTGCCGCACATGATCGATCCTCATCCGACATCCGTACAAAATACAAAGGACTTCAGACCCAGGCACCTAAAAATGCGGTAGCGTGAAGTGAGAATTGGCTTGTCACACCAGGAATAAGAAGAGCGGAAAGGATAACTCCATCTTTTGGCTACTTTGGTATATCTTTACAATACCCGCCTGTGACAGACAGGATTGCTAGTTGCTTGAAGGGGAGTACATATGTTTATGAGTACTGTGGTGCAATTCTGTGTCTCCGTCAAGCTATTGATCAAGCTGGCAAAGCTTGTCGGTCAAACATTCATAGAAGAGGCACTGGAGCACAGCAGTTCAACCCTCAAGCAAAATCATCTTGGTCCTACCCATAACTTCAAATATTAGCAATAACTGGCTGTATCATTCTATCAAATAGCATGCATGACCTTTTGAACACCACTTCAAATTATTAGCTTCAATACAGTACAGAATATCGAAAGGGAACATGAAAGAGTTCTTGACAAGGCTTGAGATTGTCGGCGGTCGCAGGGATTAGTGCCTTGAATAGCTGAAAATTGACTCAATTAATCCTACCCATCTCATGTTTCCATTCATTCTCTGTGCATTGGCCTGAAAGCTGGCTCAGATATGAGTTTATTTGGTGGATGTACTTACCTGGTCCATCTGTGCTAATCTACAAAGGGTTTGGTGGATTTCTGCGTAGTTGGATTGTGTCTCTGACCTGCTCCGTACGCATCCGCGCACAGGTCGAGGAACTGGGGGCAATCTCAGTCCTCCATTTCGTCTACCCGTCCTTTTGTTAGTTTTATTGAGGCAGCGGCCAGCTGTCCAATTCTATTCCCGCCATGGCACTGCTAACAGTAGCCATTAGACCAGGCCAAGATACCCTTCACACCTTCGATTCCCTCCGGGATCCTTCGTGTAGTCGAAGTTATTCTTGCCTGCTACCTTGACAGGGTTCCTGGGTGGAGATAAGGACAATGTCACTTTGTAAACTTGGAATACGGTCCAGAAAACACAAGGCTCAGCTCTGGTCTCTGGCCAGGACAAACAGCAGACGAGTACGACAAACGTCGGCTCCGGGAGCCTGGCCGCATGTTCGCTCTCTCTAGCTATATCTTTCTTGACCGGATCAAGAATTGGCGACGGCTATATATAGCCATGCAGTGCACTGTGATGGGGCATGAAGGATATATGTAAAATGTCACCTTTTTGCATATCATCCGTTGAGAACAGCAGGTCTCCAACGTTTTCAATCGTTCGCTGGATGCGTGGTTTTATACGGAGTAGCCGGATGAAAATCACTCCCGACTCGGCGCTCTCCCTTGCCGACGAGGGATGGGGCCTTGAAGCTGAGCAATAGCAGAGGTTATCGGTGCAGCAGATAACAGTCTGAGAAAACGGGCCTAACAAGGGAGCGGGTAGAATATGCATTCCGCGGTTTATCCAGGAATTTCGAGGCTGGCTTTGGACGAAAGGGATTAGAGCATATACAATTCTCTTGCCTGCCATCGCATTTCCTGGCATGCCTCGCATTGACTTTGTTTCCCGGGATTCGTCGCCGACAATTGCAATGTGCCGCGTGCGGAATTGTTTCAGTCATTACCTTTTTTTTTTTTTTTCCGGGATATTTGCTCACTCCAGTCCCTCCAATGGCATCTTACGCCACGTCGGAGGTTTCGATTTAGCAGAATTCCAAGCTAATTCTGTTTGTCTGTCGGCTTGGTAGTTTCTTGAGCCTTTTGATGACTGAAGGTCTCATGCTTGAGCACTCTCATGACGCTCGTTAACAAGTCCTGGTCAATATCCGAAGAAATAAAAAAGTATATATTTCCAAAAAAGAACTCCGTTCCATTTTCCTCCAGGGGGGCTGGGGGCTAACTTCATCCCTGGCCTTCTGTCCATGTTCCATGGGGCTATGGATCAACTAGACAAAGTGGACCCTTGCCAGTCCGTGAAAAGTTGTTCGAAATTGCGTCCCAGGAGCAGAACCACACGGGATTCTTTCCATATTACGGGTCCACGTTGACAGCGTACCATCTGATCTTCAATCTCAAGGCTGGATATTTGAAATGGTAACGGTATTGGTCACTTATTCCCAGCATCTTTGTAACCGAAAGATGTGTTTGTCTTGACAAGGAAGCCATTATTCTAGGCTCTTCGAGCCAACGGCCATGCTTGAAGAATTATCGAATGCCAATGCTCGACGTCCAAAGGAAGATCTACACGGTTCATCTGGTAACATCGGAGCAAAGGACCAAGAGGACTTCTGCTCCACTCCTCCTAGACGAAGGTTTGAATTGCGAGGGAATTCAACTCATAAAGCTTCCTTGCGTTTGTTGAAACAAAAAAGATCAGTGCAATATCAGAAGGAATCGCAGACTCGATTGTCGCGAAAGTTAGACACCACAAAGGGAATCCAAATGCATGACATCCGAAATTGATGATTCTGACTGCCCTGATACCGAACAGAAGGCAGAGGCTCACAATCCCCCACCCCGTGTGAGGTGGTTTTGATGACTTGTTCGACCGGAATGAAGTGGAAACCAGGCGGTTCCACCAACACTCCGCGAGAATTAAGATGCCGCCCAAACTATGATGCAAAAAACAATCCTAATATCACTGCTATTACTGCATATCATGGCCCATTTCAACGTGGAGTCTCATTAATGTCCCTGCCCAATTAGAACCCTCTACTGCTTGAGGCCTTTTTCCTCCCCAGAGTCCAGAACTCCATATTGGCCCAAATCCCTGCGGCAATCGACGGCTGTTTCATGATTTTTACTTTATTTTATATATACATATATATATAAATTTTTTTTCTTGAGGCAGGAGAATTTCTTATCGAACAAAGAAAAAAATCGCAGAGGCTAAGGGTTGCCGAATTTCATTTTCGACGGATTATCCGCTCTTGGAGCAAGGAATATGCTGCTGCAGAATGGCAGCCTCTTCATACCGAACGAGGCATCGCGTGAGCCCTTCCGGTAAGCCAAACACCGGATAAAGACCGGTCAATGCTGTGGGTCTCATCAACGCCTTGAATATCGAAGGATACAAACCATGGTATAACATCCGCTCTCGATACTTGGCCGATATCCCACAGATTAGTAAGAGAAATCTATGTCGAGGGTCTATGTCCTTACTAATCAAGGAAAACTTTGGAAGAGGGCTGATCCAATAAATGGGCCGAGCGGTTGCTCCAACGTCGCACAGGGGCCTTGTCTGGAAGTGGGAAGGGAAAGTGGCGTGCAAATGGTTGATACCTTGGCTCAACAGGGGCACCAGGGCTACCCAGGATTTGCTAGAAAAGGGGTGTGATCAATTACCCAATCTTCAGAGGGATTTCCGCGGAACCCCTGATGATATCATTCAACCTGACAGGGCGACAAGAGGTTGAGCTTGAGAGGCGAATCGAGTCATGTCTCTATTACACCATTGAAGCATCGCATGCTCTCATAAGTCAAGAAATGCTGTGACGGTGTTATTAATTTTTTTTTTTTTTTTTTTGGCTCGAAGGCGCCGTCACTCCGAGTTCGTCCGGGGTCTCCGTGTGGGAATAAAGTTGGGAGGAACAAGTTTCTGTCAGCCTCCGCCGAGAAGTCCGCAGATTTCCTCATGGTCACTGGTACTGCTCAAACCCTAATCGATCTCGGGATGATCAAATCTACCCAAATTGACACGGATCCTCCGCGGGTCCCTCCGACGGTACAAGGACCCTTTTGATGCATGATAACGGTCACCGGCGGCAGCAGGCCTGTAACCCAAACCCCCCCTCCCCCCGGCGCAAATGCCGGGACTCGGACATTGGCAACAGCCCGCTGCAGCTTTCCCAGAGGACTTCCCGAGAGTTGAATAAACGGAAGACCATGGGAAAACTCCCGCCTTGGATAGCGGAGCGGAATGTACGGTCTGGACTTCGTACAATCAAGGAAAATTAAGAGGTATCGGAAAATTCTTTTGCATACGAGCAACGGGCTTTGTCAGCCCTAAGGAGACAAGACCAGGGGCTGGCCGCCTGGGCCGCCTGGTCGCCTCCCAACACCAGAACTTTTTTTTTTTTTTCTTTCTCTTTGGTTCCCAATGTTTTGGCTTCATCGGGTAGTTCAGTAGTAAGGCTATTCTCAGAGAATCAACAGATTCTCGTCCATGATTCGTAGAGTCATCTCAGCACGCTCTGCACCACCCTTGGCGAATTCTCGGGATTGGAACGAGAGAGCAGACGAAGGACTTTTTATTCAACAAAATTGACCGAGAAAAAAGAAATTCTAAGTGGGGGAACTAACCCGGAAGGCTTCCAGAAGACGCGCAGAAGGGCGAAGTGCGTTACACAGCCTCCCAGCGTCACGCTGTATTACGATAACATACCGGATTGATTTCATGCTTTATTACGGTGCTGGTGTATGTGTGTGTGTACTCTGTACATATGTAGGGTACATCGAACATCTTCATCCAGACTTACGGGTGCGAGCTCATTCCTGGCTCTGCGGGCCAACCTGGCAGAGCTGGTGTGTTGCAGCAAAGGGCGCATCCAGCTCAGAGTCGCAAGGGCTTCCAAGAAAACTGGCACTTTTGCAGGAACCCCAACGGGTCTCGAAGCGTGGGCTCTGGAACTTTGGCAATTTCAAAACAAAGAAAATTCCCGAGCCTTGGCGAACTTTCACGGTTGGTCATGATATCATCAAGGCGCCGCAAGTGGAGATGCTGCTTCCAAATCAGAATTCCCCGTCGAGCTTGTCTGTCGACTGGCGTCGTTCGAAGGGCGTGCTTTTGGCGAGGAGGTGCAGTCCATCGACCAAACGTGTGGGCCTTGTTCTGACAGCTAGCGCAAATCGGTGGAGCTGCTTTGCCCTTTGGGTTGCCAAAATCCCAGAGAGCTCCATGTCGCGAACTCCGGCCATGTGTGTCTTTGTGACTCGTTTCTTCTTTTCTGCGTCAGGAAACGCGATCTCATTCTGATGTGTCGCAAACGTGGCTTGCATGCAACAGAAGAGAGAGCAAATGAATGGTGAGTTAATTGACTTTTCGACCATCTCCTCTCCCCGACGAAAATGGGTGGTGTCGGGGACGATCATCGACGTAGCAAGCAAAAGAGGCACGGAAAGAGCTGTCTATACTCCGTACTTGGGAAGCATCAATCAAGGAAGGGTTTTCCAAAATAATCATTGGAATTTACCTGTTCTTTTTGCCTCGGTTCTGTCTTCCCGCCGGTGCCGCGTTGTCGGGTTGAGAAGCTGTTGTGGCCAAAGAAGAGCTTTCTGAGTACGAGACAATACTGGAGCTTCAAGCATGCTGGCTGCCCTTACTCTTCCCACGGCCACTCGCAGCCAGCTGTTCAAGCATGCATTAGCTCAGCTTTTCTTTTTCTTCTTTCCTTCCCCAATCCTTGCTCTGCACCACCGCGTGCATGCTCTGCATCAAAATAGCATTTGAATACGAGCTGCAGCTTGTGTCACACCTGGGCGTTTTCTGGAAGGTTTGCTTGGTTTATCCGGTCATCAACTCGAACCCCAGAACCAGGATGTTTGTACTCCGCATCTGAAAACCCGTTCTTCCAGCAGGTGCTGAATGCAGGAATGAAAAAAAAAAAAAAAAAAAAAAAAAAAAAAAAAAAAAAAAAAGAGAGAGCTTGAGAAGACAGGGGTGCAGAAAATATTTATTTTGTTAAGAACATCTCCCCAGCAGCAACCTATGAGAGTTTGCAGTTTCAGCTCAAATGTTCCACGGATTCCGATTGTTTGCTCCAAGGGTTCCCATAGCTAGAGGTGTTATAGGTCCTCGAGATCCACCAAGGTATCAATTAGGATCTCTGATTGTCCAGTTTCAACGGTCCGATCGCGGGGAAAATCAAGCCGAAGAACGGAGGACGGAACTTAGCTGATGTTACCCCGAAAGAGCCACAGAGCATCTTGTGGATAAATAGTTTCCAAAGCAATTGGATCTCACCAGAAGAACACAGAAAGCAAGCAGAGTGGACAGCGTCTCTCTGCCACTCGCTCGGAATTGAAGCTTCAACCCTTGGGGGAAGCGGTGTAAAGGTATCCGCCTTCTTCCCCCACCCCCCTCCCTCTCGCGCTTGTGACAAAAACCTCCTACTGGTTGCTGATCTTGCTTCTCTTGAGGTGGACCGGCCGATCTTAAAATTCAGATTTGGGGGTTTGACGCGTTGCTCCATTAATAATTTGATACATATTCCCGAGGTGCCGATCAGTTAACCGCACAGATGGGATGGTACCAGCAAAAAGTCACATTTCAGGGTGTGAGAATGGTTGATTCGGCTGCGACACGATCAGTGCGCGTGAGGCTGATACATTGAGGAGCAAAAGCAGAGGAGAGATAATGGAACATAACCAGCGGCATCAAAACACCTTCTGAGCATTTGCTCAAAGGGGGGGGGGGGGGGGGGGGGGGCGATCAGGGATTCACTGCCGTTGTTTCCAGCGGCTGACGCTCTCCAGGCTGAAAGGAAGCAGGGAATGAAAGAAAATCGAGGAACATCCGTTAGCTCACCAATTGCTTTCATGATGATATCGCATGTGAACTGGTTCAGATGGGGATTATAAAGACCTTTCAACGTGGATCACCGGGGTTGTGGTCAAGTGATGTCGTCAACCGGCAAAACCCCCCTTCCCCAACAAAGGGACAAGTTTGCAGCATTCCTGCGAATGTCGACACTATACATACGGAGTCCGGAGTCCGGAGTACATACATTGAAACTGAACCAAACAGGGCAAAGAATGCCATCAATAATGCTGCCGATCGTTTGAATGATGGATCTCTGGTACTGGGTTGCATGATATTGCGGTACAGTCCAATGGATAGACGGGAGACGATCGCCTATAACGAAAGCTTCGGTACTCTACTCTTGGTTGCAGGCAGAAATTCGTTAGCAGCCTGATTAAGAGGCACATCCTCGCTGTCAAGTTTACATGAAACGGTGGTGGTGGTCGGAAGGGCTGGGCGGCCGGGGTGGTCCCTTCTGGGAAGTGAGCAAAAGAGCCGAAGCCAAGGGCTGGGGGAGGGACGAGGAGCGATTTCGGGGCATGTTAGCAATCGGAGTTCTCCGTGTCAATTCGGAGCGAGCTATCGAGATACGAGCTTCTCAAAGAGTAATGATGGTGTCTTGGTCACTCTCTTTTTTTCCTTTTTATTTTCTTTTTCCCCCCTCCCTCCTCTGAAGGGCCCGACAACTAGACTTGAGATCGAGCGGAGAGACATACCTCTGTAGGGCGCAGACGAAGCTTGCTGCCGGACGTCCGTACAGTATCATGGTTACGGCTGCTCCGTTACGGGGTAATAAGTTACGCCCTCTATAGGTGTTACCGTGCCGTCCGGCAGAACAGGAGAAGGCAGTGACCAATGACAGCGGCGGTTTCAATACCTTGGCGTTTTGCCCGCTTTCGGCAAGGTGCAGGGGCGATGCATGCACGCCAAGAACGAGCGAGCAAACTTAGAAGACGCCGAGAACACGAAAAGAAGCTGAATGGAAGGAAATCGAAGGAGCATAACTGAGTTTAGCTTCCTGCTGGGACGGGGCTGCCTGCGACGGGCCAACCAGGTTTCGCCCTGCGCGTCACCCTTTTTCGCTCATTGGCGACATCCCGGTCCGCTGCTGGGCACCGCAAGGGTCCCTTTTCCTCCCCCCATCCTGGTCCGCGATGATGGTGGTGATGGTGGTGATGGTGGTGGTGTTGTCGTTGACATAATTTTATTATGAGTTAGTTATTGTTTTATTATCTTTTTCTTGTTTGGTAAAAGTAGGTCCATGATTCGCACACCCGCATCTCCTCTTCCACACCCCCCCCCCGGGCGTCAAGACGAACAAGAATGCTGGAGGGGCCCCTTTGGTCCCTTTCAAAATCAAAAAAGGACAGCCAGGGGAGCATGATTTTCTTTCCGTCCAGGTTGTCGACGCCAACTCACACATACACACACCTACCAGGGTATTTTAAAAGCAGACTCATTTTTGTTCGGAGTGGGATCAATCGCCGGTCAAATCCAGGCAACTTTTTCCCCTTGCTGATGGGACCTTTTTGTTCTGCCTGTCGCTTTTCTTGAATAGCCGCGGGACCTTTCTCGTCTTGTTCTCCCCCATTCAACAGTGGGCCGCTGGCCAATAATGTACGATTGGTGGTCGGCTCACTTGCTGGAGTGGAAAAGGTCTCGCCGTCACCCCAGTAGTAGTTTAACTGTAAAAAATAGCCGGGTGAAGAATAGAATCCTGCACGAAAATGCGGTTGTTTTTAAGATATGGATTTTCTTCGGGCATTTCCACCCAGGTGCGTCCTTGAGCTCAGAAATCATCCGATCCAGACTGCGTCGGCGGCTAGGTCTGCCGCAGCAGTCAATATTTCATTCCTTTTTTTATTCTCTTACAGGCCAGGGAAGTATCGCGGTATGTGGCTAGCCAGGTTTCCGATCTCTCGCACCCTTGTCCACGTAGCCTTGTTGGTCGAATAGCTGGCATTTTCCTGGGAGCTTATGGTAAAGTGACAGGTCAGCAACCTAATACTTTGAACAACCAATAAACCCCCCCCCCTTCTCTCTCTCTCTTCAAAGTCTAGTAGCTTGGAAAAAAAAAAAATAAAAATAAAAATAAAAAGAAAAAGAAAAAATAAACCCGGGAGAGAGAGAAACAGGATGTGCGGAGAGTATGACTGCGACTAAGGACTCGTACAGCCTCCCCTTTTTGGCCGCGCAAGGCATTTCACGTAACCGCTGGATAGATCTTCAGGAACTGCGTGTTACATTTACGCGCCAGCCAGCCAACAGAAGCGGCGTATCACAGGCCGATGAAAAGCTAAACCGAGAGGTAGTTATTATTGCCACCTGTGCCAGAAGAGGATCATCCTTTTCGACGCCTCCAGTGCGGGTCGTCGCCGCAGACCAGACAGACGAATGGCCACGTACAGCAAACACACTGACTGCACGGGGTGCGGGATAGAAGTGGTGTCATTTCGCAGAAAATAATTATTCTTTTTTTCCCACTAAAAGAGCTTGTTCAAGAAGCATATTTGACATTATTCACCATTTGGAAATTAGCATTCTTGACTTGGCCTGGGGCATGAATCAGGCGGGAAGGCGGAAAAGGAAGGAAAAGAAGAAAAAAGGCAAAGCAAAAAGGATTTCTGCTTGTCAGTCAGCAGGCTTCTTGGGCCAAGAAGGACTGATTACTTATCGTTTGATTCATTGACCGTGGCTCGAAGCCAAAAACTCCTCTTCTGGTACCACGAGTGGGAAAACGGGATTCTCTCACGAATTAGCCTCTGGATTCAAACTCGGTGACAATCCCTGGGTCTGTTTGACCCGCTTGCCGTCATCATCGCGTCCTTTTTGCCCAAAGCCTGTTGCGCTTTCGATTTGCTTTTGCAGGATATATGGGAGCAAGAGTCTCGCCCGCCCAATTCTTACTGCTAAGGGTTTCTGGCGGTTCATCATCGTCAGTGGCTTTCCTTTTATACAACTGCCTCAGCGCTTCCCTGCATTTCGCTGCAAATAGTCAACGATCCTTCTCTTCGGCTCCACTCCTGGGTCTTCTTATTTTCTCTTGATCCTCTTTTTTTTTCCGCGACTTTATTTTTCTATTTTATTTTATTTTATTTTTTTGGACTGCCTGCGACCATCACGCCCGTTATCCACCTTGTCTCCACCCAGACAAGGTATTTATACAAGGTAGACCGGTTACGGGGTAACAGATACACCCGAAATACTGTATCTAGGCTACTTATACACTTGTCACTGGTACTTGTCAGTCGATCCCGCCCTTCCCACGCCCTGCTCTGCCTCTCACTCTTATCTCCCTCTCGCTGCCCTTCAGCTCTCTCTCTTCCGCTGATGCTTGTCTTCTTTTTCCTTTCCCGTTGTCACGGTCTCCTCTTATATATCACATTACCTATTCATTTCGTATATCTGCACCTTTCGCCCTAAGATCTCCATAATCCCGGCCTGCCCTCCCTCACAAATCTCCTACCATCTTACTCACTCGAAATCATTTAATTAGTATATCGCCTTTATTATCCTGGCCGTTCTTCAACTCACCGTCCGGGGGGGGTCTCGATCCTCTCCCCCGTCACACTCAATCCTAGCCGGACTCTCGACTTCCGCTGGGTCCCATTTCACCCTAACCGCCATATCCCTACACTGGTTCATCCGCTATTTCAACTCTCCGGCGCTCAGAAGAGTTCTTGCGCATTCTCTCTCCTAAAATTTATACTCTTCTCTTTCGGTGGTAGAGGCGCGCCAATCTTCCCACCCGGAAAACTTGCCCAATATTCCCAATCTTGCGTGTGGAGGTGGCATTATTTCTGCGCTTCCAGCGGCTACCTGTTTTGGTGCTGTACCATCCTCTACCCACTTTCTGTGACTCGGCCATCGAACCCCGCAAGTTTCGAAAGGCAGCTGCAGCACAGCAAACTCGGGGGGAAGTCCAGATCCCACGGTGCAACAATCGCGGACTAGACGCGTTGCCTCTTTCGAAGTCAGCGAATTTTGTCCGTGGTGGTTTGCACGCCTCCCTCCCAAGGTCAATTATCCAATCCACCCTATTTCCCCAACAATAACTCTTTGTGGTCTCCGTACCCAAGTTGCCAACGCTGGAGCCGTTAGACGGAATTCTTCGTGCTCACGGGGTGGAAGGATCGAGGAGAGTGTGGAGAGACATCAGAACAAGATCAAGGGACGGTGGATCCAAGCGTGAGTCTCTGAGGGGGATGATTTCAGGAAGGTCTCGACGATCAGCCGAGTCTTCCTGGGATCCTACGCCTGAGTCTTCGCCCCATCATTCTCCATTACCCTCAGACTCTGACTCGGATAACGAGGAAAGAATGGAAAACTGGGGTCCCTCGAGACCCCTTAGCATATCCGTTCCTGGAAATCAGCATTCGCGCCCAACATTAGACGATGTTCTGGCCGACCGGGCGCCTCCGCCTTACACGCTTAGCGCATTCACAGCATACCTCTCTCAGAACCACTGCCTGGAAACGTTAGAATTCACAAAGGACGCCGAGCGCTATAGAACATACTATCATCGACCCGAGCGAAACGACACCGCCGAAACGCACGCCCAGAGACTTCGAGTATACTGGAACCGGATAATAAATGCGTACATCGTCCCCGGAGCTCCTCGAGAGATAAATCTTCCAAGCACAGTTAGAGACGGCTTACTCAGTCACTCCCATTCACCGAGACCCCCAAACCCCGACGTGCTCCAGGGAGCCGTTCGCCGAATGCGCGACCTGATGGACGAATCGATATTTCTGCCCTTTCTTAACAGCCGCTCTGTTTCACAACCACCCCCACGCGCATCGTACCAGCAGTATCCGCCGAACGCACCTATGGAGGAGGCACGCGTCAGCCGTCACATCTCGATGCGAAGGCACATCTCGCCGGAAACCTCGCTTGCCGTGCCCCGTTCAACAGGCTACTCGTCGCATCCCACATCCGGCTCCAACACCAGTTCGACAAGCAGTTCAGCATACCGATCTTCGCCCCAGGGGTACACGAGCGGTGATTCGGTTTCAGGCAGCCTCACAGACGATTCGGGTAGCCTTCCATCGAGTCCCGGCGCCGGAGCACCGATGACCCCTCCCACGAACGCCCCCCGGCAGCAACATGCATAGTCCCAGGGCGCGGTCGGATAAAGGCTGGAAGAAGATGGGGATGAAACTTGGTTGGAAGAAGTAAGAAAGAAATTGAGCGTGATGGAGAGGGGCAATCGCAGGATGAAGACAAGGGTCGATGCCATGCTTCTCACTCGCGGAGCTGAGTTCGCTCTTGGCCCCCTCCCTGTCCGCGCTTGATGCTGTCTAACTGGCGCCCCGCATCAACAACCAACACCTCACATCACAACACCGTCAGTCATCACCACTTTCGTCCCCATCACCTCGCTTGCCGTCTCTTTTCTTCTCTCACATCTTCTCTCACGGCGGCGTACCTCCTCACCTACTTTTCAACCTTTTGTCTAGAACAGCTCTGCTATGATTTTGTCTTGATGAGATGCATGAACATTGGGTCATTGTGTTGCAGCTGGGATTTTGCACGGTTCATATGTTCTTCTTTTTTTTTTTTTTTTTTTTGCACTGAAAAGGCGTTTATACCCACTTTGTTCTGACTCTTTCTTTGGTTTAAATTCGTTCCAACCGAGCATTAAGTACTTTTTTTTTTATCCTCGCAAATTTTTATGGTTCCCGAGTCGAGGACCAAAGTGGGAGAATTTAGAGGAAAAAGTCTCCGTCCGACCGGGTTTTCTGCATTGGAAAGCGACTCTTGACGGACGTGAACGTCATGTCGAAAACCAAAATTCGCATTTGGGCTCCTTCGTCACTCTCCTCTTTGCTGTCGTGGAGCAACCCAATATTCTTTCGCTTTCTTCCTCATTTTTTCCTTTGGATGACTGGGCAATCCACACTGCCACTATAGAGCTGATGAAGGCGTATCTTCTTAGTCGGTTGCGTGTCTGACCTATGGCTACTGGTGCCTATATATGTACAGTACCCATCTTTTCTACTCTACTCGGCATTGCATCCATGTATATCTATTGTCTAATGAGCATCAATATATACATGAATATTTTACTCAAAGATCTCTGTTCAGGGTTAACGGTTTCGTGTTGTATACCTCGGCGCTATGACTCGGAACTATTACTAGCTCTCCACCGTAGACACATACCATCTAGCCATTTATAGAACCATCCTACGTAAAGCTAGTGCTCATGGGATCCTTATATCTATTCCTGCTTTCGAATGACATCAAACTTCCTCCCTGGCTTCGTCTGCAGTGAAGGTGTGTCGATGTCCCACCCAGCATCTCGAAGAGACTCGATTCGAGCATCAAAGTCCTTCGAATGCTCCGCCAAAGTGTCTTGTAGGATTCCTAGCATCAAAACGGAGTCTGTACCGACCTGCTCACGTACGAGCGGCCCTCTGGTGTTACTCTCTTTTATTTTTAAAGAATTCGCTGCTAACAAAGCATGACTCCAGGCTTTCAATTGCGATGTTGGGCTGGCGTTCGTCTTTAAACCGATAACTCCCCGTTTCCTCGCCGGGTCGAACCAGAGTATGTACTCTTCTTGCTCAAAAACCCGTAAAATCGCCACGATGGTCGCCTCTGTTCGCTCCGCAGGGCTAGACGAAGATACATGATCTATTACATCTTTAAATGGAACTCCTATCTGGCAAAACCCCAGAGTGTCGGATGAGGCTTTCCATCGTAAAACTCCGTCTCGTTCGAAGACTCTTTCTTGCTTGGATGCTTGCTTTGCAGTGAGGACGCGGTTTTCATCGAATAGCGTTGAGAAGACTATGTTGGCTCGCTGTCGGTTAAGGGACGTCATGCTGACTGCTCGCACGGCTAGGTAATTGGTCGTTATATGTACTATGAGAAGGGATATCAACGCTACCCAAGTAGCGAGGGGAGAAGTGATGTACGATACGACGAGACTTCCAACCTGTTACGTAGGCATCAGCGAATCTATTTTACCCTTGAGAGGTTTATCTGTAAAGGAGTTTACCAGCATCCCCATGAGGGATATCACTGTCTCTTGACTTGAATCTTTCTGCAAATTTACACAAAGAGCAAATCAGCGGCCACAGGATGCAGAAAATGCAACATATATATCTCGTTTCGAAACATACCGCATTCAACTCCGCCAGATTCCCCCATTTCGCAAAATGTGCACTCAGGCTGGCCTTGGAACTGCCCGCAGCAACGCCGCATAGAGCCCTGAGCACGCTTGACAGGCTCAACAGACCGACTCTAATCGATTTGGGGAACATGGGCGACAAGCAATCCATAATCATAGAGGAGTCGTTGAAAATATCGGCGGCTAGACGGTACATCTTGCACTCTGGTTCGAGAGATGTGCCTAGTTGGTGTGCGAAAAGAATGGTCGCTATTCGGCCCATGCTGTCCTGCAGGATGCTCAAAAGAAGAGCGCTTGTTGGTGACGCGGTGGCATCACCAACCCCGACTCCTAAGAATAGTTAGACAAAATCCCTTGCTCTTTTCTTAGACAGACCGCGCGCCTGTATCTTCCTTTAGAGAGAAGGAGAAGTTGTTGTGGATGTCAAATACCTTGCAACACAGCTCTCGAGGATAATAATCCTGCAATCGAGCTTGAAAAAGCTTGGAGTGAGTCCTGCACAAACAGCCTGTTATTTGCGACGTCGGTAAAGGACCAGTGGAGCTTCAGAAAGATTGGACGTACATAAACCTGGTATCTTCGGTGCCCAAATAGATATCCATCAGCATCTGTGGAGGGCAAGGAAGAGAGAGAAATTTATATAAAATTTAAATCAAAGCAGTTGTCCATCTGGCTGGGGACAGTGGGCTTCATATGCGAAGACGAGGACGTACTCCAGATAATCCCCGCTGACACTATGAGGATATCCTACTGGGAGAAAAGCATCCAGTATAGCTGTAAAGTAGGATGACCATGTTCGCCTCGATGTAGGAGCCTTTGAAGTATTAGCCCAGGGCGCTTAAAGCTAGGTCTATAAGGTATCTGAGTCGTATCACAATGGAGTACTTCACGCGGGCAGCCACAAAGTCTTTCGACTTGAGTCCAATTCACGCAAAAGCGGGGACTTGTGCCATTGCTGTGAGAACTGATGACTTAAAGAACCTGCCGAACAAATCCAAACTGATATCACTTTTGGCACAATTGTGGATTTAACCTCTAGGGTAAGTGGGAACTGTACTCTGCTCTCGCGGCAAGTTGTCCAGATGTTGCCACGACAGTGACATGCATATAACAACGCCAGATAATGCAAAAAAGAGCTCAGTAGTGAAGAATTAATTTGTCTCCTAAGAAAAGAAAGACATACACTGATAGTCACTGGCTTAGTCCCAATTGAAGCTGCTGGCGATGAAATGGTGTATATTGCCTTGAGAGCACCTATCTCATCAACTTCTCTGATGGTTACGGGACCGGGGTTCATCGTGCGTCTAAATGTGTCTGCTAAGCTGGCTGATTACCCTGAAAGCAAAAAGGATAGTCTGTCCAAGCAAAATAATAGATCGAGGTAACCAACGGCTCGAAGGTACCGAATTGGATTTTGTTTTTCCTCGATGCTAGGATTTTGTATGGATCAAAAATGCGAGGCTGATCCTGAGGGAGCTACTGACATCTACTTTACCAAGAACAGCTTTGAGAAGAGCATTTGGGACCTGTGAATTTAACGGTAAGACTAGTGGATTCTCTGCAAAATGCATAAGTAGTTACAGTACCTGACACAAATGAGCCAGCTCCAGTACATGCAACAGCCCGTCCTTAATATGGCAGAAAAAGTCCAATGCCCCGATAAATAGAGGAAGCTCATATGTAGTACATGAAAGTTTCGGTAATCACTCGCAATATGAGCATACAAAAAACAAACCACCAGCGCCATTCAAGGTATATAATCCCAGTAAAAAAAAACGGCCATCTAGTCCCGATAATAGCCCAAAGGTAGAGATAATGTTGGAGAGATGTGGTGGGAGGCAGAGAAGTGAGGTGAAGCCCCAAAGTGGTGTCTCGCCCTCACGCGGAGGGAAGAGGAAAGTCGTCCTCCATTGCCAACCACGGTCGGTTGAAGTGAGGTCGAAAAGCGATCAAAGAGCGTTCTGGTGTCGAAATTGCTATCAAAGCTCGATGATCCAAAACGAGCAGCGGTCTCGAAAAAAGGAAAGGTCGCTTAAATCGATCCTGTTCGCGCCATCGCACAGCGAGTGCTACCGCTTTCCCCTTATCTCCTTTTCGATTGTTCGATTTTAATATCAATTTTAGCTTTAATAACATATAAATATATATATATTTTAGGCGAACAAACTGGCCCCGCCCGTCTCGATGGCCTCAATCTCAGCCTGCGACCATGGGATTCTTCGGAAGCGTTCTGGGAGATCATTTCTGTCGAAGTATTCGCCTTGCTTAGGCTGGACAGATCCCAACGAGGCACCGGAATGACCACCTATGTAGCCGCCGTATGCCGATGGGCGAGAGGGGCTATTCAGTGGGCCGTGTTGCTGGGCTCTGGAGCGATATTTCATAAAAGAGTCAGGTAATTCGTTGGTGGGAGAGGCGGGGTGGACTCTGGGGGTGCTGTCGACGGCTGCTGTAGGAATTGAATTAGCAATTTTTGTGCGATCGGAAGAAAAAAGGAAAAAAATTAGCAATTGTAAGAATACACACCTGGAGTTGCCCGCCTGCCGACGAACTTGATCAAGGGAGTCCTGGCCGCGGCGGCTTGCCGGAGAACAGCAGTGACACGCATTTTTTGATATGTTTTCTTTTCTTTTCTTTTTTTTTTTTGTCGCAAAGGTAGGGATCAAGGTGACAATTGTGTGATGACAGGAAAATGAAGCGGGCGGGACTTGTTGAATTGGTGAGAGGTTTGAATTCCCAACGTTGAGGTGACGGTTGGGGATTGTCGTCGGGGGCTGTTTGTCCTGTTGCAGCGGTGGTGGTTGTGGTTGGTAGTTGACTGGTGGTGGAAGGGATTTTGGAGGGTTGAAGAGAGAGGAGTGTGTGGGAGAGAATGGCTCTTTGAAATACTATATGTAGACGGGCTGGGAGCTAGATAAGGCCGCAGTGGATCTGATTATCAAACACAATGACAAGCGGAAAGCTCCCACCGAAACGAGGGCATCCGCAGCTCGGATCTTGCCACCAGACGCTCGCTCTGTAGTAGGACACACACCTGCTTACGGTTGACCTCGCACAGGCGCGCATCACGCCATGGCAGCGATCTGCTCCGACACCACGATAACGGACCGGCAGCTGTCCATCTGGCGCCGAACGGAGGAAGAATAGCCTAAACCTGCTGTCTGCGGCGACCACCTTATCTCTGCGCCGCCGCTCTGCTTTGTATTATGTCATCAAATACAGCTCCTCGATTGGCTGATTATTAAGCTTCGCCCGAGTTTAAATAAGCTTCTTCGCAAGCTGGGGGAACGTTATTCCGATCGTGTCACAAGCCTGCAGGGCCGGTGTCTTTTTCTCTACTCGCGCTGATGCTTGTCGGGAGAGAGGAAGGGAAAAAAAAAAAATTTATTCTCGCGCCATTTATTATTCATTGTGCCGCATTGTCTCCTTGAGGTAATTGACATCCATCCACCTGACGTGGGCCAATTAGGTATCCATTGTGTACTCCGTAGTCTCCGAGGAGATCGACGGTTTGCGCTTGGATTTCCGGAACCCGCTTCCCCGCGATTTTCTCACCCCGGCCTGAGCTCCAAGCCTGACACCAACCTGTTATCTTCGCCCGTACGGAGCACGGAGTTACAAGTTACTCTTTCCAATTGGCCCGATAACGCGAGGCCCGGACTTTACCTTTATTTCTCCTTCAACCCGAACCACGCCCTACCTGAGCTTCCCGAAGCCTGTGTGCTTATTTACGGAGTACCCTCGCCCCATTTCCCAGTATACCCCGAGCCAAATCCACATACATAACACGTCCGGCACCACGCGCGGACGGACGGTGGATCACATGCACGAACACTCGCTGTTCGCCCCAGTCCCCGCTGCCCAGCACCATGACCTCCTGCAGCAGCTGGCTGGCGTGACTGCCATGCAGCCAAACCGAATCTACGAACGACGTCTGGTATTCAAGCCATACAGAAAGCCGGGGTATCTTAAACCTCGACCCGGGGGCAGCCAAGATGTCCAGGCGCCCGAAGTTCAGAGGCTGAATAAGATGCTCAACGGCGGCCTCTACCACGTCCAGGTTGTGGGCGAGGTCAAACTTACTGATTTCGGCACGCATCCTTCCACCGTCGATGCTACGATGGGGGGAACGGATTTCGGAAATCAACACCAGAATGAATACGATATTTCAAATCAATCATGGAGGATAGAGTTCAAGGATATCCCAGATGCTGGCACTGGGTCTGCCGTGACTTCGAGACTAATTAGCACTTCGAGGGTTCCGTATGGCGATATTGTTCCAGTTATGAAAGCTTGGGGTTACGAGTAGGTCTTATTCCTTTTTTACTCTTTTCTTACCGCTTGGTTTTTTACCTTTCTTTTTCCTGAAGGTATGGCTAACATGATTCTCCAGTTATGTGTCAGAATACGTGCTCGAAGGCGACATGTTCATCCTCGATGATACCGTAATACTGCTGCATCGGATACTCAATTTCCCGGCCAAACATCATCTCCAAGGTTTACCGGCCTTCTATCTCCCGCCTCTGCAGGAAATGGTTCCACTGGACTCAACTGGCGGATACCTACTACAGGCATCGATAACTGTGCAGGATAGTGGCAATCCAGACCTGATGAAGGCAACAACGCAGCGACTTCTCGGATTGAAAGAACATCTGAAATCAGCTGTGAGGCTCGAATCCGCCGATAGGCTCTCTTTAGACACGAGAGTGAAATGATCCCCCGGAGTTACTTGCATGTGATTGCAGCGGATTTGCATGTGAGTTAAAGAGGGATGTTTGGACATCTTCCGCGGGGCAGCATCCTTAGCCATGATGTCAAGTTGGAAAGTCTACTCAATCACTGCATAGCGTTATAGATCTTTTCGATTATGAGAACGTACACATACCTCCTGCACTCCATAGATTGCTAGTTGATTGCTTAATCAGCGTTAGCTACGGCTGAGGAATCCCTGGATCTCACTTCAATACATTCACTGTTTTGCAGAGAACCATGGAACCGCGCCTCATTTGTTGATCTCACCTTAGGAGGATGACAAAATTCTTGTGCTGGAATTACCATGAAACCCAGCCCCGGAATGTTAGGGGTCTTGGGTGTGAAGAGAGAAGCGTCGAGGTCTTTTTGAGGTCGGTCTCATTCAAGTGGGGACATATAAGGAAAGCAAAGCAATGGCTGGGCATCGCCATCACGCCTCTCTTGAGGGTATCATACGCTTTTCCAGGCCTGAATCCTTACCAGCGAACCAGCGCACCCGGGATGGTAGAGATTCTACTGCATCATCAACCATTTCAGAGTAGCATCTGATGTTGCCTACATCCATACACTCCACCTCCGTTATACATATGAGTACTCGCTCTCTGAATTATCGCGGAACCTCCTCTTACGCGTCTTTTTCAGTTTTATGGGGCTAGATATCGCTAGATGTGGAGATATTGCCTGACAGTGCTTGGAACCAGCTGAATGAGAAGCCGATCAGTTTGCAGAATTCCTGCTGGATCACTTTTTATACCACACAGGCGTCACCCGCTCAATTTTTTTTAGCAGTCCAACGGGTCCAGGGATATACCCAGAGTGAATAGCAGCTCTTTGAGGCACTTGTCTTATCTGTGACCACTGTTGTTGTATATCACGCCTATTTAATCGAAAAGAGGCAATAATCTGGATGACATAGCAGGGCAATAATGCACAAGATGGATGTAGGAAATCAGCTCCAGCGACAAGTCTTTATACTTTCAGAGGTGGCCCTTATCCTTCCATAGTCTAACGCAGACAGACTCGGAGAATAAGGTATCCAACCAAGCGAATTTTTCTTTTTTTTTTTTTATTTTTTCCCCTTTTCATTCATGGCTAATTGATTCACTTAGAACGAGTCCAACAAAGCTGCACTAAGGATCACCAACATGTTTGACTGTGATGTTTCTTATCTCATTGATGGCATCAACATTGACCGGCCATTTGATGCTATGAGCCTAACCTGTGATCTATATATGATATTTGGCAACTTCCACATTTTCTTCAATTCTGAGCCTATATCTGACCAGGAGAATACCTACAAAATTGATACTTTTCTCCTTGCTGCTGCCTTGCCAGAACTCCAACTTCCCATCACTCGCACCTTGTGTCTCACCAGTGATCAATCAATAGGACTCTTGTTATACCCGCTTCTTATTTTGCATAGGGCAATCACGTGTATCCTTCATCTGTCTAGCACAGGAGCATGTTTCAACGGAATTCTCTGGGATATGATGAAGCTAGGGACATGAGATGGCGGGTCCACAGAACTAGGCTGATTTGTGCTGCTGAGGTTGGGCGAATGGCTTAGCCAGGCAGTTAATTCCTAGACTAAGGCCCTTGTGTCTAGGGTGGATTTCTCCTAGTTCGCCTTCATTTTTAAGCCGATTGCTGAAGCCTATTTATGGGGGCTAGCCATGTTCTATTAACGTCCTGCTTCAGTTATTGTGACGTATTTTTATGCGCTATACCCAGGAATCGATCGTCTTAACGAATTATGGCAGCAATGATTTTTAATCCGCAGGTAATTGTTAGATAAATGCAATTCGCTTCTCTTGACAGCAGATTGGCTACGCTATTAGGCGAATTAGGCCGCATTTGCTAGGTCTTCTTTATGCATTTATCTACGTCTCTTTTGCACGTCTGCGATATCCTGCATTTCTAGGAAACCGAAGGCCTAATACGTACCTCTTATACCGTGGACGAAAAGTGCGCGCTTGAATTTGACGTCAGCAGCATCCGGTTCGATGGGCTCTATGTACTTGCAGGTAACCATTGATGTGGGATTCTCTGTCCGTTAGACCACCATACGGTAGGTGCATAACTTGTTGAATTGTGCATGTTGGCCTTGGATAAAGATGACAGCGAGACTAATTTGGTGCCAACAGGCTTCAACATTATTTATAACCCAGTCTTCTCGGACAATATGGTCCAGATGGCTCAAACTACACTTTACAATGACTGTGTTCAGCCAGAAGTTTGCCTCATATTTCACCACACACTGAAACATGTGAAGAAACGCAGTGGCATTCCAGTGCTTGAGATAGTTTGAAATCAGTTCGGATCAGATCCAACGAATTAGATCATTCTCATGGAACGGCTTCCGGGTCAAAGACACCCTGGCCGTCTTTCATTTAAGAAAGCTGAGCGATCTCCAGGCGGTGAGAGTTTTGGTGCTCTTGGGTCATTTACGGATATTTGTTTATGACCCTGATATGTAGAATACCCTGTAGTCCCCCGATCCGCCCTATGTCTAATCCACAAAAGGCAAATGCTTTGAGCGATGCCTTTCGCTCCTGCTCGTTCCTCATCGCAACTCAGCAATCTCTTAACACCCTTAGCCAGTCGTGCCTTCGAAATCCCATGTTCAGGACATGCGGTTTTGTTAATAAAATCATCTATAAGGTCCACACCTTGGGCCCATGGCGTTTCGTCGTTTTCCAGTTCCTCTATCTCCATAGCAGAGAACTGTAGTGGGAGGGTGCCAGGTGTAGACCTTCCGAGCCCTCTCCGACAATCTTTGGACCCCTTTTCTCGACATCTCTTAGCACGTCATTGAAACACGGTTCATACTCCGTGATCAACTCTGGTACGACGCTGGCCTGGTGACGAGCAGTCCCTTGTCACTGAATGGCCTAGGAGGCTAAATAATTCAACTGGCAAGATAGAACGAAATATATGAATCATGTAGGGTCTGAAATTGGTGTAAATGCCCAAGGCAGGCTGATTGGCCCGAGTTCCTCGAGGGCCGGGGAATTGTAATCCAAAAGACCGACCTGAATGACTTGCATGGAAAGTGCGCAGGCGCTGACAGACCGCCAGTCAATTTTGCCCAGAATTATGGGTTATGTTTCTGGTTTTGACCATTATGCGAGCACTGAAACTGAATTATCAGCCTAGAGGCTGACGGCGAGAGAGAAACACCGCCTCAAACAGGCTGCTCAAAACACTTCTGTGCATGGCCCGCATTGCCCATAGCTGGTGTGTGTAAGCTCGCTCTAGAATTGAGCTCAGGATTCGGGTTCTCGCAGCGAAGTGCTCAGCATTGAGAGTAAAACAACGCGGCGTTCCATATATCAAGTCCCCTTGAGAAACCACTTTAAGCACGTGACGTGGCGCCCTTAACCCTCGCGCGGGTCGCGTCTCCCTCGCCGCTGGATGCCATGCCACCAGGACCGCTTGCATACATGAAGCCATTCGCCGCCCTACATCGGCCGTGTATGTTGTCAGCAGATGCAGGGTGGTTTGCGTGTCGGCACGCGTTCATCATGGCTAGAGAAAAGCAGATGAAGCGGACACATTCGTCCGTTTTCGCAAAACGAGAAGTCTCCCCGCCAGCGACGAAGAGGAAAATCGAGTCCACGACCACAAGTGAGTTTATAAATAGTTTAAATTTCTTTACTTTGAATCTTCATTTCCATAGCCAGCGCATTGTGATGTCTAAATATTGGCTTGATAGGAGAGGCCGTTGCCAACTTCTTCAAACCTCCATCGAAGAAGCCGTTCCAGCATCTCGCGTGGCGCACTGTTGACAATAGCTGCTTAGTCGCCAAATACTCCACAAGGCCTCCAGTGGACAATCAGGCTGTTCCTGTGAAGAAGCGTGTTGCGGCTTTCGATCTTGTATGTCAATGTTTGGACAAGGATAAAGTCAGGCTCAAACTTTCTAACGCGGTCGTTGCTGCCAAAGGATGGTACCCTGATTTTGACTAAGTCGGGGAATACGTTTCCCAGGAACGAACACGATTGGAAGTGGTGGAATCACTGTGTTCCAGGGAGGATAAAAGAACTATACTCTAAAGGGTATGTCCACGTTCTGTTTGCTGTCGGAAAACTGACAGCCAATTTTCATAACTGACTGGATGCTACACACCCAGGTATCAGGTGGTTATAGTTACAAATCAAAAGAAGGTTCTCTTGAAGAAGGTCGGCAAAGGCGCTATTGGTGACTCCAAAAGTTTGACGATTTTTAAATCCAAGGTTTCAATGATATTGAAGGATCTCGATGTGCCGCTGAGCGTATACGCAGCGACGGAGTATGATGAATATCGAAAACCGCGAATGGGGATGTGGAAGCTGATGCTGGATGATTATGACTTGGACGTCGAAGGTGTCCTCGACTTGGAGGGATCGATATTCGTAGGTGATGCAGCGGGACGTCCCACAGATCATTCCTGCGTTGATCGGTACGATATACGAGACCCATGGATGATACATGACCGGTTTTCTAAGTCATGTATAGGAATTTTGCGTCCAACATTGGCTTGAAGTTTTATACACCAGAGGAGTTTTTCCTCGGAAAACCTCAAGAAGGGGTGGAAGCCTTCAACCCGAAGAACTTCATCCTAGACGGCACGAGTAGGTGTAAGTATCGTTGTCCCGTCGTGGATTATCGGTTCATCAGGGGATGGGTGACACCGCTGCTAACTGAAAACCTAGCATCTCTCCCGTTTCCAGAGTCTCATGGTCAAGAGCTCGTAATATTCTGCGGGAGCCCGGGTGCGGGGAAATCAACTTTTTTCTGGAAATATCTCGAACCGTTGAAATACAAGCGGGTAAATCAAGATATCCTTAAAACTGTAAGCAGAACATCTCGTTCATGCAGTCCTACACATCCCCCAGTCTCCCCCAAGGCAAATGATCCTTTGTCGGCAATATTTACTTACAAATTGGCCTGCATCAGCGTCCCAAATGCCTGAGTGTTGCAGCAGAATATTTGCAAGCCGGAGATTCTGTGGCAGTCGGTATGATTGTGTCCTTTCTTCGGGTGAAAAGATGTGGTTAACCAACTTGTTCATGTTTTAAACAACAGACAATACGAATGCAGATCCTGAAACACGAGCCTACTGGGTGAAACTGGCAAAGGAGCATGACGTCCCGATTCGTTGTGTATATCTTTCTACTCCAGCAAGCATATGCGCACACAACAATGCTGTCCGCGCTGCAAACCCAAGACTTGTACGTCACACCTGTAGCACCTATCCATATACGAAGCTGTTACATGTTTGTATGCTTCTTTGTTCCCCTTTTCGGATGCACAGTATCAAAATGATAGGTGGAAAAGTCTGGATTGACCCCTCCTCTACCACAGGAATCCTTGAACCCTGAGAAACGCACATTCCTCCCGGATGTTGCTTTTCGAAGTTTTGCGAGCCGGTTTGAGAAGCCGCAGCTCTCAGAAGGTTTCGAGGATATAATCCATATCGATTTTCAGTTTGAGGGGGATCCAATCACGAGAGAGCTGTGGGCACAGCATTGGGTGTAGAAAAGGCTGGATGTTTATCCTTATTGTCACGATATGAATGACTGCTCCATGGCACCACACTAGACGTGGAAGATGACTTGAAGATGCCTGATGACGCTCTCTCCTGTGCTGGTAGCACAGATCCGATTTGATCTGGTCTGGTCGCTATGGGATTATCAGACGGAATGGAAATGTATGACGGATAGCATTTGTTCTCCGACTGACTGCGGAGTACGTATCCCATACGTGTGTCTGAATGCAGCAGATCGAACCATTAGCATATATTGTAACCGCCAAGCTTCCGTCTGGAGATGCTGGAGCCCGATTCACCCAAGAAATCACTGCCGGTAGGGAAGAGATCTGGACGGAAATGTGGAAGGAATATGGACTAACGGAGGTATGTCGGTCCAGATTAAGATCGGCCGGTATGAAGCCTTGCCGGCAGTGGGCCGGATCTGTCATCGGATATGCAGATCTTTTAACTATCCAGAGCTCTCCCGCCTGATCGACATAGTTCCATAAGAAGTCTTTGCGCATGTTAAGCCTAGACTAATCGATTTCTTTCCTTTTTTCTTTTTTTCCAAGCCCACTGCACGCTAGAAACAAAAATACTACGGAGTACGGAGTAGGAAGAGATGAAATCTGGTTTTATCGAGGCAGATAATGACAGGCACATATTATACTCCATACATATGTCCATACCTATGAGCAAGCAAATAGTGAGAATAAAGAAGAGTGCTTGCCAATCACCTTTGACCTACACAATACAGAGTACGGAGGAATTTAGGGGCAAAAAGGATGCATTCTGCGCATATACGCTTTAACTTCTATGATAGCCGCTGTGGTAACTACTCTATTTTCCAGTAGATGTAAGTTCAACTAAACCATGCCAAAAAAAGCTGTGATACGCTTAAATTTTTTTTAGAGACGCCTTCTTCCTTTTATTGCGAAACCCACTGTGCACACTCCCTGAAGACAAATGCCAGCCTGTATACAGGTCATGGCATGGAGACAGTAAAAATCAGGACGAAATATATTTTTTTTGAAAAAGCAATCCGACACGATACCTGCTATAACCCCGTGTATGCGCGTATACGTCATACATATTCGGAGCCAAGGAGGATTGGACGCATATAAGCCGCCCATCGGGTGTGCTATGAAAGATCATATTGGAGGGAAGAGGGAAACAAAGAGGAATGGAGCTCAAAGTTTTCGACGGGAAGAGAACCATAGGTCATTAAAAAAATGCATTGGATATCGTATCCTCGGGTGTCAACCATTCAAAATGAAAATGTGGGAAGTAGAGTCTGGCTCAAGCAGCAAGGTCGACCGGGCAGCACGGACAAAAGGCCCAAGCAAATTCTATGGAATAAGCCGCAGGATAGAAGGAAAACCAAAACCACCTCCGAAATTAGTAATAGAAATTAACAGGGGATAAAGGAGCGACATGAGGAGTGGAAAAAAGAAATCCATGATGAACAGAGTATAGAAAACGAGTGTCATTTCATCATCGGGTATCATAAAAGGAACGTAGATCGTGATTGGCATCATCAAACAAGAAGTCATGACTCCAGGTCGAAATAGAAGGGCCGTAAATTACAATTAATGTATATCTTGTACAGAGGATGTCGAACGCAGCGGAATGGGAAATGTGCGATCCTTTTTCTCACGTTGAATCGCGGGAAGAAAATAGGTCCTGTAAAAATCTGAAGAAGGATCTTTTGCGTAGCGACTTGGCCTGAGCTGGTGGTTGCGGTTGCGCGGGAGCAACTGACATGGGTCCAACAATATCCTCATCCCCAAGGTCTGGGAATTTGGTCTTGTCAAGATAAGGAGGCATTTTGACAGATTCTCCAGGATGAGCGTTTGATTTGCTGAGAGAGAGCGGATTGCCATTGCAATCGGTGAGATTGGCAAGCACGATATTGTGGTTGGCTCTCCACTGGCTGTCGATGAACTCCCATTTTTCCTCCGTAAAGCGGTAGATATTGGACGTTACCCCGTAGTGCTCGCCGGTCCGGACGAGATGTTTTGCGTAATTACAGCGCGCAAGACTCCAATTCGCCCGATGTACTTCGAACGCGTCTAAAGTGCAGAGTTCGGGTATGTAAGGCTTTGGATGTATCGTGAAATTCGCGTGGCCAAGCTTACAGGACCATTCATCTTCCGCGTTTAGCATCGTGATAGGAGGAATTTCCGGACCGTGCATCCGTGGGAACGGAATCTGTAGACCAATGGAAGCTAGGGAGGGTTGCGTAGACAGAGGCGGAGATAATAACCCATTCGAATGTGGTACCTCAATGGGTGAGTCTGGAAGGATAACATGTGTAGCTTCAGCGACAGTTGGCGATTGTAAGGGTGACTGAACCAGTTCCTCATTGTCCGGAGTGGGCAGATCCATCATCACAGGCGGTAGGAGAGGAGTGGTTACTTGCGGCTCGCGTTTAACACCTTCGCGGTTGGCCTTTTCAATGTCAATGAGCGAGATACCAGCTTCACTCAGACTCTCTTCAAGGATAGTTCTCGCGGGTGAATTCGAGATTTGGCTATGTCTTGCAGAGAACGAACTGGCCAAGGGATTTGCAAGGGCAGAGGTGGCAGAGTTGGCTCGCGACCTCAGCGACTCGTCATATTTTTCCAGCGCAGCCGCAGTATCGGAAACCTGTCTCTGTTTCCACCTCGAAGAGATTGATGAGATGCGGCTACTGATGCGTGAAATTCCACGAAAGGAACTGCTGTCCGGTCTTAGCTTCTTTGGCGATCGGGTCAGGTCGGCAAGTTCGTCAGATAGGTCATAGCCATGTTCGGCGCAACCGCGTCCATTGTTGTAAACTTGATCATCGGCATGGATATCGTTAAAATCCGCTAATCAGAAGCATTAGCACTAGGATGCGATGTTCGCTTCCGTCTCATCTCAGACTTACGAAAGTAATTGTCCGCATCCACGATACCATAGTCCGGTTCCACAGGCTCTTCCTGGACTCCCTCCAGTTTGGTTGGGGGGCACGTATCTCCAGGGCATCCAATAATTGGCGAAGAAGCGACCGACGATACAGAGCTAGGGAATCTTGTGTGCGTTCTCGCGGAGAAGAGAGATGCGACGGGTGAACCGGGCGTGGACGAAAGAGTGGACAATGGAGATTCAGGGACAGAACTCGACCCGAACGTAAGCTGTGAGGACTCCATCTTGGATTCAGCGACTGGTTGTTGGTGTGATTCAAATAGATGTAGCATGTCAGGATTGCAGTGTGTGATGCCGGGGATCAGAGGGCTGTCCTGTTGTGCTCGTTTATTATTATTATCTTGGAGTTGAAAGTCAATTGAGAGAAAAGGGTTGCGCAGCGGGCACCTGCTGGGCTGTTTATCTTGACGGGCGCGGGCGGTGATGTCAGTGAAGCGCTTAGGGCTAAGGAGCTAAGCGGTTAATACGTGGCGCCAAATGTAACGAGCACTAAAGAAGCCCAAACAAGGGGGCTGGCACGCGAGAATAGCGAACGCGGAGGCGGGAACAAGTGTCAGGCCTCAAAGCAGCTACGGTGCTGCGCTCTCTTTCGTTCTTTCGTTCTCTCACTCTCTCTCCCTCGCTGTAGCTATCTCTCTCTCTGTGGAAGTTGAGCTCTCGTCAGCTCATAATCACACGTGCGTTCTTCCACAGCCCGTATTCGACGGCCCGGTAGCAGAGGGCAGCGGGATGGAGGTGTATTTCAGCGATGAGGCCAGGAGACAGAGAGCACACGAGCGATCTTCCTCTGTGATCGAGCTGTGTGGTTTTGGATGTCTGAAGATCGCAGGAAGTAGATCAGTTAGCAGGTGTATAACGGGTATGATCAGCTCGCTGGAGCTAGCTCTTCGCCTAGAGACTGAAACTTCCTCCACTTAAGTTGTTTAGAGGCGAAACGAGATGAAACGAAGAGGGAGCAGCCGGGTCTAAATGGCAATTGACAGCAGAGCAGGAGAGAGGATGTTGGGAGGAGTCGGCAACAGGACGAGGAGGACAAGTAGCCGCACCAGCAGGACGGCGGATGGGGACCCCGAGGTGGTGGGTTGTTGGATGGGCAGCTCGGGTCGTGCAAGACCAACCCGGGCCGTGATGTGTAGCCTTTCTCTTCCGGACCGCTTGTTACCGCCTCAATGGCAATGATCCAGCGTGATGTCTCTCCTCTCCTGCTGCTCGCTCTGCTCCAGCTGTCCCAGAATGCACCAATCGTCCCAGGCCAAGCCCAAATGGCGGGCAACAGGGGGAGGGTGAGATTCTGATCCTGCTGGCCACAAGGTGATTGGGTGGAAAAGCAGAGGTCGCGAGGAAGAGCAGCCACTTACAGCAAAACAAGCAAGCTCCAGCGCTCTACAGCGAGCCAAGCCGGCCGTTGATTCCTGACTATGTTCGTTGCCTGCAGGGGGGAAGGGTTCTCGTTGGCCGATGGGTGATGACGGAGAATGGTTTTGCGAAAAGAAGCGGTGATTCACCGAGACGGCGGACGCATCGAGGTTGAGGGAGTGGCGGCGGTGGTTTCTGATGGAGACGATCAAACGACGGGCGATGACCAGAATAAGAGCACGGCCATGGAACTAATTATTATTAAATTTATCTAACTACAGTGTGTCCAGAGCGCCGAACCTCCTCATCTGGACATTCTTTTGTGCCCTTTTTGCTGCACATCGACACCGCCGCCGCCGCCCAGCACGGGGACCACCAGAACCAAAAATGACGACAAAGTTAACAGGGACAACCAAGAGCCAGGGGAAAAAAAAAGAAACCCACAGAAGCATGTTGTTCCAAGAAAAGAAATTCATTCTTTACTCCACACAGATTTTTCTCAGAGTTTTCTATTTCTTTTCTTTTCTTTTCTTTTTTTTTTTTAAATTACCAAACAGATCTGTTTGCTGCTATTCTGGGCTTCTTTCACAGACCGCCTGCATGTCCCCTTGGAATAGTTACCCTCTTTTGCATGCTGACAATGGGAGTTCGTTAATATAGCACAACTCCCTCTCTCTACCATGTAGATATCATCTCTTGTCCGTCCAGGCGTCGGCCAGTCCCCGCGTCGTTTCTTCCTGACTTCAGCGGTTCGGGGATGCATTTGGCTTCTGAGGTCCCATGGTTGGGTTGGTGGGAGCCAGCGAGCAATTTTTTTTTTTTTCTCTTTTTTCTTTATTCCTATTCGTACAGGCCATTCCTCTTGGTCCAGTTTTATCCAGCCACGAAGACTGGGAGAGATGGAGAAACATTCTTTTTTTTTTTTTCCCGCCGAAATCTAGCGGCAAATTCGTCACCCCTCTGTCCGAGAGAGGGCCAAACCTATCCCTATTCGCTGCCTTTTCCCTTTTTTGGATGCCAGTTGCCGAACCGGTTGCACCGTTTTGGGTTTTCTGTTATGTTGTGGGTCGGTCCAGATTCCCGTCGTCTCTTGTTCCTGCATCCGCCCTGACGTCGGTGCTGGCTACTGGAGGGAACTAAGGCAAGTGTCCATATTTTTTTTATTAATACCGGGCCAGGGTGCCGCTGTTTTCTTCATGGTCGCTGCCTGCTAGCGCTTTTTCGCATGGCACCAGTGGTTGGGTCTGAAAAGTCAAGGCCGAAGCTTTGGGCACCCTGCAAGCAGGGAGCATGGAGTGGACGGGGGGAAGAAGGAGACGGTATCCGCGTGTTCGCTCGTAATACCTTGGACTTGGACACGGGTAAAGAGCACACAAATCGTTCCCCCCAGTGTCCTTTACACGACGTCCTTCGTTCCGGGACAATCGCCAACGGGGCGGAGGTCCCAAGTCGCTAACGAGTCAGGTTCGGAGCTCGCATCGTCCTCCCGCTTTCATGTTCGGTGAGTTTCGCAACATAATCCTGGCACAACAGGTACCTGATCTGAAGCTCGGATTCGCCTGACAGGGATGTAGGTGACGGGTGTCAGCCTTAATGCTGAGCCACGAGTCTTTCTCTTTCTGCGGCGCTGATCACGCAGAAGCCGTCCATTGTGAACGGAGACTTGTTTGCCAATCTGCAGAGGCTCATACGCTGCCCAAACCTTTCTTTATCTTAAAAGGTAGATAGATTTTTTGGCAGCCTGTTGGTGGAGGCTAGACGATGGCACTTCAAAACACGTCAGACAAAAAAAAAACAATTAAGAGATAAAGGGAACCAGCGGAAGACCAGCCGCTGACAATTGAGACCCGAGCCAGACAACAACGATGGTCGGATTGCCCTGGAGAATTTCTGCCATGTCACCAGTGCCTTTTCTTTTCCCCTCCGTTGTCATTTGGGCCTGGGATTTCCGCCTATCAAAAGTGCCCAAAATACGAAGTCGACTTCCTATTTGTTGCTCAGCGTGAAAATCGAGCCCATTTTTTGTTACAGTTTCATTTTCATCCATGTCCACTTCTATTTTAAAAGTTTCCTTCGCTATCTGCAAATTATCCTTTTGTTCCGCGATGGCGGAACTGGAGATGTGTTCTCCGTACTACATGTGGTTATCCTCGACTGATCCCCGCCGACACGAATGTTGGGCAACCTGGGAATCACCGAAGGGCTCAGAGCTGCTTCCTCGGGATTCAGCTGACAATAACTAATGTGCATCCTCCGTACATTACAGAGTAACTATGTGTTTTCCCTGTTGTAACCTCTTTCATTTGTGGTATCGGCACCTGGGTCGAACAGGGGAACAAAATTAGGAATTATTGAGCGTGATTAACTGGAAATTCAAGATAGTTCACAAACAAAGAGTGTCAACCCGTTTTGCCTCCAAAAACTCATTGGTTGACCAATTAAAGATTTAATAAAAACTTGTCCTAGGGATACAACAACCAGTAGATACTCTCAGCTTCCAATGTCCAAATATGCCATCTCAAACCATTTCTAAGGTAATAGTAGGACCTGTTTACCCTGATTGCTGGCTGTCCTTTGTAGATTCCAAGATGTCCAATCCTTTTTTGTCATAGAATTTCCATTCATGGTTTTAACTTTTTCTTGACCCTCACACATAAACAAAAACATGCTTGGTTCTGGTGAGTTTTGGAGTAACCTAGCTCCATGTTCCTCCTTGACAACAACATTTAGGAGCTACTATGATTTCATATGGTGTGACTGAAGATACAGCATGTGCATATTCGGACTGAGTCCAAGGCTGGTTGTGGGTATCCCAGTAAACCCAGTTAGTTACTCTAAAACTAGGTTATGCCTGGCTGTCGTTTTGTGATTTTTATCAGGACGTTGGTAGCCAGGAGGCGACAGGGCCCTACACTTGTTCAAGCCAGGACGCAGGACACAGAAAACGGGGAGCAGCTTTGTTCGAATCGGCCTGTTACAGGCATCATGCATTGATACTGTTTACTGCACTCGCAGACTGGGCAAGGATGATGAAGTAACCAAGCCCAGTTCGCTATGTAAATTGGTGAAAGGCTCAAGGTTGGTACCCGCCAGAAAGCATGAATTAGCACCGGATGTGTGAAAATTACTTTCAACGGTTAACGATGTGTAGCAATAGCCACCGATTTCCTGTTATTTGAGTTATTCAACTTGTGTTTTGAAACTTTGCGAAGGGGCATGGTTTAACTCCGTCAACTAGGAACCAATTGTATGGGCCAACAGAGTTCCATTATCACGCCCATCAAACTCGCCCTGTCGAGAAAGTTGGATGAAATGCTCCAGGCGTACGAGGCATGCGGCGTAAGGCATCTATCCTCCTCGCAATGGCAGTCTTTTTTGCTTTTCTTTTCTTTTTAATTTTCATCTGTCCTGCAGAAGTACGGCTGGCATATGAAATACGCGATGGGAATCAAAGAGTCTCCGTTGCAGATGGCCGAAGGGGGGCCTTTTTGTGTTGCTCAGATCCCAGCATTCCGAGCGGGAAGGTTAGCAAAAAGGACAGTCGGGATAACTTTACCACCTTTGACCCGTTAACTAGCTGATCAAGAAGCCAAGGTTTCACCCTTTAGAAATTTGCCTAAACTTACTACTAAGACCATTTTCCAATTCAACATCGTTACATCGCATGGTTTCTGATATCTTTGAGAGATTTGAGCGTGGTAATATTCAGCCATTGAGTGGGTGTCAGTACCTATATTCCTCCACCACTACCTCGAATCGTCAATCGGGTCCGTATCGGGACTGCGTTTTGCTTTTTCAGACGCTGAGATAGCTGCTCGGGACGTTTTCCAATTTCTACATCGGGTTAGCTGGACGGGAAGCCAACCGTAGATCATGGCTTGATAGCACAGGCGTCACGGTATCTTGACACACACGCCCGTGCGAGGGCAGGGGGATGGGTCCCCGTCAGGTTTGAATTTCTCCGTGGGTAAGTAGACTGAGTGCTCTCAACCGGGCGCCCGGCGGTTTCGGAATCATCGAAGAGATGTGGGATACTGAGCGACCAAAGTTGTTTCGCTCAAACCGGGCAAAACAGGAACATGGCGTGCTTCCCTAAAGGCTCCGATCTACTCCGTAACTACTCTTCTCCCCTTTGTATCCGATTCCGGATGGTTTTTGTGGATCAAGGCTTAGTAGTTATTAACTACACGTCAAGTCAGGCATGGAATAGCTACTTCCAAAGGTAATTGAGCTTGAACTCTAGGGTTGAGATTCTTGTTAAGTGGCGAAGCTTGATTGTGTGTGTGTGTGTGTGTGTGTGACCTTGTTAGACCAGAAAGCATGTGCTCTTGGACGTAGAAGAGCCACCACCGCAATCGCGCTCGGTGACAAGGTAGAATCATTGAAGAGTAGGAAAGCAAGTGGCACAAATACCGCTTTAAAACTATATTCCATTCCATATACTTGTCTCATATGAGCTGGCTTGCCCACGGCTGGGCGTTCGTCAGGCGAAACCCATGGTTCGGCGGCTGCCCCCAACATGCGGGGGATATCTACGTACCAGCACACCATAAGGTAACGGCTCGGCTATCGATTTAAACTCAAGAGCGCCTCTATATACCTTTTGGCATCAAGCCCGATCCCCTCTGCAAGCTTCCCCGATGCAATCCAACTTCCTTGTGCATCCGAGACACCACTGAAGTTCCGAAATATTCCTCTCCCCGAGTTTTGTCCTGGCGCAACGTGATCGCTTGCTTTGCGAATCAGAAACGCTTGTCTCTGGACATTTCCCAAGGTGCCAGCTCCTATCGCTGACTCACCCATGCCGTAAGGGCTAGGACGACTGGAGCTGCTGTCTCCCAGCCTCATCCAGAGCACCCACCAACCACGACTCGTTTTGCACGTGCGCTCGGTCTCTGAAGAGCGATATCTAGTTTCAATTAAGGTATTTATGATTTGGGTGTGAACATTCAAAGCGTCCAGTCGGGTCCATGATCCACTGGTCGAAGCTCCAGGCTCGGGAATATTTGGAAGCGACGCACGGACTGTATGATTCGATGGGTCCGAGACCACATCATATATATGCTGACGGGAGGCTTCATTCTCTTTGAAGCCATGGTACAGACTGCAGTGTGAGAGACGCTCTGCTGCCTTTGAGGGACAAGTGGAGGATAACAGAGGCTTTTGTAAGGGGCCAAGTTGATGGTGAACACTTCGGTAAAACGAAGGAGCGGAAAGGCACGCTGTATCTGGGTCGAAGAAAAAAACAAACATAAACGGTTGATACTGGTTGACTAGTTAGCGGAAGTAATGATCAAGACAGCAGTGGGATTATTTACCAGATATATTACGACCCGGAGCGTTTTCGACACGTTGGACTCGCCCTCGATGACACTCACATTCAATGTCCGCGAAGATATTCTAGTTCCTTTATTCCCTGTTTCTGCTTGGTTGCGACGAAATTCGTTGGGGCCTTCAGTATCATCCGAATCTGAATCTTCGTTTTCAAGGTCGTTGCATAATCCTATCAAAAACCTGCCTGGTGATTCGTCTAGCTGCTGATAAAACCTGCCTCGCTCTGCTGAACTGGCGTCCGAAGGGGACATTTCCCTATCGGGAGTTCCACCCATGCCAAATCGTAGTATGTTCACCCGGGGATGGGTGAGTGGACTTCTCGAGTAGCCACCCCACGCCGAACCATAACCGAGAGTGATTAGCTTCATAAACGTGTCTGTGCCAAAGGCAGGGGAGTCTGGCTTTCCCGGTGGAGACCTTTGTTCTTCAGGGCTATGCTGGACAGGCTCGTCCTTGGTTGGTACGGGACCGGGGCTGACGACGAGAGGAGGGGGTATACCAGGGGATAAGCTCCGATTTGGTATATCTCCCGAAACCGATTTTGACCGGGCATGCAAAGTTATGGAGGGGCCGGAATCGCGTATACTGAAGGCGGATGAATGGTTCCTTCTCCGCCTCCGACGCTTGGCTGACCTCGGGTCATCTCTTACGCCATATGCGCCTTCGCCATATCGGTATATCCATTCCATCCACTGCGATACACTCACAAGGGAAGACGTAGCAATTTTGCCCATACCCGAAAATATAACCCCATCTGACGAGTCAGGGTATGTCCCACGCCCGAGCCAGAGAGCCTCATTTGATTGTCGATCAGTACTGTTTGTTCTTTTTTGGACAGCACTCTCTTTTCCATTCGCTGGTTCGGGATCCCCGAAACGCGAAAGCACCATATCAACCAAGCCATCCGTTCTGGAGATGAACCCTTCCAGGACCTCTCGTTCTCCACTCCCCCATTCTTCTTCTCCCACTCCAATACCCAATTCAGCTCCGGCAGCAAGCTTTATGCCGTTGAAGATCTCCACGGCGGGATTTCCATGAAGTAGGACATCCCAATTCAAGACGAACCTTGTCCAGAACCGATCCAAAATCCTGCAAAACCTTTCCCTCGGTATGTTGTTGTAAAGCGAGTCGAGGGTCGGTGCATGATGCAGCAAGAATATAGAGTGGGCTCTTTGCAGCTGCTGCAGTAATAGGTACGACGGAGATACTTCTCGAGACGAGTATTCGACGGACGGAGAAGGCGGCACATTCGGCTTTGATGATGGCGTTGTAGAAATGGAAGATTCGGAGGCCAAACGGGTAAAGTCGATACGCTACCAGCAGTGTTAGGAGACGTGGGTTAGAAAACTAGACAGGCAGCTTACCGCAAGTATCCACCAATTTGGTTCAAGTTCATGCAGTACAACGCGCGACTTTTCGGTTTCCACCGTATCTACCGAATCTCCATTTGAAAATGTTCTAGCACGAGACTCAGCACTTTATGTCTTGCTGGATGGTATCCAAACGAGCGATTTCACGACGCACTTGGCAAAGCTCACCATGCCCTGGGCCAGCCCTATCTGGCGTAATCTTTCATTTTCGTCTTCCTGTTTTCTTTCGTCGCCCGCATCATCGTTACTTGCTTGTCTCCTCGATGCCCTTGAGCGGCTTGATTTCGAATAGTAGTAGACAATCTGGTTGTGCAGGGCCTCATCGGTCGTGCCCAAAGACGGGTTGTAGATCGCAAGAAAGGCAGGATGGGCAGGGACCACTAAAGCATATTCATTTGGAGGCATGGCATGTTGCCCTGTTAAGGGTATATTGACATCGCGATGGTGAGATGCCGCTTTCAACCAGACGGCGCTCATTTGCGTTGGGCTAATTTTTGGGTCGATTGCATCACCGTCAAACAGAGCAAACATCTCCCCCGGCTCAAACCGTAACTAAATTCGAGGAAGCTTTGCTGAACGACTGGACGGTTGGAGAGCTCGAGACAAAAGGGATTCGAATCTCTAGGCGCAATTGCAGGATGATTTTAATTCGAAGATCCCGCTGCTTTGCCCTAGGCCGGTCATATCTATTCTCAAAGCAGCGATACTCCCGTCATTCCTCTACGAAATATTGTGAACCCCTTAGGATACTTTTCTGCGGATCGGATGAGATTAGCATTGCCTCACTACAGGCACTCCACGCCGAGCATAGCAAATCCCCGGAGACAATCGCTTCTATAGATGTTGTTTGCCGTCCCGGAAAGCGTGTGGGTCGAGGATTGAAGAGAATTCGTGAGGGTCAGTAGGGAGATCTCGTCTTGCCAGAAAGAGTACCCGAATATTTACGTATTCTTTCGATTCTAGTTCCAATCAAGGCCGTTGCAGAAAACCTTTCCCTTCCCGTACACGAAATAGATACATTCACTGGATGGACAGTAAGAGACGGTGGACATTGCTATTCCCATGCATCCCCCTAACACCGTTGTGAATAGCCACCCCAACCCCAACAGGGCCCATGCAACTTGATTGTGGCAGTTTCGTTTGGCCTTCGTGTCCCTCCCCGAATTTTAGGAGCCGCTAGATATGGTGGATTAAATATCCATCCTTCCCTGCTACCTGAGTACAACCACCCCCCCCTTCTCCAGTAATCGATCGATCTCGTGTTCTAATCCGGGGAGATTCACAGTTTCCGCGGTCCTGCGCCGATTCATCATACCCTTCTGGCAGCGGAGAAAACGACCGGTATCACCTTGCAAACGCTCCATGAATCCAAGTTTGACTATGGCTTAATACTGGATCAAACAAAGTTTGACATCCCGGAGCCCGAATCGTGTGACGTGCAAGGGCTTGTGAAAATCGCAGCAGACAAAGGCGCGCAGGTGCTTATCAATGGGATTCGTGACCGTCTGTTTGTTCCCCCATTAGAACCGGTTTTGCAGCCTACGGTTGTCCCCGAAACGGCCCTAAGACATGCTGCGAAAATCGGTCCCGAGGACCGCCATGTGGAATGGTCATCGTGGACATGGAATCGGATACGACGGCATCATAAAGTCCTAGGTTCTTTGTGGAACTATGCTAGCGTATCTGGAACTTCAAAATCTACTGGCTCTTCCCTACGAAAAAGGATTATATTTGCGGATATGGAGGCTGTTCCGCCGGATTTCATTCTGGAGTTCGTGTCTGGAATTGAACCTGGAATACCGTTTGCGGTAGCGGGAAATTCTTCCGTTTTGGACAAAGATCGACCCATATACGTCCTCACGAGCGATAGAAAATTGGTTAAAATAAATCAAATTAAGGTGGAAGGCGATAAAACCAAGGGAGCTTATGCAGCCGCCCTCAAGGCTAAGGCTATTCAGCCACTGGCTCACAGGGGGATGTCCGATGAGACGCTAATTTCTAAATTTTATGAACCTCTTCACTGATGGAAAGCGCTGTGGGTGTGCCGCATTTCATCAATCTCCAAGACAAGTCTTCTCAATTGCGTTCCGTGTCACGTGTGCTTTCTCACTCTGTATGGGATTATCTGATCACAAACCCAGAATCTACATACTTTGTCAGTACGGGGAACTTGCTTTTAGAACTTGGAGTCACCCACCAACTTGGATCTGCTGGCCTGTCATGGAAGTGTTTTTTGCGATTGTGATGAATACATCGGCACAATCGTCGACGGACGGCTGTTACTTGCATGAGCGAAAGATACGGGTTGACCCATGGCTATGTCACTTACAACGCGTTTCAGTGGTACTTTCTCCTCGTACATGCCAACAACCTCCTTTGGAAACCGTTGCCCCTAATCCGAAGTTATTATGAGGAGAAAAGAGGGGCGTTTCTGTGGTTCTTACCCATTCTGTGAGAATGAGGCCAGGAAGCAGAGCATTGACGCGAATTTTGGACCCTTGCGTGGAGGCTAGGGCTTTCATCAAATGCAAGCCTAATATAGTGAGAGCCCGTCCTTGTGGATGAGTGTCGGTGTCGATGCTCACCTGCCGCTTTGCTCACTGAATACGCCATACTACTACCACCGGGGGTTATGCCCTGATTGGCCAAGGGTTAACCTGGGTACCCTGGGCCTTAACGTTTTGCGTGGGGGCTTACCGCCGTGGAAGAAGTAATGATGAACGCACCGCCATCTGGATTGGCGTCGAGAGTCGGTTTTGCAGCTCGGAAGAGGTGCAGGTTTGCTTTGACGTTGGTTGTCCAGCACTAGAATCGCAGTGAGCACTGTCCAAGAAATTTCGACACGTTAAATAATCTCATTATTGCCTTACCCTATCCCACTCGTCATCCGTCAATGCATCAAGATCAGCAAAGTTGGAGATCCTAGTCCAGCCCTTATTTCCAACCATTAGCGGGACTTTTGCAGATCAGGAAAGGAGACCGGGGACGGGACATATACAGCATTGGAGATTATGACATCCAGCCCGCCTAGCTGTTCAATTGTCTGCTTCACAAGATTCTCGCAGTCTGAACGAGAGCTGACATCCTGCAACCAGCCTGATTAGCATATGGATAGATACAGGTGGTAGCGCTGCATGCAAGAATAGAGGGTAGCATACTCCCTGCAGAGTTATTGCGTTGATCTTGTGGTTTTCCTCAAGCTGCGCTGCGAGCGCTGTAGCCCGGTCCTCGCTAGAAACATAGTTGATGGCCACGTTTGATCCCTCTGCGGCGAATCTCTCAGCTACTGCGGCTCCCAGGCCTCTAATTAGACAACGTCGCGACTTAATATCAGTTCTAAATTTGATACCGTCATTCGTAGATTGCGGGGTGGAGCCTCACCGCGAACCGCCAGTGATGAGGACGTTTCGTCCCTTGAGCGAGTACGGCATGGCTAATAGTTACTCGGAAGTGAGACTCAAGACTCGCGAAAATGGCAATGGATGATGGCTGAGGGATTTTTTCGAAGAACTTCAAGGTAACTTTATATAAAGGTGAAGTTTCGGGAAAATATTCGCTCTGGTTAACATTAACTACTCGTTCTGTGTCGCCCACGAGCCCCTCGATGGAGCTGAGTATCAACCTCCTCTTCAGTACCTCGGCCGGAAGATCGCAAGCATTATCTAATCGCTCCGGGTACGTTTTCGGCGTCAGGACGCCATAGACTCCGCAAAGCTGGTTCCCGAGTCCACCCCGCAGAGATCCAGACACATTTATCAGCTATGACACCCGGAATAATAACATGGATGCTATTACGAGCTACATATGCAAAGAGCACATTTCGTCTGCACCGTTGCCTCGTGTCTACTACTAAAAGCACACTCATTCCAGGTTATCCTGTTCGTCTGAAGATAATTATCCTGGCCTGGAGTCCCGCCATCACTCCCCGCTTATCTTTTGCGGTATTTTAGGGCAGCCACTCGGAGAGCGGAAAGTCCGGCCCCAATTAAATATTCGGATTATCATTTATCCCGCCCCGAGGTCTCCAGAAGGTTGCTTGGACGCAAGGCGGATGTCACGCCGGATTCGCACCTCAACCACGCTGCTCAGGCAAACAAATCCAATGGAATAAAGTGGAAAGGGACCCTAAATCTGTTGTCGTGGCCCGTGTGCAATCACCTATGGTGTAATATTGGTCAGATATTCAGACGCGGCAAAAGCGTTCTTTGCTTTCGGGATCATCAGTACATGGGACTCCCGTTTCCCCATGTATTTTGCAGGAAGTTCACGTCGAGCTGTTATCATGGATTTACCACACGCTCTATCCAGCGAAGCGAACTATTTCTTTCTGATACCCTCTTTTCAGTTCCAGCCGCGCTGGTAGCACAAGCGGCTCGAAGTTCCATGTCAGATATGAACTTCCAGATACGGGGCCTGTCTCTAGGATTCCAGAGGTGGTGTATGATTTGATTAAGCTGGTATGGCTGCCCGAGCATAAGCGTCGCGGTACTCTAGCCCCGAACTCTTTAGGATCAAACGAAGATAGAGTCCCTGCTTCGTTTTAGCTTCGATCCCAGAATCGCCTTCGGCGAAATCCCCCAACGCAGAGTCTCTGACATCGAGGTTCCTGTTTCAATAGCTCTGGTATATAAATATCATTGCGGGCCGCAGGAGGCCCCAGCTGGACGATCCGACTATAGCCATAAGAATCAAGGGAAAGGATGTAGAATCCCTCAGAGATATAAAGAGTGTCTTTTCGGGAAATCTATGGCATTTCCCGTCCACGTGAGGCACAGGAGAATTTACCCTTATACTTAAGGATGCCTTTCTTATCTGCTCTTGAAGCATTCAGCTTTATTTGCTTTTTGTGTTTGTTTTCTTCTCAAGGCTTACCTTTCGCGCAACCCAGGGCCATTCTCACTCTACTCATTTCCTTTGGAACACTTCAGTTCATCTCCATCAGGTAGTCCTAAGACTCGCGTTTGCTCTTTCTCTATCACTCTTCCCTTTCTTTTGCAAAGAAAGCTTGCTCCTCAACAGTCAGGTCTTCTCGTTGGTCAAACTTGTATCTCACAAGTGACTTTTTGGTCTCTTTTCTTTTGCCATCCCAACCTTCTTTGTAACGCCATCAATATGACCCCTTTGAGAAAGCGTGATATCCATCAACCGGCACTACAATCAGCTTCTTGCCCTGTTCCATCAAAATCAAGCTCCACTGATCCAGCCACCGATTATGTCACATCGAGCACCTCAGCCGCAGAGCTTCAATCTAGAATTGAAGCAGCTGTGCACAAAATGGAACAAGCACATAAGGACCTGCAAAGGCCCCGCCCAAAGGGATTTTGGAGCAAGCTCTTTGAAAAAATAAAGGGCTGCCTTCAGAAGCTTTTTGGTCGATGTGCTCCTCAAGTGTGCAGCTCAGAACCTCCAAACCCTTGTGGTGATGAGCAAAGCTTAACTGCCATTCTTCGACGCCGCACCTTTGAAGGCATCAACCTTAGCCTTCCGAAAGTTCAAGCCCTCACAGGAGATGGCAGGATCCCCCGAAAACCTAGCCTTTTCCAGGAAGAACTTAGTGCCGAATTAGTGAAGGAGAGACAGCACCACTGCCGCTCCACCCTTGGCTCTAGAGACTATGCAAGCTTCGTTCTCACCGGCAAGCTAGACGAAACCCTGGACGAGACCAACGAACCGATTTACCAAGGCAGTCAGTTCAATTCTAGTAAACCTCACTTTGAAGAGCTACTTTCTGAACTCTCTTCCGAACCGTCAGAGTCAATTAAGCGGCCATTCTCGATAGAATCAGACCTTCAAGAAAACTGGGATTCTCACCGGATTCCTGGTGCCGAACCGCGATCACGAAGGCTCTCCAGCTTCTTCGAGAGTATAAGGGCAAGCTCCCCCTTGGGCCGGGTTGGCTCAAACCCTAAGACTCCAAGCAGCCCTAAGGGGGAGTACAAAGCTGTTCCTAGCACTTCTGCATCCGACGAAGGAAGCCTAGCATTTAATGAACAGTGATCTGCTTCGCCATATCACCTAAGCAATGCTTGATAGGAAGGGGGTGCACGCCTTCATAAATTTGCAAGAGAGAAGCTGTGGTTTTCTTTTTCTCTTTTTTTTCTTTTTCCTTTCTTTTTGCGTGCATTACAAGGGTGCTTTTGGGTTCTGAGTAAACAAGTCTTGTTGATACGGAGCTAGGTAATCTTACTTGTTGGTTTCCTATACTGTATGCGGTCTACCTATATCCATGCACTAACTTCTATTGCATGCCTTGCCTAGGGAGCTGCTTCTGCGTGCATCAAACAGCCTATTTAGGAGAGATCGCCAGGCTTGCTGGAAGAATACTTATGGGTCATGACAATGCTTTGCTTTTGCCTACTGTTGGGCTTTTTCTTCTTTCCCTCCCCCTTTAATTCTTATTTCCGTTGACTACAGAGAAATTTACATCAGATTGTTAAGGATAAGCTTAAAGTGAGCAAATGTGAGCTCAGCAAGTAGAATCAAGGGTAAGTGATGAGAAGATGCATTAACTGAGACCTTGGAACTCCATCTCAAGGAAGAGCATTTACGATGAACAAATCGGAGGGAAAAGCATTTCTTTCTATCCTTCTGCTCTCCCTTAACAAGCAGCAAAGATCATCCCCAATTAAGCCTATATAAGAAAACAACCGGTGAGAAAAGAACCATTACATCGTAGCCATCGTCCAGGTCATGTAAGCTTTTGTTTTATGAAGAATGATCGAAGATGGGACAATTGCCAGACACAAGTTGCAGTGAGGACGGCAAGCTGGATCAGTGTCCAGCGGACGACACGGGAATTAGTAGCTTCGGATTGATCACGGAATTGAGCTTCTCGTTCCTGCGCAAATAAAAATGTTAGAATGTAGCCCGGTCGTCCAAATATATTATGCAGTGAATTTTCTCGCCAATGGCAGGGCGCAAAACGCCCTTCCCAAAGAAAGGAACCGACTCACTCTCTGGAAAACTTGCTCACGGCGGATATCTTGTAACCGGGCATTGAGATTCTTCACTCGCTGTGCCATATCCTCCATCTTTCCCCGGTCCTCGCTCTCCAACTTGCTCGATTCACCAGTTGCAATATCAATTGTCAATTTCACCGCTCCACCGCTGGAGAACCATCCATTATTACCACCATATTCGGGAGTGAAGCAGATCCTATGCAGGCCTGCGTCGGCGGCGGAGAAAGTAAGCCGGCCCTTGTCGCCGCCCCGCTGCGAAACAACACGGTGGTCATTGTCGAAAGTTTCTTCGACCGTTATCATGATACCGAGATTGGGATCTTGGCTGTAGCCGCCGGTTTTGTCGTTGTAGGATTCGGCACTGTATGTACCTAGTTATGGCCGTTAGCTGAGAGAGCTCACGAGACACTAGTGCACCTGCCCGGTCTCCTTGACCGAGACGGGGGACTGTAAAGAATGACCTACCAACAACTAATGTTCCTTGCGGTAGCTCCTCATAAAAGCACTTGGCTTCTCGGCCAAATATGTAAAAGTAGATGGCGTGCGAAGGGGTAGACAGCATGAGGACGGTCGCGAGAGTGAAGAATGTCGACAGCCATGACGGCCGCGACCTTGACAATGCCATTGAGCAGGATATAAAAAATAGACACGCAGGAGAACAGCAAGCCAGCAGCAAATGCTTCTCAGGCTAAATATTCGGTGTCGGTTGACGGGGAGAGGAGGCACAGGCTGGTGTTTAAAGGGGAATTGTGTCTTGTTTGATGGGATGGACCACTCTGGCCTGGCGTCGGCCAATCACGTCTGTGCGTCCTGCTGTCCAAACCCTTCAAACTTCATCGTCGTCGGGAAGCCGAGCGGCGATAGACCAGCAACTCCAGCATCGACCGTATCGATATAAGCAAACATATCTCATCGTCATCGTACTTGACTACAACAGAACTTCCCTGTGCCGGTTTTACAACACCCCCGACGAGTGCCGGAAGGGGGACGCCCGGGCCTTCACCGCAACCATGGCAGCCGCAGACATTCGTGATATGCTGGATCTGCCCCAGGAAAGCCAGCCCAGACCAGCAAAGAAGCAGAAGGTTGCTGAGCCAAAACGGCCTGGTAAAGCCTGCCCGCGCCCGAATAAATGGCTATTCTGAGATATTAACTATGTTATAGAAGGGTACAACAGAGAGCTATACGCGTTACTTGGAGACAAAGCTCCTCCGATCGCGCTCACGGAGAATAAATACAAGGGACGGAGAAAATGGGCAAGCAAGCTGAAAGTGAGGCCATGGTATGCTTTGCTCCTCACACAACAAATACCGGGAGGTGTCAATGATGCTTATGGTTTATGAACAGGGAAATTACCTCGTTCACCAACGCCGCCAGGACCGACGACCTCGTCTTGCGCCACTGGCAGAGAAAAGCTCCCCCCAAGAACCTAGCGCCCTCCGGGGAACCTACGACTGCGGAAGCCGGCGACGTTAACAGCCTGACGGAACGGCCGGAAACGAAGCCAGAAGAAGAATACCCTTTTGCGAAATATAACGTCAAACCGCAAATACCGAGGAGATACACTGACGCAGAATACGATAAGCACCTTCAAAGCGACCTTTGGAGCCGCGAGGAAACAGATTATCTTATGGACCTTGTTGAAGAATTTGATTTGAGGTGGATCCTTATCGCAGATCGCTACGACTACCAACTAAAGGTTCCCCAGTCAGAAGGAAGTTCAACAGCTCTGGTAGCACCATCTAAACGAAGGACAATGGAAGAGATGAAGTCGCGATATTACACAGTTGCTGGGAAAATGCTGGCAATCGAACGTCCTCTTTCGGAGATGTCACAATCCGAATTCACCCTCTACGAAACAATGATGAAATTCAACCCCGAGCGCGAAAGGCAGCGCAAAGAGCTGGCCATTGTACAGTTCGATCGAAGCAAAGACGAAGTCCAGGAAGAAGGTCTACTCCTCGAAGAACTAAAGAGAATCGTAGGAAACGAACAAAGCTTCGTCGACGAACGCAAGGAGCTCTATTCCCGTCTTGAAGCACCGATCAGCACCGGCAACAGTGCAATGTACCAATCAAGCCACGGTCTTGCACAACTGCTACAGTCTCTCCTACAGGCGGATAAGAACAAAAAGCGCCGCTCCCTCCTCGGCCCAGAGCAAGGCGCCCCCAGTCCAGCTGGCGCCGCGCAAAGCAGCGCCCAAAGCTCCCGCGAGAGCCGGCCCGAGACCCCAGCAGCCACCACATCCCAACCAGTTACAAAAAAGGGCGGCGCAGCCGCCGCCGCCGCAGCAGCAGCCCAACAACCCGCAATTCGAACTCTTACTCCTTCCGAGGAAGCCAAATATGGCGTAACCCGCCACGATCGCCTCACCTCGGGCGTTCAGTTCCGCAACGACAAAGCCCAAAAGCTTACACAAGCAAAATCAAACATTCAGTCGCAAAAGATCGCCGCTGCCCTTACAGAGCTGGACATTCCGCCGCGTTTGTTCATGCCCACGGAAAAGGTGTGCAAAGAATTTGAGAAGCTGATTCATTCAGTGAATATTCTGCTCGACATGAGGAAGTATGCGGAGAAAGTGGAGGCAGAGATCAGGATATTAGAGGCTGCTAAAGAGGAGAGAGAGAGAAAAGAGCGAGAAAAGGAGGAAGCGCAGGAGGCTGAGGGCGGGGAGACGTCAGCTGCGGATGGTAGCAATCCCGTGGAGATCAAAGGTGAAGGACAGAAAGAGGAGACAAAACTCGATGCCCCAGACGATGGTGCTTCTTCTACCAAGGGCCCGACAGGTTCATCCCACAAGCGCAGCGCCAGTGTGCTCAGCACTATGAGCGAGAAGAGTACCAAAAAGCAAAAAAAGTGACTGGATAGCCTTTTAACTTTAGGAAGGTGGGAGAAATTTCATTTTCTCCCCGCTCCTGTTGATACAAGCTGTATTTATATACAGGAATGACCCGAATGATAATTATTACTTGATGCCTTCTCAAGCTCCTCGTCGTTTCGGCTTCTCATCAAGCACCACAGCCTAGAACCTAGACGAAGCCCATATGCGTGCTCTTGGCGTGACCAATGTTTAGCACCAGCGTATAACCCGACCATTGGGAATATCACCTTCCCCACGTATCATTCACCATCTTAAGAAGGTTTTCGCGGGCTACGGTCTCGGCAGCCAGTTGTGCCTCGTTAAAACGAATCGTCGATCCGCGCAAGTCCGTACCGTCTGAGCTTGTGGCCTGTTCTAATGTTTCATATACGGTTCGCGCGTACTGTGCACGATTCGAACCACCTGAACTAGTCGATCCCAATTCGTCGTCCACTGCGGGCCTCTCAACGCAGTTCTCGTATATCTTTGACCAACCTTCGGCAGAATTTGGTCCTTGCAGTGCTAATCCATTTGGTGGAGCCCTACAGGAGGCATGTGAATTTGTGGGTATAGCCTTGTTTTCCACTTGCAACCGTTCGGAGAAGCTAGTCGTGGTGTTATATGGTGGTGACTCCTCCACAATTTGCTCTTGCAAAGCTATGTTTTGATTATTGGGTGACCTTCTTGTTGAGGAATGACAACCAGTAGTGTCAGAAATGGATCGTCTTTTCCATTTTCTGAAAAACTGCCTAGTTTTACTCTCATGGGGAGCGTTTTCGTCTTCATCACCTCCAAAGGTATCCGGCATATGGAGATTTGAGCGTCGTGCTTCAGATAGCATCATATTAGTCAGAGCAGACTCGCTGCTAGATAGCTGATGTCTTCTGCTTTTTACCAATACGTTAAGATGTGAAAGAAGCCCGCTACTCTTCCTGCTCTGACGTTTCGAATCTTTCCAGGCTGATTTGTGAAGCTTAATCTCGGCATTACCTTGGTTGGTTTCTTCTTTGGGAAGATTTTTTTCAGCATCAGAGCTAGCTTCTCCTGCGGAGGGAGAAGTAGCGAGATCAAATTGATCTATAGATTTCTCGTGAGCCTGAAGCGGCGAAGGCTTGCTATTTGGCACAAAGTCATAGTTATATCCGAGCCTTTTTCCACCAGTCAACCAAGCTTGGCTGGTTTTCTTGATTTCGTCGTTTGTCTGGTCACTTATGCTTTTGTTCTGGTTGATGTCGCAAGGGTTGTCAACAAAAACGTCCTCGAGATTCTCGATAAATCGACTTTGGACTAAATTTAGGGACGATCTCCGTCCTGTGAGAAAGGATCCTTGCTCTTTTTGAGCGGTAGATCGCAACGTGCGAATCCTGGAGACACATAGCTCTGTGGTTTTGCGTGGATTCCTTGGCGGTTGGTTTTCCCTTAACAAACTTGAAGGTTTAACCGTGCATCTATCCATGGATTCTTCGGGTAATCTTAGAGGAAGGTCTTTCTCTTCAGGGGAAGCCCTGCATTTCAATGTCTCCTGCATGCCTTTGACTGACAAATCCTTCTGATAACTCGATTGTGGAACGATATCTTGAGGCTCGTGGTCGGAATACGCGGACAGGCGTAATGCTCCTTCAAAGCGTAGGTCTCCAGGAGGTTCTCTTTTATGATATGGCAAAGTCTCGATATTGCCAGCTGCTATCGCTATGTTAACTTCCCAAGAGACGCTGACAATGACTTGGCAAAGCGAAGTGGCTCACCTGTCAACCCAGAGTCTTCTAACGGCCAAGATGGATTCACGGGGCTTTTGACAGCCCGAAGAGAAGCGCAATCGTCGCTTTCTCTGGCAGATTTTGATTTTCGAGTTGGAGTGAGGTTGATATACTGTGTTTCGGAATCATGATTATCATCAGCTTCAAGCAGGCTATATCGGGGAATGCCGCACTCGTGTCTGCATGCCTCGAGCCTGTTGGCCTCGTCCGAAGATAGTGGTATTTGCGCAGAATACGTCGGTGTACGCTCATCTTCGGAAGAAACGGCAGCGGTATATGACATCCCAAGGCCAAATGAATCCGGGACAGCACCGTCATAGCCCATCTGCAGCAATGCTTGCGACGATTCACGCCTATCTTCCATGGTGGGAAGTATAGCCTCAGGTCGTCCTAAACCGGAGCCAAATCCTGGCTGCGCAATAATCTGCGGCGTTAGGATGTGACGGGCATCGCTATCATAGCCGCAATCGCTGGCGGCTATACTGGCAAGAATGTTTGGAGAAGCACTTAGGGCCGTGTCTGAGCATCCAGGCTCAGTACGGGCTTCGATTTCAATTTGGGCATCTGAGATTGTCAAAGGCTTTTTCACAAGGCGGGATCCACGCGCAAACTTCGTAAGAAGCTTGTCCGACAAGCGAGACAAACTAATCCTGCCCTTTTTGCCGCTTTCTGTGTCCGTTAGCACACCGGAGACGGAGGGTGCCGTCGTCGAAGCGTCAATAGTGACATTTGATTGTCCGAAGATCACCTCAATGGCATGGTCATCCAGATTCTGGTCATCCGAAGCCTCAGAAAAGCCTTCCTGCATGGAATCGCTGACAGAGTGTTGTTCGAGCGCGGTGGCACTGACGGGGCGGTCAAGCTGGAGCCGGGGACAGGGAAGAAGCACCATTTTTGCGGAATCAGGCAAGGTGCAAAGAGCTGCAGTGCCCTTTCAGTAGACTTCATCGAACTGGTAAGAGAAAATCGATGAAGATACCACATGTCGGCGAAGCGCGTTTCCGGATGCGACGCCGCCAGCAGAGCCACACCGTCGTTGGCCGGCGCTGGGAAGGGAAAGGAAGGAAGGGAAGGAAGGGCCCATCTTGTTTACAAAGCTGGCAATGACTAACTAGGGAAAGCACCAAAACCAGCAGGCGCGAAGTGCGGAGCAAGTCTCTTCTGGAGGCGGAAAGTACACTGTCAAAATAGGAGGTGCAATCCTCCTCTCCCCCTTCCCTGGCTGAACACGCTGTGTTATTTTTGGTCCAGCCACACAAGCCAATTTCGGTAACTTCCTAATTGTACAATATATATAGCTATGGCTTGGGGGAAAAGGCCAGTGGCTGTGGCTTCGTGTACATAGGTATACTACGGAGTACTACAACAACTTAGCATGTTAGGCACTTGAATGGATGCTGTTGGTTTATCCCGCCATGGACAAGCAACAGACCAGGACTGTCCGTTGTATCACCCAGCTGAAAGGCGACTGGTCACGTTTCTGATAGTACAGGGTAGTGACATCGGAGCGACCCCAGATGGCGTGATTGGCCCAGCATGGCCCCTTGTGGCCAACCAGCGCGCGGCAACTCGGGGTCGGAGTTTACTGACTGTGTGGCTGACTCAGCAGCTGGGACACTCCGACCGCAGCCCGCGCTTCGGAGCGAACTGCCCCTCCGTTGGCTGCGAGTCCGCCCACCCCAGAAATTATTCTTTCTTCCTCTTTTTTTTTTTTCACTTTCCCCTCCCCCTCTTCTTCTTCTTCTTCCTCTTCTCTTCTCCTTCATCATCACCACTCCCTCTTCCCCTCCCCCGCTCTTCTCTTCTTCCATCAATTGATTCTGCAGCTCAATTGCTGTATCAAATCCTTTCACGCACACTGCCTGTATCTACCTTTGTCCCTGCTTAACCCCTCACACCCGTTCCGCTCAGCTTTTCCTTGATCCAAATCCTTCAAGATGGTCCAATCGTAAGTCATAATCCTCTCTTGTTGCTTTCTTTTTCGAACCCAGGCTGACAATGGGCTTAGCTCCATCCTCGGGTTTCCCCGCATGGGGCGCCTACGTGACTTGAAAAAGGCCACTGAAGCATACTGGGGAGGCAAGATCTCCCGTGATGATCTCTTGAAAGAAGGCAAGCGTTTGAGATTGGAGCACTGGCAGATCCAAAAGGATGCTGGTGTCGACCTTATCCCAAGCAACGACTTTGCTTTCTACGACCAAGTCTTGGACCACATTCAACTCTTCGGGGTACGGTGTTTATAATTTTTCCCTGCACCTCGAAAGATAACTGCTAACTTCTGTCCCCCAAATTAGGTCATTCCTGAAAGATATTCTAAATATGGACTCCACCCACTTGATGAATACTTTGCCATGGGCCGTGGCCTGCAGAGACCCGCCAAGGATGGCGAGCCTGCCGTTGACGTTCCCAGTTTGGTATGTCTAGCCCTTTGCTACTCTCTCGTTTCTCAAATCAGGGACTGAGACATAAGACAGGAAATGGTGAAATGGTTTGACTCCAACTACCATTACGTCAAGCCAACCCTTCAGGACAACCAGGAATTCAAGCTCTCCGCCAACCCCAAGCCTGTTGTCGAATTCAAGGAGGCAAAGGAGGCTGGAATCAACACCCGCCCCGTCATCTTGGGTCCTGTTTCTTTCCTCGTCCTCGCTAAGGCCGACCGTGGCCAGTCTGTCGACCCTATTTCTCTCCTTGAGAAGCTTTTGCCTCTCTATGAGCAGCTCTTGATTCAGCTCAAGGAGGCCGGTGCTGAGACCGTCCAGATTGATGAGCCAGTGCTCGTTTTCGATCTTGCCGCTAAGGCCAAGGCTGCCTTCAAGCCAGCCTATGAGAAGCTCGGCGCCCTTGGTGACAAGGCTCCTCGTATCGTGTTCGCTACCTACTTTGGTGACATCGTTCACAACATCGATGTCCTCGCCCATCTCCAAAGCCTCTATGCTATCCACGTCGACCTCGTCCGCAACCCTGAGCAGCTCGAGACGGTCATTGGAGCCCTCGGTCCCAACCAGATCTTGTCCGCCGGTGTCGTTGATGGACGTAACATCTGGAAGACCAACTTCAAGAGAGCAATTGAAATTGTCGAGCTAGCTATCCAGAAACTAGGCAAGGACCGAGTCATTGTGGCTTCCTCTAGCTCTCTCCTCCATACTCCTCACACCCTCGAAAGCGAGAAGAAACTTGATCCTGAGGTCCGTGATTGGTTCAGCTTTGCCGTCGAGAAGGCCGCCGAATTGGTTATCATCGCCAAGGCTGTCACCGAGGGCCCAGCCGCCGTCCGAGAACAGCTCGAGGCCAACGCCAAGTCCATCCAGGCTCGTGCTTCATCCAAGCGCACCAATGATCCAAAGGTTAAAGAGAGACAGGCTGCCGTCACCGATGAGATGCACAACCGCCAGTCTCAATTCCCTGAGCGTATCAGCCAGCAGCAGAAACACCTTAATCTCCCAATGTTCCCTACCACCACCATTGGTTCCTTCCCTCAAACCTCTGAGATCCGTATCCAGAGAAACAAGTTCACCAAGGGCGAAATCACCGCCCAGCAATATGAGCAATTCATCGAGAAGGAGATTCAGGATGTCGTCAAGATCCAGGAGGAATTGGATCTGGACGTCTTCGTGCACGGTGAACCCGAGCGTAACGACATGGTCCAATACTTTGGTGAGAGACTGACTGGTTACGTCTTCACCACACACGCCTGGGTCCAGAGTTACGGCTCTCGTTGCGTCAGACCTCCAATCATTGTCGGTGATATCTCCCGCCCTGCACCAATGACCGTTAAGGAGTCCAAGTATGCCGCTTCTATCTCCAAGAAGCCAATGAAAGGCATGCTTACTGGTCCAATTACCTGCTTGCGCTGGTCTTTCCCTCGTGACGATGTTCACCAGTCTGTCCAGGCCCAGCAGCTCGCTCTCGCACTTCGCGACGAGGTCGTTGACCTAGAAGCCGCTGGTATCTATGTCATCCAAGTTGATGAGCCTGCTCTCCGTGAAGGTCTTCCACTCAGATCCGGCAAGGAGCGTGAGGCCTATCTTAAGTGGGCAGTTAAGGCCTTCCGCCTCGCCACCTCCGGCGTTAAGGATAGCACCCAGATCCACTCCCACTTCTGTTACTCCGAGTTCCAGGACTTCTTCCATGCAATTGCCGCTCTCGATGCCGATGTTCTCAGTATTGAAAACAGCAAGAGTGACGCCAAGCTTCTCAAGGTTTTCGTTGACGAGAAGTATCCACGCCACATTGGTCCTGGTGTTTACGATATTCACTCTCCTCGTGTCCCAAGCGAGCAGGAAATCAAGGATCGCATTGAGGAGATGCTTCAGTTCCTCCAGCCAGATCAACTCTGGATCGATCCCGACTGCGGTCTCAAGACCAGACAGTGGGCGGAGACCAAGGCTGCTCTCACCAACATGGTGAATGCTGCCAAATACTTCCGCCAAAAGTACTCTAAATAAATACTTCTCTCACATTTTCCTTTCGATGCTCCTCTAAACGGAGCAGTTGTTTGTATATGACGATTGGGATGACTTCATTTTAACATGATGGCAGTCAAAACTCAAAAAAGGAGAAAATCTTTCAACATGCATGCATAGCTGGTCAGGCTGGGTTTTATGACGGGGGTGACATGGTAAAAGCGAAAAGAATACCCACGATCTCAACATCGGCGTTGGTGAATTGGTGATTTATCACGGCATTTGGTCTTCTTTTGCTTTTATTTTAGGTTCTGGTCTTGACATGTTTTTATTCTCATGGGCGGTACTCGGTCAAAATGATGTGGTGATGCGGTTTATTTTTGACAATAATTAATGATTCAACGGCTAGTTAAAGAAGCTGAATAAAAATGTAATTCAACATCTTCCAATTTCGATTCAATTTTTTCTCGAAATGTGACTTGCGTAATTAGTAGAAATACAAGGTAGAATGTATTTGTATCACCCGAAGAAAGTCGACGAATATAGGAGTACCGCTGCCTGCCTTTTTTTTTTTTTTTTAGAGTGAACACTATAATTCCTCACAACCACTTGAAATAAGGAACAAACCCCCCTCTTGCAGCAACGGCCTTCTCCCCAAACCGCTGGGCATACCACTTCCTCCCCCATGACGCCCTTGCCCCCGTGGTCAACACGGTGTTCACTAGGAATACAATCGCCGGGAACGGGAACGGCAAGCCCCATCTTTGCAAGAACAACTTTGCCAACGGCGTGTAATATGGGGCCAAGGGAATATACGGTGTTTTGGCACTGGCAGAGGGTGTGTGGGATGTCTGCGAGGCCACGGCAAACCCGATGAGCAAGAACCCGGCCCATTCAAGCCATTCCAGGACGTAGTGCGGGAAGAGGATTGAGCGGAAGACGCCAGTAGGCGGTGGGATGACGTAGACTTTGTCGTAGATGGATTTTCTGCTGTTGGTTGCGTCGCCGTCCTTTTTCGCCTTTTGTTGTCTGCGGTGGGCTTCTTCTCTGCGAAGACGGAAGAGAGTGGTTTCGGCGTGGATGTTGCCGTACATGCCTAGGAAGTAGAGGGCGATGCCGATGTAGGGCACGTAGGGAAGCCAGGCGTGAATAGGTGTGTTGGCGGCGGAGGTGGTGGTGGCTATGATGTGTTCGCCGGAAGCACTGACGGGTAGGCCGTATCCGAGGAGCCAGCCCGCGAGGCAGCTAGAATTGAAGTAGTTGTATGTCACCGCCGTGAAGATTATGATCAGGTGAATGGGCGACATGCTGGGTGCCAAAAACAGCGGGGTGATGAAAGCGCGATTGACGTAGTGGAGGATGTAGAGAGCCACGAGGAGTTTATTCCAGGCTGGCATTGTAGATAGGAAATTCGGGATGGACTGGAAGTGCGTGTAGAGGATGTACAACATGTTCATGGCGCCGATGCTCTCCATGAAGCACCACGCGTAGCGGCCTGGGAAATTCAGGATAGAGGTCGGGAGGGACGTTTTGCCCTGCGGGTAGAAGGGGAGGAGCCATTGGGCTATGGTTATCTGAGAAAAAGGTTAGATTCACTTCGCACGTGCGTTGCCTGGCTTTGAGATTTAGAATTGGCACGGAAGAGGACTTACTATCGGAAAGTATTGGAATATTGAAAGGAGGGTAGAGTATGCCTTTGGTGTGGGCGGGAAGAATTCAGCGGGCGGAGGCAAGGATTGAATCCAAGTAGAGAGAGAGTCCATGATGCCCTGATCTCACAGCTTTTCGACTGAGTTCGCGAAACTGTTCTCGAGATACTGTAGCTATGTTCAAAACTCTCTTTGATGATGAGCTTGGAGCTTGGACCTCTGGCGGTGCTGGACGCGATCTTAAGCCTTGGCTGCGTGACGTTGGAGCTTATTCTAGGCTAACTCGTTAACTAACTAACCAACCAACGCCACACATAACTTGCTGCATCCAAAACTATGGATGGGTTCTTGGGCTCCATTTCCGCCCTCTGTCTACGGAGTACATAGGCCATCCTCCTGGTGTGTGCGCCACTTCTTCCAAGGTATGAGAAGTCGTAATTTATGTCAACAATGGATCCTCAATAGTTGTGTAGGCGAATGGGCCGTGGAATGTTACAGCGCCAGTTTTGGCCGCATACTCCCTATACAAAGCGGAGTTTGAGCCTGGGGCCAGCGAACCTCGAAATGCCTTGCTTCTGAGAAAACAGTGCCCATTGACATGAGAGGGCAACTTTTTTAGGACTTAAGATCCATGTCCTGTATTGTTGGGTCCATGTGGTCGATTGGCAATCAGAGAGAGGCCGCCTCGAATGATCCTATCCATAGCTTCACGTCGAGTCTTGTTGACATGACGGTTGCCTGAGCTCTCCGATCGGGTTGATCTGACCCCATTGTTTGACGTTATCAATTTATGCGATCAGCAATTACATTCACGCATGTTGCTGATGAGAAGTCGCGTTACTTTTTATTGAAACTGTGGCTACAGCATCATTTTAGACCATTATCTGAAGGGACAACATTCTGAAGATGTGCCATCTTAAGCAAGTCTATCAACAGAGAACATGGAAAGTAAAACAAATTAAATGTAGCCCAGGCCACTGTACGGAGTAGGATCGACTGATTATCCTGCACTCGTATCCATGCTATCCTGGTCTGGGGCTGCGTCTTTCAATCCCGCCAGCTTCGCAGCTTTCCGTTCCGTCTTGAAAGCTTCAATTTTCGCCTTCAATTCCGTATCTACCGTGCAATCAAACAATTAGTCAAGAGGTCTGACCCAGCAAAATTGTCGCTGTCGCAAACTCACCTGCAATAACGTCCTCAATCTTAAGTGGCGCTCGGTTGAAAGGATCGTTAGGATCACTAAGGAGATGGGACCGGATGGTTGACCGGTCAATGGAAACTTTGGAGCTGGGAAGTATCACAGGATCTTCCATAAGCGTATACATCAACGGATCTAGGGGGAAATCAGTTTTGAACTTAGTTTGAAATGCAAAACCTGATTGACGTGGAAACAAACCAAGGAACTCATCCGGAATTTCTCCCAGGTCTTCTTCTGCCTGCTCGTCTGCCTCTTTGGCTCCCTTGACTTTAGACTTTAATTTCTCCCATTTGACCATGTCACTCTGGGATTTAAGGGACCGTTTCTTGAGAATTTCTGCAGCCTTATCAAAATTCGCCGGCTTATACGACCGACCGTCGCGTGCCACAGCGAGAATGAAGTTATCCTTCTGCATTAAGTTGAGATATACATCAACAATCTCACTTAACAGCGCTCTGGGATTGAAGTTGTAAGAGGCCAAATTGTCCACACGTAAATTCGAACTCTTGGGGCCGACCATCGCATCCAGGTTGTAATTCAACATGTCAGCCAGCCGCTGTACAATTTCAGGCATCGTAAAGGAATCAGCAAGGGCTTCCGTGAACAACTTCAGCATCGTCACGGTCTCGTTAGTCAGTTGCATGTATCCCTTGGCTCTGCTTTGAGCTGCTGCCAGTTGCTCTTCCTTTTCCTGACGAGTATTTTCATCCATTGAATCTCCTTGCTGTCTCAGTTCGACTTGTGTGTCGTGAATCGTCAAAAACGCCGTGAACGATTCATCCAGGACGAAAGTAACATCGTTCAAGAGCAGGTTCACAAACCGCACGAAAAAATCCGAATTCCTTTGTGCCTCATTCGATAATTGATCCCGGTAGATTGCGTTCGGCCAGATGCACTTGATTATCTGGAAAATTTCCAGTCGAATATTAAACTTATCGAAAAACTGCGTATGGGTTCCCGTAAACTCTGCTTCTATATAAAACTTCAGAAGAGCGTGTAGAAGGTGCTTATTAGCAAACGGCATAGAATTTAAAAGATCAACGAGGACACCCCTCGCTCCAGTCGGTTGGGTCCACGTCCCGCAAAACAAGATTGTGATTAATCCCGCTTTGAGATACGGATTTTTTATGTATTCCGAACTGTGTAAGAAAGCGATGCAGAGCATAATCAACTCATCACCCTGCGTTGAAGTAATTATATGAGGCATATTCCATATGATGAATTTGAAATTGCTCACGACGTCGTCCAGGAAGTATTCCGGCAGACATTTGAAAGCTTCAGATTCAGTCGCGGGAAGCGGTAGCTGAAGTGGTTCCTTGGGAAAGTTGCGACCAGACACAATCCTCAGCATCCACACAATAACGTATCTCATGAACTGCATGGACCGGGCCTGCCAGAGCTCATCCAATAAAACACCTTGTAGGCTGTATTTAAACGCAAGGCCTATATCCAACCTGTCTTTGTACTTTTGGAGTGCCCTCTCGAACATTCTGGCCTGATTAGGATCCACTGACCATTTAGGCCTTTCGCGCTCAAGCTTCTCAATCTGAGTTTGCATATGGCGCAGGTCTTTCCTGAGCTGCTCCAACAAGGTAGTTAACGACTCGCTACCATAATGATGAGCAGCAACCGTCAGGAAGAAAACTTCGCTGATGAAATTCGACTCGCCTTCCACGGAGTGGGAGTAAAACTCATCAGAGGTCTTTTGATCGGCATTTATTTTAGTTTCATCTTTGATTTGCACTCGTGGGTTTCTTTTCAGATAATTCAAGTCAATTCTATCAATCTGAATGGGTCAGTGTGAACATCCATGATCGGAGAACACCATACCTTAGTAAATGCTGCGTCCATAAACGGCTCACACAACTGATCAAGGCAAGTTGTGACATTGAACATAAACCCATCAGAGGAGACCTGGGCTGGATCCACTTGCATAGCTCTTCGTTTATGGTTGATGTTGACAGTTGCTGCAAACCAATCCAAAACATGTTCTCTTGCGGACTTGGAAGCCCTGATGAGGTGATTGATGATGTCGAGAAGGTCTGAACTATGCAGCTGTTGAGTCATTCGCATTGCCCTTTGTGCGCTGATTATGGAACCCTTGTCTCTCGTTTGTGGACTCGAGAAATATGACATTGCTGTTTCCTTCTGCAGCGGAGACAGCCTGAACCAGGGCCCTAAAAGCGTCTCAGTTTCAAACTTATCTGCTCCTACATTTAAATTAAAGATGGGAGATTCCGTGATGGCAACCGCCAGAGGAGAAAATCGAACTAGGTTACGAAACGCCTATCATATGTTAATCTCAGTACCAATAGCCGGTAAAAATTGCCGACATACCATCATATACCCTTTATAGTCGTCATTCAGGGACATGGACGACAGATCACGGCTCATATCTTCCACAGCGTTGACGAACGCAGGTATGATAGTATCATCATCGTCGGCACGTTTTATAGCCTCGGACATAAAATCATGGCACAAGCCCGTATCGCTATCCGGCTCATTCAGAAGGTGTGGTTTGAGGGGCGATGAAGGAGGTGCGTCAATTCTAAATAAAAAGAAAAAATTCATGAATATCCATCATTTTTGCAACAGTACGACAGGAGAGAGCGTTCCCTTACCCAAACATCTCCGGCATTGTAGCGGCGAATATGCAGTAGCTCAAGCATAATCTCCTGGCCTCCTTGACCACATCGTATTTGGGATCATCAGGTTTCGTCCTCTTAAACCCTTTATACAGCCTTGTTACCCTTTTCCAGCACGGTAGCAAGTACTCCAGAGGCTTTTGTCGCTCCGCATTCGACCCCGCCTCCAGAAGCGCTTGGTCCAAAATTCCGACGTTTAACCGGAGTGGCTGTCGTTGCTCCTCCAGGTCCGAAACAACCCCAGGGAGATATAAAAGCTTCTGGCCATGAATATCTTGTTGTTGAGACTCGTTTAGCGTGATCTTGAAAAGAGCGCTCAGCGTACGATCCTCAAACGCTTCCAGCGTCTCCTCGGCCCTCTGCTGCGGCGGGTTCTTAGTAATTCGGATCCGTGGAGCTCCATCGCCGGATTGACTCATATTTCCTCGTGGCAAACGCGAGATATGGATCTGAGGAGCTCCGGTGCGAGGTACAGAAGCGTCGGATTGGTGCGGCGGGGCAGGTCGAGGGCTATCGCTAGCTTGTAATGCTGTGCCTTCTTGCGTCCCTTCTTGTGACATCGACGAGAGTGAAGCTGATCTCTGGGCAACAGGTATCGCAACGCGCTGGACCCGGACCTAGGATGCTCAGATTAGCTTGGTTCGTGGGGCACAAAGGCGCGGAGAACCGGCGCTGTCGTCATTGCTGCTTCGATGAAAGGGGAATTCCGCACCTTTCTTGTGTCAACACAAAGTCGTCCACCAGTGTGGGTTGGCCAACATTAAATGAGATAGGGTTTCTATGCTTCGAAGAGGTACTACGAGCCCCAACAGAGTCGCAGTTGTCAAGATGGACGACGAAGAGTGCGGCCGGCTTCACAGTTGATGGAAACAACTGGCGCCTGTTCGAAGTTGCTTAACTAAGCTTGCGAGAGTTGCATCCTCAAAGGATAGGCTCGGATACAACAGTCTCGATCCTTTTTATTTAGCAATGTCATTATATCGATTTAAACCAAAAAAGGATGTCCCTCTTTGTTGTCAAGGAGAATACAAGAAGAGGAATTACACTGCATTGCTAAAAGCAATCAAACCAAAAACTGAAAGCCTGTTTGCATCTAGAGGACGCACCATAATGATCATATACACGAAATTGATTCATCCGCTATAAAAAGACCAGAAAAGTATTAATATGCTAGAAGACCATCCATCAAACGCCAAAAACCTCACCTAAATGGAATCTCTAATCGTACGAAGTTCGAGGGTGGTAGTCAAAGTAAATCCAGCACGAGGATGTAGCGGCGATTTTAGCGAACCTAAGTCTCAAATATCCAGGGACTCTAACTTTTTACAGCTTCGAAGCTCCAACTTCCGGGCCTCTTTCATCTTTTCCACGTCCGGGAAGAACCAGCCCTGAGCGTCCTGTATCATCCGATCTCTGATCCGCACTTCATTCTCACATTCATATCGTAGATTCGACACGTAATCCACTTCCACTTTCTGGTCGAGTTGGCGGAGTTTCCGTGCGCTGTAGTCTTCAACTTCTGTTGGATTAAGGAAATAATTAAGTTTTAGTTTCGGGGTCGTTCTATGTAGGGTATGCGGTGGCGAGGCGGAATCGAATCGGAATGAAGGGCCGGAAGGAGTCGAGCTTGAGAATAAAGAGGAGAGAAGAGGGAAGAGGAATAGGATCAGAAGAGGGAGAAATTGCGACAAAGATGAAAGCCCTCCGGCAGATGCAGTTTCGGACTGCTGGTTAGCTTCGCGTGGCCTTCTTCGCGGGCGCGGACCCCCAAATTGGTGAACACGGATGCCTGGGCCGCCTCCCATGTTGAATACAAATGATGGACCAGCGTCGAATATGCCTCCGCCTATTATACACTTCGTCAGCGGAATAAAACGCAACGAGACAACCACGCATTAACCCACCAAACGGTCCAAAACCACCTCCGAAGCCACCACCAAAGAACCGGTTGAACAATTCCTCAGGTGATATCTCATCTTCATACATATGTGTTCGTCCCTGGGGGAAGCCCCCAAAACCACCAAAGGGAGACGCGGATGGTCCAGAACCGCCACCCGAGAATCGGTTCTCCGGGTCCCCCCCGAACTTGTCGTACTTTGCCTTCTTGTCCGAGTCTGAGAGTATCTGAAAAGCGCGCGACACCACTACATAGTTTTCACATTAGGATCTTGCATCGCAAAACAGTCATTCCCTGGATAAGAAGCACACATACTCTTGAAGGCCTCATCTGCTCCATCGTAACCATTTTTATCCGGATGCGTCAAGAGACTGAGCTTCCGATAGGCCTTCTTGATCTCCGAGTCGGTTGCAGTCCGCTCTATCGCGAGAATTTCGTAGAACGCCGTGGCTGAGCATTTCCGCACTCGAAGCACGGCGGCCTTTTGTTCAGGCGTGTATTTGCGTTCTTGGTTGCCTTGATTATGCTCCCTGGACCGTGCTGATGCGCCTCCCTTTGCATCTGCGCCAGATGTAGACGCGGATGACATTCTCTACCGGAACGAATTATAAGGCCAGAGGGAAGGATGGCAGCGGCGCGGGGGGGGGAGGAAATAGAAGTGAGAGTACTCCGTAGAGATCCGACTCGTTCGTCGGATGTAAAGAGTCGCTTGAATGAGCCAAAGGCCCAAAGCTCTCCAAGCTTTAAGCAGAGAGTGTTGTGGACGAAAAATGACGGGAACGAGAGGCGATCGATTTGGACCCTGCCACCCTGACCTTGATGATGGCCTCTTCGCGATCTGTTACTAACCAACGAGCGAACGGAACTTCACTCTCGCCGCTGTATAGTCACGTGATATCGCGGTGTTGAGGTCCACCGGCGCCGGATAACCCGCCATTTCATACACAATGATATTCAATTGGAGACATTCATTTGGGTTTTCAGCTCACCTGGAACATTCCCATGAGATCTAGGGGTGTGATGGCCACCCGAAATAACAGTGCGACCCGTCGCGGGCTCGAACTCGAGACCCCCGGTCCAGCCTCTGCCCTGATTGGATGGCGGGTGGCATCGCCAAACACGACTTGCTTTTTGCGCGCGTGGAGCTCTTGCGTCGAGGAGCACCGCATCTCGAGAGCGTTACAGGCACGGTTTTCACAGTTCCGATTGCACCAATGACTGCCACAGATTAATTTCCCAACGTCCATCACTTACGTGTATCAACTGTTCACTTGAGAAACCCGAACACAGCGACCATATTGGCTCCGTGCAGGCTGGACGCACACATTTATCTGTCTAGAAGTTCGGCATTCTTGGCGCAAGATGCCAAACCCAAGCTCGATGCGGGCGAATAGTCCAGAAGCTCAGCGAGTCAACCGGCCTCTGATGCATTATGCCCGTGCATGGGGAGGTAAGTATCCCGATACCATCCTTTCCCTACGTGTATTCCACTCTTCCCGGCCCATCCCCTTCGGACTCCAGATCTGCCGTGGTTTCTGATCGACGGCTCACAACCGGCCAATTCCGCTACTAGAATCGTCCTTCCCACCTACGCTGCTCGCAACATTCGTTACAGCTCTTCACATGCGCCCCTTCCAGCCGCTTCCTATGATTTTTCCACCCGCTCTTTTGTTTACTAGCTACGTCAATCTCCTCGGTTACAAGGAAGATGCTGCTGGTATTAGCGCGGCTTGGTCAGGATTATACGTTCTTCTTGCTGGACGCAGGAAACAGCCATTCAGAAATAAATGGACTCTGAGGGGTGCGGTTAGAGGAGCGGCGATGGGAGTGGGGTTGGTGAACCTCGTTAGCGGAGGGATAGTATATATCTCTGGTAAAAGGAGCAAAGACGATGATGGAAATGGACTCTAGGCACAATGGTCGAATCAACGGTACTCTCTTTGTTACATTTGGGTATGGCGTTTTTGCAAGATATTCGGGTCCGGACTTTGAAGTACAGAACAGCATTCGGGCGCATTGCATACGGAGAATCCAGGCATTTTACGGGGTATAATATGTTCTGTATGTATATATATGTACCGTATTGATGATTTTCCTCTACTGAGCTTAATCACCGCCGTGATGCCTTTCTATCCGTCCCTATACGGCGCTTCCGCCAACACCCAATCCCTCACTCTATTCGTAACCAAATTTCCCAACGCTTCCCCATTCCCTTTACCCGCCTCCCGCCTTGCCTTTGTCGAACTAACAACCTCCTCTCCCTCCTTTGTACCCTCCACAATCTCAATCCTCTCTGCCCACTCCCGTTTCCCACCAATCCTCTCCATCGTCCCACTCGCCAAATCCACAAGAAACCTTCTCTGCTCCTCGCTGCCACCCCACTCATCATCCGGCCTCAATGTCACCCGTAACCGATGCTGCTTGAGAAACGGAGCCAGTGGTCCAAGAGTGTGTTCAGGCGGGTAATATTTTGGGTCAAAGATCCGGATCAGGGTGTCATACCCTGTAAGATGGACTTGCTCCAAATCCGCCGGGTACGTCCCAGAGGAAGATATGGCAACAGCCTTGTGAATGAAGTAGGGTAGCTTGGTAACGCCAATGTCTATGGGCGGACTCATATAGCCAGTGTTACCGACGTCATCGGTCGCAACCGTGGAGAGGATTGCATCTTGCAAATCATGAGCGAACATGTTCATCATAACCAGACGGTCTTCGAAGAGTGCCGGTTTGGATGGCTTATCGGCATTCTGGGTTGCCAGAAGGAGGAGTAGGCGGCTCGTCGACAAGTCATTGTGGTGGCGGGAGAGGAGAGCGGACTTTGCGATGCGGAGGTGGGCGCGGGTAGGTGGGTTGAAGGAGGAATCTAGCACAAAGAGAGTGACTGGTTTGGTAGAGGGAGGTAGTGGAGGAGTGATTGTGTCAAGGACTCCAAACGGCTTCGAGGAGGCGGTGAAATTATGCAGAGCCGTTTGGTATCGTTGTCGGAGGGTCTGCAGGGCGCTGGTTGACGCGGGGGTTCTGGACATCGCGCGGGGAAGTGATCCGCAGGTAATAGGCACTCAATGCGGTTCTAATTGCCAACATGTGGAGGGATTTTTCACGGCTGTGGTCCTGGGTTTGGGCCGTTCAAGTCATGGAGCACGAAAGGGATCCAATTGGTGCCCTCGTTCCCGTACACAGTTTGACCGCGGAGTATGCACTCGACAGGCTAAACACCGGGCGAGAACCCTTGCAGCTACAACAGCCCGCGTCAAACCATGCTGGTTCAACTCCCCAGGAATTTACATCCAATTTACGGGTTATACTCACTTCTGACGTGAAGATTTACCAACAATCATGGTTGCAATTAATGTGCACACGTAGCTCGCTTGTTGCAGACTTCCAGGCATTGCAATCTCAATATCGCCTCCACAAGCACTCGGAGAAGTCACTTGCCACAGTCAGGCTTTGTATGAGACATACTTGCAATATTCCGGAAATGAGCAAACAGCCCAACGAAATGACGGGGACATTATCGTCCTGTGATGCGGGAGGTTTCAGTTGGGAAGCCCTACACCTGTCATTCAAGATAAGGCTCTGGGTTTGACACATCGAGAACCATGCGAGGGAGTATAATAATTCTCTCGTCTGTGGAAGTAAGGAATCCCAGAAAAGGTGAGTGTCCCGGAGCCACGGGAGTTGTGACACACGGAACGAGGACGCAAAAAGTGATCAGTGACAACCCGATTTCGATAATATCGATGCCGACAAGATTGTGAGAGGAAAAAGCGAAATGGAGGAAACTTGGCCCCTACGCTCAAAGCATTTCTTCGAATCCCTTGACCTCGTCGCCCTGACATGCAAGGTTGATGACGACACCTGAGACCAGGGCACCATGGTTGAAGGGTTTTCAAAAGGGCGCCTGCAAGGATGACCCCATTATATATACGGGGAATAGAATATTCCAGGAATCGATCCGCGCTTGCAGACTGATATTCGCCTTCACCGCGGTTTCATTCGAACCCTGTGTGTGAAGATCACTGGATATGAGCGGAGGCTCTCATTCTCCCTGTCCCACGGGATAGCAGGGATGGTTATTCTATAGCAAGGTAATTTTTGCTGATGGCTGGCTCTTGAAGGACGGTTGCAAAGGAGAAGAGTCTTCAAGACAACGCTGATAGCCTGCTGCACATATCAGCTACATCACCCTATCGGAGAAGTCTACCAGGATTCGATCTAAGCCCTTTTTTCTGGGCTTGGCGGGCAGTTCTGCAGGGAACGACCCCGGACAACCAGGGCCTGCACACCTGCTAGCGCATTCTGACACGGTCCTGGCCCTGCAGAAGTTTCGCGGCTCGAGCCAACGCATGGACCTGGGGGGGGACCACGCTTGATTCCTTATCAGTGCTGTGCACTGTGGTGATATCACGACGAAAGAGAGGCTCATCCGCTGATGGGTATTCGGACTCGTGGGGGTCAAAAAGAGCCGTGGAGCAGATATCCATCCAGACCGTTTCCCTGAAACGAGGACCCAATATTCACTGAGATCTGAGAACACGCACATGAAAGACAGGCTCTGATTATGGCCTCCACTGCGTAGAGATAGCACCCTGCAGAGAGGGGCGATTTTGGATACGCGTTACATGCAAATAGAAGCTGTAGTTAAGAAGAATTTGGCTCTCACACAAATAACTTCACTCTTCAAAGTTGTATGTACTCTACTTTTGTGCTGTACAGGCCTATCTAAACGTTGCTCTTCATTTATTTGTTGTCCGGTGTTCTCCCAGCTTGTGGCCTCCTTTCAGGTTCGAGGGAATCTTTGCCAGATATCCCACGGGGGACAAAGTTTATGAGCTAGCCGTAGCTCTCCCGCTGCGATATGCCTTGAATCCACATACCTCCCTGTCAACCCCATCAATCCGCTCAACTGATGTAACACCCTGATATATATTTGGGTCTATTGGGGTTGTTTTCCGTGGACTTTCTGGAAAGATCTTCTCCTTGTCATTGTCTTCCAACCGAGGCTGCATGTCGTTCCATCATAGTTTCAGAAGCATCTGGATATGATCTGCGCCATGGAGGTCCAAGAAGCCGTCGACGGAGTTTGTCCTGCCTTTTCTAGAAACATTCAATTTTTTTTTTTCTTCCTTTTCTTTTCTTTTCTTTTCTTTTTTTTTAATTTTGCAGGCCGATGGCGAGGGGTCCTTCGGTTAACTAGCACAGGATGAGTCCCGGCCGGATTCGATAGCCGAGGAAATTTTAGGCGCGCTGTCATAAGCATTGAATTTCAAGGCGTGGTGGACTGATCCTAGAATTTTCGTGAGCAATTATCTAGCACTGCGCGGATAAATAGGCCTGGTATCTGGGGGTTCCTTCGATTTGCTACGAATCGAGACCCCGCAAGCAGACATCGCTGGCAAGTTCGAGAAAGACACCAGAGCGAGAACAATTGCCAATGGCAGTCCTCGGGTTCATCGCTTTATCGCATGGAGAGGAGCATCTTCGCGCCATCGGCCAGTCAGGATTGGAGAGTGATGCCTGTGAACAACTCAAATGAAGAGAAGTCAAGGGTTTGAATCAATCAATCAATCAGGCTTTTCTCTTTGCTCGCAAGCCTTTCGTGGAACCCCTGCAATCTCTTCAAACAGAAAGGTTCGCTTGTGGCCGGGAGTGGAGTCGTTTGAAGATGAGCCGATCAAGGACAATCAGCACCAATCTTGGTTTGGTACCAGCACCTTGTTTGTCATTTTGTTCGCAGCCCGGCATTCCGCTGAGATTTTTTTGTTATATTTCCCGTACTCCGTTCCGAGTATGGCGCGTCTCCTGTCTCCCGCCCTTTCGAGGTGCGAATCCTTTTCAACACTATTTTCTCTCTCTCTTGGGATCGGCTTCTCCACCATCAGCAGCGCTTGCTTGCAAGGAACCATGTCTTGTAACCTCGACTGCAGCTGGCCAGTGGACGGGTCGTGGGAGTTCATCTACGAATCGAATGACCGTGTTTGACCATTTGCGGGCAGGACAGAGCACATGATAATTGGTTCGAACCACTCGAGCCTGTTTCGGCAAAGGAGTCCCTTTGATCTGAGGCATTTGCACGTCAGGGTCTTCAATATCGCCATGATCCATGGGCAGGGTTCTCGGACAAAATCATGGCGCTGAAGATTATTACAACACGATCGGGGAAAATTAGTGGCTGGTCCTGGAAAATCCCCTTGCTGTTCTCTTATTACTGTCATTTGGAATGGATATTGCAGATGTGGACCTCTCTCAAGCTCTATGATCTCCACACCCATCCCCTGATCATGCCATTCCCAGCTCTTTGCTGAGTACATATGAAGGCCGTGTGCTCCCTCTCGGCTCGTTTCTCTTCTCGCCCTGAACAGAGGCTGTTTCTATCCTTTCTTCAACCGAGTCTCTCGTTTCCGGCGAATTGATTTCGCTAGTCAATCCTTACAACTACAGCTTTTTAGCAACTGGGCCGAGCCATCTCCCGCGCGAGGGCTTTTGCAAACAGCATATCTGAAACACGATCTCTGATATATCAGTTGGTGTGCAAGTTCATTCTCAACAATGCAATTTAAACTCTCGATTGCTCTTGTCGCTGCCCTGGCAGCCCTCAGCGAGGCATCTCCATACCGTCTTCACCCTCGTCGCAAAGCCGTCTCCCCTCGTCGGGTCGACTTCGTGACTATGACCCCCAGTTCTCCATATCCTACCGGAACCATAACCGATATTCCCACTGATGTGCCACCAACTGGCATTCCCACTGAGTGGCCTCCAACTGGTATTCCCACTGAGTGGCCTCCAACTGGTATTCCCACTGAGTGGCCTCCCACTGAGTGGCCTACTGGGTGGCCTACTGGGTGGCCTACTGGAATTCCCACCGAACTGCCGACTTGGTTCCCATCTAAAGACGTGCCTATGGAAACTCTCACTTTCACATACACACTCGGCAAGAAACCATCTCAGAGCGTGGTGACCAAGACCATTACTCGCCCAGCTGTCGCGGAACCCAGCGAGGTAAGTACAAGGAGGAATATTCTCAATCTTAGGGAGTGAGCGAATGTACGTAACTAATGCGCCTCTAGGGGTAAATCTGCACCTATCATGTGCATGAACGGATTGGTCTTATGGAAGGATAAGAAAAAAGCCTTTACGAAACCCCTGCTTTGTGCTTGTTTTGTTTCTCTAGATTTGGAGGCTGGGATCAGATGAAAGCGGGAGAACCTAAGTCCCAACTTTCTCTCCATCAAAAATACCGACTTGATGTCGAGACCCAACTCCTGGGCATCCGTTACAATTTTTTAGTTCAATTCTTTCTGCGTACTTGTATTGGGGGCAAGTTTCGGCCGATTTTAGCCTCGCAAACTTTTATTTGGGAGCTTGATATCCATTTTTCAATTTTAGGTGTAATGTTAGACCTCCATTGTAACGGGTGAAATCTAGAAGTGCCAGGCATGAACATTTTGCACGGTTTTTTGTGGCCTTCAGACCTTGGATCCGAACGGCGATGGTGAAACGACGAGTACGTATGTTCCAGCTACGACAAAATTGATCTGCGGTGTTCCTGAAGGGTCGGTTTTCGTAATCCCTGCAACGAGCCAGGGGCACGCCCAATAAGAGGGCCTGACACGCCAAAGAATGACAGGGGACGGAAGGTTCGTATCGTAAATGGCAGAATGAAGACGTCTGACGTCCAAATCGCGTGCCCGCGGATCTCAGTGATCATCTCTTGATCATCACCGATCGGAAACTTCCATAAATCTTCTCCTTGCGCCACACGCTGGGAAGGTTCATAAAACAGGAAGGATTTCGACTTCATGTGGATGCTGGTCCATAAAATCCAAATTGCTCAAAACCAACCGATCTTATCATTCTCCTTAGGATTCGTGACTCTAGTGCACAGCAGCATAATACGAAGTCGCATTCAGAGGATATCACTTATCGTGGCACGATGACCATTCCAGGTGTCTTTCGTCCCTATTTGGGGCCGAAGATCCCGATTTGAAGAAATTATTATTGGCTTCGGTCTTTCAAACTTCCAAAAAAATCCTCAGCGGTGATGTCAACCGGTAAATCTTTTCCACTCGCTTACCCCTATCGCGACTCCGTCTAGACAAACCCAGAGGATGTCCGGGCCGATCTCCAAACCCAACCCTCCAAAGGTGTTTGAACCCGCTCACTGGTTCCAGCCCAGGACAAAGGAATATCCCCCTGGGGCGCGAAATAGGGTAGCGATATGCATGCACTTGCTCATATACTCAGAACACCATCCACTCCCTCTGCTATAATCCGTTCCCGCATCCTTTGCCACTCCAGCCAAGCGACACCCTGAAGAAGACAGTCTGCCAGGTCATCAAGCTTGCCGATATCGACTTGGTCCTGACCGTTTGTCGCAGTAGTGGGGTTGGTGTTAGAAGCATCCCCTTTCCGCTTACGCTTAACAGATTTCGTCGGCTTGAGTCCGGTGGATGATATCAAGGCGTCCTCTGAAGCTCCAACCACTTCAGGTCCTTTCCGTCCCTTTCTCCATTTTCTCAGGAATGCCTCCGCCATTCCATTTGCCTGACTATTTGCTTCAATCCCAACTTTAGCAAGCTTTTCACTCCCGTCGTCTGTAGGAGAAGAAATCCATCTTCCGACTAGATCAACTTTTGCCTTCTTCCCTTCCTTTGACGTTGGCTTCTTCTTTTTCTCTTTTACCTTCGCCTCCATTTCAGGGTCTGTTTCTATCCAGTACCTTGCCACCCTTTGTGGTTCAACGCCCTGCACCATTATATTCAGATCGGCATTCTTGGATTCTCGTTTCAACGTATGTAGTACGGCATAAAGCATGCCCTCGAAAACGCCAACGCGAATAGTCCATTCTTGAACTGCACTTCCCCCTCCTGTGCGAAAGCGCTGCCGTTCTATGAGAACATGAGTCGGTCGGAAAGCGTCAATGAGAGAAGTGATAAGTGTATATGCATGAGAGGCGTATATATCGGGAGCAAAAGATTCTTTTTCTGCGGTGGATATTGTGTCCACTTCCTCGACTTCTGACTCGACTTCTGATGACCCCCGATGCTTACATTCCGCCTCACTGTTTCTATGTTTCCCGCCCAGCAACGCTAATGGTGCGAGCATATCAATTTTGGAAGTAGAATGGTTCGGAAATTCTGATATAACCAGGCGATTCCACGCATCAAGGATTGGAGAATGTAAAGACAATGAACGACCATCCTTCTCTTTATTTCTCTCGGGATAAGCAAGTAAATGTGCATATGCTAAATTCCTGATTCCCATATCGATGCTTAGGATGCTCAGCCTCCCATCGTGGACATCTCGCCTGTCATTCTGTACTCTACCTGTGGTATTCAAAAGCGCATGAGCAGGTGAAGAGAGGGCTTTCGTTATACGCTCGATCAAGGCCAGTTTTGTCCCGGAGGACGATACCCCAGTTAAAAACGCAATTCGTTGGAGCTGAGTGGCTTTAAGTGAACCGAGCCATTTGAGGGACGATTGAGCCGGCGAGGGGACCCGCATCCTTTTCCAGCTGTGGAGTATTGGCGTGCAAATGTGCTAATGAACATCTGATCAGAAAGTTCAAGCTTTTTGCAATGAAGCCCATAGAATAGACTGGAAAATGCTCAAAGGGTATACTATAACAACAGAAACAAGTTGCAGTACGGGAATTCTCCTTCAAACATAGCAAGCACAAAACAGAAAACAGCTGGAACAGGAGAAATCCTTGAAACACAAAGCAAACATCAAAAATTCAACACGTACTGGCCATATTGGCATGCGCTAACACTGAAAAATTCTACAATCCCTGTTGGTCTGGAGAGATGCTTGTTTGTGAACAACCTTTGATGTTTGCACACGAATTCACGTGACAAGACGGCTGGACCTAACAGCAAAACGAGATTCACGCATAAAGACAATTACTACGGAGTACTGTGTCAAGGCCTTTTTACTCGTAGAAGACTACCGGAAACTAGCTGGACACTGGTTGAATATTTTGGGTAGAGCAGGAAGGCATGATAACTATACAACTAACCCGCTAAGCATTGGAAAAATTGGGAAGCAAAATACTGAAAGAGGTTCTCATTCTGGGTAATTTTTGGGAAACAAACTGTCCTGCATAAGCGAAAAAAAAAAGGGGGAGGGAATGGAAATATAAACTATTTAAAAGGGAAGAATGAAAATTTTGTCATATGAAATCTATATTGAATGACAAGGTGAACTTCAGAGGCAAACTAAGGGCCTATTACCATTTAACTGGCATCCCATTCACCGGCAGGTGCAAAGGCACGTGTTTTCTGGCGATGATACCCTGATATCTTCCATTCACAATACGCGGGTCTGATGCAGATCGCGGAAATATAAAATCGGCCCCCATATATGCCAATGCAGCACGCAGATGTGGGCGAGCCTCTTCCCTATACTATCGATGTCTTTTGGTTGCAATTGCAAGCTGTCGTCTGGCTGTGATGGGTGCTGATCTTCGCACATTTCCAGGGGAGACATATCCACGTACCGCTCTGCCGCTGCTAACGTTGCCTCCTCCAATCGTTGTTGAACAACCATCTGAAAGTGTTTAAACTGCTGAGAACAAGGGTCGAAACATGACTCAAGCATCCGTTCAACGAATAGCAGGACATGTTCATCTGGTACGACGGAAGTTTTAATACCTCTGCTATTGGCTTCAAGATTTGAAATTATCCGAGCGATTTCAAGAGCGATGGGGCTAACATTGTCGCACCATTTTTGTTCATCGAAAATAGCGGGATCTTGATGCCCGGAGCATTCGATGATGGACCAGATATGGGACCGTAGACTAACATAGGTTTCCCGAGTTCGCGCAACGTGGCGCATATGGCTTGTGGCCACAAGATCGAAGACGTAAGTGCAGAGTTCAAATCCGATAAGATCCTGGATGTCAGATCTCAACGTCCAAAGTCGATCGGTATGGAACTCGAAAGTTGCCGGGAGCCCTCCCGGAGGGTTAAATGGTATCAAAAATTGGGACAATCCTCGGTAGACCGTTACAACATTATCGAACTCGGTCCAGTGCCGCGTCCATCGCCGACGCGAGGCTTGCTCATCCTTCAAAACAGCGTGGAACCATTTCTTCGCTCCCTCTGTGTGAATTGTATTCTCAGAGATTCTCCGTTGGAAGTAAGTTTGGAGGAATCGAACAGTATCATTAATCAAGAACAGTCTGAATGTCCGGATCTGATGATTGGCAACGTCCTGCACAGAGCAGCGATGTCAGCATATTCATGGGGAATTGTATGGTATGGCAGGTACATAAGTAAGACTGGTATCACTAACCAACTTCATACACTCAAAAACTGAAAACATAAGCGTCAATCCCTGCACAGTTTTACACACGTCTTGCAATTCGAGCCCTTCCTGGACTTGGTCGACCATTTTATTCGCTAGTTCATCTCTCATCGGAGCGCAGTGCGCCTTCACTAGCTTCGAGAGCCACTGCATTAAGCCGACTAAATCCAAGACACCCTTTTCAATTTGTTGTAAAATAAACGGCACATCCAGACTTTCCGTGATGATTTGATGATCGCGTTCAGGAACAAGGCTCCAAAGCACATCTTTCAAAGTTTCAAGAAACCGAGGTAGTCTGGGCTCAAAGTAGGCCTGCAGTTCGCCTGCTTGATACCCACTATTGCTGGATTGGCCACTAAGACTTCTCGCATGATACATGTAGATCGAGATTTCGATAGCAATAGCCTCCCAGTAAAGCTTAGCCAGACGACCCTTTTCTTCACCCTTTTTGCCTTCCACCGGGTGGAAATATAAATCACGATCGAAATTCACGTCAACGCGCAGGTTAACGTTCCTCATGATGCGGTCCAGGTCCAATTCACTCAGAGTCTGTTTCGTAATCGGAGGTAGATGATCGGCCGATCGCAGTACCTGTAGACTTCTTGAGTCTAATGGCATATGGGCGGGAATGGAAACCGCCATGGCCGTTGCTCTAGGGAGGGCGGGTATAGAGGAAGAACAAGAAGAGAGTTCGTAATTGTATTGCATTGGGATGTCACTCTGCAATGTTCCATCTCCTTCAGGCAAATGGCGTTTGTGTGCCGATGATGCAGCCGTCGGGCAACCCCCCGAGTCCCGTTTGGGAACTATCCCAAGGTTATTGCCAGACAGCCAATCTCCATGGTCAGTATCTTCACCCCCTTTCTCACCAGCTCTCCTTGCCGACTCTGGCTTTTGTTTGAGGTCCATCAAAAAAAAAAAAAAAAAAAAACTAGAATGATAAGGCTGTTCCAGAAAGATTAAAAAAAAGAATATGAAAACAACCCCCACAGTGTACTTGAAGTCTTGATAAACAAAGTTATCACAGCGCAAAGTTCTGTTTGAGAAGCGAAAGGTATCTTACTTCAAGTGATGTGCCCAACTCACACCACCTTGGGAATATTCAAAGCCAGTTCTAACACCCTTGTCCTTGCTGGTTTGAAGAAACCGCAGAGTACAAATAGGAATTCTAGAAATACGTAGAAATGTGGTAAAAAGTCACCTTCAAAGGAAGGAGGTCTTTGTTGGGTGGAGAAGTGGTGGGTAGGTGGTGTGCTGGATGAGGACGTATGAGACGTACCCAAATGACAAACAACTTGTGAATACACACAAGTTCAACTGCAAAAGGAAAGAGATGGAAATAGAGACAGTATTTTTGCAAAGAAAAGCACACAGATCTGCTTTTATTGAGGCATTCTTTTCAACATCATTTTCTTCAAGGGTTTTCACTCTGTTTCTTAGAATCTTCCGACTCTGTTCACACAGGCAAGCGGACTGCAGCATTTAAAGAGGCGGGATGGATGACGAAAAAATTTCTCATTGGCTTTTCTTCCCTGCGGGGGGAACCAACCAATTGGAAGTGTCATCTAACCAGAGTCAAGTAAATGCTGATGTTTTTATCGAAAAGTGAGGCGACCGAAGATTAGTTAGCTAGGGTGCAAGCAACTCTAGAGGACTTGGCAGACCATCAACGAACAGATTGTCTTGGAGTTATCAAGCTTTTCAATCCCTTTCAGCAGAAGCAATTGGAGAATGCACCAACTACGATTTGGTGTTGTGGCCCTTCGATATTGGTAGTCATTTTTGCTTTTTTTCGGCACTGTATCAATTTTGACGCCCAAAGTTTGGATATCCAAGGCAAGATGACGGGTTATGAGAAGCATAGCGACCAGGCAATTGCACCGTGTGAAACAGCAACTTCGGAGGTCATAAAAGGCAGGTCAAGGACCAGATTCCCGGAATATCATGGTAATACCGTGAAGGACGCCATTAGCCGTAACTTTCCCAAATATGGAGGATAAGTCAGCAGGTATATTTCATTGAGACAAGATTGAACATGCGACGGGAAAAGCGGTCAGTTTCGGTTTCTCAGCATGCATGTGCCCGTGGAAATCGTATTCTTTCGGGCAAACAAAGCCGGATATGAAAATTGTATTTAAGTGAGAAGTATCGCGATGCAGCACATATTTGCTGAAATCATGACCTCGAATGATAAAGCCTAGAGGGATCCGACTTGGGCCAAAGCACTCGCCTCTGGCGCTTAATGGGGAAGAATGTTATCATCACATTTTGCGGTGTGACGCTCCCTGCTAGCTTAGATGGCATGTTTTTGTCCATACATGGGCGGGAAAAAAAAAAAAAAAAAGGGAGACAGAGAGAGAGAGAGAAAAGTCCGTGTAGCTGCTCAGTGAGTTTCTCGATGGGATGGGGCTGCGTCGACCCGGAAGTGCTGAGCCCGTCATGCTGTACTCTGTACTAGCTTTGTGTTACTGATTCTGTCTCTTCAAAATAGTGAAATGATCAAGAACCGTAGTATGCTGTGAGACCAGGTGGGTTCAACAGGGAATTCATCTCTGCGCAAAATTGGATGGGCGAGATGGAGTTGTCAACAACCTTTCGATCAACTATTCATGCTTGTGTTGTGGTTATGCCGATGAAATTGAAACTGCGAAACACGAAGCGCAACGTCAGTGCCATTCTCCCTTGTATACCGGAAAAACGGCCCGCTGTCGCTGCTTTTACCATCATCACGACATTGCATTTCCGAGATGGTTTCAGATATATAATGCAGGGCTTGTTCGAGGCGAGCAGAGTAAACGACAACAAGGCAAGAAATAGGGAATAATCGGGGACAATTGCAGGCTTAGATCCATGTGATCTAAAAGCCGATCCTGGAAGACTGCAGGAAGCTGGTTTTCCAGAGCCACCTATCATGGTTTGGCAGTTCCTGGGGCTGCAGGGTGCACACCGCAAGGGATCGCGGGGGAGGTAGAAGTTAGTTAATAACAGCATTATGGCGCTCAGTCCTGTGGAAAGCTGAAAAGGCGGTGGTGGCGTGTCGAGCTTCCTCATACCGGGATAGCCACAGCACTCATCACCTCGCTCTCGACCGTCGATCTGACTCGATGACCAAAGCAGATCGTTCTTCCGGATGGACTCACCGTCGCCCGTCTGGAACGCGACGTTCATTAAGGGGTGGCCCAAACACCCGCCATTCCAAAAACGGGAATCTAGGGCCAGCGGCATAGGGCTGTGTTGTCACGTGACTAATTGGATTAGTCAGCTCCATTCGCCGTTGTCCATTGGCTGGTCGCGTGTCGTCTCCCAGGCGTCGACGAGGATTATTCCAAGCTGTGAGACGGCGAAGAATAAGCAGCGACGGGGCTCGGTTGGCAGTTCTATTCTTTGACGCTGGCGCCTCTGTTTGCTTGACTGACCGCAGCTTCAAAACAACTTCCCGAGTCATCCAATGGGAGCGAATTAATTTCCGACAGCCTTGAAGGCACCACCCGCTCCGGTATTGGGCTCGGCACACCTATACTCCGTGTAGTATGTGGACAAGCGAGATATCGTGGCCCCAACATTTCGCAAGGATGGTTACACTCGAGTGTTTGCAAATATGGGGCTCATTTTCACATTTCTCGGCGACGACAGAGATGTGCCCGTCATACAACGTTAAGCTTCATTTCTTCCGGGCCGACTTTCCTCTGCACGATGCAAATGTGACTAGCTTTCTCCCATAACTTTCAGGTTTTGCGTTAGTGAGATTTTTTCAGACTTTCTCAATATCTGCTTTTGAAAATCTTTCACCTCCACTGTGGCAAGCCGGGTGGCCGCTTGCAAACCAGGTGACGTTGTTTTGGAACATGTGGTTTTTGCTTGCCGTGCCGCATATGCAGAGCTGCAGTGCTGCTTGGAAATGCCCTATGACACGGAAGATATGTCCATATGGAGCTTAGAGCTTTTGGTACAGCCCTGCTACTCGGGACCCACGTCTCCGAAGATCCTTAGAGACATCGCCCTATCTTCGATATCCCCTTGATTGGCACACCTGTCCTTGGGTGTTCCGCATTTCATATGCCATGTTGCCTGGCTAAATATTCAGGCAGTCTAAAGGGCCACTTTTCGGCGCTTATAACTCCTCTAGTACTAAGCATATAAACATCTTAAGGACTTAGCTAGGCCGCAAACTTTCGTAAATTTCGTCCTAAAGATGGCCGTCAGAGGAGTCGTACACATTCTGTCTCGATATGCAGGTCAATGCGCCGTGAAAATGTTGCGAACGACCGACAACAAATCATTTATAGGAAAAGCGTGCAGATCTCTTGCCCAAGTGACCATGCTGCATAATCCATGCATAATCGTCTTGCTTTCGAGAATTTTCCACTGTGTCTACGGTTGTTTTCTTCCAGCCTCTCTTCTTTCTTCCTTTTTTCTTGCCTGGAGAAGCATTCTCATCGCAAGAACATAAGCATTCACCAGCGGAACGGGGACCTGTAAATTAGGCCTCGACGACATAGCCAATCCGCAGTTGTTTTTGGCGCTCTAACTCTTCCCATTTTCTTGCAGAATACGAGGTTCAGATCTCTCGTTAGTACCTAAATCCCTATTGATACCTTCTTTGGGATATCAAACGTTTATTCTGTGATATTCGCGCCGCGTGGCTCTAACTACTTCGCATTGTATTCAATGAATTAGGGGTTGGTAGGGAAATGTCTGCTTTCATATCATTTCTTGCGGCGACATTCCCTGGCATTTTCAGGCCATTATAAGGCTACCCCTTTTTTCCTTTTTCTTTTCCTTTATTTTTTTCTTTTATTTTTATTTTGGTTGGTGATATATTTAGGGACTGAGACGTCTGATATTTTACCAAAATGCGGTTCAAGTCGCGTTTCGTCATTACTCTCGCGGTGATTATGGCCGTGAAGGGAGAGCCATCTCCGTTACCTTTGAGTGTCGATTGGGGTGCAACGGCAGCCCCCGTTCCCACTAGCAACGGAAAATCCAGCCTCCCTAGTGGGAAAGAAACGATATCCCCGATTGATGCCTCTAAATATGCAGTCAAGTCGCTCCCAGATGCCCAGCCAATTCCTCGGAGCTGGGCTGGTCGCATGAGTGTGCCTGGAGCAGCACCAGGGAATGAGATGTTCTTTTGGCTTTTTGAACCTGAAGATAAGGCCTACAATGATAATTTACTCAGTGAGTTTTGACCAGTGATTCTGCGAACCTGCACGAACAGCCTGTTAACAACACTTGCTTGATAGTCTGGCTGAATGGAGGTCCTGGTTGTTCATCAATGATTGGAGCCTTTGCAGAGAATGGTCCCCTCATGTTTCTGAAGGATATGAGCAAACTGGAGCGAAATCCTTATTCCTGGACCAAATTAGGCCATTTTTTGTACATTGACCAGCCCGTTGGGACGGGTTTGTCTCTCTCAAGTGATCCCACCCCAGCCACAAATAACGAAAGCGTTACCGAGCTCTTTTACAGCTGGATAAAACAATTTTACGAAGTGTTTCCGCATTTGCTCAGGAAACGAACCCACTTAATGGGAGAATCCTACGCTGGCATATATATCCCATATTTTGCCGACCGAATTCTCAAGCATAAAGACCAGTTGTCGATCAACCTATCATCAGTAGTTATTGGGAATGGGGCAATTGGGAACAATATAGCAATGTCGGACGTTGCCGCTGGAGCGTACCTGAAAGAGAAAGCCAGGGATCTCGAGCTTCCGGGGGACATTTCGGGCGCGTTCTCTCAGGCTGATCACATTTGCGGTTTTGACTCGGTCCTGAAGAAGGCAGCGCAGTATCCTTCCCAGGGCCACTTTTACCTCCCAAGCTGCCTAACCAATCCGTCTGGCTTTACAACAGACGAAAACTGCAACATGAAGCCCAAGGACTCTAGAGCAGTCCTCTCATCTATCTTGAATTCCACATGTTATGGGCAATGTGCCACTTATTCCACAGCACAAAAGTATATCGAAACCGCCAGGGAAACAAAATGCTTCAGCAGGTATAACATCAAATATAATTGCAACACTCCAAACCCTTTAGTGCCATTAACCGAATATCTCAACCGTGCTGATGTCCAAGCCGCGCTCAATGTCCTTCCGTCCAAGTCAGGAACTCCCCACCGCTTTGAAACTTGCAACCAAACCATCATTGATTCCCTTTTATCCCCGTCTATCCAACCCACGCCGCCCACCGAATCCATCCTCCCTTCCATCCTCGCTACCTACAAGATCCCTATTCATATCTACCAGGGCCAACTCGACATGGTTATCAACCACATCGCTGTCGAACTCGTCTTGCAAAACATGACCTGGAACGGAAAGCAAGGATTACAATCCCGGCCAAGTATCCCATTTGGCACGTATTTTGATATTAACAAGGGAGAATCCAAAGTAACATTGAACGGTTCAGAAGCAGGGGTGTGGGCGTATGAGAGAGGTTTGAGCTATCATCTCTTCAGAGAGGCGGGACACGGCGTGCCGAGAGACCAGCCAGAAGAGATGTGGCATTATGTTAAGAATGTGGTTGTTGGAAGATGGAGTGGGCGCTTTCGAGAGTGAAGAGAGATTAGGAGGAATTTGGCGTTTGCTATCTCCTATTACCTCTTATAGACGGTTGGGACGGGTTGCATTAAGTTAGGGTTCTAAGGAGGTGAACGGGATTCATCATTTAAAAGGCTTTTCTCAGGGAGTAACGCGGTCCATTTCCTTTCCTCAGGCGGCGCAATTCGAAGATCTGTATATCAAAAAAAGAAAAAAGCCTAGCTACGTCTTGCTGTTTGATATCACATCCGAGGTGGTCACATTGGCCTTTGGCATCTTTCTATGATACGAATAATAGTTGCAGACGATCGACTTATGAGCCAGAGCTTTTGGGAATACAGGCGTGTGGTGGGCCAGATCAAAGGCATGGACTGTTCCGTAGCCGGGTATGAAACATACTGGAAGACATTGCATTTGAGAGAATACTATCTATCCAAATACCAAAAATCAATATCATATCCCTCTATTGGAGTTCGCCGAGTACAACCAATCATCCCAGAAGTGGGTGTTACGAAAGCGACATCAATAGCTCGCAAGCACGCAAGACAAACATTTCTCCCTCAAAAATTGTACGCATTGAACCGTAACATTAGAAAGCTAAGAACGCCCGCTTCTCCCGATTCATGGTTCCCCAGCATGCCATAAGAACCAACTACATAAGCAAAGTGGTAAGAGATTTCTCACAAGCACGCTTTAATAACACCAGAAATAGGAAAGTTCATCATAGGCCAGATCATAAATATTTGAATCTTAGCCCGGAATGCAATTTGAGAATTAAGCAGTAGATAGATCAAGGATGATACTGGAGCCGTATAAATCATCACTGAAAAAAAAAAACTTGGCTAAATCGGGAGGCCGAGGACGGGAAGAGTTTGCACCGTAAAAGTATGTCCGACAATAGTAATGTAGAAGCTTATAGATTGTGAAAAGCGACTAAAGAAGCGGGCGGTTGCGTTTTGTATCTAGCGTCCACTTAGGATGAATCTAGGTAGTCCGTCATCGACGAACAAAGAGAGGTACCGGTCCGGACATCGATAGCAGCGAATCCGCCCTCTCATATAAGTTGCCCGCAAAGAACCGATCACTACATGCGCTGACCGGGGCGGATGGCACCGTGGCTTGGGCTGCAGGGCCTAAAGCGGCACTCAATGGTGTGGCTGGCATCGCGCTAGACTGTGGCGATGATCCCGTCGTCAAAGAAAGCGATCCCGTTGTCCCTGAGCCCATTGTCGAACTAGAATATGTTTGCATATGATGAGGGTGCATGGATGGTGGGAGAACTGTCGATGGATTGGATGTATTCAATTCCGCAAGATAGGACCAGGGTGAGGAGTCTATTAGCCTGCCCGCCTCTCTGCTGGCTTTCTGGACAGGTCGGAGAATGGCGACTATGTCTGGTGGAAGCAGCCGGAGATTTTTGGCTTCTCGCATGTCGATCACCAGTTCAACAAACGACTGTAAGAAAGTTTTGCATAGTTGCCAAAATTCACGCTGGTTTCTCATCCCACCCCCGGGCTCCTTTAGTTTCATGGTTGATAACCGAATTTGAAGTGCTTCGGCGACATCGATACAGGTACGACAACGGGAAATGAGTTTATTTAACAGTGAATGAATTGGTTGCGGGGCTTTCGTTGACTCGGCTAGTTCTAAGCACTGTAAAAATTGATGGGACGCGACAGGAACGGCTTGCAGTACAGCTCGGTAGGCAGCAGTAAGCTGGACGAATATCTTTTCAAAAATTCTTTCTTCTTCGTACTCGTCCAGCCCTGTATTCGGGTTGATACGGCTAATTGTTGACGTGGGAAGGGTGCCAAATGATTCGCCAGACCGAGGAGTATTGGCCAGAGATGAGGGTCCCGAGGAAGTCAAGAGAGTGTTGGACCTGCTGCTTGAGCGGCTTCGAGTTCCCATGCTCGTGGTTGAAAGCCAAGGCTGACTCGTAAGACCTGGGAAGCCGTTTGCATTAGGATTGGATGGATTAGAGAGAATAGGAACGGGGTTCTGTTGTTGAATCGCCGTCTCGCTTCTAAGCCGTCTAAGAGGTTGGAGCCGCTCACGAGTTGGGGGAGTGACTGCTCGATCGCAAGTATTGATAGGAGGAACTTTCCTGGCCGTATCCGAAATCCCCTGTTTCATCAGGCCCGTTTGTCGTTTGCCTTTAAAGTTGATTCCAAGGTTGACGTAAACGTTGCGGAGTTCGGCTATACTCCCGTATATCATGAGTAGCAATGATCTTACGTACTTTGGATCAACAAGAGATAGTATCTTGGCAATATTATGGCGGAACTGCGTAGCAACATGTATGTACGCATTGATGCATGTATCGCATTCATGTTTGACGGCCTCCGATAGCCGCTTCATCGTATCGACATCCTGTAAATTAGCCCCTTCGGCAACCTCAAGCGCTTCGTTGAGCTGCTCTATGTGAGTGGATGCGTTGTAGAACACAATTTCGAGACTAGTCCTCCTGCATTCCTCGGTCCTGATCACGTTGATTAGAGCCGATATATGAGGGTGAACTTGATAAAGTGAGTAAAGAAGGGTTTTGGCGGCTTCCATGATGGGGACCTTTGTTTTTCGTTCGATTTTGTATTCTGGCAAACTTGACATACGCCGAACAAAGCCCTCGCGCAACCGCCTTCGTTCTTTGGGGCTACCTGGGCTAGAGCAGTTGCTGCTATTTGAGGTCGTGCTATGTTGGTTTCGAAGCAATGAGCCATGGCTTAAGCCACGTAAGTGGCTATTGCGATACGGCCGGACTTCGTCTAGTGTACCTAGGTCATTCATTCGACTCACCATGCCCAGGCGTTTGTTTTGCAAAGAGCCTGGGCCCTGAATGACTCCTTCGCTATTACTTCGGTTCCGTTCACTGGCTGAAGGGAATCTGAATCGACTCATACTGCTATTCCCAAAACTACTCTGACCAGATGCCATTCGATGGTGGGAGCGAATAGGGATGGGAGGAGGTCGCGAGTACGATGGTGATTTCGAATCCTGCGACGACTCCGTGCCATTAGAACGGGGAATGACCGGGAATCTGTTTCCTCTCTTTGGTGGTTTCGGTGTTTCCATTGCGCTATCACTACAAAGGGCCGTTAATGATGGGTCAACTGATAGCTAGAAGGGAACCCACCTTATATCCGTTATGCTGTCGATATCAAGGAGAGCAGGCTGTCTGCTTTTCAAATATTTTTTGAGCTCTGCCGTTAATGCGCTTTCCTTTTCGTTATCAGTCATCTCGGTAGTCGTTATATCTGCTTCTTTCATGTCTATGATCCGCTTCAGGGGGTATCTCAGCGAGTTCCCAGACACCTTTAACACTTGGAGTTTATTCATATCGGATAATTCGCTCGGGAGGTCCTCTAGGAGGTTTTGCATGACTGAAAGGACTCGTAAAGACGTAAGATTTCGTATTTCTTCAGGGATTTTTGTGATCTTATTCCGGCTCACGTCAAGAATTTCGAGAAAGGAGAGGTTATAGACCTAGCTTAAATCAGATAAACGGGCTATACAACATCAAAAAATGTTACGTACCCCTTTTGGAAATTCCGTAAAGTTGTTTGCTCTGATATTGAGATACCGGAGATGGATGCATTCTTGAAATCGACAAGGAATCTGGTCGATATAGTTGTTCGACAATGACAGCCTGTCCAACAGGAGTGAGCAGCGAATCACATATCAAGGTCCGAAACCAAATTCGGCTCACCTTGCAACTTCGTCCTTTATGATATCCACTATTTCATCGGGGACCCAGCCGATATTCTTGTGCCCAAGATCAATTGTTAATTTAGGCCGCACCACATCTCCCACTGCTTCGCTACCAGCCAAGGACCGCTTGGTCTCTTGGAGCCCATTTTCAACAGCGTTTTTGGTAAGCTGTAGGGTCTCTTCTCGCGAGAGCAACTTAGATGGAGGAGGCCGGTTGATTCGTGCGGGCGCGGTATCATCTCGGGCAGGAGGCCCGTGGTTGGACACAGATCCACCAGTGTGGGCTTGCTGTTCCTTTGCTTCTTCAGGATTGTCACTTCGACCTGGCCGAGGGCCCCATGTTGTGTCGTCGGTGCGGCTCATGTTGGTCGGGCGCGAATGAAAGAGCGCAGTTGGCCAGCAAGGGAGGTTTCACAAAGGTAGGCTTATCTAGACGGAATATATGTTCCCTCTAATGATTTTCGATAGCCGCAAAATGCCTGGAGGGTCTGCGTAGGATCGTGGAAAGCGACATAATAGGTAATGGTAGGTGAATTGGATTATTCGAGGTTCGACGAAAGAGTGACTGAATGCGGGACAGGAATGCTTCAAGGGAGTCTGTTCCAAAGCCAGTCACCTCATTCATCAGGATCTTGACCAGTAAAAGCGATGCAATGAGCCTGTGTTATCGCCCGATTCCCAAGCGGACTGAGCATCCAATGGCTGCAAGCGGGTGTAGCGTGTTACCTTAGCTGAGCCATTCAAGGATAGGAAAGCTGCTCAAGGACCCAACAAAATCGCCATGGCTCTAGCAAGCATGCCATCAATCTGTCGGCTATGGAATTTGCAGCCTCTGCGATTTGCCGATGGGCTCTGCAACTCAAACCGGGCCCAATTCCCGCAGATGATCGACGGATCTCGCGATGGTGCTCTGTGGCGGGCCAACTTGAAACCCGCCAGTGAGGTCACGTGATGAATACTGTCTTTCAAGAGATGGAGAGATGAGGGTAGATGAGGGTAGATGGGGAGATGCCGGGAGCGAGGACGGGCTGGAAGAGTCGAAGAGCAACGGAATGCAATGTTCCTGAAGCGAGAAGCCTGGCCAAAAGGACAGGACCCCCAGGCGCGTATAGATACAGATGTGTCTCAAAAAGTATTGTGATGTAAAGCTAATGTGCTACAGAGTACGGAGTATATTGTACATACAAAGGTGGTGTGCCTTGTGTATAAGTTTATAAGCAGAATGATCGCAGGCCCTTTTCGCCTAACATCACCCTGTGCGTATCTCCGCGGGCTGTGCGGACTCGGAGGTAGATTCGGCCACTTCAAGCTCCGGTAGTATGGCTGGGTCCGATTCTTCCTTCGCGCCACCGGTTGCGCCGGCGAACGCAGCCAAACGTTGTGATGCCTGCTCTGCTTCTTTCTCTGCCCAGATTTTCCATCTATCATACTCTTGGTTTTCTAACTCCATGCCGACCTGCATCATATCTGGGCCAAAGTAGGCACCTGTGGCTCTAGCCTCTTCTTGTGCAACTCTTCGTTCAATATCTTCTTGCAACCGAAGCTGATAGAACTCTCGGCGGGCTATATCGTAAGCTTCTCCCTTGGTGATATCTGGGACGTTGTTGAGAAGGTATAACTGGCGTTGAACGACACTGCGAGCGCAACCGGTTAGTTCTCTTTCTCTTTTGTTGAATATCTAAGGCCTTTATTGCAAGCAAGAGGCACCCACCTTTCGCCATCCAGGCGTTTTCCTCGTTGTTGTAATCTTGACCAGTCATATCTGGCATGGTCGTTTCCATTCGTCTCAAGCACTACTCTCGGTCGAGCAAGCTCCCACGGATGGTCCTGGAAGAACTGTTTTCGTAGCTCATCTTCTTCGTAGCGTATTTGCATGGGCTGGAACATGCGACTGGCTTTCTTTGTTTTGATGCGACGAATTTCTCTCTCTTCGATGACGGTTTGCGGTCTGGATTTTCCTGGTAATGTTTTTACTCTTTGCTGGACGAGCGCATGTTGCTGTGGGAGGTTGCGCACGAGAACCGTGGCCGGAGGGATTTCGGAGACAATGTCAACCCAGCATGGTGTTTGCGAGATCTTTCCGCTTGATTTCTGTGCAAGGGCGTTTTGTCTGACGCGGAGAGCGCCCAAGTTGAATTTTCCCATTTTGCTCCCTCGCTTCGCTCCAAACCTCCGGGGACGGCGAGAGACGACGGGTTCGACGGAAGACGAAGCTACCAGCCCTAAATATAGCCAGTCTCAAAAGGGCCGTGAATCTGACGTTAATTGTGAGGATATCATCAATTGTGAGTTGGCAATAGCCGGTTGCTCGAGCTGAAAAGTCGAAAAATGTCTTCGCGAATGTCCGCGTCGAGCAAGTAAGCCAATCAAATCAACGGAATGCGATCGCCGCCCAAATTTTATTTTGTGACGGGCGTCCAGCAATGCCGACGTTGAACAGCTCCGGACGGCCAGTCCTCAGTTGATGGACGATTACTTCTGTGCCTTGTAGGAAGAGGTAAATCTTTTCTTTCTCTTTCTTCTTCTTCTTTTTTTTAAACTTTGAAATCTCCTGATCTCGAATACGATACGATTCCCCGTGCTGCAACCAAAAGCTCCCTTCTACGAGTTGCAGTATAGATGGCACGATGTTATCCGATTCATGTCTTTCATTAATTGCTTGGAAAGGCACAAACAACTCGGCTCTAAGACCTCTTGCAACATATTCATCAGTTCCAAGTCAATGGGACACATGCGTTCCCATTCAGACCAGCTTTCCGGCACGCGACTGTTGCGCAAACGGCCCAGGCTTTGTGTCCTCTCCCTCGCTGATATTTTCATCAGTTCCCTTGTTATAGCAGGATATTGCAAGAAGCATTCCCCTTCTACTCGACGATTTTTCTCGGATTCGTCCAATCCTCTTTCCGCCGCAAAAGCCGCCCATGTGCTGGTATCGTCCGAATCGACAGATGGCCAACGAGGACGGCCGACCACCCCTGCTCAGAGAGTATACCTTGAGCCACGTCCCGTCCCCGGACTGAACAGCTCTGAGGCATCCATATATCGATCTCTCAAATCGGAGTTACCGCCCGACGCACCTCTAAATCCAAAGGCGTATTTGGCTGCAAAGCGAACCCCCCATCCCAACTACAGGGAATTATTCGATTTTTTCCACAGAACCCTTGGCTATGAGGAGGGAACAAAAGGCTTGATGGTTGCTCTGTCCAATCCGAATTCAGACATGCGTGTTTTTGGAAGTCAAATGTCGGATGGTGTTGAAGATGACCTGGAAACCCCAGGGGTTAAACGCCTCATCTCCCTTTTGGGGAAAGATTCGGTCTCAAACAGGACGCTTTTCCGCGCATACAGACGCCTTCCGTCACCAAGAATATCTTGCCTTTCTTACTGGAGTCGCAAGATCCTACTCCACCGATTTGCGAACCCTCCCCGGCGGCACCCCCATGACTCCATGCGTTATCTTTCTCTCATCGAAGACATGTGTGAAGCATCTCTCCCCTTAACCCCCTCTCTTTGGACAGCCGCGATTGCTCTAGCAGGCAAGAGCTCGGACAAGGTATCAAGGACTTCTTTTCGATCCGCGCTTGGTGTTTGGCGACGCATGGAATATGAAGGCAAGGTGACAAGCAACAGCCTTGTTTTTAACATGCTCTTTGATCTTGCCATAAAAGCTGGCCAGTACAAGGTTGCGGATAAAATCATTTTAGAGATGCGGCAACGAGGTATTGATTTCTCGCGGTTTGGCAGGGTGGCACAGATCTTTTACTCTGGTGTACAGGGAGACGCTGCGGCAGTCCGGCAGGCATATCATGACTTTGTCAACGCGGGAGAGCTCGTCGATACAGCCGTCCTTAACTGTGTTATGGCATCCTTGATTCGCACGGGACACTTGGGACTTGCCGAGCAAATGTACGATAATATGAAGAGTCTCCACAACAAGATCGTTAGGGACCAACGCGAATCCGGGCTGCCATTGTCTCACTTACCGTCGAATGATTATATGTCCTATCGGAAAGCAAGCAAGTATATCGGCCGCATTCTCAGTGTGGCGGCTTTTTTGCATGACAAGCTACCAAAGCATCACCGAGCGCTGCAGGGGGCACTCCCCTTAGCGCCTGACGGGAAGACATTTCATATATTCCTGTCTTATCATGCATTCATATCCGGCGATCTTGAACGTTTCCTCAGTTTATTACAGGACATGGAAAATACATTCCATTCCCCCCCACAAGGGATGGTCTATTTATTTTTGTTCGAGGGATTCGCAAAACACGGAAACAAAAGGAAGTCAGACTGGACTCTTGAGCGATTGAGGCGAGCGTGGACTTCATTTTTACGCGACATGAACGAATCGGAACAGCGAGATCTGCCTCGGGTCCAACAAAGAATTTCCAAGCTGGTATGGGAGACACGACTAAATCAACGCTATCGTGAATCTGAAGACACTTCCGATGAACCAAATCTGCGGCGAATAACTACACACAATGGTGAGAATGATCTGAAGACCTCTGGTGAAATCATGGGCCCCGGCGTCTTCAATCCATACTCCAAGAGCGAGGCTCTGGAGGCCAATGGCTATGATGATGACTATGACGATGAGGAGGACGAGTACTATTACGAACACGGCGTTTTCCTTGGTCGAAGAATTGTTATTGCTTGCCTCCGAGCACACTCTGTTTGCGGTGGACCCAAGGCGGTGCTTGGTGTCTGGGACCAGATCAAGCCTCTGTGGCGCCCAGAGGCTCAGAGATTGAAGGATATTGTCGCTGTAAACAAAGTCCTGTACGAACTTTTGCCTGATAAACGTCCTTAAGATCTGACGATGTTCCGAGAGCACAGTTGGGTTTGCCCTATCTTGTAAATATTATGATGGACGAAATTTGTTATACAGAGTAACCTTTAAAAGAACAGTAATGGTGAAAAGATGCATTCGAAATTGCAAATCAAGAGAGCATAATTGACCTTCGAGCAGAAACGCAGCCAGTTACGCTTAACATGCTTGATGTTATCACTACAAACTCGAACCGAGTTGCCTTTGATAAGTTCGATTCCAGCGAGAAAACGGCAGAATCACATGACCGTGACGTCGCGACCCTCTTCCAAACCTTGGAACGCGCAGCGAGAGCGGCAGCATGCTTGATGCGAACGGCCCCCAAGACGACCGGGCTTCCAACCAAAGCGAGATATCCTGGGATAACAGATAGCGAAAGCTCCGTATTTAATATGGCGACGGGATGACACGCCAGCATATTGATATTGATTTCACCCTGCGACGTGTCTTTGGAAAGAATTCATTCCGGTAACTTTTTCCCCGGCACTTCCTCTCATTCAGATACTATTTATGAAGCAGCCCCAATTCTAATATGCTATCGCACCAGCCCTCTTCAACGAGAAGTTATCCAAGCTGTGATTGAAGGCCATGATGTCTTTCTCCAGGCTGCAACGTCCTTCGGTAAAAGCCTGTGCTATCAATTGCCCGCAGTTGTGTGCCATGGAAGTGCGTGGGGATCTTCTCGATCTGTTTCGCGGACATGTGGACTAATAAAGCCGCCGGAGAATAGTCACAATCGTGGTCTCACCGCTTCTATCGCTGATGGTAGGCTTGCTCCTTACAATATCCTTGGTGAAATGATGTAACGGCGTTTGATCTATTGCGCGATACTGACTAACTCTTCGCGCAGGTTGACCAAGTCTCCGCCCTCGAAGCAAATGGGATCCCGGTCGCAACAATCAACTCAACAACCCCTCACTCTAAGCGTAAAGCTATTATCGCAGACATTCTCTCTGGCCATCCTCACATTCGCCTTCTCTACGTAACCCCGGAATACTGTCAAACGGAGGCATTTCGAAGACATGTCAAGCAGGTGCATTCCCAAGGGGAGCTGAATCGGATCGCGATCGATGAGGCACACTGCGTCAGTGAATGGGGCCATGATTTTCGCCCAGCATACAAGGAGCTTTCTTGGTTTCGACGAGAGCTACAGAATCCAACCGTTCCAATAACAGCACTCACAGCCACTGCAACGAGGCGGGTTCGCACCGATATCATTTCTTTGCTTGGGCTGGACTCGACCACCTTAAGAAGATTTGGCACCTCTTCTGCGCGTCCAAACATTCACTACTGTGTGAGATTCATCCCTGAGCAGTCGCACACGTCCGCAGGTCCTGAGATGGCTCAAATGCATGATCTTTTAGCCTGGCTTAAGGGAATGCATGAGCGTCGAGTCGCCAGACTAGCCGAACAAAACGAGGATTCCGATAGCCTGCCTCATAAAAAGCAAACACTTCTCCCTCCAATCTCTGGAATAATATATGTCCCTCTACGAGCTATCTCCAGTGACCTGGCTGAGAAACTCTCCGCGTCTATCAACCCGAAAATTAAAGCAGTCGCTTATCATGCAGGCCTACCAGCTAGCGATCGCGCCAGCATACAAACTGTATGGGCAGCTCCGTTTAAAAATCCTTCAAAAGGTGCCGACCCATCTGAGCACCCAGCTTTCTACATCGTGGTTGCGACCAACGCTTTTGGGATGGGTATCGATAACCCACATGTCCGATTTGTCGTTCACTGGACTCCGCCACGTAGTTTCGAGGGATTCGTCCAAGAATCTGGCCGCGCGGGACGAGACGGTCGTGCGGCATTATCTATAGTATACTATAACCCGGAAGCACGAGAACGTGTCATCGAGCGTATCCTCCGCGATTGTAACGCCGGTATGCTCGATGCTAAAATGATCGAAGCAGGCGTGCTAGTGATGGGGCCGCCCAATGCGGATCAGAAGCGCGCGTATGAAGCGCTTAGTGACGATATGAAGACTAAATTTCGAAACCGACATGCCCTGCTCGAGAGTTTTGAAAAGGTGATACGGTACTGCGAAGAGACAGACCGCTGCAGGCACGAGATTATCAAGGAATTCTCAGAAGACCTAGAACTTGAACTCTCGGAAAGATCAAGATCTGAACCTCAAGGGGATCACTCGATAGACATCCCTACTAACACCACACGTCCTATTTGTGACTATGCTTGCGACTTCTGCAAGGAGGGCGCCAAGTCTTTGCGAAAGAGAAGTTCGATTATTCTTTACGGCCTACACAGCCGACAAATCCAATTAGGCAACGCACTCAGCATGCGAGAGCATGCATATGAGGAAGCAATCCCACTATCTTGGTTTCATATCCTTTTGGCTGGCCGTTTTTTATGTGAAGGGTGTTCGTGAAATATGAGCCATATAATCATGATTCCCTATGGTTTCACGATGCACTTGGACAAGTTGGATATAGCACAGGAACCGGAGAGCAGGGATATTTTGTTCTTTAGGCAAGCTTATCGTAGAGAAATGCGTGAAATACGATGTCTAGATACAGTACGTCGTCATACGTGTGATAGAGATCGTAATTGACCCGGCAATATTCAATTAGCAGCCTAATTCAGAAAGGGGGACAACAAGAATATTGTACAGTGGCAGACAAGTAAACTCAATCTCCATATCTCAGTCCCTACTTCAAGTGCGTTTCCATGGCTTTATCACACTTAACGCCAAGGCGATTGCTCATTTTGAGACAGAGTAAAAAAAGTACATTTAGCCCCCGGCATTTAATATACCTTAGAGCGCAGCCTATAATCCTGGTGGAGGGGGAACCTAGAAAAATGTTAGTTTAGGGACTAGCTTCAGCAAAGGAGAAAAGGCCGATTGCACCCACAGCATTGTATCCGCCTGAAGAAGGGGGCGGAGGCGGGGGCGGGGTGCTCGAAGACGGCGGGGGAGGCGGCGGAGGAGCTTCAGAGGCAGGCGGAGGAGGCGGCGGGGATGCAGAAGTACTCTGGGCTTGTTGTTGTGCGGCTGCCTGCTGTTGATAATATTGATAATAAGCGACATAATTCTGGTACCCTCCATACGCCGCATATGGGTCAGAACCGCCGTAATATTGCGCATATTGAGCGCTGTAATCCGTCGAGCTTGCAGCTCCTGGAGCTTGCGTTGTTCCTGGTGCGCTTGTTGTTGGTGGGCTCAGGGCAGGTGTCTGAGGAGAACCTTGATTATTATAGCCTCCGCTATAACCGATTCCGTAATGGTGGCGGTCACGTTGGCCATATCCGCCCCCGTATCCTCGGTGTGGTGGAGGCTGCTCTTTAAATCGTTCGTACTGCTCCTTAACATTTGCTAGGAGGTCCTCGCAAAGTTCCTTTGCCTTCTGCACCTCATTGGGATCTGGGCCTCTGTAATCCTGTCAGCTGAATGTATGTTCACTCCTCATTCGGGGGAGGGGAATCCGTACAGAACGTGAAGATACATGGGTTCATCACTCTCCTGATTGGTACCGTGCTCTTTAAATCCGGATCCGCGCCCTTTGATTTGTACCCGGCATCCTGTTTCTTGCTGGATATGCTTAACATATTGCCCGCCCTGGCCTACGACTTGTGCGCGAAGATTGAACCCCGCGAGAGGCTCAAGTCCAATAGGTATGCGTTCCTCGGGCCATTTACGCTATGGAAAGTGTGAGTAATTGACACAAATAATGCAGTATTCTATTTTGCAACTTACGCGACCGAATTCATCCCGTTCAACTGTTTCCCGGTCCCTGCGCTGAAACCTTCGCTGGTCAACAAGGTTCGGTAACTCCTGTTTCATGAGCTCGTCGATCTTCTCGATGGCCTTCTCTAATCCTTCTTTCGTTGTGCTCGTTACATGCAAATATAGCGGTGGATTCTATCAAGTGACCGGGTTATTAACCCCGCTGCTACGCGTAACATGCGAAAATCTGGAATTCAAAGCACTTACCGATGGAGTAGCCATGCTTTTATCCGGGAGATAGCTTCCCCTGGTAGTGACATCTTTAAACCTGATGAGCAATCTGTTCTCAAACATATAAAGAAGAATTGACAATATGATATATGGAGGAGTGCCGTACCGGCGCCAGTCTCTTCTTTGATCTATATGTCACGCAGTGGAGGTCAGCAGATGCCAAACAGCGGGTGTCAGAAGCTAGGCAAAAGTTGGGTAAGCCTTCAACCGCCAGCCATCACAAACAAAGGAAAACTTGTTCTTTCGATGAGCGACACCTATGTGCATCGCAGCCTCGGTAGTAGGGGCCTGGGAATATCAGCGGGAATGATAAGAGATATTTACCATTCTCTGCGTCGCGCCTTTTGTCAGTGTATACCGGTTTCGAAGATCGTTCACTTCAATATCTTTGATGTAATCTCCATCGGAGATATAAATCTCACCATTGAGATTCGGGAACTGCTGCGTCGTTGAGGAGGGCGATTTCACGGCGGGGCTGGCAGTCTGCTGGTTTCTGTGAGCGAAGGGGGAAGACACCTGCAAGCAGAAATGCAGACTTTACAACTTACTGCGCGGACGGTCGGAGTGCTAGGTTGCTGGACCCCTCGGGCTTCTAGCTGTGCCTTGATCTTGGCCGCAGCAGCCGCTGTTTTGATGCCATGTTAGCGGGAATAGGCTTCTAGATCTCGGAGTTAAGCAAAAACTTGCCTGCAGCAGCAGCAGGGTCAAGCGGAGTGCTTGATTTCCTCTTGTCATCCTTGGTCGGGCTCTGGGGTTCTCGACTCAAAGGGCTTCGTTCACGCGCGGATTCAGATTGACGTGCAGAGGGAGAGCGTGAGCGCCGATCAAAACGGGACCGTCGGGGCTCGGATTCTGTCTGGTCAAAGCGGGATCGCTTCGTGCGCCGCTCACTATCCGCCATCTCGGATCAACTATGGCCACACGTAAACTCCGAAGGAGGCCAACAGTAAAAGTAAGAGAACTGCGATGCGGCTCGTTCATTGAGCAACTTCACGCTGCCTTACGAGACAAATTTGCGCAATGATCTCGTGATTAGTCATCAAACAGAGAAGGTCTCGGGGATTCGGAGATTCATATTATCCAGGCTGGTCAGGCGCTAGCGCGAAAGTGGAAAGGCGCCGTGTTGTTCAATCCAGCCACCCTTCCATCCAGCCTTTGCGCCACAGCCACCACAGACGCGACGAGGCTGGGGCCGATTTCGGCGTCAGGTGACTCATGCTGCAAGCCCCAACTGCACCTGCAGGGATTTCCCCATATATCCCAGACTCATCGCGAGCTCTCCGTTCAGAGCAGCGAGCACTTGTGAGGTGTGGCGGGCATCTCTGTCTCTCTTTCGTTGCTTTCAGGCGATTTGACAGCTAGCCCGTCTGTCCATAATATCTGCCTTGCATCTATCTTTACTCGGAGTTTAGTTATTTCTCTTCTGCCGATCTTTCGGAGCAGCTCTCTCAAAATCGCCGGTCCCTCCTCAGCGGAGGAGAAGCCGTTATAACACCCCCGACAATGGCTTTCTGGCCAGGTTCTGCCATGAGGGCAGCCCGTACCTCCGTTGCGCGATGTTCCTACGGTATTGAAAATAGCCATGCGGCTCCTGTCGCTCGCCAGTTAGCAAATCGATGCCAGGTCCGCCCATCATCGAGCTCGACTTCAGCGCTCGCCTACAAGGCACTCCATCGTCGGTCTCCACTTCCGCTTCCGGTTGCTGAAAATTCACCAACCTGGTCTGCTCCGGCGGCCGTCTCGTCTATTCTTTATGAGACTCCCGTTCCATCCACAAAGCCCCCGAAGCGACATGTGCTCAATTGTTTGGTGCAGAACGAGCCCGGTGTGCTCTCTCGGATATCTGGCATTCTTGCCGCTCGTGGCTTCAACATTGACAGTTTGGTTGTGTGCAATACAGAGGTGGAAGATTTATCTCGCATGACTATCGTTTTGCGCGGTCTGGATGGCGTCGTCGAGCAAGCCCGGCGCCAATTAGATGATCTCGTGCCTGTCTGGGCTGTTTTGGACTATACTGAAGCCGCTTTGGTCCAACGGGAACTCCTTCTGGCCAAAGTTAGCATCTTAGGCCCCGAATTTTTCGAAGAACTCTTGCAGCACCACAGGGAAATGACATCAACCGAAGGAGCTATGCCACTAGAATCCGAGAGTGCCTCCAATGCGGAGGGCTCAGCGGATAAAGATGCTCAGAGGCGTGAAGTGGAAAAAGTTAATGGCAATCTCTCAAGGGCCGCAGACTACCACCCCAATAGCCTTGCTGCCAGTGAAGCATTGAGACACAAACACGAACACCTCGAAGCAATCACACATTTGACTCACCAATTTGGAGGAAAGGTCTTGGATATCAGCAGTAACAACTGCATTGTTGAACTGTATGGTTTCACTATCTTGTTAATTTCCCGTGCGTTTTCACCCAGCATCTGGCTAACATACAAGCCGCTCTTAGCTCTGCAAAACCTTTCCGCATCGATTCGTTTTTGAAACTTATTGCTCCATTTGGCATCCTCGAGTCCACCCGCACAGGTCTCATGGCCCTGCCACGTTCTCCAATCGGCCCAACGGCAGAGGAGATGGAGAAGGAGGCAGCCGAGGTTGTTGACGCCAGCACTCTTCCCCCAGGCTAATGTGCAACTTCTGTAACCTACTAGCTCTCCCAATCATTATGCTGTTTGCCAGTGATTGTGGGTTACTTATATCTCCATTGGTGTATTTTCATCTACATTGTCAGGATAAATAAGTGTATGAAAACACTCTCTTTTGCACGTGGAGTGGCAGTTGAAAGCGTGTTTGGACCAGCGAAATATGTTGTTCAAGGCTGATTAATTATCTAAAATATTCTTACTCGCAAGAGGAAATTCAAGCAGAAATTCAAACTACATTGTTGAAATCGGTTTGCTCTATTAGTCTGCATGTTTCAATGCCAAGTATTTGCCAGCGAGATTTTAGGTGCTTCCCGCCCTACAACCAGTTCCTGGGGCAGCTCTAATTATTTGAGTATTGGGAATTTCATTCTATTTTGTCTGTCAAAATGGTTCTGCTCACACAATCCGAAAGGAATGAACTCAATGTTGAAATCTCATTCTCCACAACAATGGGAGTCATAACTCATAAGTCATCACGTTGAAAAATGGAAGAATAGGGCCTAAGTCAAAAATACAATATGAAAAACTCAGTCGTCACTAAAGAAATTCGTCTGTCGTTAGATCAACATATCGTACTCTGCATGCTCTCACAATCACACCCCTAATCCCGGCTTCGGTTGGCATTCGAGACATCTCCCGTTTACACCGTGGGAACGTAATTTAGAATCTCGGGTATCCTTTTTGCGGGAAGTCGTCATCACTGTCACGTACTAACGACGAGTACAGTCTCTGCAAATGCCACAGTACATCTCACTTGTGATGTCCTCGACCTTCCTCGTGCACGAACAGTCCTGGCAGTAGACGGTTTCCACCGATCCACACTGATAATAAATAATGCGCTGGCACATTGTTCCCCGGAAGGTGCTGTCCTTTCCAATGGTAATGAGGCTTTGGCTCGGTCGATACTTTGTAGTGTGAGCCTGGGCTTAAAGTCTTGAGCTTCTTGGAGACAAAGAAGCCAGAGTCCGAGTTCTAGCTTTCCGACAGGGGATTTGCGTTAACCGGTAACGAAGCGGATACAGCAGGCCAAAAAAAAGTATAACGCTTGCTAGAGTACTATTCACTCTGCGTTCTTATCGACTTTGCACTCCCAGCAAACAGCAGTATCTTAGGGAGTGGGCGTTCTTGAATGTAGGTGTCGGAATTTGAGATCGCAAGGTTGGCCTAAGGCAGAATTTTCGCCAGATCTCAGGAAGCAGCCTGTTAAAGATATCAGCCATCATAGAAGCAATGAGGGCTGAACACGGGCCAACACACCACTCAGACAGGCCGATAGTTGGTCATTCAGCTGCAAGATCAAAAGGGTAAGCCGCGCAAATCATTACCTTCTCGTCGGGGAAGGGTTCAGAGAAGAAATTGGGTATGAGCACTCGAGCCCAAACACCTAAACATGAAATGGATATTGTATCGTAGGAGCACCCTCAAAGCTCTATCAGCCTGAACCTGCAGACCGTCACAGGTAAGGAGGGAATAATCACAAAGGCAGGCGCTAAAATATATTCATGAAATGAAAAATGTACTGAGCAGCAGGAACAGGATGGCAGGCCACGCGCTTTTATACACCTCACGGATGTAAAGAGAGGCTAAAAATGGACGACAAGAAGCGCACACGCTCGTGACACTCGCCCGCTTCCCTCGAGTAACATTGATAATTCTTTCGGGCAGATCGTGCTGATGAGTTAGGCATCAGTGCCATTAAGGTTGCGTTTCACCAAATTTAGCTTTCCCGCACGCAGAGATACCAAATAGCTAAAAGAAGAAACGAAAGAACAGAAGAAGGAACGGACACCCAATGGCTTCATCTTCAAGGACCGGGATGATCATATCGGATACTCAGGACAATTCAGGAGGGGCAGTGAGAGGAGTGATGCCGAGTATGTGTGGACAAGGAATATATGGTCCGGGTATTGGTCAAACACGAGATTTGACGTTTGGTATGATCTCATCGATCTCATACTTAGATACGCAGGGATTGACAAACCGTTGATCGCGGCGCTATTAAGGGTGTGGGTGTGGTGATAGGGTTTCTCTGCGCTAACTCCTGTGAGCATGGGCGTACATGGGGCGAAGCTGAGGGAACGATAGCATCGTGTCCGTTACCGTCGGGTCGAGTGTGGTGCTGAATCATTGACAAAGCTTAGAGCCGGAGAAGGTGAGGTCATAAGAAGGAACCGATTTCCGTGTGCTATGACCTCTAAGTCGATATTCGTTCGGTTATAACATCCGACATGGCGAGGCGGAGAAGAGAGGGGGAAGAGCGCAAAGGCTTCCCACAATGGCCCCCTCCCAACAGAGATACGAATGCACTGAAACTAGAGCTGTACTTGGGCAGATGACTATCGTAGATGTGTTTGCTCACCGCATCTACGCCCTCAGTCTCGGCTTGATGATGAAAGAAGGGATTGGGTCGCGATGCGGTGAGACCTTGGGTAACTATCGAGTTGATCCGTTCGCCCTCCTCTATTCCTCGATCAGTGGATTGGACATCCCGACGGGCACCGAGATATCTCACGATTTACCGCGCTCATTGGCGCAACCTCCATGCCGGCTTGTCACCCATCAGAGAGGTTCGATCTCAGGACAGGAGTAACACCGCACCAAGGCGGTGGTGATGCACGATGACATCAAGCCCATGCCGTCCTGGTGCTTGCGTTTGTTGACGGCCCATGGATCGTGAAGGCTCCCCCTATCGGCTTGCGACATCCACTGATCCCACTGATCCCATGCACTTTTAGGAGAAGCAAAGAGAAAATCCAACGCAAGCTCTTGGAACCAATGAGTCTTCACGCTTGCCGATCCACAGCCTCCTGTTAAGGCATGTGATTGCTGGCTGTCGGCCACCGATGAGAATAACTTGGCGTGCTTAATAGCCACAATCGACTTGGGTACCAAAGGAGAGGTTTGAATTTCTCCTATGTTCAATTCCACCGCGTACGGCTGCAACAGCGCCTTAGACCGGTACTTGAACAGTCACATCCTCCATCGGCTGCTTTCGTTATGACCAAACTTATCGTTTAAAAGTCTTGGGGCAACTCTCAAGCCCCGCCGCTCCAAAATTAACTATGCTTCGGTAAGCTACTGCATCTCCCGAATATCGACATGGATAGATGCGTTTCTTTATAGCAAACAACGTGGCATCGAATACGATCGACATATAAGAGGCTAAAAAAAAAAAAAAAAAAAAAAATTGGAACCGAGGAAGTGAAATGTCTTCATCATTGTAGCCATGAACCGAATCTTCCGCCGAAACCAAATGAACTAGCATGATAGACCGAAAAGCTCCCCCAAACTCCAATGCACACGCCCAAAAAGCAAACCGTGTATCTCCATGTCGTCATCGTATTTCGCTCCACTAGTCGGAGTTTCACATTTTCTGGAATCTGTCATCAATTTGGTTATAGTCGTACTTTTGCACCGATGCCTTTTCCCCAGTAAGATATCGTGTCCATATATTCCCCTAATTTGACACCAATGTCCGCAACAGCGTCTATCTCTAAGCTTCCACCAAGTGCCTTTTTAAGAGCTTCATATCCTGCTCCTCCAAAGTCTAACTCCACAGGAAGCCGTGGTGTTATGGAAACTCCTGGAGGGACCGGGAAAGGGGAGTTATACTGAATCCTGCCGACCGGAGAAGTACTGTTATATAGCGCTGTGGCGTGAACAGACGTAATAAAGAGCGTTGTTTCCGTAAGGGGAGATAGCAATGTAAATTCAGCCGTCGAAGTCCATAGATGCATCTAGAGTGCAAGGAGGCTCGAATCAGTCCAGAGAAAACGAATATCACCATGAGATGCATTGGAATACGCGATGACCAGATAGAAGGCACTCAGGCGCGCAGAAAAGGAAAAGGCAAGATGGTTAAGCGTGGTTCGCCATGGATTTGATAAACATAGACCATACCGTGGCATCTTTAATAAAGTGTGGCCCATCGCCACCGTCGGGGTTATCTCCGTCATCATCACCATCGCCATTTTGGTCAGGAAGTCGAAGTTTTGGTACTGGAATTTCAATCCCGAGCGTCGATAATGCCTTCCCGAGTTCTGGTAAGAATGGAATGGAACCGTTATGCGGTGAAATAGTGACAGTGGTATTTAACCCTTCGAAAAAATCAGAAAATCATGCTCTGAGGCCAATATTGGGGGGGGGTACCTACCCGATATATAGCGAGAGATTAGGTCTCGACCAGAAATTACTCCTTGCTGTCCGTTTCCATCAGCGGGGTTCCATAATCCCTGCACTTTGACAAAAGAGTTGTGACCGGGGAATATGGAAAGATTCTCTCCCATTATATGGGCAACGCTCGAACCATTATAGGCTAGCTTCATGTCGATGAAAGGTATGTCTGCAGAATAATTTGTCGGGTTGGTAAAATTTACAACTGCTTGAAGGGAGATAGTAGACTCGGTCGTATGGGATATTTTGATGGAATCAATTTTGGGATTGACGTTGCCCAAGCCCCCTGTCAGGGGAGCTAAGTTCTAAGTCAGCTGAAAGCCCTATCATGGCTGTTAAACAGGCCACAACTCACCCTTCACAGTGATATCCCCGCTGGCTGGTATGTCTCGAATTACGAACTTCCCCAAGGCCGTATCCAGCTCGGCAGCCACATTGGCTTTGACCTGTAAGGAGACCGTTTCGCCAGCTAGAATCACCTTTTTAATAACATCGGCGAATACAGCTTCATCCACAATTCGCAATGGTGCTTTTTCTATGTCGAATTCTACCAGTAAAGCTGGGGAGTTGTCCAGTTCATCTTTTATGTGACGAACAGTCGCATTTTGCCATTTCTGCAGATCGATATAACCGAGTTTCTTGCTATGGTAGTAAACATCTGCGACCGTCCGAACACGTGAAACGTTCACAGGCACGTTCATTTCCTGAGGGAGGTCAACAAGCGCCTGGACAAGAGCCGATACTCTTGGCTGTGCTTCGGGAGCATCTGGTTTCGCAGAAGGCTCAGGAAGAAAAAAATGTACATGAGACATGGAAAACCGTTTGATGAGATTTGAGAGCCCTTTGCTGGGAATAGAAACTGGAACGATGACACTCTGTAATATGGCCTCTAGCCAGTCCGGAAGTGTAGGAGAAGTGAGTGATCCCCCACGGACATAGACGAAAGTCTCGCGACCTTTGATATAACTTTGGACGAGAAGATCCAGAGGGGAAGAGGTCTTGCCGGGACATATTGTTATCAATGCATCCGGAACCTCATAAATAAATCCAGTAACTGACGCAAGGACAGGTCTTTTGGGCTCGATTTCAATAGTATCACTGGTGGCATTTCCTATTCGAATGTACTCATCGCCAGGAGCACAATTTGGCACCATAATTTCAAACGTGAGGGCGGGGACGGTAGCTTCAACGGCGTATACATTCTGAATGTGAAGGGATATATCAGCAGCTACAGCCCTACGCTCCCCCGGCAATTGAAACTCGTGAACATTCAGCTTCGTGATGTTAAAGTCAGGGAAATTTGGGAGGTCTTGGTCTAAAAATTGTTGGTTAGAATCATATATGCACTAAACTATTAAACGGGGTTAAGAAAGGTCTGTCCAGGGATTGACCTTGAAGAACGAAAGTCTCCGAAATGTGCTGGAAACCCAGCTGAAGTAACCCTGAGCGAAGCGGCACTGAGGCCACGCCCTTTATCCGCAAATGGCCAAGGCGCCCTTCAAGCCAATCGTTGGCAACTCCACGAATTCCATCGACATCTCCAGCTTTTAGGTCAGCCAAAAAATCAATACTGTTCTTATGCCCATCTTGAATGTTAACCTTGATAGGCGGGATAGTAGCTGTTCCCAGCAAAATATTCCCGTATTCAGGCAGGTAGACCTGAATATCGGACTCCCCGCTTTCCACTTCTTTCCCAAACCAGGTTGTCAAACGGCCTATATTCCGCACAATTGGTTTCTTCACTCGGGAGGAGTCGAGAGAGAACGAAGCTTGGATTCTAGTTCGGACGCCAGACGATGTGAACGCGGCAATTGATATTCCGACAGGCTCAACAATGGCGGCCTCCTTTGCATACTCCTCAACGGTCGCGGGCGCAGCAAAGCCGAGGACTAAGATAGCAATAACTGCTAGGCACAGGCTGGCCAAGGAAATCACAATCGGCCATCTCACCCTGCGAGCCTTTTTATCTACTTGCTGACCTGGTACCGCTTGGCCAGACCTAGCGGAGGATGCAATGGAGCGGTGATCTTCATCCCGAGAAGATCGTTGATGCTCTCCCGAGAGAAGAGGGGTTGTTTCGGATGCCACCCCATTCCGATCCGATGTAGATTTCTTTTTGGAGTAGCTAGAATGACGAGAGAGGGAGGGAGATGCAGATCGAGCCAGCAGCGGTGCGCTTTCGTCACCGGCACCGGCCATCGCGTCCTGCTGCTGACTGTTCAGAAAACTGGAGTGTTCTCATTGAGGTCAGTGAGCGAAGACATCCTAAGAAGAGTAAGTGAATGAATGAGGGTATTTGCTCAAAATGATAGACATTGATGCGAGACCGGTGGATGAGGACGCTCCTCATGCAAGGTCCGAGCGTCATACACTTGTCGTCGTCCTCGGCATGGCACAAGTCTCCGCGTGTCGTCTTGGGCTCCCGCCAAGAATTCGCCTTACTACCCTTGGACTAGCGCCAGCCAAACACTGTGGCTTATATAATGCGACGCTAGCTCTTTTTTTTTACTTTGGCGCTAGAAAACCCAATTTTGCCTTTGCGCCTGGGCGGTTCCGGTGGACGGACAAAGACTGCTTTGTGAAGAGTCATAACAGGAGAACAAAAAAGGAGCTCCACATCAAAAACGTTCCTGGAAAAATCAATTCCACCGAAGATCTGGATCTGATTCAAGATGGCAAATTTTAGTTTCTCCTCGACTCCTTCCCTTCTTTTTCAACTCTCCCGCATTCGCAAAGTGCCCAGACATTGCTCCCTTTTCTCTCAAACCTGCGGTTATCACGTCCCTCACTCTCTTGACAAGTACAATTCCTCCCCTATGCAATCTGCGACACGAAGCACTGCCAACGCTTGTCGAAATATGGCGAAAAATCAGTGGAGACCTTATACTAACGGCTCTCATGCCCCTTCTACGCCTCGACATCTTCTTTCCATTGCAGACCTTACGCCCACAGAATTCGCAACTCTCGTCCGAAATGCCTCTTCCTATAAGAAAACGATCAAGTCGGACTCAATGCCTGAGCGCTTGACGGGGGCGCTGTCAGGAAAGACCGTAGCCATGATGTTCAGCAAACGCAGCACCAGAACCAGAGTGTCAACCGAAGGCGCTGTGGTGAAGATGGGAGGTCATCCCATGTTTCTAGGAAAGGATGATATCCAGTTGGGCGTGAATGAGTCACTGTACGATACTTCTGTTGTAATATCTTCAATGGTATCTTGCATTGTTGCCCGCGTGGGACCTCACTCCGACATTGCCAATTTGGCTAAACACTCGAGTGTGCCGGTTATTAACGCCTTATGTGACACCTTCCATCCGCTGCAAGCAATCGCCGATTTCCTCACCATCCATGAATCCTTTGCGTCACAATCTGCAACACACGGAACACATCCCTCGAGCCTGGGATTGGAGGGACTGAAAATTGCGTGGGTCGGAGATGCAAATAATGTCCTTTTTGACCTGGCGATCGCCGCGACCAAGATGGGTGTAAATGTGGCTGTTGCGACACCCAGGGGCTACGAGATTCCGTCTCATATCGTTGAACTGATTCAGAAAGCACGAGAAGGGGTCCAGTCACCAGGAAATCTCACACAAACCACCGTGCCAGAAGTCGCCGTCAAGGATGCAGACGTCATCGTGACCGACACCTGGATCTCGATGGGGCAAGAGACCGAGAAAATCAAAAGACTGGAAGCGTTCAAAGACTTTAAAGTGACTTCAGAGCTTGCTAAACGAGGAGGCGCAAAAGAGAATTGGAAGTTCATGCATTGCTTACCACGACATCCCGAGGAGGTTAGCGACGAAGTTTTCTATAGCGAGAGATCTCTCGTCTTCCCAGAGGCCGAAAATCGACTATGGGCGGCCATTTCGGCGCTGGAAGCGTTTGTTGTTAACAAGGGGAAGATTGCTTGAGCAATGGCGTGCCGGTGATGGTGATTCGCTAGATAGTTTATAGAACTCTTGATTTCTGATGACATCGTTTTTGCGCTGTTAGCGGGGTTTCTGGGGAGTAGCTATACCAACTTTAGGGATCGTAATCTATTTGAAATGTGACTGTTCTTTTTCTGGCTGCATATTCTCTGTTGCTTGCGATAGAAACGCAAATGTCTCGACTTCATGACGTTCAAGGATAAATGTGTTGGTCCGTGCACCTGACAAGGTCACCCATGTCTTTCCCAGCAAATGAGACCACACTTCTTCCACATTTGCATGCTCCTCATGGATATGAGAAAATTAAGCGTCCTTGATTGTTTTCAAAGACTTGATCACAGTTCGCACGGCTTTCCCAGTTCCACCTTCCGATTCGGGTGATCCCGCGATCACGTCGTCCGGCCTCCAGACTAGATAAAAACGCCCGGACCCTGTCTCAAATTTCTCATAGTTTTTGCCGCCAAGTTTATCAACGACTCAATCTATTTTAACAGACCGTGTCTCGTTTCAATTGAAACCCACGAGACAGGTTTGATTATCCTCAGTCATCGACGATGGAGGTGAGTTCCTGCGCCACATTTGGAGACGTCCTGCGCCGCCATAACTGACGCCATTCAGTCCCTGTCCCACTCTCGCAGCAGCTCACGCGGCTTTCGCTCTCGTCGGTCCTACACCAGTCTTCAACACATCTCCCTCGCTCCATTGACCAGCAGATTTCCATTGGATGATGATGATGGTGATTCGGACGGCCCTGTTCCGGTGAAGGAGAGAGATCCCCCTGGTCGTCCTCAACTTCCAACCACATCCTACTATTCGACCAGTTCAGTCCCAACTACTCCTCCAGTGCTATCCGACTCGCGAAATTTATCATTCACAAACTTGAATAAAAAGAGGAAGTCATCGAAAACTGCACCGTTGAGTGACACCGGGTTAGATTTGCTAAACACTCAAAGACCCCCGCACCATCACAGGACGCGGAGTCACAATGCGCGCGAACGATTGCCACGAGTCCGGAATCACCATGAGGATAATGAATGGCTTCTTAGAGCGGGACTGGCCCTCGCAACTTCAGCACGCGAGGAGAAAGGCCAAAGCTGGCTTGTGAAGCGGGAGAGCTCAACGAGTCTCGTCTCGGACTTGAACCATGAGCCCAATCGCAGACCGCACCCGCATCGGAGTCAGACTGCGCGAAGACACCGTTCTGGAGTGTCTACTCCAATCGCTTTGTCGAGACGCGGGTCGAAATCGCAACTCCCAAGTCCACGTAGCAGTCGGGCATCGTTCATGACCGCGGCAGAGGGAGGATTCTGTTCTCGAAGCGTCCCCGCCACTCCATCTCACGACCAAACCGAAGTTATCCCAGACTTTGTGGAGAAAACGGTCCGTGACGAAATGAGATCCATAATATCCCAGAGCTGTAAAAACGACCACAACCCATCACGGAACGGTGATGTTGAAACTGCAAGCTATGACTACACTTCTAGAAGATCATCTCTTCTCGACCGATCTTTCCCTTCATCTGAATCCAATTATTCTGAATCAGAGTCCGAAGAAGAAAGTGAATTCGGCGAGGTCGAGATGCAACGGCTGACTCGCCAGCAAGGGTTTGGCCTTGGTCCTTGGATAGACAGGCTGGTTGAATGGGCGCTGTTCAATGTGGAAGAGGAGACTTCTCCCATAGTCCATACCCAATGGGCAGACGAACATGACGCCTTGGTCAGTAGTGCTACAGCTAGGAAAGAGGTAGCCTTTACCCACGCGGACGACCAACCAGGCTCCGAAGTAGAAACAGACTGTGAAAGTACAGGGACCGCGGATAGTTCTTCATCATCCGGCCAGTCCGAAGAGTCCACTGAGAAAGGCGCCTGGGCTGATGTGAGGTGGCTACTGCGCGTTGCCAGGAACGCTCTGTGATACATTTCTCTTTGACTTTTTGGGCCTAATCAGATTCCTCTCCCTGCTCACTCTCTGCTTTCGCATATTTTGCAATATGCACTTAATGTCCGTTTACATTCCAATTTTCATTTCTTTTCTCTTTTTCCTTTTTGACGATGCTGGGTTCTGATGATTTTCCTGTTTGTATTCCTAACCGGCTCTAATTTCAATCAACACCCTGTGAGATTTTTGGCCTGTATTTACGTTTCTTCCCTCTCACACTTGGTCCAAGCATCACTTGCCGCTATGCTTACATGTCAAGAAGGCCTAGAACAAGCAGATCAGTAGATTTCGGTGAAATACCACGCAAGTGCCCATGCCCATATCACATTCCTATATTCGATATTCATGAGATAGCCACCAGACCATACTGGCAACTGTCGTTACGGGCCAGCTGCACCATACAATGCGCAGAGGTGAAGAGAAACCGTTGAATCTCATAGGATCATTTAGTTGCCTCCGTCTTTCTGGACCGCTCTTCTGATGCATGGTCGCAATTCCCGTGAAAAAAAAAAAAAAGAAAAGAAAGAAGAAAGAAAGAAAACGGCGAGGCTCCCCATATCACCCGTATGCATGCGTCAAACAATGTACCCAAAGTGTTTCATGGAGCACTGGAGGTATCTGCATCGGAGTAAGGGCCGCATCGAAATCCAGTTGGGCCCGGACGGCTCAAAATTCCTCACCGTCTGTTTCTAACCGCTTGGGCTACATGCATTGGCAAATCTCCACCATTTAGACCACATCTCCTCACTTCAGAAGTAATATAACGCTCTCTGCAAGGGTTAAACAGGTGAGCATTCGCCATCGATCACCAGCTCTGATGCTCACTAGCCACATGTGATCTGTGCTGCGCCACATTAGGTATGCGCCATACGGGTGGGATCGTGATCAGGTCTTGGTGAGGCGGGGCGTTTCGTTTTGCAGAGTTGCTCTGAGCGAATGGTGCTCATCAGATCTCTGCCGGTGCCAGGCCAGACCGGAGCCAAGATGAAAAGGAGTGGTGGGCTGGTTGGCCAGAGATATTCGGCCAGGTCAATTTTTCCCATTTAAGTTATGGTGTGTAACTATCTGGCTGGCTGTCCGGCACCTGCGGAATTTTTCTCTTTATGAACCCAAAGTATGTGCAACGTTCCGTCCGGTTTTATGGGCTGAATGACAATGGAGGGCCACGCTGCGCAGCAGGGTCCACGATCCATTGGTCCCCAGGAGCAACCACGGTTAGGAGAATGATTCTCCCTGGTTTTGAATTGCTGAACCTCCCCCACGTTGCCACACGGACGGGAACAGAGGGAATGGTATAATGATGTGACTCGTGTCCCCGTCGAGGCATCAATACGACATGCATGCAGTCCATATCTCTGCATGAGTAACCTTCCTCGCCTTCAGTTTCTTCAGAGCAGACTTTTCGGCAAGATTGAAGCCATCAAGAGGGAGAAATTAGGTTTGCATTACCGCGAGCTGCCAGCCAAAACGCACGGCCCTGATTGGTTTGATCGGCTGTTGAATATGCCAAGCCGGCTTGGCTCGAAAATGTCTGCGTGATGCGGCAGATATGCTTGCTTTTTTGCTGGAAAAATAGCCCAGCAGCGAGTGGGCGAGAAAGCGGGAGAGCAGGTGATGTATGAGTGGCAAAGTATTCCGTTGCTTGATTGCCCAGAATAAATTTGAAAGATTAAGTGCATTTTAGCTGTCGAGGATTGGGTTGGTTAAATCGATCAGGAAACCCCAAACTTCTGGAGGGTCAGCCACAACCGGAAAGTTGGAGAGAAACCACTAGTTAATGCCCGCTCACCCAGTCGCTGATGATTCCAAATCGACTACGGAGTACATAGGCAGTGTGGCTGGCAGGGATTCCGCAATCATGCGAAGTCGATCATCACGTCAGGAACTTTTTCGTACCAGGTTTCTGCACAGATGCAGGTTCGACCTGGCAGTTTGATGTTCTTCTCCATCGGACTTCACAATGTGTTCGCACCATGCTCTCCGTACACACCCAAAAGATGGCTCAAGGCAGGCAGTCCTGGACGAGTACATGTGCTGCTGCAGGAATTTTGCTCCGGCAGATGGAAAGAGCTCCGCTCCGCTCAAATGACAGCTATTGTTGCTTTTTGCTACACTCACCCAGCAGTAACTATTCATGTACTGAGCACTCAGCACATCGAAGAGAGACAGCTCTCACTCCGGCTGTGCAAAGTTTCCTGTGACATTTCTCGTGAAGGCACGGTCATGGTCAGAGCTCTGCAGTGATCCACCTCGACCCATTTGGTACGCTGTTAGTCGATTCAATAGTCAAGGTCCCCACATGGTCGAGAGACTTCTTCCGAGAGCCTAGAGGACAACAGGCGAACAAATCGCCCTGATGCCTTCCACACGAACACATAAAACTCACCAAAGCCATGCTGGGGTAAGTCTAGTCTAGTCTTGTTTTGAGGGCCATGTGAGGTTCGGCTCAATGCCTCCCTCCAATGCGAAGAGAATACAGCGAGCTCTGTGCTGGTGATTTTGAGTAGAGATTTGGTGGCTGGATGGTCTTGATTGCCGACAGCGGCGACAGTAAAACAAACGGCGGGGTGAAAATGCATGAACCATGCCAGTTTGAACGGTCAAGCCGTTGCTGTGTTAGGCTGGCGGTTCGACTTGCTCAGGTGCGCTTAGCTTCCGAGATGGTTCTCGATCGGCGAGAACATCAATGTGATATATATTACTTGGGACGATGCAGCTTGCGCCCTCCCGAACTTGGAAACTCGGACATGGACGTTCTCTTCCATTTTGGGCCTGCCCGCGCTTTAGCCTTGCTTTTCGGCGATCTAGCGCTCTCTGCAGACGCTCTCTGTGGCCCTTAGACTCTGTGTGGCTTGTCCGACGTCGAAAAGGGAAAGGTGATGTGAAGGCTGCGGCGCCGCGGCGTGGGCAGGAACCCGGCCATTACCCTTTCAAGGAGCCGGATGGCATTTTCTGGATTTACAATTTGACGGCGGCTAGAGCTGCAACCGGCCCCGACTATCTCGCACCGAGCTGGGCGGCGGACCCCCTGATTAGTCAGGGCTGCTTGGGCCCTTCGTGCAAACCCACAATGCCAAAAAGCCACCCACGCACTCACCCGAGCTTGTCTGTCGCACAAACCCTTTGACCACCTGCAAGGGTGGAAGAGGAGGCGCATCGGTCCTCGCCTCATTTCGATTTCCGTTGACGCGGCGGAGGACGCATATGTACGGAGTACAGTACATACATACATACGGAGTACATACTCCGTACATGCAATTCATACGTACTTCGCTGCTCACCCACATATCTCTAAACAGCCTCGGAACTCCGCAGTACCCTGACTCTCCACCATACCCGGGCACAAAGATAAGCCTTGGGTCAGTGAACGAGGCTTTTCCCCCCTCCGATGTAAAACCCGGAAGTCCAATAACTAAACATGTTGGAACACATATCTACAATGCCTTGGTTTCGGTGGCTTCTTAGCTTTTGGTTTCCGAAAACTGGTCGAGTCTAGCCTAGTACGAAGTAGCTTCGTCGTCCTCCCCGGCCTCCAATCGAACAACCACGATTGACGGGCCGATGACTCTAGTCATGTCCTATTTGAACTTTTGCCATCCACCCTCGGAGGTCTCTTCCTCAGCTCAAAAAAGAAACGAAAGCAAGGACTGATTCGCAGGCACGATGCTCATGCTCCGGCCGGATGGGTCCAAGATCTTAGCAGGTGGAGCATTACGAAGGCCTTAGGATTTGCAAGTCTTGCCCCCCAAAAAGCAAGTGCCTGAGTTCATCCTTTGGCACCATGTCCCTCGTTTCGCGTCTATGTGCAGTAGTAGATTCATATTCGCCCCAACGCCAAGAGTGCAGCAAAAGTATTCCTTCATTTCCTCATATCGCGATGGTATCTGTCAGGATTCATAAAGCCGCCTGGGACCCTCGCGCAAGTTGACCATTTGATATGCTACCCCCCCTTGTCTCAACGCTGCGTTTCCGCTATGCATCTTCAACTGGCATAGCCGCGCATCCATCTGTCTGCTAGTTAATTGCCAGTCGTTCGAGTTAGCCTTCGACGTTAATCGGCATTCCTCCAGTCCAATGTCAATACCAGAGGGCCATCGGGGAAAAGAATCGCATTTTATAAGGAGATTTCTCACTATCACAGGCGCTTCGCTTCGAGTGGCAGGCCGACCTTTCCTCCAGAGGGTTTCCCGGAGCAGGTAACGTCCCCTACTTCTCTTTGACAGGTAGGAAGCGACACAAAGTGAATACAAATTGAGTTTCCAAGCTAAGCTACATGGTTGTAGAAATACCGAAAACCCGGTTGTCCTTCCCGGGTCAGAAATGAATCCGGAATCGCGTGCGCATTTCGAATCGGTTGCCATGGCCGGAATGTCAGAAGCTACACAGCGGCAGGAGGACTGTAATTTCGATATATTTGATTGGTATCCTCGTTACCAGAGTTGCCAGAGATATTTTCTTGATCGCGCTCAGCACAGCGTTCCCGTTCAGGCTCTGTCCTCATTTCTGAATATACTTCTTCCGTTTCAAAGACAACCAAACCCGGTGTTCAATTCTGCAGCAGATGCAGCTCAGTGTCGGCCCCAGTCGCCAGGCCCTGTTACGCCCACTTCTGTACCGCCAAGTGTGTCCCTGGTCCCTTACATTCGTCGTTTAGTCGCGACTGGAATGGACTACCCAGGCGTCCTACATGGATTTTTTGGCGACGATTGGGTGACTGGAATCGGACCTTTACATGAACAGGAGCGTCGAAACTATCTTTTTGCTGCCAAAAGCGGCGGATGGGCAGCTGTTAAACGCGATTATGATATCCAGCCGCTTGAAACCATTCCATTCCTACGGCCGCTCCAGAGTCCTGTTGACTCTGAGATTGAGGCCGCAGAAAGGGGCTGGAGTGAGTGGCTTGCAATGGAAGATTGGATGGTTGGACCCCGTGCGCCTGATGCGTTTAACGAGTCTTCACCATCGTCACGGTCACGAAGTGCCTGAGCTGAGCCTTTGGGGCTCATTTTCCCCTACATACTTTCTACATCTTATCGCGCTCTACCATCCCTGACTCGTTAATTCATAAAATTACTTTTTTTCGATGATTTTCGGGGTTATTGACCATTTCCGGGATTTATTTGTCTTTCATTGTCCTTTTGATTCTGCTCTTTTTCGATGTCTGAATGATAACTTGCCGGATTGGTTCTATCGCATATTTCTTATGTTTGCTTAATGCGACATGACATAGCCTGTGGTTTATGACTCTATATTGTTTCTGCTGAGTTTCCTTTCATTATTGAATCCGGTGGGCCGATCTGCAAACTGTCGGCCTAATTCCACAGCGCCGTGTTAATTTTTGCGATCCGGCTGAAAAGTTTCAATTTTTCTTTCTACACATAGAACCAGCCAGGTGATCTCGACCACCTTTTGGTATCATTCTGGACATTCTCATATTTAGGGTGTTATGATATGGGCCCGCTTCTACGGAGCACAAACCATGCAGGGTGGCAAGCAATCAAGCAAAGTACGGTACATTTGATCTGAAGCTGCCAAGCTCTTTTGGCGTTGTTTTCCAAACGGCTCCTAGGATACTTGAATCTTATCCTGCAAACTGGGTCGACTCCTGTACTTAAACCAGGCTGCGCTGCAGATCACACGCTCTGGAAAACCAGCAGCGAACTATCTAAGCGATAGCCGATCGCTCTCCACAACGTGGACCACATAGCTATCAGTTAGCAGCTTCGAGGACAGCTACGAGACCCGTGCATGTACCTCTCATCGTGTGTTGAAGGATGTTCTTGGTGGCGAGGTAGTGCACCTGCAGATACATCAGAAAACATGATCTGGTTGGTCGTTTGTTGATTTCGCTGCAGCAAACGTGGCCGCCGGCCGCAGTCCCGATTTTGATGCCGAGAGATCCCTCTGCCCTCAAACGCAGGTCCTGATTGCGGAGTTCCGATCTTCCAGCTCTCCAAAAATATGATACATCAAAAATACCTTAGCCTAAGCTCTGCCCGCATTTCTACCTACTTCGTACGGAGTACACGTGATAATATAAGGAGAAGGAGAAAAAAAGGAAAAAAGGAAAACGGACGAAGATTTTAAATTCGGATTGGAGAAATGCGGTGAAAGAATCGACATACAACAAATAGTATTTGTATCTCATAAGTACATATCCGCCGATGGCATAAGAAAGCTAACGCAAGTCCATGTTCTGTCGCCATCAACCGCCAGAGAATAGTAGCAATTAAGTCGAATTCAATCGGGCTCTTCGCTAGCATCCGCGATGAGTTGCGCAAGCAAATAACCGGGATGGACGATTCCGATCCGCTCTCGTATTGTTGAAGGCGGCTGCTCCAATTCCGGTCAATCCACCCGCACCTGCGACTATCTACGATGCTGATCCCATCGTCTTCGAAGCGGGTAATTTAGATAGTTTCTGCTCGGTTGACAATCGGACCGTGCCAAAAATACAAAGAAGACAGTACCTAGCTTTCCGTTTGTTCGAGGTCTCCCAACATTCATAATATTGCGACGCTCCAAGTCGTTGTGGGTGATCTTGTGATTAGAGACACTGGCTTCAGCTCCAGAATCTTGGTCTCACAGTTTTGTGCATCCTTGAAGCAGCTACTGAAGCCGGATATACTTCTGACCCGTTGGGGTGCGGAGTTCCTAAGCATCAAGCTTGTCTGAATAACAAAGCAGACCATAGAGTTTTGTTTTCATATCCTCGTTGACTTGAAGGAAATTGGGAACCCTGTTCTTTAATATTAACCCTACTTTCATTCATCAGGTGTAGTTTTTCTCCACAAGAATGGATTGTGGAGGCAGCGTTCAAGTTGGAAACACTCTAGGATTTCCGCTTCGTTTTATTTGCTTCGATGTCGACCGTGGTGGGATGGCGCTGGAGCACACACATCGGGATGCACTGTATACTAGGCACCTGCATTGGAGGATGTCATATTGATATCACTGAATGGCAGCAGCAGGAACCCGGGACAGGCATGGATATTCCCCGAATTGAGACCGCTCTCCATTGAGGGCAACATTCGTCCTTAAACTCCTTTATTCCCCCAAGAGTCCCTCGTTCAGGTTTATGCACCAAGACCTCCCCTCACATTACATAGGATAAAGATATAAAACAATGATACATCACTACGGTGTATTGTATCGATCTCTCGGCTTTAAACAAGGCTCTCGAATAAACCACAGCTACTGACAAGACCATAGACCACCATGGTAACCCGAGAGAAAGTATAAAAGTACAACTAGTTGGAGTGCGACTCGCTGGGGTGTTCAACGTCGATTATCCAATTCAACCATTGCATCAGAGCGTAATAGGGTATAGACTTTATCGCTATGGTTTTCTCGTATTGCGGAGCATGAGGACATTCTCCGCTTCTAATATGCCTCAAGAGGCCTTCAACCGAATAGACGCGGAACATTGCACGCCTTTCCTCGTCCTTTATGAGCCCCAGTTCACTAGCTTGAGAATAGGGAATGGGTTTTCCTTCATCATCAAAACGCCGAACGGCCCATCCACAAGCCATACAGCGTCTGCCCAATTCGAGTTTTCCAGACTCGGGATCCAGGAAGGGAAGCTGCACAGAAGCCAGCCACATCCAGTCGTAATTTGGCGATAAAGGGCTGGAACTGTGTTTGTGTGAGAAGTTCAGAATGATAGAGAGGCAGGCACATGTCCACTTTGATTGTAAAAAGGGGGGAGCGCCGTCCATAAGCTGCTGATACGCAAGATCAATCCCGTCGACTTCAGTTTCGGTTCTGATAGATGTGATATCCGCCTTTCGCCCCATGCAGCTTCTGCAGCAACGTTGGATGTCTGGGATCAAGACTGAAGAGCTTAAGTCGCCGCAGGTGAAGCAGTATGGGTTTCGCAAAAGGTCGAATATCCTTTTAACGGGGAGAGTGCCATAGAGGCCGCAGTGCTTTAACTCGTAGAGCGTGGTTTGGCACTCTTCTGCAATGCGCTTGTAGAATGTGAGGGCCTTAACGTATGCTTCAAACTTTGAATTTGTGGCAGAGAGTCTAGTCATAGACTTGCAGTCTAGGTTGAAGAGGACCATGTCCACAAGCTCAAAGGGGAAGACGTCGAGGAAGCTGGATGTAGCCTGGGGCCGACTAGGACAGAAAGGCCTAGGTTGGAGGGAAACAGATGGCACGTTCAAGCCATCAATAGGCATTGGCAGCCCGAACCTCTCAATAAGAACATTGTCAGTTGGCGATGACTGAGGGTATTCATTACTTTTTGTGTGTTTCTCCCCCATATTTTCTGTGGAAAAGCCAAAAAGACCACCAAAAGAGAAATAGTTCACAAGAGTGTGGGTGGATGGAGTAAATAAAGCTCTGGAGGTGATGTATCCAAAGTGCACAAGGACATTAGATTGAGAATCATGCCGTGGTAGGTGAGCAGCCTGAATTTGTAGGAACAAGGGAGATTCCGTTCTGTCATATTAGTATTTGAATGGCAATCAGCCATACAGCCGGAGCCGGAACTCTCACTTGAAGCCAGACCAGTTAATCCATCTGTAGCAGTACAGAGTACGGAGTACTCCGTACTAGGATACAGATCAACTCACTGTGAGCTGAGCTCATCAAACCATATGACTAAGCAAAGTTATCTGACAAAATGAAATTATAGGTATTTACATGTAATATTATTGGTTGGCAACCAGTAAATATGCGGAGAAAATAAGGATGGTTAGGAATGGAGAAATACATTTCAAATGTCACTTTGTAAGTTTGGTTTTGAAACTTACATTGTGCTACAGAGTACTCCGTACAGCTTGGTTGGAGTCAACTTTTGCATAGTCACACGGTCGGATGGGCTCAGCTCACTGGGAGTTGATCTGTACGCACCGATGAGCTCATCTCGCGGTAATAACTATTCTACCTAATGGAGTACAGAGTACATTCTCTGTAGGGTAGACTGGGCAAGCATCTTCTTGCTCTTGTTTTTTCATCATCCCCGCAACAAACATTTTCCGTCACTGTCTCATTGCCACAGCCTGGAACAACCGCCAGCATCACTAACCACACACACATCTGGGCCAGGCTCTGAGGGAAACAGGAAGAAGGTAAACGCCAATTTGCATTTAATGCTTGCATATTATAGTGAATAACCTGGGTCTATGTTAATATCTCATTTAGGGTTATCTTGTCATTGTTACTTGTAATTCGCGGTTTTAAGGATTTACCGACTACATTTCTTGCTGGGAGCAATCTACCATGCACCAACAGTAGAGAGATGGCCTATCTTACAGATGACAAAGCATCAGGGCCTGAATGGGCCCTTCTTCTGGAACAATGCATATCCCACAGGATCATCTCTACCGAATTCCGGGACTTTTCAGTAATCATGATGCGCCGACATCCCATCTCGGAAAAGGCGCTGATTCGAATTGTCCTGGAAGCGAGATCCGCCACAGGCCTCATGTGGGATCCGCTGATACCGCTGTACGTTGAGGTACTGCAAAAACTGGGCTACGTTAGTCTGCCTGAGATACTAAAGACACTCTTGTTATTTTCAACGATATATGATGATTCACATCCGGTATCAAAGGCAGGGCCTAACGGAAAGGGCGTGAAAAGAAAGAAAAAAACGTCAACTTTGATGACGGATAACAAGATAATACAGAATGTCATGGCTACCATCACTATGGGTCAGGGACCTAAAGCGACCCGGGGCGCGACCGATGTCCTTTGTGCCGTTGCCGATTGGATCTCTACCCTGCTTGCTTGGAGCCCGTCGGGTGAGGGTCCGGAAAGCGACCAGCCTGGAGATATACTGGGCCATCAGGATGGGGCGTGTATTTTCGGAAGCCTTGGCCTTTTGCTGGTTGCTTTAGTAGGCACTGAAAAGGGCGTGAGTGCCCTATCTTCTTTGTCCAAAAAAGGTAGGCTTTGGAACATTCTTCAAGACCAATCCTCTCTCCCTGCTGACCATAAATGAAGACCGGAAGTGTCTTGGACAGGCTCTTTCGTCATATACACCTATCTGTGCCAGTTACTCTCTTCCGCTAAGAAACAGGTTGGATTCTATTCAGAAAGACTTCAACATTTATCCGAGCGATAGCAGCAAAGGACTGGAAGAGTCGATGATGGGCGACGTTAATGTTGCAGTATTGCAGTTCGAATCCAACGTCGTGGACATTCCTACGACAAGTTCAAGAGCCGGGCTCTATATTTACATTAATGCTTTGGTATGCCCCGACATCTCTTCGGACTCGAGTAATTGTTGATCCAGTATAGCTTGCCGGACGCCCATTGATCGATGACAGCATGTTTCTTAACTACCTAAACAACCGCTACGGGGTAAGCATTTTTGACGGGAAATCTTCTGAGCACCAATTGATATATTTTTTTCTTTTTGATCCAGGGTGACCACATCTCAATGGTCGAAGAGCTAATTACCGCTGCGTTTGATGTCTTATCGAATGGAATGTATCGAAATGAATCCAGCAAGACGATGTTTCTTTTCAGAGCATTTCTGGTCAACAAACTGCCGCCGTTTCTTGCTTATATGTCTGCCTCATCCATGTCACAAATCCCTATGGAGGTTTGCATCACCCGTGCTTTGAGCCGCGTGGATCCGAATACATTTCCATCTTTCTCTGAAACCTTTTCTATGCAAGGAAATTCAGTGCTTTCGGACGTCAGGCAGGAGTTCCTATTCTCTTGCGCCTTGCATAAGTTGATTCCCGAATCGAGCATCGAGCGTCTACTGGGAGAGAATCCCATGCAAACCCTTCCAGTCGGCGGCCAATTCATGAAGGACACTTTGATCGCCCAGATAAACAACAATCCTGAGCGAGCGGAGCAACTTTTGAATGGAATTGAATCCATGGAAGGAAATGCCGGAGCAATAGTTGACGCTATAATTGAGGTCATGCATAACTTATGCTCGAGGAAGGAGACAATGACCTTGAAAAGTATCTGTAACTCTCTGTCACGGCGGCCACAAACTTTAGATATTATTCTCTTGTTCAAAAGCCCGTCCTTTATTCTACAGCCTCTCTGTTCATTACTGGATGCGTGGAAGTGGGACGAAGACCAAGGTAAGGATTAACCTCCATTTGAATTCCCTAATACTTTTCTCTAACATCGCCATAACAGGCGAGAGTCAGCTAGTGTATGATGAATTCGGCAGTATCTTACTCCTGGTACTTGCGTTCAAATACAAATATGACTTGACTCCGCTAGATTTGGGAATAAATAAACCTGACTCGTTTATATTGCGGCTTCTTGACACTGGTGCTTCGAGCCAGCAACTTAAAGATCTAACCGAAAAGCAAAATCAAAATCTAGGGGCATGGATCACTGCGTTATTTGTCGCCGAAGGGATTAGTGATGAGTCGATGTCCTCATGCAGTCCACAAGAGTTCTATCTCCTGGTTGCAACTTTGTTCAGCCAAAGCTTAACGGCTTGTGAAGCTGGGAAAATGGAATTCGAAACACTTAAGGGAGGATTTGAGTGTGAGTTGATCTCTAAGCAGGAACTGAGAAACGGCAAATCTGTACTAATTCGGGATAGATCTTCTCGAACCTTTCCTGCTTCCGGCGTTGGTGATGGCGCTCACTTGGCTTGGAAACCATATATGGGAGTCCGAAAGCGATTTGGAAACGTCACTCAAAATCCTCCATGGCCTTGTAAAGCCCGCTTCTATATCTGGAGAAGCACAAGAAATCCACCGGACTGTGTTATGCATCGCTTCGCGAACACTGGAAGCTACACTAAAAGATACCCGGGCCCGCCACCCATCTCGAACGGATATCAGCCCGATCCTAGACGTCCTCGAACAATATCACTCATTTAGACGAACTGGCGCCACCAATCAAACTGAACTAGATAGTTGGAGAGCCAACCCTGCTGGTGGAGGCTTAGTGACCAGTATTCGCAACACGTTTTCGTCACTTGTTTTATGGAGCACAGACCCAGAGATAAGCATGACTCCTCCAAGTTACACTCATCGTCAGATGCTAGCCGGGATAGGACATGTTGGTTCTGAAAGAGTGCTCCAGGGACTAATTGACGAGCTTAAATTACAAACGGAAACCGGAAGTGGTAACTTAGCTTTCGACATTGCAGCAACACTTATCTGTGCTCCAATGGCCGAGTCATTCACATTAGAGCAGATATTATACCGACAGATGGATCAAGATAAATATCCTCTTCCTGGATGTAGGATGCTGACACTTCGTGATGCCCTTGGTATACAGCGAGAATCTTTGTCAAAATTAATTGAGGCGGATCCACACCGTGCAGAGCTAATAATCCGGCTTCATCGTCGAGTAGAGGCACTTTGTTCCATCCCGCAAATAGCACCGGGAGACGTGGATGTCGGTAATATCATGGACAGTATCCACCTTGAAGCAGTTGGTGGCGATGATGAACAGCGTGAACAACACCAGCAACAGCAGCCAGATGCAGACCAATCCAATCAAGGAGTCGTCGCCCCCACTGGAAATACACCCGGAAATCTCGATGCTATGCTTGATGCCGCCGCTTCAGCTGTTGTGGCAGATCCGAACGGTACTGCTGGAGCAGAGGCAGCTGCAGGAGCAGGGCTACTTGGAAATGGAGTTGGTGGGGATGCTGGTGTCGGGATAGGGACGGGTATGAACGACGTTTTCTCCTTGATGGACATGGGAAATCCGGAGTTTATCGATTTAGATATGGAAGATATGCTTTGAACTAGATGTACGATATCATTTGAATTTACGGGTGATGGTTTTGCAGGAGCATAAGGTTGAATTCGGGTCGGGAAAGCTATGGTGACATATATGAGGATGTTGGTCTGGTTAACCGGCCTCCAAGCGCCGCCCTAGATTGTATGGGTATTGGAATGCATTTCGACGCTTCATTTCGCAAGAATGTTAAAGGTCTACGTATCGATCATTCTCTTTCACGCCATCTATTACACTCTATATTCATCCTAAAAAATCGGGTACCAGAACGATTGAACCCCGGAACTAAAATATACAATAAATCGTTTCTCGAGTGTTCCATAGTATGCCTCATCCTTCTCTCCATTGCCCGGAACACTCGTATTATCTACCTAGTCTTCTCTGACCACAGTCGCACCGTCCTCTGCTGGCTCCAACACCTTCCATTGACATGTAATCCCGTTCTCCTTAAACACGCCCAGGATCCTGTTTGCGATCTCCGTGAAGTTTTCCGTGGCTAGTGCAAGAATCGTGGGTCCCGCTCCTGAGAGACAGATCCCTAGCAGGCCAGGTTGGGTGCTGGGATTCATAGATTGTAAGATTTCCGTGAGCCCTGGGACTAGATGTTTGCGGTAGGGTTGGTGGACTTTGTCTTGCATGGCGAGGTAGATCATATCCGGGTCGAGGGGCTCTTGGCTGAGAGCGGATGGAAGGAGGGTGGCGCGCTGGAGGTTATAGATCTAGAATAAGGCAAAAGACGGGTTAGATAGCTGACGGGCTGGAAACAGGAGATTGGACTTGTTGCATAGGCCAGGGATGACATACCACATCGGCTCTGGAGTATGTTTCTGGCAAGACTTCTCTAGCCTTTGCGGTAGGAAGCTCGAAATCGGGAATGATCGCAATGGCTTTGATTTGCTTTGCCCATGGAAATTTCTTATAATGGCCTATTCCGACGGGCGGTTCTGGCGGCTTGATCCCCGTATCTATTCCTCCCGCTGGCGCCGGGAGGACTTCACTAAGCGGGATCTCTTTCCAGGCCAGATCTTCGGGTTTTAGTTCGCGGAGGTACGTGCCCACGAAACCTCCGTAGAGAGCTGCGGCGACGTTATCGGGATGGCGTTCTATCAGTCAATATCGGAATTAGCATACTATGAAACAATTTTTTTTTTTTTTTTCCATCATTCCAACACCCGTCATAAAGGATCAGTCTCCCATTGAGCCGGCAAATTGAAAGGCCTGCAAGCCTACCTATCATCAAACAATAATCCAGCATTCTCGCCTTATCCAGACCAAGTTTTCCGACCTCATTTCCCAGCACTACCCCAGCGGTCACCGCTGCGCCGCTTGATCCTAGCCCTCGACCTAGCGGAATCGGGTTTTTAATATGAACATGCGTCTGGATAGGGAAGCCATGGCTATTATGGCACCGGAGAACATATAATGCAACACGAGTGATTAGGTTAACTTCAGGGTCAAGGCTAACTTCGTCCGCGCCCTCGCCTTCATATGTGATGGCGCAGTTTAATTTGGGTTTGTCGGAGGAGGGGCTGGTGGTGGTGCTGACGTGAAGTTCAAGATAGATTGATAGCGCAAGGCCTAGGCTTGGTTATTAGCAGCATACTCCCTGTCAAATCTTTCCATGCAACTGAAAGCGCTCGGGGGGTAAATGGATGTCTTGGGGGTGGTTTACCGATTACATCAAAACCGGGGCCGATGTTGGCCGAAGAGCAGGGGACTTTGATTGTGAACGCCATCACGGAGTCAATTGCTTTAATTTTAATTAAAACGGACAAGTATAGATCCTCCCCTCATAGAGACATAAGATATAGGGAGACTAGCATAGGAAAAAGTTGAAAAAGAGGGAAAATATACAAATATACATTTGAGCGCCCGGTTCCCTTCACTGCCAGCGCTCGATGACTCGCTGCTCACAGAAAAATAAACCTCGCAACCTGATTGGCCAATCAACCCCGGAAAATTGTAATTTTTAAGCTCTTCACGTGATTGGTGAGCCCTTATCTTATCTAACTATATTTTCAGCCCTAATTTCCGCTTTCGTCGAATAACCTTTATGTAAGCCTCCAGATCGCCAACCGCAGCGTCGAGCCGAAGAGAATTGATGCATTTTGATGATCTTTGACTTTCTATTCATTATTGAGCCAGCCGGTTCCCTGTTCGATCAACAACAGTTAATAGTTGAACCAAGAGAAAACCGGACAAGCATGGCATACCTTTCCCAGCGTCAGCTGTCCTCTGTTGAGCTCTCGCGCTTGCTGCTCCCCTAGCCACTCTGGTTCAAGTCGATTAATACCCTCCTCAATATCAAACCCTTTTCCCCCACCTACAAAGACCGCTTTGCCGTGGAGCTCCGGGTCTGCAGCCACGTGTTGAATTAAACGTGCAACGTCCGCAGGGGTGTTGAACGGTAGGTTATTATTCCTCCAAGAATCGGTTAGACCTTTGAAGATCTGGGTGTCCGTCGCCCAGGGGCAAATTGCATTCACTCGGACATTAAATTCCGAGACACTCGTCATACGAAGGGAGCGCATCAGGCCAATGATGCCGTGCTTGCTGGCAGAGTAGGCGATCACCCCCGGAGTCTCTTTGAATCCCGCTACGGAGGATATGAAAGTCAGAGACTTGGAACTTTCCGGGGTGATTGCGGCGTCCTCTTTCAAATACGCAAGCGCTATGCGGGAGAAGTAAAGACAGCCGGTAAGATTAACGTCGAGGACATTGATCAGCTGTTGGGGAACCTGTGCACAAAAAGAGGCGTGAGATGCCGAGGAAAAAAGGTTCGACAAGGAGGAGACGTATTCCCCAAGCTTACCTTCCTCACGCTTTTCAAATCCAACTCCTTAACATCCAGCCATCCTCTTGGGTCCGTAATCCCTGCGCAATAAATGGCCATATCTATTCTTCCATGTTTGTCAAACGCAGCGTCAAACAGCGCCAACTGCGCTCCGTAGTCGGTAACGTTCGCCTTCATAAACGTTGACGAACCGCTTCCCGACTGCGCACCGGATCTCAATGACCTATCAAGCTCGATACCATGCTTTTCGTCCCAGTCACAGTAGAAAACATGAGCGCCAGCGTGGAAAAGGTTGGTGACAGTCGCGGCACCAATGCCATTTCCGCCGCCTGGTAAAGAAGATGAGCGTCAGATGCGTAAGAGTAGTCACTCCAAGGACCCACCGGTAAGTACGACAACTTTATCCTTGACCGTCGCAAGTATTTCGTTATTGATGCGGATTTCTGCCATTTTGGTTCTCGATCAACCGGGATAACCAAAAGGATATTTCGACTCCTTCCAGCATCGGGTATGGACATTGAGTGCCATTTTGAGCTGCTCCATCACCACAACTTTGTCTTAGCACTCGGGCGAATGAACCTGAATGAACTATGTTGCTTGTCCCCATCGTCCCCGGAGTCGAGGAACGGAAACAATCCCCCCGGAGTGTGGGGAAACTTGTGGCTATATATTTCTCCTGCGGGGAAATCGAACTCTAAAAACGGTGCTTCGCCTAGATTAAATGCCATTCTCGCGGGGTGTTGAAGATTACTGGGTTCCCTGGCAAGGCAAAAAAGCGTCCATCCTGTATGTGTGATGTGTGATCCAGAGACCAATCAGTCGGAAGTGCGATGTCAAATCTACAGTAAGCCACCAGGGTGCGTAGGAGTAGGTAGTTAGCTGAGGCATGTATGTACAGACGCATCAGATTAGCCCGTAAACGGCAAATGAAATAGTAATTAGAACCCGTATCAACGTATCGCGCATATGCACCCAATAAACATTAACCAATAGCCCCAGATCCCAGGAATCCACCAAAACCATCCAGTATAAGAAAACAGGGAATCACCATCATATCATATCAAAGAATCAGTTGGATTTGTCTTGTCCCTTACCGTCCCCACCTTCAATCTTGTCCGAGTCGTCCTTGGCGTCTTCTTCCTGGTCATGTTCACTATCCTCGGAGCCGGGTATCTCTCCCCATCCCGAGCTCCGACGGCTGATTCTACCGGGGCCATTTGGAAGATAAGAGTTCGCTGTAATGCCACTTATACTGCCGGTGGCACTATCGTTTCGCGCATGATGGGACTGCAGTCCACTACGTATACTGCTCCTATCCGCGATCCCAACGCCCGAGGCCGAGTAGACGCTAGCGCGTTCGCCGCTTGCCATTCCGCCTCGACCCAGTGTGCCAGTTGCTAGCTCCCCTCCGCCGCCTTGTGTGGCGTTGATACTTCCCATATTCCCGCTGAGAACACTGAGAGGCAAGCTCTCGCGACTACCACTGAAGATAGATGACGGTGCAAGGGCACGGATTGATGCGTTCGTGTCTAGAGAGTTTCGGCGGCGGCGCTTGGACGAAGACGCGAGTGTGAGCACGGAGGCGTTGTCCGTAAGAAGATTGTTTGCGGTGGCAGTCATGTACGTTGTCGGATGCGGGGTGACATGGGGGGGGATGGCGGATACAGGCGTCGTTGGGAATTGATGCGTAAATTGAACGGTCTGCTGGCTCCCTCCATGGCCCGTAGGATGGGCACCACCGGTGATGTAGTGATTTGGAGCGCCCGATTGTACCGTTGTGAGCGTAGTGGTGAGAGATCGCACGGATGGAGCAGGCGATGAGAAAGTGCTCCCCTCTCCGCCACCGCGGCAACTTCTGCCTCCTCCAACGGTCGCTGAGGTTCCCGCCTTCGAATAAATTTCTGACATCACGGTATCACCGTTCGTGGATAGCGTTGGCGCGGCAGATTTCCGGCCAGCCACAGGAGATGGATTATCATTGCCTTCGATGTAAGACTCCGAACGGGAGAATTCGCTTCTATGCAAGCTATTTGCCGGTTCCGTGAACGAGAGATGTCTGTTAGCACGCTCTACGCCTGGCGAGTAGACGGTTCCCGATAAGGGATAGGGATTATTTCTAGCGGATTTTTTGCTCTTCGTTGTCGCCGTGCTGTTCCGATGCTTGTGGCTTGAAGAGTTGGCAGGTGAGTCTGAAGAGGATAAGTTTTTGAGGTTTGCGAGGCGCTTCATCCAGTTTGCGAAAGGGCGGCGGCGGCCATGACGGTCTAGCAAATAGGGTTAGCATCCTCTGGGTTCCACCCCCAATCTGAAGCGGCATCGTCCACAAGGCTGGACACACCGTGAGGTCTTGAGGGCGCCTCCGTAGTCGCCATTTTGGTCATCGAATTTCACTCTTTGAGCGGTAACTGTCTAGGAAATGCAAAGCGGAAGAAAGACGACTGAAAGGACAGATCCACGGCTGGTCGGTCTTCGGTGCAGGGATAACGGCCGCGTTTCAGCCAAAGACAAGGTCATAAATTAAATGTCGGCCTGATCCCAGACCAAACCGATGCTGAGCGCTAGTTAGTGCCGCCGGGCCGTCTTGAAACTGTAGAGAGCGGGAGGCCGCGTCGAGCAATCAGCAGCAGATTCCCTGAGGTTTTCCTCCGTCAAATTTAGTCCCGTCTTGCAGCAGCAGCAACCACAGACGTCCGCTCGGCTCACAAGCACGGGACAGCCACGCCAGCACACCCTTTTGCACGGCGGATCGATGGTGACGACGATGATGTCGATGCGCACGCCCGGCGGCCCAATCGGCCCCGCTTACGTAACCTCCTAGGGCCAGGCCAGGTCTTTCTCGACTCGCCAGGCAGCGGAGATCAGCAACTCGCTGCGATCATCCGCGCTGGCGTCGACGGTTGACCGCGAGCTTGTCCGGGCGTGAGGTCTTCATTCGCTAGAGAGAAAGTGACCATCTTCCTGTGTGGCTTGACACATTCACTGTTCCCGCCGTTGCCGGGCCCGGAGCCTGGAGACCCCGGGAATAAACGCGGTTTGGAGCTGGTTTACCCCCCAGCATTCCCGTCAAAGAGCCCGAGATCGTATTGGTGGCTGAGAGTCAGGGCAGAATGAGATGAGAAAAGCAATGCTGCCTGGATGGAATGGTTCGCCACTACTTGCGAGACCCGAGAGACTGTCTGTTGTACTTGAGTGTGCCCCCGGCCTCCAGGGCAATCCAGCCCAAATGACAAGGCTGAATGCGGGCGCCGTCTCAATTGCATTTAGATAGCTCGATCCGATGGACCACCAAGTAAAACCCTAGCGACTCGATAGCACCTGAGCTCTTGACAGTCACGGCATCACAATGGCGTCTCGGACTCCCTCTATTCTCCCCCTGCCCCCCAAGGTTGCGGCCCAGATTGAGTCGTCCACTTCCATCACCAGCTTAAATAGCGCTATCTTGGGATTAGTCAAGAATTCACTGGACGCGGATGCTCAGACAGTAGCCATAACCGTGGACTTCCAAAAAGGCGGCTGCGCGGTCGAAGACGACGGGGAGGGCATACCGGCCTCTGAGTTCGAGGAAGGAGGAGGTCTCGGCAAGCTCCATCGTATGTAATATCCTTGACATCTCGAGCTACGATTCGAAGCTGACCCTTGGTGCCTGTGTATGCGAGCAGATACGTCAAAACTTAATTCTTTACGAGAAGTATACGGTTGCAAGGGTGTTTTCCTTCCGTCGCTGGCGTCGCTTGCATTGCTCACGGTCACCTCTCGTCATGGTCCCGATTCCTCGACAAACTCCGTGACATATCACCACTCAACGACGATCTCTAGGCTTTGTCCAGCTCCGCCACATCATGAGTTCGCTTCTGAACACGGTACCAAGGTCACGGTGACTAATCTGTTCGGGAACCTCCCTGTTCGGGTGAAACATCGCGCCCTGACGCTCCAAAAAGACGAAGAGATCGATAGGGAGTGGGACGACCTGAAGAGGCTATTGACCGGATTGCTGATCGCGTCTACAAAATGGCCAAAGGTCATCCTTGAAGACGTCGCAAGATCTCGAAAGCTGATCCTTCGGGGCCGAAAAGAAAGGCCGGGAAATTTGAGACAGCCAACGAGTTACCTCGGTGACCCCGCTATTGATCTTGCTCAGATACGCTCCGTCCTCTCTCAAGCCGGCTATATTACCTCCACAGATCCCGCGTCTTGGGTTACGGCGTCAGCTCGAGCTTCCGGTATCTTCGTTCAGTCTGCCATATCTCTTACACCGAGTCCTACCAAGCAGGCGCAATTCATATCGTTTGGGATTAACCCACTAAATCAACAATTTAATGCGAACGTTCTGTATGATGAGGTCAATCGACTATTTGCAGCTTCTAGCTTTGGCTCAGAGGACAGCAGTACGCCAGAGATTGCTGAGGAGCTTCGGGGGCTGAATCTGAAAGACAGTCAACGTGGAAGGGATACACCGGTTGAGAAACGGCATAAAGCGCGGGCAAAAGGCGTAAACAGGTGGCCAGTGTTTTACATCCGAATAAATCTAACGGGACAGGACACCTTGACTGGCGAGCAAAACGGGCCATTATCTTCCGAAAAATCTCTTGAAGGGATCCTCAACGTCCTTGTTGCGATGATTCGACAGTTTCTCGAACAGTATCATTTTTCGCGACCGCGGAATCTCAGAGGTGAGAAGAGAACACGGGACTTATCTGCCTTGGCCACCGTAGAAGAGAGGCTCGGTAAAAGGCCTAGGAGCTGTGCTGTTATCCCTTCTTCTTCTTGTTCTGTCGTCGCCGAGCCTATTCCATCCGTTCACGAGGAGTTTTTGAATTCTCGAGTTAAATTACCAAACTATGCTGGTAGCTCTATAGCTTCTCCAGGTTACCCCAAAGGTGATTTTACAAATTGGACTAGAGTTAAGGTTGGAAGCAACAAAAATATTCAAGAACAAATACGCTCCGAACTAGCACAGGAAAGGAGAATACCGACTGAGACCCTAAACCGAAGACCCGAAAACGAAGTACAAGAGGGCCTTCGTCCCTTGTCCTCTTTGTCGGCTCCGGTATCCATGCAGTCTCGACCCTCCAGCAGATCACCAACTTGTGCCACTCCAAAGATACAATCAGAGGAACAGGCCCCGTTCTCTATAGATGGAGAGGCTGATAGCCTTCAACAAGGTCCTAGAGACAATATCATTCAATGGACGGACCCTTTAACTAAAGAGGCCCTGAATATCAACGAGCGCACCGGCCAAACACTGCCTACAAACGGAAGCAAGCGTATTCCGTTTCGTTCCATAAGCCTGTCCTCCCGGCAGCCTAGAACATATCGCGCGGACGGATCGCGCCCTTCTTCGCCAACGCCGTGGATTGACAGTGTCCTTCAAAAATGGAAAAATCCTGTTTTTGGTCCGTTCGAACGCCCAATACCATCAATAAGGCCTGCTACCCCAAACCAACTAGAGCAAGAAAATACGAGGCTTTCCGGGGTATTACCTATCGCTGCAGATTTCGAAAATGCGTGTTCCTCATCATTCACTGGTCGATTAACAAAATCCGGTCTTACAAATGCACAAATCGTGGCCCAGGTGGATAATAAGTTCATATTGCTGAGGA